ATTTAGCTTTGCACTTGCGCTGGGTGGGTATTCTTGGTTGAATGCAAAGGAAAAGTAATCTTGCAATCCATAACCGCTAACTGATATATGGTTATGCGTTTCCCGTGGCTCAGCAATTGAAACCAGCAGGCAAAATGGCAAGTAAGGCCACGGGTCCACCCAAGCGTGACCAAAAACATTGAATCTAGTCAAAATACACAACGGAAATAAACTAGAAATGTGTGAATATGTATTTTTAAGTGTTTACATTTCTGCGCTGCAAAAATTCCGACTTTCGTAGTTACTTGCTACGAAAGAAATTTGAGACGCACTCGATTGCGCTTAGTAACTGAGCATGTATTGAATTTCTAATATAGTTAAAGCTGTAAAACTAAATTCCTAAAAGCTCTTGGTCACAGAGCATGCAAACATGAATTTATTTTGGCTGCCATGTTCTGAACAATATTATAACCAATTTTGTGCAAGGTGATCCTTGTAGAATGATCACATCAACACCAGCAGTACGGCATGCTTTGAGTGCCATTTGTCCGCCAGCACAGCACATCATGAACGTTGTCTATGAATGGTGTGCCTTATAATGCTGATCAATCGGTTTATCAATGGCTCAAAACAAATGCATCTGGTGCGGGCCCTGATCTTTGGTGCACATCTACTATATTTTTTGTCACAGCTGCTACCAGTGTATTATTTGTTGCACGCTGCATTTCCTCATACATTTTCTAGTATATAATAAACATGGTTCTTTTCCAATTACACCAAAGTTTAACACAGACGCTCTTCACAACAAAACAACATACAGTACACAGTACACAATACAAGCAACTTGAATTTCTTTCAGCTCCTATAACCAAAAATGCTCAGCCATATCTCTACTTTTACCGCCACTGTGCTTGCTATTGTTGCCGCATCAACCGCATTTGCCTCTGCCGCGCCTGCGCCCGAGGCCCAATTGCAGGAGCAGCATCAGAATCAGCAAAACTATGTTAGGCACGGCCATTCCCATTGCCACAATAATGGCCACGGCCACAACTGCCGCATGGCCAAGCGTTTTGGTGCGCTGGGCTGGGGCGCTGGCGGTGTTGGCGTTGGTGTTGGAGGCATCGGCGGTGGTTGGGGCTGGGGTGGATTCCCGGTTGCCGCCAACACTGTGAATGCATTTGACCGCAACTCTTTTGCTGCCAACACCTTCGACAACACCGTTTTTGCCAACAACAATAACGCCAACGTTGTGAGCGACAATGTGCACGCACTCAACACTGCTAATGTCATTGCTTGAGCCTTGTATCTGGCATGTAGTCACTGAGCAAGCGGTTGATATATACATCTGATAAGGGCGCATATAAACACATCTTTTGCGTGACTTTATACACTTTTGCTTGGTCGGCCAGGTTTTATTACAAATAAACAGAAGCAGTAATGCATGGATATTTTCAAACTCATTGCCATCTATTAAGTTTGCAAATGCTCGGTAAACATGTTGAAATGCAATACCGAGTTTCTAATCAATAATTGAAATCAATGCACAAAACCAGCGCCTGCTTTATTCACACATGGCACCAAATGCAATGGTATGTGCGCTGGCTTTTATACTCGAGATTAGGAACAAATATTATCCGAAAATAATTTTTTCTTACAAAATGAAAAACGCCATGGAAATTGGCTTGGGTAATATAACATTGTAGTTTGTTGGGCTTGCAATTGGTTAGCGAATTGATCATTTCGGCTTGGGAGTTTGTTGGAATTTTTTACCTGCAAGCCACTTGGCTGCGCTTTCTGTCGAAAAAGGAAACAAAAACGGCGCGGTACTTTGCTTGCATTTTATTTTACTAAACAATTGTTCTCTTTAAATTTACATTTGGTCTATTAAACACCATATTCTTATACTTTCTCCTTGCACAACACAAGCAATTTTACAAAAAGATGGGGCAGTACTGGTTCCTCGCATGCATCGACAGACGTGAAATTACGTCTTACGACAACGGGCTCAAACTGGGCGAGACCATGCTCCAGGGCTATTGCGATATGCTTTGCAAGATGCTGGCATATAAAACCCACTTTATCCGCTCAACTCCTCTTCCTGTGACGCAGACCGTCGCGCTAAAGGACAAGAAGCTCTCTGCCATCGAGGAGCTCCCTGACTTGATCATTGACATGATTTTCTCAAGTCTGACAGAGTATAGCTATATGGAAAACCCCAAATCGGTAGATGCCATTCTGTGCTTTGCACTGTCGTGCCACCGCTTCTTGGACTTTGGGCGCCGCCATTTGCTTAAAGACTTTAAATTGCGTAGTCAGCCAGAAAACTGGAGTGGTCATCGGATCATTTGTGTGGGCGACTATGCAGATGATATTCCCCCGGGTTTTCTCTCCGATTATGAGTGCGAGGAGCTCGGCAATAGAACTCTTTTTGAGTTTGTTAAAACATTCGGAGGGCCATCGAGACTTTTTGCGTATACCCCAGCTCGAACCTATCACCACGCAGGCAAAACCGCCTCAAAGCGCCTCATCAAGGCGCTGTTGCCCGAATTCAGGAACGTTAGTCAGCGGGACAAAGATACCGTTATTCGGAATCTGACGACCGACGAGTATATCCGCGCTGAAGCTTTCCACGCAACGCTTGATAAATTTAATCTTGAAGACATGCTGCTTTCGCGGATCGGCTGGTCGTCGGACCCTTCGGTCGCGTTGGTTAACAAAGTCGGCTTTCACCGGGGCACTTGGGCTGGCCATTGCATTGATTTGAACACGGCAGATACCGTTGACAGCACCTGGAAGGATGTGACCAAAGAATCATACGAGTGGATCAAAACCATCTACGAGGACCAGTCTGACGAATAATTTTCCATATTTCGATTTGATTTAGTATGCTATAAATGCAGATGCTAAAGCTAAAAATAGGGGTTCTAAAGCCATCAAAATGAACTGCCAATTATCTCTCATTTTTACATTAACCGAAGTGCAAAAAAACAATCAAACAAGCAAGTGTTCTTTCGTCGCCAACTTTTGAATACATCCATGAGATTTGGTAAAGTCGATATAACTTTATCAAAAACTACGTCTTTGAACTAAAAGGTAAATAAAAATTATTTTTTGAAATTTTTTGAAAAAGTATGAAAAATGCGTAAGTCCCAAATAGTATTCGCCAAAAAGCTCAAGCGCCATATTTGTGGCGATGGTATGCCAAGGGGAGCACGCTGGCAACATCTATCCAAGGCCTCTCAATGACCACCATTGTGTCGTTGTCAATAAACGACACATGCATCAAGTGTTGATAGCGCTGGGTCATGCGGAAGTTGTGCGGCACGTTAACATTGATTCCAGCCTCGCGCAGGCGCGCAGCATAAGTCGACGCCCAGTCTTTGCTCTTTGTCCAGTCCACTTCAACAACAGAGTCCTCCGCCCGGGCGTCCTTAGACTCGACCACGATGTCCATCCTGGCACTGCCATTGACAGACCCATCGACTGACTCCTCTTCCTTTTTCTTCCGCTTGATAATGTGCCGTGCGGATCTCTTGTCGGCCGCCTGCTTTTCGTCCAAGAACCGCGTTAGGATGTCCTTCTCGATATCCTTGCGCTTGTGGATGTTGAGCACGGCTCTCTTGGGACCTGGAGGGATCGACAGGTCTATGCGGGTGATATGGCCGGCCGCCCAGGCGTAAACGATATTGACCTCGGTGGGGTTTGTGACAATGCCAGAGACGCAGTCTCCAAAGTTTTCAAACGTGCGCGGGATATCGGTCGCCGAGTGCTCCTTGGTCCACTTCGTGAAGCAGGACTTGGAAACGTCCCACACAAAGATCAGATTGGATGCAGTTGTGATGACCAGGTTGCCCTTGAGGTCAAAAATCATGGCGGTCGGGAGACTGTCCACCTTGCCCTTCTGCATCGAGGGCAACACTGAGCTGTGTGCGCCGGTCACTGATGAGACAATGATGGTTGCGTTGGAGTCGCTGGTGGCCACAAACTTGCCATCAGCGCTCACAGCCATGTTGGTAATTGTCCGCAGCTCAACATCAGCTGGAGTCATCTTCCTAGCCTGGGCCGGGTGGGTGGGCACATTGTCGCAGCCGGCATCGGTCTCGGTCTCGTCCTTGGTGCTGCGGTGGCCACAGTGGCGGCGTACGGTCTCGAAAACACCGGACTGCCACTGCGAAATGTCGACAATCGACACGAATCCATCCGTCGTCGACATGATGATGCGGCTCTCATCGCTGGTAAAGCGCATCTGGGTGACGCCGCGGTGATCAGAGTAGTCGGGCACAAAGTTGGGCGGCGGGAATTCCTTCACGCGGCGCACACGCACATGCTCACCGCTGTCGCCGGTGCGGGTAACAGAGTAGAGCTTGGGGCCCGTCGAGTCCGACGCAGCGATCAGCGCGCCGGAGGGCGAAATCGTGCTGCTGAGAATGTTCGTTTTGGTGTTCAGGTCCATGCGCAGCAGATCGCGCTGCCGCTCGTAGACTTGGAGTGCCTGGCCGGTCTCCATCGTATCGTTCATGTGCGGCGGCATGGGCTCGGACTTGCCGAGCTCCCAGATTTTGAGCGTACACCCCTCGTGCTGCAGAACGAGCTTGGACTTGGGCGCAACACTGATAATGCTGTCGACCGGCGGGAAGCACGGCTGGCGGTGTGGGTTGTCGTTGGGGAACGAGTCTGACTCGCAGGAGGCCACCTGAGTGTCAGCGCCGCCGGAGATCAGCAGGTTGTGCTTGGCGTTCGAGCTGACTGCCAGCGCGCGCACATCATGCGTGTGATAGCGGCGGAATCCCGAGAGCTGCCACTTGCGGGTCTTGTTGGGGAGGGACTTCTTCTTGGTGCTGATGGCCTCGGCAGGGCTGCTTCCGATAAAGAGCTTGAACTGCGTGATCTTCGGATCGACGCCCGAGGCGAACACCGTGTGACCGGCCTTGTCGGCGGTCAGGCAAAGGACGTCGGCACCCTGTGCGCGGAAGTCCTGCAGGGAAACGTGCATGATCGGATCCCAGAAGACAACGTGGCCGCGCGAATCGCCAGAAACAATCGTGTCGTCCTTGAGGACGGTGACGGCCCATACCAGGGTCGGGTCGCGGCCTTCCTTGGGCAGGGTCATGCGAGCGACAACATGGCCAGTGCTAGCAGTCCAGATGCGCACGGAGCTGTCTGCCGATCCGGTAACAATGGTGGAGTCATCATGCGACCAGGCGACGGACAAAATGCGGCTGTTGATCTTGTCGAAGCAGCGCTGGTACATCAGCTTGTCGTCGGTTATGTCGAAAATGCGAATGTGACCGTCCTCCGTACCCACGGCCAGCTTAGTCTGTGCGTGATTCGTTGCCATGCACCATACCGCGCCGCCGTTCGAATCTATAATGGCCTTGGGCACCAGCTTGGCCAGATCCCACTCAATAATGACTGCGTTAAGGCCGGCTGTGAACAGACGCGGTGCGCGCTCCACGAGCCGCTTCTTGGCGGCCTCGCGCTCAACATTAGTGTCAAACAGCTCCAAGTCGTCTGCGGTCAGCTCGGTCTGGTGCGACCACGCCAGGGTCTCCACGGATCCCTTGACGACGTTGGGAATCATTTTGTCGTAAACAAGCTTTCCTTTGACACCCCAAAGCTCAATGTCACCGTTTGCCCGGCCAACGGCAATGTACTGGCGCTTGGAGGTCTCTGGTGTAAACTCGATGGCGTTGATCGCCTGTGGAACATAATCGACAAAGCGACACCTGTGTATCTGCATGCTTTTATTTTACTTTCAGTCGCGCTATCTGGGTGGCAGCAGCGGCAAAATTGGATGGTGGTAAAAGAGGAAATAAAAAGAAATAAAAATAAGCAAGGCCAACACGAATTCAAGGAATGCAACAACAAGAATAGACGCAAAAAAATATATGTATATAAAAGAGCAAGCAATATTTTTTTTCATTTTTGCTACAGCCAGGCGTTGAATGATTTTTTTTTCTTGTCGAAATAAGCGAAAAATTGGTAACAAAAAAATTGCGATTTGATCGGATCAGGATCAATCAGCGGATCAAGAAAGCAATTTTACACTTTAGCAAATCCCCGGAACTGCGGGGTAACCTTTGGGATTGCGTTTATGCGCTTACCTTTATAGTTCGTCAAAAGTAGTGCGTTAATAGTGCATTTAACGCCTTTTGCCAGAGGTAGGAAAATAGAGAAAGTGAGATAAAATAGATCTATTGAGCGAGATATAAAGCAAAAAAAAGACGAATAAGACTAATTGTCTACCGCGCCACTTTACCCGTCATGGGCTCCTATTTGACAAAATATACAAACCAAAACTTGCAGCTGCCTTCCCACAATACTAATGATTGCATTCGTGTCAATATAGTCTAAAAAGTTGATTTATAAGTTTTTATTTTTTTTATTTTTTACTATTGCTTGTTTACCATCACTTGTTTATCTTTTTGTATTATTTTCCTCAGCTGTTCAATTCCAAAACCTACTTTTCCCAAAGCACACATTTAAATTATCTCTCAACATGGCAGCACTCGTTCCCAAGGATAAGAGGCAGTTGCGGGCGTGCCTGATATGCGGCATTGTTCTCAACCACCACACGTTCCGCGATATTGGCTGCCCCAACTGCGAGTCGCTCATCAAAATGCGTGGACAGAATGACGTTGTCACGGACTGTACCAGCGGCACATTCGATGGATTGATGGCAGTGTTCCACCCGACAAAAAGCTGGGTGGCCAAGTACACGCATGTCAACATGTCCAAGCCTGGCATGTATGCGGCAAGCATCACTGGGCGGATTCCTGAGGACATTGAGGACACGCTGGCGCAGAGGGGATTTACGTACCATCCGCGCGACGGAACTGCTGAGGAGTAATTAGAGGCTTTTTATTTGGCGTGCACACTGTTTTTTATATTTTGAAGTGCGCCCTAATTTAATTGAACTTGTGGCGGTTCGAACTGGTCGGTCCAGAAAAATGCAGAAAAGTTCGTTTATTATTATTATTGTTTTTGCTGCTGGCGGCGGTGTTGTTAATCTCACCCCTCTCTCCTTTCTTTTGCCGCCAGAGATGACAGTTATATTTTGGGGGTTATTTTGGATCGGCGGGTGTGCAGCGGATACAACCTTGCCAGCCCGCGCACTCCCCGCATATCTCAACAACTGCGACTGTATGCGCGCGTTTTCCGCCGTGTGGAGTTTGCATCATCGCCATATGGTCTTTACTCACACGGGGCAACGTGATTGAACTTTTAAAAGAATTGTGCACGGTTGGCACTGGTCAGAAAATTCTCCATTTTTCCATTTTTCCATTTTTCCATTTTATATATTTTCCACACTTTAGCTCATATATAATTTACTTTCTACACTTATTACTCTGAAAAATGCCTCAAGTTTTAAGCACGCTGGCCAGGTTCGACTGGCAAAGAATGGCCTCTTACACAGTCAGGAATCCCAAGCAAGCGCTTATCAATATCGCCATCGCGTACTTTGTCTTCCGACAGTCACTAAAGACAATTAAGAAAATATCAATCTACGGACTGCGCAGCGCATTCATGCTTCTATGGAAGCAGATATCCGGCGGCATCGTGCGGCATGTGCGCAGGGCGCCTGGCACCGGCATTGTCGTGCAGCGAAACATTGACAAGATTGTCAAAGAGATCGAGGACAGCATGACTGGCGACGTGCCCGGCGAGGCCAAGTACTTGGAAATCCCCAGCAGTGGAATGGGCGATGACGAGATAATGGCAGTACTGCGCCGGCGACAGAACGAGCGTGGCGTGGACTGGAGGAACGGCCGCGTGTCGGGTGCCGTCTACCATGGCGGCGAGGAGCTTACGCGGCTGACCAACGAGGCATACTCGCTGTTCAACCTAAGCAATCCGCTGCATCCAGGTGTTTTTCCCGGCCTGCGTCGCATTGAGGCTGAGGTCGTGCGCATGGTGCTGGACCTATACAATGCCACGGACGAGTGCTGCGGGACGACAACATCGGGTGGCACAGAGAGCATCATCATGGCCGTGCGCGCCCATGTTGTGTGGGGCCGCGAAGTGCGCGGCATTAACAACCCGAACATTGTTGTGCCGATTACAGCGCATGCAGCGTTCGACAAGGCTGCGGAGTACTTTGGCATTGGCATCACCCATGCGCCGGTCGATCCTGAGACGCAGAGCGTGGATTTGGTGGCGATGCGGCGGGCCATTGACTCCGACACCGTTCTGATCGTTGGCTCGTCAACCACGTTCCCCCATGGCGCTGCTGATGACTTGGCTGCATTGAGCGCCATGGCGATCAAGTACAAGGTCGGTCTGCACGTCGACAGCTGTCTGGGCAGCTTTGTCATACCTTTCCTCAAGGAGGCTGGCTTCCCCGAAGTCATTTGCGACTTCCGTCTGCCGGGCGTCACATCCATTTCGTGCGACACGCACAAGTACGGGTTTGCGCCCAAGGGCACATCGGTGGTCATGTACAACAGAAAGCAGATGCGCCGCTACCAGTACTTCACTATATCGACCTGGCCTGGCGGCATCTACGCCTCGCCGACCATCGCTGGCTCTCGCAGTGGCGCGGTCATTGCTGGCTGCTGGGCAGCGATGACAAAGATGGGCCGCGACGGGTACTTGCAGCAGTGCAAGGATATCGTCGAATGTCGGATTGCGATACAGCGCGGCATCGAGCAGATTCCCGAGCTTTTTGTTGTCGGCAAACCAGTGTCTACGGTGGTGGCATTTGGCTCAGTCGAGCCCGTGGGCATTTACGGGGTTATGGATGAGATGAAGGCGCGCGGGTGGGACCTGAGCCCGCTGCAGTACCCCGCGGCGCTGCATATTGCGTGCACGCGGCTGACGGTGCCGGTTGTGGAAGAATTTTTGCGCGATCTGCGCGACTCGGTCGGCAAGGTCAAGGCCAACCCGAATAACTACAGCAAGGGGTCGAAGGCCGTCTATGGCTTTGCTTCAACCGTCCCTGACACGACCATCGTCGACGAAGTGGCCGCCGGGTTTATCGACGCGCTGTATGCCGTGTAGCGCGGCAAATGATAAAATGAATATTTAATCTTGCTACGAAAGCTGCACTTGCAAGGTTGAGAATAAAGAAAATGTAATAAAGCATTGGTAAAATACAAAGTCCTCTTGTGGTGTATTTAATATCCGGAAAAGCCCTCATCGTCCTCGTCCTCGTCCTCGTCCTCGTCGTCGGACTCGAGTAGCTCATCGATCTCGCGCGTCAGCTCCTCGAGTCTCACCTCTTTGGCCCGCTTCATCGGGCTCTGTATCACAAAATTGGCAGGGATAGGTATCGACGACAATCCCAATCTCAAGCCAGGCAGGCTCTGTTCTTCACTGACATGGCGCTCGGACGCCTCAGATTCTGAACCAGGTGTCACACCGCGCTCGTCCTCATCCCTACCATCCTCTTCCTCTTCTTCACCCTCTTCATCATCGTCGGAAAAATCGTTGTCGTTTTCACCCAGCGACGACACAAACTCAAACACCGATGCCATTTCGGGCTCCTCCAGCCACAAATCCAGCTTGATCTCATCCGCGTTCTCGACCTCCAAAAGCCTCAGCAGCGAGGCTTCGAACCGAGTCAGGGCATTACGCGTAATCATATCGGTGACAAGCTCGTGCTGCGCCAGTGTGCGCACAAGCACAAACATCTGCTGCAGCTGGGTGTGCGGCGTTGTGTCATCGAGGCCCAGCTTGTTGAGCGCCTGTACGAGCACCTTGCGGGTAGCTGGGGCCTCGACAAATGTTTTTTTGAGCGCGTCCACGGCTAGGTTCGCGTAGGTGCCTAGGCGGGTGGTTGTCCGCATGCTGCTGCTGCTGCCGTTCATCGCGCTGATGGCGTCGAGGATGCGCGGGTCGCACCAGGAGATAATCTGCTGAACCATCTGACCTTGCGTGGTGGCCCCAGCCTGTGCGTCGCCACTGCCGCCGTGCTGCTTGAGCATGTTGTCCAGGCGGCAGATCGTACTAATGGCGACCTGCTGAAGTAACGCTTGGTTCTCGTGCGACATGTAGCTGAATGCCGGGAAAAAGTACGTCAGACACTGGCGCAGCGCGTCGTTCCCACTGGTCGACGGATCGTAGTACAACACCAGGAGCTCCTCCAGCACACTGGCCGGCTCTGGGATGCGGTGCGCATACAGAAGGCGCGCTATTCCCTCACCGGCTGTCGCCTGCGTCTTCTCATCGTCACTCTCAAGCTCAGCGTACAAGAGATCGACAAAGTCCTTTGGCGAGCCCAGCGTGACCGACAAGTCGCTGATACCGTACATAAAGGCCAGATCAAGCAGCGCCGACAGGCCCTTTGTGTGCAGGTCGCCCTTTGTGTACTTGACAGCCTGCACAAACAGCATAACGTTGCCGACAGCCAGGTTTTTGTCCAGCAGACAGCAAAGCGCCAGACACTCGATGCCGTACTCTTGCAATACCGTATCCGTGCTTTGCACGGCGGGCACCACGCACTCAGTGAGGAGTCCATACATGGACGATCCCTCACTGAGCGCGTCAAAGCAGCGCTGCAGGATGTACTTGATGATGATCAGGCTCTTGATGTTAACCAGAAGGGCCTCCATCTGTTCCCTCTCGGCGCTGCTACTGCAAATAACCGGCGCGAGCTCGCGGACGTCCGACACGACTTCAACCATGATCCGGATAAAGTCTTGCTCGTTGATGGATAGCTTGCGGATAATGTCAGCGATAGCCTCGATGTTGTTCTCGGGGATCTCCGGCACCATGATCATCTTGCGCATCAGCGTCAGCATCTCGCGGCGGCCGAGTTCGTCCGGGAAGTCAGACATCTTGGCGACAAGAAGTAGCTGATGGATGACAAACTCATAGTCCGGCCGCATCTCCTCATCGTCCTCAGACTCAAGTTTGGCGCTGAAGCTCTCGAGCAGCTGGGCCAACTTCATGACCTCGGGCAGGTGCTTGTCAATCTGGTCAACGTCCTTGCGCTCAAAGAAGAACTCGAGCGTCGAGCGGATAACGAATGCAACCTCGGGTGTCAGGTTTCCCCACAGCTCATCGTCGAATGCCAGGTTCTCAGGAATCTCAGTGTATGCCGAAAACATGGCCTGCATGACCTTGTTGGCCGCCGGGCTGTCGACCACGTCGAGCGCCGAGGTGAGTTCCAGCAGGTTCTGCCCGGAAAATGTTAGCCAGCTCTCGCCAATCATCCGCACGCACGCACGCTTGACGCCCTGATCGCGGTCATTAATACCGGCCACCAGCAGCCGCTCCCGGTCTTCAATGCTCAAAAGATGGTATCGATCGGCGGCATCACCTTGAGAAACAGACACTTGCGGTTTGTCGGGTCCACATCGCGCGCGCGCTCGAGCACAAACGGCAGCGTGGCCGGGTTCTTTTCGATGTTTAGCAAGACCGCGCGGCGCACCTCTGCGCTCGGATCGCTGTGCATCAGGGTGATTAGCGTATCCGTCACACTGTCCGATCCATCCTCGTTGTCGGCTTCGCCGCTGTCCGTAGACTGCAGCTTGGTCAGTGCAATGGCCGCGTTCACTCTGATTGGTGCCTCCTTGTCGCGAATCCGCTCCGTCAGCTGCTTGATAAGATCAAAGTACAGAACCTCATCGATCGCGCCCAGGTTTGTCACCGACATGGCGACTATCTGGCAGCAGCGCATGCGTGTCATCTTCTCTTTGGCCTGGAACCCCTGCAGCAGATACTTGATCAGGAACTCGACGAATCGCGATGACACGGTGTCAGCCTCCTCCTCCTCCTCCCCAGTGTCTGCCGTAAACACATCGTCTGCGTCTGCTGAGTTTGCCTTTGCTTTGGCTAGCGCTTGCGTGTCCATCTCCTGGCTCACCTGAACAAATATGGCTACCAGTTTGACCACTTTGTCGGTGCTGGGCTCGCGCTTCTTTATGATCAGTATCTTGTTTAGGTTGCGGATAAACTCGTTGTTAAATGCAGCCTCGCCTGTCATATTCTCGGTGTCCACGTCGTGACACTGTGTCTGCAGCTTGTGCAGAGCTACTGCGTGCTTGCGGTGCCCTGTGGCGCTGCGCTGCGCCGCGTCAAAAATGCTTGGGATCGCCGAGCGCAGCGAAGATATTGTGTCTGGCCCGCCCTTGCTTTTGGAAGGCATTCTAGAGTGTGATGCTTTTTAATTTGGTGGCCGAAAATGCGGGGGAGATAAAAAATAAAATAAAAATAAAAATTAGAAATGAAAGAAACAGTGAACATTAAAGTAAACAACAGCATTACGGCCAAATTTCGAAATAAAAAAGTGATTTCTTTTTGAATACTCATACAGCCTTGACTGGCTCGCTGATTGTGCGGTTCGCCGGTTCGAGTTGCACATGGCGGTTGTTCCTTTTTTGGGCGAAGAGGGATCCGCGAGCTAATTTATTTGGAACCTCATGCTTCAACGTAAACATGCATGTTTTGTATGCATGCGTGCGTGGAAAAATGAAAATCGATTGATGGCAAGGTTGCAGCCTTCTTGCTATTTGGAGTCTAGGGCTTTCTGGGAGGCATGTGTTTATTTCATCGCCTTTTACTCTTTTTATTTCTCTTTGCACTTGTTTGTCTATTATTCGATTATTTTTCTACTTTTCCTTGTGTGCACAGCTCTTTTTTTCTACCCTTCACTCGCATTCACCCTTCCCTTCCTTTCCTTAACACAATTTCCCTTTTATTGTTTATCCCACCTTTTACACCGTTTAACGAAATAGTTTTTCTTTTGTACAGAATAAAAATGGGGTTTTTCCGGAGAACTACATCAAAGTCGAAGGACGGCAGTCAGGGCGCACCGACAACGCAACGCTACCTTGATGCTGGACTCCAAGTGGCAGCAGCAGCAACAACCGCGCCTAATTCCAACAAGCAGCAGAGCCACGGTTCGACATGTACGATCGGGATGATGCCAGAAGCTACGTTAATGTCGATGGCGATGGTGCCACCTACGAGCAGGGCCGTCCATACCAGAAGCATGAGCACTATTATCAAGAGCCACACAGCGTTGGCATATCCGCAATGCGTACAAAAGATTCATTCAATCGCGACGAGGAGGGCGATTTCGACGATGCCGCTAGCTACCACTCTACGTCGTCCAATCCCGGAATGGCGCGGCCGACGACAGCCGGGGCATCGGCATCAGCGCCCACAACCGCGTATTCAGGGGACACGGGCTATACTCAGACATTACCCTCGCGGTATCTACAGATGGCTACGCAGGGCCGCGGGGGCGCCAGGGGCAACAATCCAATTATTGACAGTTACTACAGCACGTTTGGCGACGACGACAACGTGGCACGGACCATGGGTCAAATGTCACTTTCTGCGAATGCCCGTCAGATGCAGCAGCAACAACAGCAGCCACAGCAGCAGCATCAACCTGCATCCCACATACAGCCTTCTCTTCCCAGCGGCGGCATGGTATCCTCGGCTACTGCCAATGGAGGTGCCATTCGCTTGCCAGTCATGCAGACAGAGCCAAGACAAAAGTCAGAGCAGGAGCTGGGCGAAGATTACTTTCAAAAGGCCGTCAACTTCCACGAGCTAGGTGATCTAGTAAGTGCCACGGCATACTTTAAGCGGGCAGCCGACAAACACAGTCCGCTGGGCATGCTGTTCTACGGCCTGTCGCTCCGCCACGGCTGGGGCTGCCAGCCGAACGAAAACCTGGCATTTGTGTTTTTGCAAAAGGCCGGCGAGCAGGTGGTACCGCACGTCAAGGACATGGATCCGGCAGTTGCGGGGATGGCCAAAGATGAGTTGGCTATGGCTATATACGAGCTGGGTCAGAGCTATCGCCATGGATGGGGTGTCTCGCAGAACAAAAAGACAGCCGCGTATTACTTTGAAGTTGCTGCGGAGCTGGGCGATGCAGACGCACAGGGCGACCTGGCTGCCTGCTATGAGAAGGGCGATGGCGTGAAACGGGATATGAAAAGAGCCGCTCATTATTACCGCTTGGCCAATAAGCAGGGTATGGAGTTGTTTGGCACGTCGTGGATTTACAAGAAAAAATACGATTCGGACTAGTTATTTCTATGTATAGTTGTAGAATAAATGCTGTGAATATTTTTAATGTTCAATTTCAACCCGTTTTCCAGCAAAATGGTTTAGTATCTTGTTGGCACTCAATGGTCAAATCAAAGGTTGTCGGGTGAATATTTTAAATTGATTGTCATTTTTTACACGTCAAAGTCTGGCCAAAACAACACAAAGTGAAAATTGCAAGCAAGTTTAGTTGATACTTTATCTAAGAATATTTACGTGGGTAATGAAGTGTATTTGGATAATTTTTTAAAGAAAATAATAAAAAGGAATTGATTATGAGGGGGAAAGGGGGAGGGGCAAAAAATTAAAGCTATTTTTTTTAAAAAAAATGAGAATAAATGAATGGAGGGGGGAAGTAAACAGGTGGGTGGTCAACCAAAGTTTTGAAGACTTTGCTCGCACCCGTTCGTTTCAACTTTCCATTCGCATTTTTAAAAATTTTAAACATGTCTTTTAAGCGTTCACAAATTAGAATAGAAAACAAATTAGAATAAAATAAGCGAATAAACAATGAAACGTGGGCATATTTAATTAAATTCGCAAACACCCAATATTTTTCAAATTTACAATTGTCGAAGCGCAATTCATTCCATAGAACAACCAGCGTGTAAAATCTTGGCTAGACATGTTTGCAGATTTTCTTTGCCCTTATAAGTATAGCTTATTGAGCAAAGACAAAAAGTAGAGACAAAGCGGCAGAGTGTACCAAGTCTTATCTTTGTCCTATAAAGTATTACAGCAACATTTAAAAGCGCTATCAGCATAAAGGCCAATGGGCATGGCTTCATGCTTATTAAATTATTATTTTCCAACATGACTTATAGTGCATATTATAATAAAAGCGGGTAAAGAAAAAAGTGTAGTGAAATAAACAAGTAGGCAACTTTCCATGATTTACAATTAAATATTGTACTCTTTGCTTTTCATTTCACCTTGTATTTTTCTTGTTTGGAATTGGTATAAGTATAGCTGCTCGCACATTCTCTACATAATATCTATTTACAATTATATTTTATATACACACTTCACACGCACACTCGCACACTTTCTCGTTTCAAATAAGGTACTGGCTACAACGCTGCTCATAAAACAATATGGTGGGGATAAATCCAAACAGTAGTGAAGAACAGAACAAAGTATTCAAAAGTATAATTATTTTCCTATTGTTGCACAGACTGAAGATATGGAAGTGGATGTTGAGGTGAATTGCAAAACAGGTTTCCACCTGCGTGCCGATTGATAGGGCACTAATTGGATTATGCAGGCGTAAATTAGGGAGGCATTACATTGATGCCCAACATGCTCCCCATTCTGCAATGCACACGCATGAGCGTACACGCACAAAACCACAACATTGACTTGCCAAGATACCGGTCTGCTCGCAGAAGATCCAGTTCTCACCAACAGAGCGCACAATTGACAATGTGCACAACAAAGGCGACAAGGCATATATATAAGACGAGGCCGGCCCTAGTAGCATTTTAGAAACATCAGTAATAAAACCTTTTATAAAATCACACCTACATTTCTAACACTAGATAACTAGTGCTCCTCACACACCCCTCTTATATAACATATAAAAAATAAAAACTATGGATGATAATAAAAAAAAAAAAAAATCCAGTAAATATGAGCACGATGTCATGCAGGAATATGAATTATGCTAAATATGATAACTTAATGAAATAAAATCATTCGTTATTATATCGCACATGACTGCGATGTAATTAAAAGTCAAAATTGTAATCAAATATACTGTGACAAGTCGACTTCTAACTATTGTACATATGTAAAGTTAAGCTTTATAAATAAAGATAAACATTAAATCCAGTCATATCCAAGAAATAATTTATCTAATAAACAAGAGAGAATTAGATTAGTCAAATTATATGATCCTATGGTGTAGATAAAAAAATTCAGAGAAAAAATAATGAGAAAATGTGATCCACGAAATTACAATATAAGATTTTCTAAAAAAATATTAGATGATAGACATATTCTTTGAACATTTACGAGGAACACAATCATTAATATTTACTACAAATGATGAACAATTTGCAGTCAAATTTTAACAGTAATCGCTTCTATTTTTGTTATAAATAAATACTCAATCCGCCGGATTGCTGCTGCCCATTCCCCATACTCTGCTGCCATCATATAAAGTGATTGTCGCAAGATGCAAGTAGGCACATTTTTTGAAGCCTAAAACACAAACTGTTTTACGTTTTTTGTTTTATTTCAAGTCGCATCCACCCCCTTCATCTTCTGCAACAATCCAAAAGCTCTTTGAAAGAAAATGGTCAGCATCGAATCAACAGCCACCCCGGGCACATCGAGTCTGCCAGCCGCGCGCGTCAGGCGGATCATCAAAGAGGACAAGGATATTTTTGCCTGCGGATCAGACAGCCTGTTCCTCATATCGCGTGCCACTGAGTATTTCATCGATAGTTTGGTACGCGAAAGCTACGAGTTCTCCCGCCTCGACAAGCGCAAGACTGTGCAATACAAGGACATGGCCAAGGCCGTCCAGAGCATTGAGCAATATGATTTTCTGACGGATATAATCCCGCCAACAGTCAGCTTAAGAAAAACACAAACTGAACTAGCCTATTCGCTTTTAGTGGACATACATTTAAATAAAATAATACGCACATATCTCACAGGCAATAATAAATTCAAATTTTATATTATTTACAGAAATAAAAGATATATACAATGCAAGCCAAAGCCAGAGTGGCATCTTGCGCACAATAATGCTCGTACTAGTTTCATGTCCTACCTAATTTTTCAAAAGCGTCAAAGAAAAAATCTCAATGGATTAGTAAAAAATGATTTTCATGACAAGTAAAAAGCAGCGCGCACAAGCAATGGCAAATTCTAGGTGGTAGCTTTTTGGGTCAGCGGGGTTGCCCAATTCAGGCGGTTTCATCAATACGCGTTCTTCCTATCAAACACGCTAAGTCGACCGTCGTGATTGTGTCATCATTTCAAAAAGCTAGTCACCGAAAATAAGCCAGGAAACCAAGGTTCAAACAAAATAAATACAAAATACTTGCCTTTATTCAGTTTCCCACTGCAAGCGGCACAAGGGCCAAAGAAGCCGCAAATCAACATTGAAATCCTAAATTTAACAAAATTAGCAAGCAAAATATAATATAATTAGCAAGCTGAATCGTCAAAACGCCAAATAATAAAGTACAAGGTTGGGAAGATCAGTCGCAAAGATGCTGTCCACATACGGGTTTCGGACATATGCTTGTGTTTTGAATTTAAATCATCATATCTACACTAAATGAAAAGCACAAAAAGCTTTGCAAATAGACAAGTAAAAAAGCAACATACCTCTTCAGAGTGCAGAGATCCGCCAGGTGTTAATGCGCGCAAAGTGCAGCCAAACACACTATAATACAAAAAATGCAGCGGCAAACACTGGTGATTGTTAGCACAACTTGCTCAAGGTACGCGCACAATGAAATTCAAAAATAAAGGCGGTTTGGTTTGGTTCAGGTATTGCATGAATGGTATATATAAAAGGTTGTCTACATTGAATAACTCTTCGGACTCGTCATCTAAGTAAATCATCACTACCAAAACCAGCGTGGAAAAGAAGGCCAATACAGAAAAAAGGATAAACGCAAAACAGAAAACATACCTTGCGCTAGAGTAACAAACGCGTCAGACAGCAGCTGAATGGCACATACTAAAAACTATAGACAAAAGACGCAGTACGGATGCTGGTGTTTAGTGTCAAAGTACAATCCTAATAGAAAAATGCTGTGGCACTATCCAGTCATGCGATAAAGCTCAATCAATATAATCAGTCGTCGGTTTTCTAGGCCGAACAGAGTGCGTATCAACAAATGCGTACATCTTTGTGTACCCATTCAGTGCCCAGTGCGTGTCATCCTTTTAATCTGAGAGCAGCATAATCAAAACAATAAAAATAGCGTATGCTTACCATTTATCATGCAGAGCATCCTGTCTTTAGGATAATAAAGACCGAATCCTGTCAGTAGAGCCTCCATATCAAAAGCATCTATCAAATCAACAAAAAATAAAAATGGTGCAAATTAGCAAAAACTTCGTTTAAACAAGTGTCACCAGTTGGCATTGCAAGCAATAGCGCGGGGAAAATAGTGGTGTCAGTTTATTAGCGAGAATTGTCCTCATGTATTATCGGACGGTAATTCCAGCTTTGTTCTTCTTTTGTATCATCATTCGGAAACATATTTTACCCGCTCAACAAAAAGTCAAACATGATTGCGTACCTTTGTAGATGAATAGAATAGAATAACACGTCAAAGTGAATGCGGAGGCACTAATCAAAGTGTCATCACGCAAGCACAATCCCACGCTCGTGCAACCAACGCTTTCAAAAGATCTAGTCAAAACAAATAAACAAATAAATAAATTAGTTGCTAGTGTTCAAAACGATCAAGACTAGGCTCTTAAAGACATCTTTATTGCAGCAGTGTAAGAATCAGCCAAAGGTATGTTATAACCATAAAGTTTTTAAGCTTTCAGATACTCTAGTTAGTTATTGGAAAACATCACTTCCACACTGCCGACTAGCACACCGAAAAAAGCAAGGCATTTACAAAAGCAAAATTATAAATTAGAGCTGTACCTTTAAAATAATAAAGAAATTAATGATCCAGTGTTGGAGAGAGGAGATGAACAGAGCAGGTCCAGGTTGCTGCACCGAATGACTCTTTTATATCCCACCGGAGCAAACTATTTTCTCTTTTGTTTTCCATCCATCAATTGATGACAAAAAATTTTCACTGCAGCATTTTTCTTTGTATCCCTGCCAAAGTTGCACACACCCCTATCCCCAAACAATGAGCGGTGTTATCAAGTGAAAAATTTTCATTATCTAGCATTGCCAAATCGAGCAAATGAGTCACGGCTCGCTGATTTAAAAACACTATTGAATCACCGAATCACTGGATCTTGGATTGGCTAGCCGAGTCATAGCCAAAACCAAGATCAGCTGATGTGGACACCAGTGACAACAAACAAACATCAATTGGTTTTTTGTTTTGTTTTTCCGAATTTTGCATAGCTGACTTTGGCATTTTTATTTTTCTTTACATTTGCTCTCTGTAATTGCAAACTCAAACGACTTTTTCTTTTTAACATTTACTACAGACATCTGAAATGACCACCATCCCCGCCGACCGCATTTACTCTCTCGAGGGAAAGGGTCTCAAGCTCACAACCGCCGAGGAATTTGAGCCGTATCTCGAGGAACTCCGCAGCTTTGAGAACCTTGAGGAGCTCAGACTCAACGGAAACACTATTGGCGCCGAGGCCGCCAAGGCACTGGCCGAGGTTCTGCGCACCAAGCCAACTCTCAAGGTATACCAACATGAACATTCCTCGAGCCTTTGGGGTTTGACGCGCTATTTGCTTGCATCTTGTCTGGCTTTTAAAAAAAACGCGCATGGAATGCATAATGCAACTCCTTGAGCTTTAAGACAAAGTGTTCCATTAATATTTTGTTTTTTTTTTTACAATAGGTTGCCACGTTCCATGATATTTTCACTTCGCGTCTGAAGGACGAGGTCAAGGAGAGCGTCATTGCCATTTGCGGCGCGCTTTCCCACCTGCCCAGCCTGATCGAGCTTAACCTTTCCGACAACGCCTTTGGACCTTGGGAGCGTCTGCCATGTCAGACTTTTTGAAGAAGCACACGATTCTGGAGGTTCTCAAGCTGAACAACAACGGGCTCGGCATTCAGGGTGGAACCACTATTGCAAGGCGCTGATCGAGTGCCAGGCAGAGTGCGAGAGTCAGGGAAAGGCACCTGCCCTGCACACGATTGTATGTGGGCGTAACAGATTGGAGAACGGGTCTGCGCCTATCTTTGCCAAGGCTTATGCTGCACTCAAGTCGCTGCGGGAGGTGCGGATGCCCCAGAACGGTATTCGCCCTGAGGGCATCACTGAGCTGGTAACTGGCCTTGCCAGCAACCCTAATTTGACTGTTCTGGATCTCCAGGATAACACCTTCACGGAGTCTGGCTCGGCCGCTCTAGCCAATGCTCTGCCTGGCTGGTCCACCTTGGAGACACTCAACATCGGCGACTGCCTGCTTGGAGCTGCCGGCGGCCGTCTGGTCATTGAGGCCCTCAAGATTTGCACGACCTTGAAGACTCTTAATTTGCAGTACAACGAGATCGAGATGGATGGCGCTATTGCACTGGCTGAGTCCCTGCGCGATCTGAAGAATCTTGAGAGCATCGAGATTAATGGAAACCGCTTTGACGCCGAGAGCAATGCTGTCGAACTCATCAAGGCCGCGCTGTCTGAGAACGATCTTGACGACGATATCCTCGGGTCACTTTCTGATATGGAAGAGATCACGGATGACGAGGACGAGGACGAGGAGAGGACGAAGAGGATGAGGATGAGGATGAGGAGGACAACGACAAGGAGGAGGAGGAGGAGGTCAAGTTCAAGGTGGATGCCACCAGACCAAAGACAGCCTCCGATGTTCTGGGCGACGATCTGGCTGATCTGGTTTCCCAGATGAAGAAGGATCTTGCCATTTAATTGCAAGATTAAAACAAAATACACACACAAACCAAACTCACCACATGTTTTCTTTCCACACTATTCTTAATACCAATTGTTTTTTTTGCGCACACACACCATGTCGGATTTTATAATAGAGCCAGATAAAGATAACATGAAATGTTTTTAATCATTTGTGAGAAAGAAAATGAATTGGATTGAAAGCAAAAAAAACCCAGATAAAAATTGTCTTGCAAAAGTTTTCTACATTGATTCGTTGATAATAGCAAATGCCTTTTTGTACACGCCCAGCATAGCAGCGCACTGGTCCCGCTCCGCGACCAAAGCTGGATCCTCCTGCAAAAGCTCAGTAGTCAGTGGCTCCATATACAGCTCCTCAACCAACCTATTCTGCATATTCTGACACACCTCATTGACCAGTAAATGCATAATCGCCTTGGGCACCAAGTCCTGAATAGACTTGCGCACAATGCTAAAGTATGAGGCAATCAAGGAGCGAATAAGCGTCGTCTCCATCTCGTCGCGCTGATCGGCGGTATTCAGATCCGTGGACATCTGGGCAGACAGCGCAGCGACCTCGTCATCGAAGGACGTGCCTTCGCCAGCCAGGTTGCTCAGGCGGTTGGGCACGGGATCACAGATGCGTGTCCGGCGCGAGGCTCGTCGGCCGACACATGCAGCCCGTCGCGCCGGCCGCCAGCACCAAAGAATGAGTTGAAAAATTTCCCGTTGGTCGGTCCTCCTGCGGACGCCACAGACCCAATGGGGGACCCGGATCCGGGCCCGCGGAGCGCATGGATATTCGCAGAGATCGAGCTCTTGCGCCGATGGCTGTCGACGCGGTCATCGATTTCGGCGGTGTCAACGATGGTCGAGTCGACATACTCGTCGGTCGCTCCATTCGAGCTAACAATAACAGTGTCAACGTCAATCGAGCGCTGGTGCGCCGACTTTGCGTTCTTGCCGACGTCACGGACGCGTGCGCGCGCGTTATCCTTGCGCTTGCGTTCCAGCTTACGCTGCAGATCGTCGATGGCGCCAGGGCCGCCAATAAAATCCGGGTGGTTGGTGTTGATGTATGCGCGCTCAATGGCAATCAGGCTCTCGATGTAGTCGGCAGTCGGGCCAACGCGCTCGCGCAGCAGGTCGCTGACAACCTCCATGACCTTGGCATGCAGGCGCGGGTAGCGGCGCATCTCGTTGTTACCGCAGGACAGGCCAATCTTCATGAGCTCCTCGTAGGCCAGCTGCACGCAGCGCTGCGCCGGCGGCTCAAGGCTCTTAATCTGGGGCTTGACGAGCAGCTGGAAGGCAATCTCGGGCACAAAGAGCGAGGCGCGCGGCCCGGTTGAGTTGCGGATGGCCGTGCGGATATCATGGTTGGTCAGGTTGTTCGCCGGGTTGACGCTGTCCAGGCCGGAGGCAAATATGTCGTTAAATATGTAATACAGTCGCGCACCGCCGCAGAGCTCGACCGTTGACATTTCGGACGCCGTCCCTCTATGGAGTTGCTGAACTCGGTGGCAAACAGCGTGATGAGCTTGAGCAGGCGGCCAGCGTTCGACACCTTGTCGTTCTCAGCGGACATGCGCCCGTACGACGACAGCTCCTGCTCGGTCTGGCTGATAAGCGCATTGATCTTTGTCTTGATGCTTGGCAGGTGATCGCGGATATGCTGCATCAGCAGTTGGTTCAGCACCTTGGCCAGGTTGGCCGTGCCGCAGTGCTGCTGGATAGTGCGGTACACCTGGTGGTCACGAAAAACTCGGATTCGAACTTGAGTGAGTCGGAAATCGGCTTGTTCGACTGGGTGTCTTCCTGGCTGCGGTTGACGACGCCGACAAAGCCCAGGCGCAGCGGGTACACGCGCCCGGTCAGGATATCCAAAGAGTTCGTGCCGCGATCCATCAGATCAATCTTGGTAATGACTCCGATTGTCCGACTGCCCTTGGGATCAACCTCGCGCGCAAACTTGAGGCTCTCCGAGTTGACAATATCGACGTTCGCCGGGCTGATAGCCACAATAATACTGTTGGGCTTGGAAATATACTCGAAAACCAAACTGCGCGTCTGCGTTTCAATGTCCGACGGTTGGTCGCCCACGGGGATCTTTGTGATTCCTGGCAAATCGACCAAAGTAAGACTCAGGACATCCGGCGATGAAATCCGAAGGTGAATCGGGGTCTTTACAATGCCCTTGTTGCTACCGGCGAGTCTCTCGGTTTCGCGCTCGATTTCGCGCCGCACCTCGTTCATGTCCGTGAACACCTTGTTCGGAAGATGCAGGAACTGTGCGCGCACCAGGTCGTTGTCCTTGGCGCTGCCGTCCTCGGCCCGGGGTACGTTCACAAGCTGCAGGACGAGGGGCCGACGCGTGACTATGCCACTACCGCGCGGAAGAAAGTCGCGACCGACCAGGTTTTCCAAAACCGACGATTTGCCACTTGACTGAGATCTATAGAAATTCAAGCGAATATTTTTTGTTGAATTAGTAACAATCACACAATAAAAAATATAGGGGTGTGCATTCCCTTATCACAAGCAACCCCCCACCCATGGCACAGCCCAGATTCAAAGTCATTCGCACACGCACACAAGCGTGGGCTCCGGGTTCTTGGGCCAGCAGTATGCCCAGAAAACAAAAGGCAGAGTGAAAAAAGGGAAGAGGACCAATTCCAAAACAAAACGGTTTCTCTTAAAGCAAACTGTACTGCTTAGCACCGACTCCCCACACCGACATACTATCAATTAAACGCCCATAGTCCTGTCCTGCCGTGTCTGCTGTATGCAAGTCCAGTAATGTTAATAAAAGTGTGTAAAGTAAATTGATACTTACCCGACTACGACAATTTGCGGCAAGTCGATTTCGTTCTGGCCAACAGTGTTGAAAACATCTTGCAGCTTGTTGACGGTCGGAATAAGCTTGTCCATGACTGCGTTTCGGTGGTAGTATCTATGCTATTAGCTTCAGCTGAGAACAAAACAAAACAAACCAGTAAATAAATTGACAGAAAGAAGGATAAAATAAATAGAGAAAAATAGAATAATAGAATGCGCGTCAAAAAAGGTTTATTTGATTTTACGTGGGTATAAGCTAAATGAAGAGGCGAAATATCATAATCAAAACGCAGGGCGTAATCTTCAAAAGTCGAGGGAATCGCAATGATTGTGCTTTGTGCACAGCTTTATTTTTTCTTCTATTGTTTGTTTGTTTGTTTGCTTATGCTGCCGCCACTCTTTATGTGATCTTTTGATTACGATTCAGCTTGGCTTGGCTTGGCTTGGCTTGGCTTGGCTTGGCTTGGCTGCAAAAAAGTTTGCAAAATTTACAAATTAATGACGATGACGCTTTTTAATATTCATACACTAAAGGGGATGGAAAAGATTACGGTAAAAAGTGGCAAGCAAGCAAGGATACCATTTTCCCTTCACTGCTGCTGCTATTCCTTTTGCGATGGCAGATTCCAAGTTGCCACAACCTTTTGCGCATACCCGAGGCACAGCAAAAATTGCTCAATGTCAATATTTGTGTCGCGAATCAGCATGGCCGGGCCTTTCTCGATATCGAAATGCCACTTGTGTCCATCCGCGTCCTTATAGAAAATGTGTGCATCTCTGTACAAGAATAGCTTTGAATGATTGCGCATATTAAACTGCAGAACGTTCCCGGTCAGCATAAACACCATGCCAATATTCGTCGACACAGCCTGAAGCAAGCAATTGATGTTCCTTGACGGCGCCGTATGCGGGCAAATGTCTCGGTCGACACGTGCTGAAAAGCTCTTGGTGATCTTTTGCGCAAATGAACCAAGCAGCCGCCGCTTCTTGTCTAGTTGCATTGGGAAATTATCATTCGAATAGTAGCCAATGCTCGACCGGTTCTCGAACGGCCGCACGTACACATAGCTGTTGGATGCGCAGTCATTAAGCAGAGACGTGTTGTCATTGAACAGCGTGCCCATGGACTTGTCGCTCAGCCGGAATCCCAGCCCGTACCTGGCCATCACCATCCAGTTGACCACGTATATGCCAACCCGCGGATACTTTTCCTTGTGCTCGGGAATACGCGACAGCTCGTACTCCAGCTTCTTTGACGGTTGCCTCAGGTACAGCTCTGTCTGTTGGCAAAACTTTTGCAGCCGGGTTTTCCACTCGAGGATCGATGGAATGTACTCCTCGGAGAGCTTCGCGACCCGCCCAAACTCGGCATTTACCTGACAGCTCAAGTTCGACGGCGTGCTGCTCGGCGCATGCAACTGGAAGCGCACATGCGATCTGTTAGCAAGTGGTGAAGGCACGTAATCTCTGGCCGGTAGCCTAGCTGCACTGCCGCTGCTGACGCCGCTGCCAGTGCTGTCCGTCTGCCATTGCGTGCACGCAGCGAGTACCCATGCGATGTCTGCGCCTCGGCAAGATACCTTGTGTCCAGCCGCACTCTATTGAACGGGCTCCCCACGTTCTGGTTCTCTTTATTTCCCACTGAAGAAACAGCCGGCTGGTGTCGAAGCACACGCGCCCCCGCCCCAGCCGCCGACGCAGCGCCTTTGTAAACTCGGGACCCACCAGTAGATATCGCTGATGGCAACGCCGGTTGTCATTCTCAGGTATCGACTCCAACGGCTGCCGGCGCATGGGCCGCTTATCGCTAGCAAATATCTTTTCGGAGGCACCTGCCAGAGCGCGCGCACTAGCAGACACGTTCTCAACAGTCTGGGTGCCAGCCCTCAGGTCTGCAAACACCATTGCATTGTACTCGTCCATATTATTGATGGGCCGGTGGAATATGGCATGCGGCATGTATCCGGGAGTCTGCTCATTCGTCTGCATGGAATACCAGGCATCCAAGGGAATATCCCTTGCGCTGATCCGCCGCTCCTCGTCTTTGCAGCACAGTTTGTTGATTAGATTGCACACCAAGTCTGATGTCTGGGGATCCGGCGGGAAAACAATACCATCGCTGACGATTTTCCTATAGAGCGCCTTTATGTCGTTGGTCGGAACATTAGTGCGCGGGGCGTTGAACGGCGCCCGCCCGTACAGCATTACATACAGCATGATGCCGGCCGCCCACACATCGACCCCAAAGCTGTGCCCTCTCCCTTCTCGAGTGACCATTCAGGCGCAAGAAAGTTGGGTGTACCCAGAAACGACGTCTTGCGGTCGGACTTTGCGTCTATAATCACTGACATGCCAAAGTCACAGATCTTGATGCGGTTCATGCTGTCCAGCAGCAGGTTGCTGTGCTTGATGTCCCGGTGGATAATATTGGCATCGTGCAACACCGCCATCCCGCAGCTCAACTGGTACATGAAGTACCGCGCCTCAAACTCCGTCAGCCGCTTGCGCTGCTGTAACAGGTCGTGCAGCGTTAGACTCGTGCACATCTCCATCAAAAAGCACAGTCGTTCGGGGTCCTCAAACACATCATATAATGCAACAACGTTTTCGTGCATCGGCAGTTTGCGCATAACCCGCATCTCCGATTTGACGCGGTCGACCACCTTGGGAGCGGTAAACGTGATTTTGTCCAATGTTTTGCACGCCCGGTTCCGCATGCCCGGCTCCCTCAGGTTCTTCACCTCGAAACAGCGGCCGAATGCGCCCTACTTGTGCATCCAACAAAAACAGACGGACAAAACGAACAAGAATGCCCAGTGCGACAGTATTAGCTAAAAAAACATATGACCCAGCCCAAATTAGCAAGCAATGTATATATGCGCGTGTACAATGATTGACTGCGCAGTGCGTGTGTGATACTCACTTTTCCTAGCCACGAAACTATCTGGTACTCGCGCTCCTCCTTATTCCTATTCTTGTACTTGAAAACTGATGGCACTGGAATTCCGTCCGGGCAGATAAACAGATCGCTGCTAGTCGGCCACGGCTCTTGCAAGGGTGGTGCGGTCATGGCCATTGGCATGCTATTTTTGTATGGTTTGGCTGGCAATGCAAATGAATGAGTGTAAATGTTTTAGGTGCGCCTTCACGTGTAGAAACAGTCGCCCTGTGAGATTTTTTTGGTGTGTTTTATTGGCCAGACAAAAGTGCCTGTTGTGAGGTGAGAGTGCACAGCGTTGTAAATGGATTATGACAAGAATAGCAGTCGGTGTTGCAAAAAATAGGGGTGAATGTGAAAGATAGGAGGAAGAGGAAAAAATAGGGAGGTCGAAATTGAAAAGGAAAAAATATTTTTATTACACAAGGCGTAAATTCTGTACAGCGAAAAGGAAAGAGGAGAGGAAGGAAAGGGAAAAAGTGATATTAAAACGCGACGCGAGAAAGAAACGGTGATTTTCATTGCCACACGAAAAACTTCCCAACCTGATTCCTGCGATGCCCAACGTTTGGGCGAATAAAAAGCCGCACATCTCTCCATTCCTCTTTTTCTCACTGCTAATCTGTGGTCCCAGTCCAACAAAATAAAATAAACAAAGGCGCATTAATTTCAGATCACACGCAGTTTGTTCTTTTGTTTACTTTTTACTGTGTCAATGACCATCTACAAATCGCACAATCTTAATTACATTCCCCAAAAAAATATCTAGTAATAGTTGCGATTATCCCTGCCATTGTTACCGCCCCGGTCGTTGTTTCTCGAACCCTGATGCTGCCCACTGCCGCCTCTGTAAGGGGGCCGGTTGTCACTCCGCGAATACGGCGCATGGCGGCTTGAATGCCCGCCCCCACGCGAGTAGCTCTTGGAGGAGGACGATTCGCCGCTGCGGTAGCTATCACCATCATCTCTGCTTGCATATCCCCGGCTCCTACTGCGTGCCGCGTACGAATTACCAGATGCCCGCTCATTCCTGTTGTATGAGCTGCCGCTGTACGACGAGTGCTGGCGGTGCGGCGGCTGCTGCTTCTGGTAAGGGTTCATCTGCTTGAGCCACGGCATGAAGGCCAGCGGCCTATATACAGAGTGCATGCGAGGAGCCAAGTTCGTGTTCTTCATGACTGAGTACATCAGCGCCTCGATATTGAGCGGATGGGTGTCGAACGAGTCTGTGTCGATTGCTGCTACGCAGCCCGCCACGTAGTTGAGCACATCGCCCTGCTCAAGCAGGTGTGTGTAGGACTTTTGGCCAGGCTTGGCGTACGCTGCCTGGGCATCAGATCGCGCAGAGACTGCCGATGTCGGCGTCGCGACGTACGGCTGCGCCTCGGAGGCAACATACGGCTCGATGACCGGGTCATACTCCTCGAGTGCTGAAGCTATAGGTTTCACGAAGCGGCTGGAGTTCACGGCGCCAGGAGTTGGTTCTTGTTGAGGTGGCGACCGGTGACAGTGCCGACCGACACGCCCAGCTGCTCGCCGACGGACTCGCGTTCGCCAAGCTGCTTGTTGTTAGCGTTGGCACCTCCTCTGCCATAGTCGGCGCCAGATCCCATCGTCGACCCAGAATCCTCGTTTGGCGCAGCAAAGCGCCGGGCGCCAATGCTCTCGGCAGCCACGTCGCCCTGAATGTCCTTGCGGTACGGGAAGCCAAACTCGTTATCAGCCACGCTGCGGACATCCAGGTAGCTGTAGCGAGATGCCATCCTGGTCAACACGGACTCGTGCTCAAACTTGTCGATCATCCGCTTGTCGAGCTTGGCGATCGCGCCCATATCACCGTAGTTGTACTCATAGTCCGATACCATCGACCACAGGTGACCTGACTCACCAATGCTAGTACCCTGGAACCGCTCGAACAGCGCCCGCGCATTGTTGTCGTCACCCGAGTTGATTAGATAGTTCATGTACTCGATGATGTACTCGAGAGAGTCCGGATATACCTTGGAGTATACCTCGAACAGCTTGCCAGCAACGCCAGGCCGCTTGGCAACATGATACTCCATCAGCGCCGCGGCCACGTAGAGGTGGTGCGTCACATATCTCACCGGGTCCTTACGAGGGCGGCGCAGCAGCTGTCGCGCCGCATCTATGCCCTCAGATCTCTGCATGTATCGGAGGTACATGATCCAGGACAGCGTGTACAGCTCGCGCTTCTCGTCGAGCCCATTCTCCATGCGGGCCTTGATCTTGGCAATGCGCCCCTCAATCGCCTTGCGTGCCTTCTCGGTGGGTGAAAGTGCCTCGTGATCCATGGAGATTCCAAAGGACGACGAGGGACGCCCTAGATCGGGGCCCGACATCTCGCTCGCATTGTCTAAAAACTTATCGCCGCCCTCCTGTCCGTCATCATCACTGTCCGAGTCGGAGGAAATCTCGCTTATATCGTCCGAAGCCTCCACAACGCCCTGCATGGCCTCCTGATCATCTTCAGTGTCCTTGCTTGCAACCAGAAGCTGGAGCTGCTTGTCAAGCTTATTTATCTTGCGCGAGTATTTCTGGGAGATCGAGTCAATCTCCGAGCGCTTCGAACTTACGATCTGCTCGTAGACATGCTTGCAAATGGTCGGCTGTTTCTGCTTCTCAGCCATCTCTGCATATGCAAGCTGCACCGCCATGCTGGACGGGAGTACCTCGCTCGCGGCCTGCAGCTTTGCCAGGGCTTCGGTGGGTAGATCGCATGTTTGCAGGTAGTCGGCAAACTCGATCCACACCTCAGGGTAAAACCTGAGTGCCATGCACGCCTGGTTATACGCATAAGTAATTCGCCGGCGCAGCATAAGAGCACTGTCCAGCCGCAGTGGGTTGGACATCTCCCACTTGAGATATTTCTTCCAGGCCTCCAGGTAGTCGACCTCGCGGCTGCTCCATCCTGGGGGCGCCGGGAGGGCGTGCGGCGACTGGAATCGGTTGATCGCGTCCCACAGCTTGTTCATTTCGCGCAGCGCCGTGCGGGCCGTCATATAGGAGGGTGAAACCCTCGACAGCAGCTGCTTGGCAGCCGCGCGGTCAAGCTTGTTTTCGAATGCGTCGTAGCTCTTCCAGATCTCCTCGACATTCATCACAGGAGTGGCCACCGCCGACCGGTAGGCATCACGCAGCAGATCGTTTTTCTGTTGCTCCTCGTACTGTGCATAAGGCTATGAGTATTTCAAAAGTGTGCAGTTTGCGGTTTTGATATTTGTATTTCAAATGCGTATAGTTTATTTAGTCTGTATCGTGCGCCTCTGCAGGATCTTTTATATCTTTGATTACGTATAGGCAGAATGGACAGCCGTCTTTCAGGGGCCATCACAGTTGCACTTCTTACCTGCACAGAATTCAGAAAGGCAATATAATCTGTCCATATTTGCCCGGCCTCGCGATCGCATCCAATGTTTTCCATCACCAGCTTGTAGCACTCCATTACAGTCGCTCTACGCTCTGGCTGGGTCACCATCCCTTGCTCATCCACATTCGATAGCAAGACATAGTTGAGGTAGCACTTCCATAGTTCAATTGATGGCACATTAAACAGATTGCCGTTAAACACGGCCTCTGCACTCTCCTTATTTCCACGGCTGAGCTCAAACTCGGCAAAGGCTGCGAGCAGATTTCCAGAGCTCGGGTACTGTCTCAGTGCATCCTCATAAGTGTCATAGAGCAGCTCGGCATCATTTGCATATCTAGCAGCACGAATCAGGCCAAACCATGCCTCGCCATCATAGGGGGAGCGCGCCAAGTGCTGCCTGTACATGTCAACTTCAGGGTTTCCGGTGGGTTTCTTGGAGAGATAATGCGCATTTTGGCAATTCTCATTTGTATTTGGCACAGACTCTGACATGATAATAGTAATGGCTGAATGAAAAATAAACAAATATAAAGAGCCGGAAATTGTCCGGTTGAGATTTAAATGTGCGGGCTGAAGGTGTGTGCGTGTTTATCGGCTCTGTGTGTCACAAATAGAAGGCGAATAAATGGGCAAGCCAATAAATATAAGACGCGATAGACGATAGGCTTTCAAAGTGAAGGTTGTGTTTTTTCGATTTAATTTAGTGTAAAAAATTTAGGCGAGTGAAAATTAAAACAAAAATAAATAAATTTGAGTTGAAAAAGTGGAAAGAGTAAATGAGAAAATATTCTGATTTCAAAGCCACACACAGTTGTGATGAAAAACCCTTTGGGAAACCTGTGCATAAATAAACAATAGCGACAATTTCTGTTGAAAATAAAACTATTTTAATCGGCCGCCTGGAGATTAGGATCAGTGGAGATCATGAGCTTGAGCTTGAATATATAGTTTTTTAGGCTGTGACGCAGAAATAGCTGTCGCTGGGGTCTTTATGAGTTTAAGATTTTTGACTCTGCACTCATCCTTTTTTTGTTGAATAGGATTTTGGCTGTATTTGGAGAATTCTGAATGGTACTATACCACAGTGACGCCCGAGGTTTTGCCCGAAACTTCGTCCAAGCCCAAGCTTCTCTTTGCAAGAAGCAGCGCAATGCTTAATAGCTTTAACAATAGTGGGCTATTTATTATCTCTAGTTTCTAAGAACATGCCCAGGTTGCTATGCAATAAGGATGTGAAGGAAATGTTGATTTTCGGGATATTTGTAGTCTCATTTATTTCTTCAGTGTATGACACAATGATTGATGTACAGCGTGGTCAACATCTTAGACATTTGAGTGCTGTTGCTGTACTTCACAGTAAGCTTACAATCAACTTTAATAAAACATTCAATGGGACTGCGTGGGAGCCTCATTTTAAACCTTTTATTTTTGTAGTGCGGGGTGGTCGCTTTTTTTCTTTTTTATTCCTGCGACTATGAAAATGATTCTTAAATTACAAATGAACAGCACGAAACAAAAGAAGGATACATCCGGGGTAATGCAAAGGAAAATATAGTTAAAATGGTTGGGAAGGAATAAATGTTAATATTGTGAAATGAAATGTTCACACAATATATTTTAAATTTTTTTCTATAAAACGGAAAAAGTATATTTCAAAGTTACTGGAGACGAGGGGCTTGGCGAACTGTAAACTGAACATGCCAAAAAAGCCTGGTTTAGTTTGTTGTTGCATTGTCATTATTGTTATTATTATTGAATATATGGCCAAACTTTAATATCCGACTAGTTAGTTTTTAATTGTTAATTATTCTTCTATATTTTTATTTACCCACTAAAGAACATGCGGTGCACCCACATTGCGCGTCTGCTGCAGCTCGCGGGCTTGGCACTTAGTCTTTGGACAAGCAGTTGTGCTGCCGAAGACAATAATACCATTACCAACACTACTATTAGTATAAAACACAAGCCACTCGATATCAAAACATTTCACTCGCTGCGCCGCGTAAGCCCACCGACAATATCGCCAAACAAAAGGGGCGCGTTGTTCATCACATCGTACTACACCCCGGACTTAAACAAATCAGCATCCTTCCTTAGCTACCTAGATATTGGCTCGGGAAGCATCACTCAGCTGACGGATGACCGGCCGGGAACAACACTATCCAACCCAATCTGGTTGATGACGCATCCTTTGGCTTTCTCCGCCGCGGGGCACTATACAGGCAAAATCTAAGCCCAGATTCCGTCCCGATCTGCTGTACGATCCGCCAATGCCGATCACCAAAGTGGCATACTCTGCCAACGAGGGGCTCATCACGTTCGTGGCGTCCGTGTATCCAAACTCGACGCTAAAGGAGAGCGCAGCGCTTAAACGCACCGAGGACAATCGAACAGACTCAGCTATGGTATTTGACAACCTGTGGGCGAGACACTGGAATGAGTGGATGTCAGTTGAAAAGCCCAATGTGTTCTCTCTGCCGCTCAAGCATCAGTCGAGTCCGAGTGGAAGCTTGGCACCGAGATCAATTTGACGACAATGCTCCCGCATTGCCCTGATCCACTGACTAGGTGGAGCATCGATGATTACACGCTGTCGCCAACCGGAGACAATGTTGCCTTTGTCACTCGCCCACCGTTTGACAATATGACGTGGTCGACAAACGTGGACATTTACCTGGTCTCAACATCCGGCAACTCAAAGCCACGCCTGCTCACGGCCCGCATAGACGGCATGTCCAGCTCGCCCGTGTTTTCGTCCGATGGTAGGCGGTTAGCCTGGTTGCAAATGGAAACCCCAGGCTGCGAGTCCGACATTAACCGCATCTATGTGCATAACATTGCCGCACGTGAGACAATTGCGATTTCCTATGACTGGGACCTATCACCGAGCTCGCTTGTGTGGTCCAAGGATGATAAAACTATATATACGGTAACAAGCACCCAGGGGCGCAATATAATATGCTCCGTTGACGTGGAAACCGGCAAGCGCAAGGAGCTCACGCTCGTTGGTTCTGCGTGGGGGCTGCGGCCGATTGACGACCAGAACATGCTTTTTGTGCACAGCACTCAGACCAGCCCGCAGACATTCACCTGCTGGACACATACAGCCGTAGAACAAAGCAGCTGACCTGCGTCAACAAGGAGGCACTTAAGGAGCTGAACCTCTGCGTGCCCGAGGACTTTTTGTTCAACGGTGCTCGCGGCGACAAGGTTCATGGGTGGTTGCTCCGGCCATATAACTTTGATCGCACAAGAAATACCCCCTGGCACTTTTAATCCATGGCGGCCACAGCAGGCGAGCATCCAGTCGTTCAGTCACTCGCAGTGGAACCCCAACATGTACTCCAATGCCGGCTTTGTCACCGTGGTCATTAACTTCACGGGTCTCCCGGATACAGCAAGAACTTCACGGACTCGATCCGGCACAAATGGGGTGACCTCCCGTATGTCGATCTAATGCGCGGTATTGACTTTGTCACGAGCAAATACAACTTTGTCGATTCCACCCGCATGGCAGCGCTCGGCGGCTCCTACGGCGGCTACATGGTCAACTGGCTCAACGGACACACGGATAAGTTTAAGTGCATGGTCGCGCACGACGGAAAGTTCAGCACAGTGTCCGGGTATTACGGTACGGACGAGCTGTGGTTTCCCGAGTGGGACCTAGGCAAGCCCTGGGAGATCGCCGGCCGCGCGATACTCGAGGAGAACAATCCTGAGAGATTCGCGTCAAATTTTAAAACTCCGACGCTGTTTATCCAGGGAGAGAAAGATTTTAGGATACCCGTTAGCGAGTCACTGGGCGCGTGGACGATGCTCCGGCGCAGGGGTATCCCAGCGCGTTTTGTGTACTTCCCTGATGAGGACCACTGGATTAACAAGATGGGGAACTCCATGCGGTGGTACACCGAGGTGCTGGACTGGATCACTACCTGGACAAACACCACGGCGCCGTATCACATTCGCTAAATGGAAAAACAATAGTTCGTAAAAATTTTGTTTATTTTTAACTTCTCGTATTTTTCGGCATATATGTTTTTGTTCATGTTATTTATTTGTTCCTGTTTATAAATCTAAAAATAATTAATTGAAAAAAATAGAGTGATTGAGAAAAAGAATCAATTATAAAAATTTTTATTTAAAAGTTGCCGCGGTTAATCTTGTCGCGCAGCTGGTTGAGAAACTGCTGGTAGCTGGGCACGCTGGTGTCCATGTCCTCGGACAGCCACTGGGTCATCATCATGCGGAGCACCGGCTCGCCGTCCTCCTTGCACACATACGTAACAGGCTTCCACAGGTCGTGGCAGAGCTGGTTCAGGCGACGCATAATGGCGTTGACTTGGAAGTTAAGCTCGAGCCCCTTGACCGGAGCCTCTGTGCCGTTGCTGAAATCCGGGAATGTGATCACGCCGCTTGGAATCGACCTTGCGTCCTGCACGTTGAGCAAAGCCTGGCAGAGCGCCGGATTGGCGTCGCGGCCAATCCATAGGAACAAGTCAGAGCCGTTGTGCAGCAAGAAGATGCCGTAGGGCGAGAGGGCGTCAGCGGACAGGCCCAGGCGTGGCGGCAGGACGGTCAGGCCGGAGCTCTGGTCGGGGTAGCCAGCCTCAGCAGGGAGGTCATGCAGCGAGTACATACGGGCAACCGTGTATGGCTGCACACCCTGCTCTGTAGGCAGGGTCAGAATGCGGTTCATTGCGGCAATGCGCACCGGGGGCGGGATATTGTTGCCCCGCGCAGCGATGTGTGCTTCAGGCTGGCCAGTGTAAGGAACGGCAGGAGCTGCAGCGCGCGCGGGATCTGCAGCTGCGTGGTAGCGCCCGATGACGACTGCGTGCACTCGGTCTTAAAGGCGCCAATGATCTCGAGCGTCTTGTACTGCAGCGCCTCGCGGGCATCCTCGAGCTTGGCCTCTAATGCGCGGTCAACGGCCTTCTTGGACATCAACGATGCGATCGCGAGCTGGTCGGCGTGGTGGAAGACCGTGTGGATGTTCTCAGTGGTCGGCAGTGCAAGCGTCGAGACGCGGATGCGGCGCTCACCGTAGGATGTAGTGTGCAGGAGTGCTGTTTGGAAGTAGACCATAGGCCCGGTGATCGCCTCCTCAATCTCAATGTCCACCGCGTAGCTGTGGTTGGGCGTGACGTTGGGCAGCGCGAGCAGATCCATCGAACGCAGGAAGAAGTTGCCATAGTACGTCGCCATGCGCAGGCCCTTGGATGCACGAACACGGAGCACGGCCTCAAGCCCGATGCCGGCGGCCAGGTGGTTGGCGAACTCGTGCGAGAAACGCTCGACCTCAGGCTTGCGCGTGGCCATGAACGACGGGTAGTGGAACACCGAACCACCCGTGTGGTGAGCCAGACACGACACGGTCGCGACGTCCATCGGCTGCTGGCCAAAGAAAATCGTGTCGAAGGCGATCTGGACGCGCGAGCAATCGGCAGCCAGGGACTTGTACCAGTTGTTGTGCGGGCGGAGCAGCTCGGACTCGCGCGGCGTGCCGAGGTCCTTGCCTTCGGGGCGCAGCTCAACCTTGCCCTCGCCGATAGTCGGCGGGGACGCCTGCATGACAACGACCTTTCCGCCGTGCGCACCGAGCATCTTCTGCGCCGCCTGGATAGCTGGGCACAGCGCGTTGCCGACAGAGTGGTTGCTCTGGAACATACTGTCCATGCGCGAGAGCAAACACTCGATTCCCGCGCGGCACTCGGCCAGGTTGAGCAGCAGGTCGGAGGGTGTGGGCAGGAACACTTCGTCCAGGTCGCTGACCACCAACTGCTGGGGCTCTGTGCTGCCCGGGCGCACCTGGAAGAAGTGCAGCGATGAGTCAACAGCAATGAACGCGACCCTGGTCCTATTGTCAACGTTAGGGATGCGGTCGAGCGCGCCCAGAATAGCCTGGCCAATGGCGCCTGGCGCACCCAGCTGCACGGCAGCATAGGAAACATCGATAACAAACACGTAAACCGGAGGCATCGGAGGGCGCACCATGTACTCGAGGGGCGCGAGGAACTCGACCACAGAGTAGTTGAGTTCGGCACGCACCCAGCGATTCCTCTGCATCTGCGTGGCCGCGTCATAGTCAAAATGCATCGGCACGTCGTTGCTCAGCGAGCACATGTTGCACTTCCACCTGCGGCCGCCCTCGATAAACTGCACGAACGGATTGACGTACGTGCGGCAGCGGCGGCAGCGCACAATCTCAGACACCACGGGGATTGGCTCCTCGCCCTGCTCAAGCGATTTAAACGGCGTGATTATCAGCCCAAACGGCAGCTTTGTCTTCTTGAGCAGCTTGTCGTTCTTGGGCACTGCGTTCAGCGTCGAGCGCTTGTGCTGCGGCGGGCAGATTACATGTGGCGACGGCACGCACGCGGCGTTGGGAGGCAGCTTGATCAGCGGTGGCTGCTCGTCAAGGGCACCCAGCTGGGGCTTTCCGCCAAGCAATGCGATCTGGTACTCTTGCGGGTTCATCCCAAGACCCATGTTCGAGAATTGCTGTGTAACCTCAGCCATCTGCGCGGGCTGCTGCGTGTATCCAGGAGCCTGGGCAGCGGGCGATGTCGGGTATCCAAGCGGCGCCATGCCAGGAGCTGGAGGAGCAGAAACCATACCACCATGGCCAGCTGAGACTGACGGGACGGGCGTCAGCGCAGCGCCAGGAACAAAGAAGCCGCCACCCTGACCGGCAGCAGGATCGATGGGCTGCTGCTGCTGCTGGGCAGCGCCAGCGTACTGGGAAATGCCTCCTTGAGCATACTGCGGCATCTGCGCGTACTGCTGCGTAGGCTGCTGTGAGAATTGCTGTTGCTGCTGTTGCTGTTGCTGCGGGGAAGTCTGCTGGGGCAGGTTGTAATTGGCGTTGTTCTGGTCGGGGTACAGACGGCGACGGACAGATGCCGGCGGCGGCGGCGGCGATCCAACTTGCGACGGCGGGCCGGTCGGCTGTGGGTATCCCTGGGGAGCCATCTGCTGGCTGTAGTTTTGCTGTGGTGGCTGGGGCGGCAGCTGGTGCTGACCCTGGTTCTGAATCTGCTGTTGTGGCTGCTGTTGTTGTGGCTGCCACTGCTGTTGCTGCTGCGACATCGGCGGGTACTGTTGCTGAATTGACTGTTGCATGGGCTGCTGCTGCATGGGCTGTTGCATGGGCTGTTGCACCGGTCGAGGCGGCATATTCTGGGCTGGGTACCTCATGGGCCGTGGCTGGGGGCATAGTTCCCATAGCCGGATTCCAGCCATCTGAACGGGACTCACAGTGGATGTGCGCGCAAGAGGCGAAGTCACCCGTGGGGCAGTCGCCATCGGGGACTGCTGAGGGCGCGGCGGACGAGGTCCCGGCTGGAATCCCTGCGGCGCCATTGGTCTAGGAGATGACTGGAACGTCGCCGGCTGGCCGGCAAAGGGCGATCGCCCACCTGCTCCTGTGGTGGCTGAGTCGCTGGCCGCCGGAGATGCCGTGCGTGTCGGGTTGCTAGGCGTGCTGGCGCGCGAAATTGGCTGTGGCCGTACTTGCGCGAGCGGCGACGATCCGAGTCCAAACCCAACAGGGGTGGTGCCGGTGCGCGGCTGCCCTCCTTGGTTGTTCGGAGGTGGTGGCGGTGGCGGCGGACGAGGCTGGCTGTTCATCGGCTCTGTTATAAGCTGCTTGAATCAGATGGACGCTGAATTATAAAGATGGACCAGCGAGCGGCAAATGGGGGAGGGCGTGTAATTTCTCTCTGTGCAAAAAATAAAAAACCCAAATTAAGAATAGATAAAAAAATAAAGAGAGTAGAAAGTAGCAAATGCCAGATGGGACAAAGCAGGTAGACAAATGACAAGGCACAAATGAAGAAGCCAAGTTGAATTTGAAGCATGCTCGAAATTTTGGCCCAAATTTCAACAATATAAAACAGTGCCTGTTCACGCTGTACAATGCGTCTGAAATGATTGGTCCAGCACATCCCCTTTGGCCTCAATAAGGCCCACCGTCACAAGCCGCGATTTTCACACGCCTGCAGCGCATTATCAGCGACGCATGGTGTTGTGCTCGTCGTATCTCTAGTATTATTTTTTGCTACTGCACAATTTTCTCAGTAATACTAGACAGCGACGGACGACGGCGGACGGCGACAGACGACGGAAATAGCAGCAGACGACACTCGCACAAAGAAATAACAATAAACCCTCATTCAAAGGACCGAATTCAAATGGACTTGGCCTTGCCCGGGCAGCTCCTCACATACGACTGCCGCAGGGCTAGCGCCAGCGCCAGCCCAGCTCTGCGGCAGCAATCCCGCGGCCACTGCGCGTAGTGCAATGGAACATTGAGCGCGGGTACCAGCTCGACGCCATCATAGCGACGCTAAAGCGGCTGGACGCTGACATCCTGTGTCTGCAGGAGATAGACATCTGCAACGAGCGCAGCGGGAACACAAACCATGCAGAGATAATTGCTGAGCAGCTGGGGCTCAACGCCGGCATTGTAGTAGAGTTCCAGGAGCTCAAGAGCCCCTGCCGCAGCCCCAGCCAACAGGGCGGCGGGCTGCACGGCAATGCAATCTACTCGAGGTTCGACATGAAGCTTCGCGTGATCGACCACGCGCACCAGCCATTCAACTGGCCGCGCGACGGCGTGCTGCTGGGGGAGCCGCGCGTCGGCCGGCGATGCACGCTGGTCGCCGAGGTGGCTGTGCCTAGGGGCCCGCCGGTGCTGGCCTACAGCGCACACTTTGAGTGCTTCACCGGTATCATTGGTAGAACCGGCCAGCTGTGCGACCTGCTGCAGGAAGCCGGGCATCGGCCGCTGAGCTGCCGCACCAAATCATTTTCGGCGACTTTAACACTTTTGCGCACTCGTGGCGCGCTTTTCGCCAAAGTACGCCAACGGCTGGTACCGCTTCCGCACCCTGGGCATGTCCGAACCCGAATGGTGGATCAAGAATATCCTGTCATGGTACCCTGAGGACGGCGCCATCAACCGGCGGCTGGAGACGAGGGCCTGCCGCCGGAGCTGCACTTTTCCGGCGACATTCTGCGCGCGGCCGTGAATCCCGGGTGGTGGGACCCGTTTGACGCCGCCAAGGACATCACCATCTCCAACCATGGCGGCTGGATGACAGCCAAGGCGGACTGGGCCTTTGTGCGCCAGCTCAAGGTGGTCAAGCACTGGATGGAGAACCGTGACTTTACCACGTCCGACCACCGCTGCCTGGTGCTGGACGTGGAGCATGCGCATGCGGACATCCTCGAGCTGCACAAAAAGTCCACCCGGAGGACCGCGCGCGAGCTCCAGCTCAAGCGGAGCAGCAAGTTTTGGACATGGTTCTCGCTGCTGGCGGCGACGTCGCTGAGTCTCTTTGCGTACAAGCTCGCGCGAACAAGCATTGTGTCCAGCATTTCAAGCACCACCTTCTAAATGCCTCATGTGTTGTGATCGGTGTGCCGCTCGGATGCGTGGATATTTTAGTTGCATTGGCTGTTTTTAAGCAAGCAAAATTGTAATGTTGTTTTTTACATGTATCCCAAGCCATTTTTTGTTGCTGCTGCAGGAGCAACCTGGCTTAGAGTTTTTTTTTGGCGCTGCCCTTGAGCGCTGCTGCAATCGGTTTGCGAGCAACCTCGAACTGGCAGCCCTTGCCGCGAAGTCTGCCGAGCAGGGCATCGCCCATGATGACCGACGGTGGATACACGCCCGGCCTAAACTTCTTGTCGCGATCAAACGCCAGGCAGAGGGCGCTTTCGCCGAGATACTTAATGGTCTCTCCATACCCAGGGTCGCTGCTACCGGTCACTTTGCCATAGAAGACATGGTTAGCCGTGGATGCCTCGAGGTGTAGCGAGAAAAATCCGCTTTCGGTGAACGACTCACTTGGACCATCTCCGGGGCGAGGAATAACCTTGATTGCATAGAGAAAACTGCGGGTGAGGCTGAAAAATATGAGGATTACGCCGTAGAACAGGCCCAAGGCAATGACCACTGCGTGGAACAGATTGCGGGCGGACATGGACTCGGCGTATTGGAAGCCAGGGCCGTAGCCCAGCACCTCACCCGCCCAGTTTACTGTCTGAGAGTTGACCAGGCTCATAATCCAGAACGTCTGCCATCGGCCCAGCGTCTCGTCATAATGGATCAGACCGCGCTTCGCAAACTTTTCACTGCAGTTTGCTCGCTGGGCGTTTGGCCGGAGAACATGCTCTTGAAAACGCTCTTTTTCTCGACATGTAGCTGATTGGCCAGAGTCCGCAGCGTCCCACCGCTCACACCGCCGCGAATACCAACTATCGACCCCTTGACATGGAGCAGCGGCTCCTTGAACTCTTCGCGAGCATACTGTGCGAGCATCAAGCAGCCGAGATCCGCAGGAATGCAGTCGAATCCGCAGAGCGACGCAATATGCACGTTGTTCCGCACGGCTTTTTCGTTCAGCTTACTGTGCATCTCTTTAACCCACGGCAGCTCACCGGTGATATCGCAATAATCTGTCTTTTCGTCGACGCATGCGTGGACTATCTTGGTGCCATGGCGCGTGTATGGGCCGACTGTGGATGCAACGACCTTGGTCTGCGCCACTATCTCGTGTAGCCTGGCTGCGTTGGCGCTGTCGCCCACCAGGATGTCCATGGCTCTGAGTGTGCCGGCTGCTGAGGGGTGCTTAGCTGCCAGGCTAGTCTGAACACTGTCGAGCTTGCTCTTGTTTCTTCCGCCTAACGCTATGCGCGTCTTAGCTGGCGCATTGAGCGCCAGGTACTCTACAAGTCGTGCCCCTGTGAAACTCGTAGCTCCCCACACCAAAATATCGTATTTGCGAGCTGTATCGGCCATCTTATTTGAAAGCTTAGCAATGTTATATTAAATGAAGTGTGTTGAGAGAAAAGGTATGATATGATGTGTTGCGACCAGCCATGAATGTGCGTGCGTAACATTGGGCAGATTCAGTTACTACTGCTTTAAACAGTTATGGCTTGCATATGTATGTCCTGCTGACATGGTAGCAGCCGATATTAATGTGTAAAATATAATGTGCGCCAGTTGTGCTGTTTGGCATAAATAGGCTTTAACAAAGTATAGTTTCTACTAATTGCATGCTGGCGCAAAACTACAAGAGGCAAACAACCGATGGGCACCTAGAAAGAGAACCACACCAAAATAGAAAGCAGTCGCTAAAAATAGCAACCTTTGTCCATTCAGCTTTTTTATTTATTTTAGCAGCTTGAAAGGCGCACATGCGTGCCTGAAATCAACCAACTTCTGGGATATCACAAATTGCCAAAAGGCCAGTCCAAGGCGAGCATTCAACATAAATAACAATTTTAAAAACAAAGGCAGGTTGGGAAAGAGAGACTTTAACTGCCCCGCTTGTTTCTTTTTTATTTTTCAAGCGCAAAAGACGTGTAAAAGCAAAGTGCCCTATTTTCCCTTATCAACACACAATCTGCATTCAACGCCTTTTCTATCGACCCCCCATCCAATTTGTCGCTGCATGTTTTGTATAAATAGCAAGGCTTATAGGCGTTTTGTTTTTGGCCACTATTTTCTTTAAATTTTTTGGACCATCCATACATTATATTGTTATACCTATATTTACTCTGTTTTGCATACTTTATACTGCAGATGACCAGCCCAACAACGACAAAACTGGAAACGCTTCCAAAGGTTCAAAAATATATAAATATATCTTTAAAAAATCTCCTGAGGTAAATAAGGAGGTAAATAATCCATTTAGGTATGATTGTAGACAATATTACAACAATTAGTCAACTCGGTAAATTCATGCTTATGAAGCCGTACGGTGAACAGGCTAATTCCAATCTTTGGAATTATCCTTGTTATGGATTACACAACATAGAACCAATGGAGCACTTGCATCAAGCCAAGCTATTCTCATCAACGAGAACCACAAAATAAGTGATTACAGTGGGGAAAACGTATATTTCCTTTTTCATCTTAACACAAACAATGGCAAAAGAGGCGATAAAACAAAAGCAACGAGTAATAAGTGCCACTCATCTTCTGGCACAAGTAGACTGCAAAAATGATACTTAGTCCAACTTATATGGACAACAAGACCTTCAATATATATTTGAATGCGTTTGGACCATATCCAAATGGCCTTATTAATCCTAAAAATAACCAGTCTAAAAAGATTCAGCGCTAACAACAATAGTTCTTTCAATTTTCTTTGCCGCTGCACCATCTCTGCCTCGCACAACGAAACTGGTTCAAGCGCCTCAAACGCAACGACAAACTCTATGTTTCCGCGTGGAGCTAGTAAACTGTAAATACAGGCGACATTTTTGCTTCAAGGAAAAAGAAGGCGCCAGCCAAGAGCGTGTTGCTTGAATATATCATATTTTTGTTGTTAGTATTGCTTTAGTAATGCCAAATTAATACGCATATAAAAACAAACCAAATTATTATTTTGCAGCATACAATACTTCCTCAGGGTTGCAGACACATATTCGTCGCTTGTTGTTTACACGTGCATGTATATGAATATCATCTTAGATAGTAGCTTCTTTTGGTCAAGGCACACAATACCGCCCATATTTCTGTACCCCAAACACAACGCAATTAACACATTTTCATCATTGACAACCTTCCCCATTTCACCTCGAATTACCCGACTATTTTTCTTAATAAATCACCTTTCGCTTGAAACATGGACTCCCTAAAAAAGGACAAGGTACGGATGGGCCAGTAAGCAGCCGCACAATATGAGGCATTTGTCGACTGGAAATGGTCATTCATGCACGCATAAAGATGACTGAAACAGACGTATCATTTGGTAACCGGATGCACACGTGTAGATTATGAGCGATGAAGAGATTGACTGGGAGTCGCGCAAGCTGGGTACGATGTACGGATTTTGTGCACTATTTGTGGCCTCAGTAATGGGCAACAAGGCCCTGGGTCTGAAGCCCAAAATGAATGCGTTTTCATCGGTTGGTAAGCAAAACAGATGTCATTCAATTTATTTTTCGCGTTATCATTCGCGCAATAGAGGCCGCTAACCTAAACTGGGTTTTTTATTATTATATTTCCACCTTCCGATCCTCCCCAAAAATGAGGGATTTTCCAATCCGATCATGAAAAAAAATGTAGCGACAGGCGCAGTGACGGGTTACATGTGGCACGGGTTCACGCGGCAGGCATACCAGAAGAAACGCCTTCAGATGCTTGAAGAAGCCAGCGCAAGTGGAACTATCTCGGGGTTTTGAAGATGCCCTTGGCTGGCCGAATATAAGCTGTTGTCGAAGAGCTGACGTATTCGTTCGTGGAGTTTATATATATTTTTTGTCGCAAGGCAGGGTTGTATTAATTAGATACTTTCTATAAATAAAATTTTGGATTTCACGCGATATTTTTAATTTGGTCCATGCAACAGCGATATCCAATGCTCATCGCACAGTCACTCGAAACGAAGTAACAATCAAATCTGTTGGCACCGTGTTGTTGCCGGTGCTCACAGGCAGATAAATATCAAGCGATAACGAAGTAAGAAACCAGTGACAACGAGGAGAGGTGGCCGACGGCCCATCCAACTGCTGCTGCCTGCCTGCTTGTTGGAAGAGAGAAGAAAAAAAGAAAACAAACGATTTGTGACATGCTGATTGGAGCTGCAAACAGTGTAAACATGCACAATGCCTTTGGGCCTAGCGCTTTTTTTCTCGATTGCATTGTCGGTTTTTTGTTATTTTTTTCTGGGCTCACGCTACACAGACGTAGATCATCAACTGGCCTTGTTTATCTTGCTATCGACTGTTGTCTCTTTAGCATTTTCCTTACTCCACTCTATTGCCCGCTATAGTTTGTTGTTTTTTTCTTTCCATTTTCCATTTTCCTTCTTTTCTTCCGACTACATTGCTTTTATTAAACCTCTTTATTATATCTTTCTCTCATTCATACAATCCATGTGCATTTAAACTTGGTCGGCAATAACCTCTCCCACCCCATCAGCCTACACACACTAAACAGTACAACTTTAATAGAGTATTCACTCAGTGCAGTGTATAAAACACTACCGCTTAACCGAACGAACACCGAGAAAGTTTTAACAGCAGTCCAAAAAGAAACCGCAGAAACTCACCACCATCACTACCAGCAGCAGCAACCCATTATTCGCAGAGACTATCCACCTTTTATCTTCCACATCGGCCTGAATAACAAAAAAAGAAGAGACGGCGTTTCAATAGTGCCGCAATGCGCTATCGCTTTATAGTTTTCCGGGCACAGCCCAGTAAAGAAACTATCGCGTTTTCTATTTATCTCGAAGAAATTGTAAGTAAATCGCATCGCATCATCACGCAGCCCGTGCGCTTATAACCAGTCTGTTTTCTTTTTTTTTTTTTACACTTGGGCCCGTCGCGTCGGAGTGCGTGTGTTCCTAATTTAAGATGCACAAAAAAAGAGAGTTGGGCCATAAACTTGAATCGATGTGGTGTGAATATTAGGGCCTGTTCTATTTTTAAACAGGCTTCTGGGTTGATGTGTCGATCGTCTGTGCTCAGCTTGTTATTGTTTATGATGCAGCCAGTTGACCTGCTAAAATTACGCATCTTATCGGTTTTCTTTTTCTCTTTGCTATAGGCCTCGCGACGCGCCAGTGCGAATGCAGTAGCCACGCCCATCACATCGCCCACGGACGAGTACAACCAACTGGGCCAATCCATATCAACAGTACCAGTGCTTTCAAGCAGCAGCGGTGGCAGCAGGGGCACACTGACGGGTCCCACCCGGCTATCCCGAACCGTAGAGCGGTCCTGGGACCAATGCGAATGGTTGCACAAAAAGATTACAACCAGCTTTAGGCTGCAGGCGCTCCCTCTATTTCCAGAGCAGCCTATTGCCAAAAAAATCAACGACACGTTATACATCGAGCGCCACCGCGCGCGAATGGAGCGCTGGCTGAACCGCTTGGGTTCGCGAGAGGATTTGTGTCAGAGCGAGTCCATGGACTATTTTATTTCGACAAGGATGAGCGAAAAGGATATTGGCGGCAGCGGCAAGCAGTCATTTTCGTCCATGATGCTGAATCTGTTTGGAGGGCCGCTAGAGCAGGAGTTCAGGGTGTACACGCCGATTGGCGAGATCGACGACTATGACGAGGACGAGGAGGAACGGCGACGCGAGTACCTCCGCCGCACGGAGGAGTGTGCCCGGGAGCTGGCTAGCTCGATTAAGAACATGCACGTCCACGAGGAGGTCCTTGGAAAGAGCATTGTCAAGGCAACGCTGGCGATCGGAAAGGCATTCCAGGCGGAATCCTTATCTTTCGCACCGCTCGAGCCGTCTGCCCAAGATGCGTATATTGTGAGCAGCGGTGAACCTCCGGAAATAGAGCGCGAAAGGCTGCAGGTCTCGCTGGCGCTCTTGCAGAACTCAGCCGAGGCGCATTACTGGAGTACCAAGGAGCTGGCCATATGGAAGGAATTCAACTTTGTCGACACCATGACCGAGTATTGCACCATGGTCGGCGGCGTCAAGGAGGTAATGAACCACTCGACTCAGATGCTGGTGATGTACGAGAAGGCCATGCAGAGCCACCAGGGGTATGTTGCAAAGGCGAACAACCTGCGCGTACAGTACCCGAGTGACACGCCCTCGGTTAAGTACGCGAACGAGCAAGAGGTAGAGTCAGAGCGCGAGAAGGAAATGGCCCACCAGGAGTACACGGACGCCTGCGACATGGCCAACAAGGAACTCATCCGCTACGAGCGCGAGAGGGCCACTGACATATGCAAGGCGTTGGAAAACACTGCCAAGCTGGAGCTCGACTCGGCGCGCGCACGATGCCAAGAGCTCAGGGCGCTGTGCCGGCGGATAAAGAGCGTACAGATGGTCAAGGATCCGCCTCACTCACGCACGAACATCGGGCCCATGCTGTGGCATGCTGCTGGATCAAACCACCCATCGATGCTCACACCGAGGATTTCGTCGTCGTCCTTTCCGCGCACTGCGCCGGTAACAGCTCGCTGACATTCAACGACCGGATGATCATGAGTAGACCCGCGGCAGAAAGATACACGCACCGACACAGCAGCTCCAGCTCCAGCTTCAACAGCGCGGTAGTGGAGCAGCAGCAACACCAAGACTGGCAGCCCCTATGCTGACAATATGCCCGGATCTAACATCAAGCGAGCACACACCATGGATAACGCCGACTTTTACAGCAAGGGCAAGGGCCAGAGCATGCCAGCGCGCAACCACAGGGTTTTTATGGAGACTGATGAAGACAACGAAGATGAGGATTACTTGATCCACCGCACGCCGCCGGTCTCTGGGTCATCATCCAAGTCGATATGGTCCAAGGCACAGGAAAGCGCCGGCCCCTCGCCTCTGCAGCAAAAGACGCGCTGGAACGGCCGGATATCAGCAATGCCCTTCCAGGGTTACGACCCAGAAGCTGACTCCGAGCCGCGGCCAGTCGTAGACCAGGATCGGCTGGCAGAGATGGCAACGGAGGCTGAGATGGAGGCCGAACTCGTGCGCTCAGGTATGCTGACTGCGCGACAGGCGACTCGCCAAAAGTCTGTACCCAATTCGTCGGCATTCACAAACCCAGGCCAGCAGACAATGGCGTCGCCCGATACCATGGCTCCGGCCGTGCTGCCTGCATTCCGCGGATCATCTGGTTCAAAGCAGCTGCGGCAAGTCAGTAGTCTCGGTGGATGTCCTCCATCCCGCAGCCGTCAGCCCATCAGAGTATCTGCAGTACTCGCGCCAAACGCTGCACTCGTCTTTGTCGCATGGTGTGCGGACAGTATCGAGTGGCTCTGGCCGTGGCAGCTCTGGGAGCCCCCGATCGGCTCTTTTGCCGCGGAAGGATAAGGGAAAGGGCCGTGCGTTTGCCGTTTGACCCGTGATCCATGTTTCGCAGAGTAGCTCCTCTTGTTTTGTTTTGCTCGTCTTTAATCTTTTTTTCATTCGATAATTGATAGCGTCAAAGTTACAGATCCAAGTAAATAGATCCAAGCATGTTTCGTTTTTTTACACGCTTTTGGGTGGATATTGGCGTCAATTGTAGTGTATTTTCTTTTTGATATTATCGAAAAGGCAATGCCCGAATGAAAGTGCAAATATAATTTGCCCAAAGACCAAGCATGCTCTAATTTCCAAACCGTTCTCATCGTCGTCGTCGTTTTAATTTTAATTTTTCTTTACTTCTTCTTGCTCTTCATAAAGTTTGCCTCCTTGATCTCCCGCGATCTCTGCAAGCGCTGTCTCACACGCTCCTCCTTGACCTCCTCCGGGACAACATCAAGCAGAGTCCACAGCCACCCGGGGTACTCTTCGTCCTTGAGCGCAACTGGGTCCTTTCCCTCCTTATAAATATTCAGACCCTTGAGTACAGTGCCTTGGGCAGCAGACGAGGTGACTGTCTTTTGCTTGACCTGCTGTGTGACCTCACTCGCAGTGCTGCTTGTTGTTGTTGCTGCTGCTTCTGCTGTACGCTGAATTGCCGTGAATGCAAACCCCCGAGAGATACATTTCCGTTGTGTCAAGGCGAAACGAGCAAGCATTTTTTATTTTGTGAATTTGAGAGATAAAAATGAATGTAAATGAACAACAAAAAGAAATACGGATTTGCAAAAGGAAAACAACGATAATAAAAAAGAGCAGATTAGGCGGATAGAAAAAATAGGTGGTGTTTTTCTTTTCCTTTTTCTTCTGTCAATTGAAACCCATTTGAAATCAAATAAATAATCCGACTCGCCTGTGAGATTGATTGATTGATTGACTGATCAACTCGACTCACACAGTTTTTTTTTTACTTATCGCTGAGCAAATCCGCCCAATATCAAATATCATTCAAAATAAAGTTGAAAAATCGCGCACTTTTTCAATTCAATTCAACTTTTTATTTTTTGTCTTTATTTCTTTTGTCTTTAATTCAACACTCAATCACTCACCTCCCCCCTTTATTTTAAAAAGTAATCAACCACATTTTATTCTTCATTATTTAACGATGCGGATGCACAGGTCGGTTCTCAAAGCCACAAGCACGCGGATGATGCCGCGGGACAAGACTCTTCCCAAAGACCTTCAGCTGAAAAAGTGGAAAATATACAAGGGTGACAAAGTTATAGTCACAGCCGGTAAAGATCGTGGACAAACCGGTACAGTAGCCGAAGTATCCCGTAAGACCAACTCTGTATACGTCCGTGGACTCAAGCTAGCATTTAAAAACGTACCAAAAACAGTCGAGTCTCCGACAGGCAAAATTCAAAAAGAAATGGCCATACATGTGTCTAACCTGGCGCTGGTTGATCCTAGCACTAATCAGCCGACGAAGGTGAGGGTTGGGCTTTTTACGGATCCGGATACGGGCGTGAAGGAGAAACGTAGGTATTCGGCGAGCTCTGGGTCAGTTATTCATAAGGTTGTGGATTTGTCGTATCAGAAGAGCTGGAAGGATGGCGCGTTTGATACAGAGCCCGAGCTTGTCAGTAAGGTTACTTTCCAGGCGGTTCCTGGCGTGCCCCCATTCCCTGAGGATGTCATTCGTGAGATTCAGAACCGGCACAAGAAGCTTTTCTAAAAAAAACCTATATATAAACTGAGTAAGGGAGATTGGATTATTTTTATTATATTTTATCGAATATATTGATATTTTTTGTGTTTCAAACAAGGTTGGGAATATACTCTGCGCGTGGGTAATTTTGCACCAACCCTGGCCATTGCACAATAAAGCGATCCGCCAGCAGATACATGATTTTCCCCGAAAGCGACAAGCTCCGCACCCTAGCAAACGACTCAATATAAACGACAGGAATCCTCTTTATCCCCAGAACCCTCGGTACCCAAGCGACCACCCCAACTACTACGCAATTACCCGGGCCATTACACAAAACCGCATCCGGTGTGTTCAAGTACATATGGCGACAAACGCACACAAAGCAATGTACAGCAGTCAGAACCGAGCTCCACCAAGACTGACCGACAGCGCGGCTGCGGGGCACTCTGCAGACAACGTAGTCTTCGGTTAGTGGATCCCGACTGCCCTCCAGGGTGCCGCCAATCTGGTCCATCGATAGGTGATCTGTGTCACCGACAATGTATAGTCGCTGGTTGTAGCGATCGAAATCTACGCCTTGCAGTAGCCGCGTCATTTCTGCTGTGTGTCCTCCAGAACCCAAGACCACACAGAGTATCTTTTTGGCAGGCAGTCTGGCGCCCTTGCCCTTTCTTCGGATTATGCTGCGGGCCTTGTTGTGTGTGAAAATGGGGAGAATGTAGTAGAGACGCAAGGCTACGAGTGCTGTGCATCCTGTTATGCCTGTCAATATGTATAACCACAGCGGCATCTTTTTTTTTTTCTTTTTTTTTACGAATGGATAATTAAAAAAAATGAATGAATGAATGCAACTAAGAGCAGTGGGTGGTAGAGAGTGATGAATGCAAACGCAACAAATATTTTTTTGTAAAGCTTGTCGGGCATGATGAATGTGATTTAAAAGTAGTGAATAGATGCAGCGTTTTTTAAGGGTACATTGCACGTGGAGATGAATGTATTATAATGCATATATATACGTATATATTTTTCTCCATTATTCAAATATAATTGTAATTTCAAATATTAAAGGTGTGTGTATGTGTGTATTATCACTTGCTCATCCTCTAGTGTTTGCAGTATTTCAAAAAAAATCCCCGCTTGTTGGCCCTGAAATGGAAAATATAACACACTTCCACATGACTTGCTTTTACAAGAAAGAAAGAAAGAAAGAAAGAAAGAAAGAAAGAAGAGAAGAAAATTGTTCACGTGGAGATGGCGGACGAATATGTGATATGACCATGTTCTTTTTTTTATTATTTTATGCGATGATGTGATTTTCTCAAAGTAACATGATCCCCTCTCCCTGAACAACGTTTGCATTCCCCCCAAACAAACAAACAAAAAAGTAAAAAAGTAAAAAAGTAAATACAAAAATAAATAAAACATTAAAAATAAAACAATAATAATTAGAAAATAGTGTAATTAGAAATAAAAGACGCACACCACTTGACTGCATCCACAGTATTGACAATAGTATCCTCAGCACGATCAATAATAGACTCATTACGCGCCCTATTATGCTGGTGCTGATAGTGTTGTTGTTGCTGCTGCTGCTGCTGTGTTGATATCACACTCGTTCCTGTATTCACTCCATAATCAACTATCGGCGTTGTTGTCGCTGCTACTGCTGCAGATGCTGCCGACGCTGCCGTGCCATATAGAGAAAAGGTAGGTTTGCATCCGTAATCCGCATCATCGTACATCTGATACTCGCTCTCATAATCGTACTCTACACCCCATCCGGCAGAATCCTCACCACCACCAATCATCAGCTCATTACCAGCCGCCGTGGTATTGGACAAGCGACCGGAGCTGCTGGTATACGGCGACCAGAGGAGGATGAGTAGGGAGTATGATGGTTGTTGCCGTATTTGGACATTTCGCGCTCAAACTCCTGAATAATTGCATCCTCGTCGTCATCAAAAGGAACACTATCGGCCAACACATGCCTTCCAGCCACCGACGCCACTTTCTCACTCCCAATCAATGTGGACGAAGAATACGAGGTGGCGTTGGTGGCAAAGGGATCACGCAGAACATGTGATGCGTTGGTTTTGGTGTCAACCGACGGTTTGACAAACGACACGCCCTGGTCACTCTTCTTTTTTGCAAACTGATGGTACTTGTTGGACGACGCGAAAGGATCGGCAACCACTGGCGGAGGCGGCGGTGTATTACGTTGTACTGGTGTTTGGTTCCCGTTCCCGGGTGTATCCTCCACAAGCGGTTTATCCGCGGCAAAAGTCGATACTGAAACCGCATCAGTGACGAATTTGCGCACCTGGCCGGCCACCGACTGCACATAACCCTGGACGTATCCACTAACACCACGCGAACCCTGCTGCTGTATTCCTTGCTCCTTAACCACCGCAGTATTATTGCTGTTGCTTCCACCGATATACCGATCAACTGTGCGTTCAGAGATGTTCTGGCGCGCCGTATACAGCGCCAAACTATAATCGTCAAACGGATCCTCCTCCTCGTCGCTATCCGAATACTGTCGACCGACAAACGGCCGCCCAACGGCCTGCGCGAGCATCCTATGGTCGCCCTTCAGATGCGCCGGCTCCAGTTTAATAACCAAGGACCTACGCCCAGCGCCCCTCCTCCCAGGACGTCTCATCTGTGCCTTTCCGCGATACCTCATACCCGCCTCCGCCTCCGCCTCCACTTCCTCCTCTTCCTCATCACCGTCGTCTTCGCAGTCCGTAGGCAAGTACTCCTTCTCGTGCTTGAACACCACCATACACTGCTCAACACAGTCATTGAACCTTAACCGAGACCGTCCTTCCTCCAAAGTAATGTCTGAAGCAAACGAACTCGTCGACATATTCTCCCTAATCGACTCTGCCGGAGAATAAAGCGGACTCCCCAGGGGACTTCCCACAGGACTCAAAGTCGGCGATGTCAAATAAGTTTGCAAATCCGTCCATTTCAACAAGGACTTTTGGCCACATTTCTGCTCCACCAACCCACTGCCAATTCGCTTACAATGTATCGACCAAGGTACTTCCAATCTGACAGCCGGCATCTGCCATAAAGAAAAACCGGATCCGCATCTTTATTCCAATTAATTCCCTCGGAGGATACCTAGGGAGTTGCAGTTTGAGAACTGCAAACTGACGCCAAGCAATGTTCAACGACCGCGCATGCGTGAATGCCTCGTCGTCCCCGTTATTGCTATAGTAGCTGAAGCGGCTATTGTGCAGTTCCGAGCTTGTGTTGCGTTGGCCGCGCGATTGCTTTCGTAAGAGTGACTCTGTGCGGGTTAGTTGGTCTTCGGTCCAGTTGTGTAGGAAGTAGTCGACTCGTTGGAGAAGTTCTGGGTAGCGCTCGTAGATATTGCAGTCGGGAAGAAGCAGCACGTCGACAAGGTCGCGGTGTGACTGCATTGTAAAAGAAAGAAGAAAAGAAAAGAAGAAAATAGTTTGTGTGTATGTGAAATTTGGAAGAGAAAATAAAGATAACTAATTTGCATGAAAAATAAAAAGAATAGTAATAAGAGAAAGAGATGGAAAAAAAACAGTTGGAACTGGTACTGGTAATAATAAAGGAAAAAAATAAATAATGACGGAAGCGGAAGAAAGTGGAATAATATAAAAAAGCCAAGAGAAAAAAGGGGTGGGGTAGGGGGGGGAAGAAAAATTAAAGGCTGCCTTACAGTCAAGTTAGACAGAGATAGCCAAAGTGTGTGTTTATAAAAAAAAGGGGGCGAGAGGGATAGGGAGGGCAAAGAGTAAATGATATATATAATATATACCCAAGTTATCCTTTTTTTTATGTATTTGCAAGCGAGAAGAAAATTAAAAAAATTGATAAAGTGTGGCTGACTTTGCTTAAAATGGGAATGGCTTTGACAAGTAACGCACTAAAATAAATAAATAAAAAGGAAAAGAAACAGAGTATGCACGCCTCACTATTACACAATATAAACGCTTTTTTTTTCCTCTTCTTAAAGATTGTTTTCTGCACGGTATGAGGAAACGGAAGAATAGTAATAAAGAGAGAAAAATTGAGAAGAGAAAAGAGCGGCTTTTTTTTTTTTTGCAAATGTGAGAGAATAAAGTAATAATGATTAATCAGAAAAAATGAGTGATTTCTTTTAATACACAGCTTTTGAAGAAGAAAAGAAAAATAAAGACGGAGCGGAATAAGAAAATCAAAAACGATAAAATAGAGTGTAATACTTTTTATTTTTATTTATTTTTATTTTTTTCAAGTTCCACACGACAAGAAATGTTTTTTTTGTATTTTTTTGGGTTGAAAAAGGGAAACACAGGGGGGGGGGAGGGTGGTAAAATAGGCCGTGCAAAACCCAAGGAAGGCTGGCCACACAACTAAAGCAAATAAATGTTGAATGGTGAATGTAAAAATGAATGGGGCGGAGAGAGAGAAAAACAAAAAAGGGAAGTGTGATTGGGATTGAGAACAGCGCGGAATAGAAACAAAAAACGCATGTAATATAAAAATATATATATATTTTTTGTAAACGTTCACTGTTCTTTTTTATATTTATTCTTTAGTGATAACGATCTTCCATAGAATTCTTAATTTAAATAAAGATCGGTGTTGAATTTTTATTATTTTATTTGTTGTCTGGGCTGCGCACTATTTCGTTTACACTTTTATTATTTTATTATGTTTCATCGTCCCTTACAACTGCACCCACTCACAACCTCCTCCTACCTTACTCCCCTTACCCCCTCCTGCTTTTTCTATTTGAAAAATAAAAAGATTAATCAAGATGGTCGAGATGGTCGAGATGGTTGACAAAGATGCAGTAAAATAAAAAAGGCGTGTGTGTGGTGTGTGTATGTGTATGTGTATGTGTGGGGGTAGTGGAGGCAAGTGAGCTTTTTTTTCTTCTTTTTCTTCTTGCTTATCCAAGGTAGGAAGTTGTTTGTATGTGGGTTGAAAAAAGGGTTGGGTTGAATGATAATCTCGAATTTTAATATTGTATGTCCCGGGTTTTCCCTCGAAAACTTGTTTTCCTTTTGTCCTTGTATTTTTATTTTTTTTACCCGGAGCAGCCAAAATACGCAAAATACGCAAAATACGCGTAGAAAATCATAGCAATATAAAAATTTTGCTACATATCTTGGCAACATCTACCAGGTTCGGATTGGTCAAAAATAAGCAAATAATTGATATTGATGACATACGTGTGATCCACAACATGCTGCGCATAGAGACAATACGTTGCTCATAGAAAGTGAGTATATTGGGGGGGGAGGGGCAGGGAAACAGTGGTCATCTGTGGTTTGTGCTTCTTCAAACATATACCTTGCATATGTTCCAACAAAATAACAGACCCAATCATCGACAACTGATATTCGGAAAAGATAGGGAAAAAAGCTAATAATGACAAGCAGTCACAGCTTCAAAGTAAGAAGGGGAAAAGTTAAACCCTGACGTGACGTCATCCCAAATCACAAGCAATCCCACGTTTCCTGCTCCCAAGGCCGCATCATCACAGCTCTTCTCGCAGCACCCGCACATCCAAGCTTCCCCATCACCACACAGGCGCCCGCCCCAACCTCCAACGCAACAGAGTTGACCAGCGACATGGGGGGCGCTCCCCTCCACGACGCAAACTGCCCTCCACCGGCCGCCGAGGTCGCGGCCTGGAACAGCCGCCAGGCAGACTCCGCACACCTCCGGGCATCACGCACACGGCCACAGACCATAAACATCTGCGCAGCCAAAAGCCAAAGCGCAGCATCCGAGGGCGTTCGATGAAGCGCGCGGGCAAAGGCCCGGCGAATCCCCACAACTGCAGAGGAAAAAAGGTCTTCGCCCTGGTGCTGCATCAGGCAAAGATACGACTCGAGCCGCGGGATCGCATGATAGAGTCCATATTCCGACACTGCAAGAGCTCCACATGCGTGGCTGCGACCAGCTGGCCGTCGCCCTGCAGCAGCCCAATGGCGAACAATGTCGTGAGTCCCGGCAGCGACGCACGCTCGCTAACCACCTCCAGAAGATGCTGGCGCGCCAGCCCGCGGTGGTCCTCCGAGCCCAGCGCCCAAAGCACCTGGGCCAGCATCACCGCCACGTAGCCGCGCTGTGGCGAAACCGCCGGTCGCTGCTCGGCCATCCCCAGTGCAAGCTCGAAATAGCCCAGGCTCTCCTCCAGCCGCCCGGCAAAAAACAGCGCCAGACTGCGGCCCAGCGTAAAGAAAAACGCACGCACATGGCCGTCATCGCCCACGGGCTCAGCCTCGTGCCCAGCTAGTGCTGTTTGTGGTGCCGGTGCCGGTGCCGGTGCCGGTGCCGGCCGCCGGCCGCCGCCGCCGCCGCCGCCTCGTAGGCGTCGCACGCTGCCGCGTATTGTCCCGAGCTGCACAGCGCGCGCGCCAGCTGCGCCAGCCCCACGGCCTTGTGATTAGGAGCCCGGCCCTCAGCAGCGCACTTCCCCACAAACACAGCGTATGCCTCGGCCGCTGCCTCCCACTCGCAATTCAGCTCCAGCAAGAGCCCCAGCAGCAGCGCACCCTCGCCGCCGGCATCCGGCGCGCGGGCGACAAAGCGCCTGGCAGCAAACAGGGCCATGGCCAGGCGACTGCGCTCGGCCATCGACCGTGCGCCCTGGCTCCTCTGCACCAGGCTGCCGCCGCCGCCGCCGCCGCGCGCCCGCTGGCGGCGCACCAGCGCCAGCCACACATGCTTGGCAAAGCAGTAGTCGGCCACCGCGCGCGCCGCGTCCGCCGTCTGCAGGCACGCGTCGAACAAGTCGACGCACGGGCGCTGGGCCAGCTCGGCCGCCAGCGCCGCGCCCAGCCGCGCCCGGGGCTCTCCGGGTCCGCCACCAGCGCGCGCGCACACAGCCGCGTGGCCAGGTCGGCGTCGCCGCGGTGCAGGCACAGCAGCCCCAGCGCCGCCCACGCGGTGGCCTGCAGGGCCGGGTCGCCGCGCGAAACACGCGTGGCCACGATAAGCGCGTGCTGCGCCAGCGCCGCGTCGCCGGCCCACGTCGCCACGGTGCCCTGCAGCAGGTGCGCGCCAAAGCTGCGCGCGTCCAGCCGCACGGCCGCGCGCGCACAGCGGCCGGCCGCGGCCAGCAGCCCGGACGGCGCGCTGGCCGCGGCCCCGAGCGCCACCGGGTGCTGCCGCGCGTGCTGCGCGCAGTACGCCTGGCCCAGCGCAGCCCACGCGGCCGCCGCGTGCTCCAGCGACGCGGCCGCCAGAATGCGCAGGCTGGCCGCGCGCTCGGCCAGCGCAAACAGCGGCGCGGCGCGCCCGCCAGCGAGCCCGCCGGCCGCCGCGCGCCGCGTGTCGCGCAGGAACGGCGGCGGCGCGGCAGCCGCCTCGGCCGCGCACGCGTGGCGCGCCAGCGCCTCCACGGCCGCAGACGGCCCGGCGGCGCCGGCGCGCGCAACCCACGTGCACGCCGACAGCACCAGCCCCCACGCCAGAAACGGCGTGCGCACGGCCGCCGCCGCGTCCGCCGCCAGCGCTGCCAGCGCGCCGCGCCCGGCGTCGGCCGCGCGCGCAAACAGGCCCTGCGCGTGGCACCGCGCGGCGCACGCCACCAGCGCCTCGGCGCGCGCCAGCGCCACGGCCCCGGCGCCGGGCGCCCACGCGCCGCCGGCCAGCGGCGCGGCCGCCAGTGGCCGAGCGCCGCGTCGGGGTCGCCGGCCGCCAGCGCCGCGCGCGCCGCCAGCCAGTGGCCGGACGCGCGCGCGGGCGCAAGCTCGACGGCGCGCGCGGCCACGCGCACGGCCGCCGCCGTGCGGCCCACGGCCAGGTACGCGTCGCCCAGGCCCTCCCACGCCACGGCGTCCGCGCGGTCGGCCGCCAGCGCCGCGCGGAACGCCACCACGGCGCCCTCGGCCTGGCGCGGCGCGCGCAGGCGCAGCAGCCCGAGCATGCGCCACGCCCACGGCTGCTGCCTGCGCGTGGCCAGCGCGCGCTCCAGCAGCCGCTGCGCCAGGTCGTCGCGGCCCATGCGCACGTACACGGCCGCCAGCCGCTCGCCCGCCGCGCCGTTGGCGGCGTCCAGCGCAACGGCCTTTTCCAGGCAGCGCTGCTCGCGCGCCGCGTCGCCGGCCTGCGCGTACCACAGCGCCAGCCCGCCGAACGCCGACGCGTCGCCGGGTCCAGCCGCGCCGCCGCCAGCCAGCTCGCAAACGCCCCGCGCCTGTCCGTCCGGCGGGCCCGCCGGCTGCCACAGCGCCCAGCCGAGCCGCGCGTGGTGCGCCGCGTGGCCGGGCGCCAGCGCCACGGCGCGCTCCAGGCACGCGGCGGCGCCGGCGGCGTCGCCCTCGCTCAGCATGACGGCGCCCAGCCCGCCCAGCGCCAGGTGGCTGTGCGCGCCCGCGCCGGCGTCCGCGTCCAGCGCCGCCTGCAGCAGCCGCCGGCTCTCCCCGGCCTGCCCCAGCGCGCACAGCGCCAGCCCCAGCCCCAGCGTCGCGCGCGCGTCGCGCCGCCCGTGCGCCAAGCAGCGCCGGAACGCCGCCTCGGCGTCGCCCGCGTGCTCGGCGCCGATCGCCAGAAACGCGTGGCCGACGCTGGCGTCGACGCCGAACACGCCGTCGGCCGGCCCGCGGGCCGGCCGCGCCCGAGAGCTCCGCCGCCGCGCCGCCGCCGCCGCCGCCGCCGCCGCCCCCGCGTGCTCCGCAATGGCCGCGCGCGCCGCGGCGCCGGCGTCCACCACCGCGCGCCAGTCGCGTGCGCGCTCCGCCGCGGCCAGCGCCTGCACCAGGGCGAACGGCGACTCTGGCGCGCGCCTCCGCCCCTCCGCCGCCAGCGCCGCCGCCTCGTCCGGGTCGCTGCACTCGCCTGCCGCGCGGCGTGCGCCAGCCGCCCGTCGCCGAACGCGCGTGCGTACGCCCGCGCGATCTCCGCGCTGTCCACCCGGCGCACGCCGCGGCGTCCATCAGAAACTCAAACGCCTGCGGGCACCGCGCGTTGCGCACCAGATCCACGGCCACGCGCGCCGCCTCCTCCGCCATCTCCGCCGCCTCCGCGCTTCCGCCGATGTACCCGGTGCGCAGGCGGAGCTGCGCAAAGTACTCCTCCTCCCAGCGCAGCCGCTCGTCGGCGTCCAGGCTCAGGACAATCAGCCTCGCGAGCGTCTGCAGCACGCCCGACTGCGCCCATACTTCCATGCGCACATCGCGCATAACCTTGGCCAGCGGCCCAGCGGCCAGCCGCGTGCGCCGCTTGGCCACCTCCGCATCCACCGTGCGCGCGTCCAGCGCAGATTCTTCCGCGAACATGCGCTGCAGAACCTCGCGCTCCGTCATTATGTCCTGGGCATTTCCCGCCAGTAAAAGCCGGTGCAGGGGGCCGGAGTCCTCTGTCAGTAGCCGCAGCTCGCACCACCTGCCGCTGGCTGCCGGACTTCTCCGCCAAGGCGATGATTTTTTGATGCGTTCCCAGGCCTTTTCCAAATCGTCCTCTTGGTTTAAGTACCGGTCGCGAAGGGATCCTAGTGACCGGACCAATTCCTGATCATTGCCCTCTGCTTCGTGGAGTGCACAAAGCCCTTGCCATGCGAGAATATTGGCTTTGCCCAGGGCTTGAGCCTTTCTGTATACTGCAGTGCCTTCGTTCCATTTCTGCAGATGCTGGCAGGAGACTCCAAGGAGTATGTGCACGTTGTAGTTGGTGCTGTCTAGCTCGAGAAGATCGTGGCAGAGATCGTAGCTGTACGAATAGTCCTTGTCGTTGATCGCCGTCTTGGCGTTCTTTAGTTTGGCCTTGAATATAACTGACATTCCTTAATAAAATACTTTTATAAAAATAAATATCGGGGTTATCCACCAAAAATATGGAATAGAAATTACAAATATCTTATTTATAAGAAACCGAGCTTGCCAATCGCGTGTGGGATAAATTCATGAGGATTACTGGATTTAATCAAATTAATTTAAACGATATATACAGCAGGCATGGAGAAAATTGTCTATTTTTATTTTTATTTCATCTTTTTCAGCTTATCCTTAAACCAACTTGCCTCCATTGCTTGTATAGATATTATAAGAAAGAAAAGTTTCTCTTTCCAATGATAATTTAGACAAGATGGTTACAGGTTGCTTGTGGAGAGAGAATAAATTATTTTAATGGAAATGTAATAGAAAAACTGGGATGATAAAACGTTGTTCTATGACGTGTAGATAAACTATTATTATATAAAAGTGTATTTAATAAAAAGTGCTATGCACTGTTAACTGTGAAAAAAAAAAACATATTGCTTTGGTCACTGGTGGCTTCTTGATTTATTGTTTGTGTGACTAAACAACCAATACTGGTTAATCAATTGATCGCCATGTTACAAAGGGGGTGGGTATATATCAAAAAAAAAAAAAAAAAAAAAAAAAAAAAAAAAAAAAAAAAAAAAAAAAAAAATATATATCAAAAATGACATTTACTTCTTCCAAGGAGAACAATTCCTGGCTGCCCACAGCCACACCTTTTATATGTTCTCCTTGGCATATAAATAAACTATAATAAAAACTTATCATTTCTTAATTTGCACGCGTGTAATCAATTAATCCCAGTAAGGCAACATGCAACGCCATGTGCCTAAACTGTGACATATACCTTTTGTATGTTTTAAACCAGAAACCCTCGTGAGCGTATGGCTACTCCTATGCACTTGGCATTGAATGTGCTAAATTTTCTATATTAGTAGCTGGAATATTTGCCCAATAGGCCTGTGCTTGCTCAAATAGTTCAATGTTTTTCGGGCGACTGTCATAGTCACAAAGATGGGTTTTCAGCAGAGTCCAAAGGTTTTCAATAAGATTGAGGTCAAAGGATTGTGATGACCATGGTATGAAGTTAATATTGTGACTTGTGGCCAGTTGCGAGTCCCACAGGCTATGATGTGCTTAGGGCCATTGTCCTACTGAAAGATAGCACAAACTCCACATTTGGAGGATTGATACTTTCCAAAATGGGCACACAATTTCTTTTCGGCATTTGAATGTAACATGGCACTATTTATATTACCCTCAATACAAACCAAGGGAACTGTGTCATTAGCGTGGAAAGCACCCCCCCCCCCCCACACACACACACACACCATCAAATATCCACCACCATATTTCATAGTAGGCTGAATATAGATTATTTTTGGTGACAAACGGTTTTTGCCTCACAAAACAAGAGTGATGTTGAATGTGAGCAAGATATCTCTAAACAGCCTGTCTACTTAGCTAAATCCCTTTCTCCTTTAACAGCTTTTTGGTAAGTGTAGCAATGTCGATTCTGTCCCTTTGATGCACATATCCTTGAATGAATATGTCATCATCCTTGGTCAAAATCGTAGGACAACCTCCCTTGGGCCTTTTCCTGTAAATGCAGCTACAGCCAAGATACGTTCTAACTGTGCTAGGCTTAACATGTATCCTGTTACTAATTTCCGTAGAAGTGAAGCCACTGTGAGCCATTGACTTGATGATGTTGGCCTTGTTGCGAGTGGTGATCATGACTCAATAATAGTAAAGTTAGGAATGTTTAAATATACTTTTGGTAATATAGAATAAAATAAAAATGGCGCAGTTATAATTTAAAAATAGTATTGTTACACAGCCCGAGGATATGGAGATAAACGCTGAGGGCGAAAATCACGAAACAGATTCTCGTCAGCTAACAGATGGATCTGACATGGACCAAATCACAGGGGATCAAATCAGACGCCACAACTGACATCCGGACATACTGCCTGTCCTGAAATGGATGTGCTGGGCGTGAGAATACGGATACGCCAACTATGCCATATCAGAGACTGGGTTACTTTCATAAGGGCCAGTTCTCGCAAAGGAGCACACAACTGCAATGAATACCACAAGACAAGAAGATATATATATAAGGCGAGGGCGGCGATAATAGCACTTTAAAACACTAGTAATAAAACCCCTTATAATTCCACACCCATCATTTAGCACTATCATAGTAGTGCTCCCCACCCCCTCTTACATAACAGTATGTCGTCAATAGACCGTTCTAAGCCTGGTGCTCAATTTTTAAAGTTTAGGGCTTCATATATATATTTTTTTTTTACAATTTAGGCATTTTATTACACAAGAATCCATGTATAAATTCTAAAAAGTTTATCTTTAATATTAGTTTGTACAACAACAAACTAGCAAACATCACGCAACTTACACTGATATATGCAGTTGTACTAAAGTATATTCATAATAAAACCGAGATGTTATTTGGGCCATCAGGGTAAAATATACACCAAATACAAAAGTTGATGGCCCAAAAAATTGACAGTGTTCATGTCTGCTGTATCTCAATATTCAATATATTCTTAGCAATGTTGCGCAGCCCAAGGATATGGAAGTGGATATCGAGGTTGAGAATCGTGAAACGAGTTTTCATCAACATGCTGATTAACAGGGCATAGATGGTACCATGTAGGATCAAATCAGGGGACATAATGTTGACACCTTGATATGGCCCCCAGTTGATAATATATATATATATATGTATGAGTGCGCATATGCAAGGATCATAACCTTGATACCCCAAGACACCAGTCTGTAGAAGAACTAGTTCTCACCAGCAAAGTGCACAACTAGCGAAATGCACAGCAAAGACGACGATATATATATATATAAGATTAAGCTGGCCCTAGTTCTACTTTTGATTCCCTTGATAATAAAAACTATAACAAAACCCAAACATACTTTTAACACTAGACAACTAGTGCTCCCCTCAAATTACAACATTAGTACTTGTTTGCAAGAGTGTTAAAAAGGAATATTTCAGACAGCTAGTATTAAATTTGAATTAATGAAACAAATACCACTGCTGAAAAATTGAAAAATTATCTGAAGAAAAGAGTTTGTCCAATATTTGCGTATTTGGAAATTTTCTCGTTGGTTTGCAGTTCGACTGGCGAGTATTTTTGTAATAAACAATAGTATTTTCAACACTGTCGTACTTCAGGAGCTTTATAAGTTATTCTATTACCTTTCTAACTGTTGTATCTTCTTTATAAGGAATGGCGACCGGGGATTTGATTTTGTTGTTGGCATTGTTTTCATCAAAGTCGATTTCAATGACGCTAGATACATTATACCAAAGCCCCATTTTCGCAGAGTGGTGTGTTTGCTCCTAGTATTTGTTCGTGTTAAAAAAAATAAAGTATCAAAATATTTGGTTGAAAATATATTGTTTTAAAGTGACAAAAAAACTAATAAAATTGTGCTAAATGCGTCGTCTATATAGTGTGTCTCAAACAGACACGCTATATGAAAAACGCTACAGTACTCGTGATGTCTGACTGGACAAACGACTAGTTGACTGCAACCTTTTTTTACTCTCATGTTTTATACAATACACACACATGTTTCCAGTCACACAAGGGGGGCTCAAATACAAAAAGAAACATTCGAATTATAAGGCAGGTTCAAATTATACGAATATTTTTTAAACATTCAGTAACTAAAGGAAAGGAAAATCGCTTACTTCTTGCTGCTCGAGCCAGACTCCTCCTCCTCGTCATCATCCTCCTCGTCATCATCCTCATCCGCAAACTCGTCATCCGAGTCGTCGTCGACGATCATGGGGTAAGAAATGCGGATACCGTAGATACCAAAGTCCTTGAGCCAGGCAACGACGTAGTAGCGGCCGGGGAAGTGGTAGGTCTTGAACGAGTCACCTTGGAGCCAGAGACCTTCTCCAGCAGGAGACAACCTCTGCTTGTGGTCCTTGAGAAGGGCAAGGCCAAGCTCGGCGGGACCGGCAGTGACCTCATCATCCTCGAAGGGGAACTCCTCGTCGCTGAGGTTGATGGCGTCATGGCTGTGGCTACAGTGCTCGCCATGGACATGCTCATCATCCTCATCCTCATCAACATCGGCGGCAGCAGACTTGCCCTTGGAAGTGGCCTCCTCTTCCTCCTCATCATCCTCCTCCTCATCGTCCTCCTCCTCATCCTCCTCATTGGTCCTCATCTCCCAGTCATCATCACCCTCATCCTCGGAATCCTCATAAGCGCAGTCCATCTCGTGTTCAAGGGTAATCTTGGCAAAGTCAACGGCGTTCTCGGGCAGATCCTTGAAATCCTTCTTGTACATGTGAGAGATATCCACCTCGTACAGGCAGAAGGGGCGAACAATAATGTTATCCTCAATCTCCTCCTCGGTCAGCTCCAACTCCTTGATCGTGGCCAGGTCCTCCTCAGAAAGATCGTACTTAATGTTATCATCAAGGCTCTTGCACAATTCACGGACTTCGCCGTCAATTCCAGCGCGGACCAGCATGGCGCGGTGACGAGCGGCAGACAGCTCCTTGTCCTCGGGGTCGTAGACCATGCCGATGGGAGACAGATCGGCAGCAATCTTCTCTTGAATAAGACCCTGGTACTCGCCATCGTAGTCGTTCTCGAGAGCCTTCTCAATGACGCCCTCCTCGAACATGTAGGAGATGAACTCGTCATAGCGCTGCTCGTCGGTCTTGCCGTCGGCGGGGATAGCTTGAAGGTAGGACATTGTCTTTGGTTTATACAAAAGGAATGCGTTAAATAGGAGTGGGTATTGATATAAAAATGTACAAGTAAAACAAAAAAACAAACACTGGAGGAAAAAACTAGAATCGACCAAAGGCCGCAGCGGGCAGCAAGCTGCCTTTTAAGTGTGTCCGTGAAAGGAAAAATATTTTACATCCAAAAAACGAGGAGCGCAAAATTTTTTCCAGTTGTTTTTTGTTGGGATTTATCGGAATTTATCGTTGGGCTATGTGCTCATCGCCGAGGAAAAAAAAAGAGCAAAGGTTCAATCTGGTCTTGATCGATTAACGCATCGAAAACACGCGAGATATAATTGGCGGAGGGTAATTACACTAGGAAAAAATCACATGCGCATTTGGCGCTTCAAAATTGATTTATAATGGTAAAAAAACGGCTAAAAAGCATACGTGTTTTATGCTCACTTGAGCTTGTTCCGGATGGCGTCCGCAGCGTTGGACAAGGGCTTGTGAGTAATTTTGGGCGCAGACTTTGGGATCAGCCAGGTCAGACCCAAGCGCTGAGCTGTTCTCGCCGACCACGGCAAAATGGCCGCGGTTATGCCCAATCTCAGCGGCGTCAAGCACTTATGCACGGCATATCCAACAATAATAATGGTCGCCCACTTGTCCGCACCACCACTCTCGCCCTCTTCCATCTTCTGTGCAGCCTTCTGCAGCCTGGGAATGTACTGGCCCAGGTACGAGTTGATAGTGAACACCAGGCTGTCGCCTCCCAGCCACACGCCCCATATGCAGATGCCCAGGTCGATGAACGAAACCATGAGGTATGCCACGATGGCCACGCGCCCGTACTGCTGCATCAGCACCTTAAAGCGGCTGGGCTTCTTGTCGTTGGGCTCGCTGCCGCCGGCTGTTCCTTGGCTGCCTGATGACTCTGTACCGCGCTCCAAGTCTTTGTTGAGCAAACTGTCCTCAGCCTCGCTGCCGCTGGGACTGCCGCTCCTTTCGCGCCCGCTGCTGAGGTTGCGTGCAATAACAGACGACGCAGCCGACGACGATGTTGTCGACACTGGTGTGGTGGGAACAGAAATTGAGTAGTGTGTGGCCATTCTTGCGAAGCTCGGTACTAGAGATTTAAATGTGGTGGTCGATGTAGAGAATCTCCGAGTTGGTAAAATGAATCTAGTAAGCTGCTGAGGTCGCGAAAGAGTAAATAGAGACTTGATAATGGTGGGAGAGAAGTGGAGAAAAAGGGCGCTTGTAGAATGGTAGCGGAAAAGATGGAAAAGGACTGTCTTTGTGTGTACGGCTGCTTTGGCTGACAATGGGCAGCAGTGTGCAGTGGGCCTGGTCTTGGCGTTTTTGCATCTAGGCCAAATTGATTGGTGTAACTTGTCAAGCTTGGAAGAGGCTGAACCTGGGCCGGCTGACGGTGCTTCCAGGTCATTGAGCCTGTGGTGCGGATATGCCGGTGCTGGCCTGTGTGTGGATATGCCGGTGCTGGCCTTGAAGCCAGTGCTGGCGCTGGTGGCTGCAGCGCTGTTGAAAAGGCGCAGTGCCAGTTGGCCGCCCCAGAGCAGTTGCGATGAAGCGATCGCGCCTGGACGAGCGAGTTTGAGGCCTATGTTATTCATATCGAACCTAGCAAAAAAAGAAAGCGAATTGTAATCCCCTGAATCGAAGTTGAATTTGAAAAGCCTGCGGCCGTGTGCTAAAAAATGCGAGTGCAAGTATATTTTAAAAAAAATTGAGGCCGATGTCAGAGAGAAAAAAAGGTTAATGTTTGTTGCACAGGGATCAAAAGTAGCGCAGAAAAAAGAAAGGAAATCTTTGGCATTTGCCGCTTCGTCGCTTCAATTGTGTAGCCTGATGCCAAGACAGAACTCGGCAGTATAACGACAAAACAGCTCCACCAAGCAAGCGGGATAAATGGCAAATTGATTGCAAAATAAAATAAAAACATTTTTTTCGCAACATTTCTCGTATTGCGACAAATAAAAAAGTATGCACTGCACCCATGTTAAGCTGCGCTCTCCCTTAAAGAAAAATCTAACCCAAAATCATGTTCTCCTCTTTCGTGTGCGTCTAAACTGTGTACGCAACGCTGTTGCCAGTCTTAGAACTGTCGCTGTGCGCAAAGTACTCCAGCGGATGGCTGACGCCAAGGACGCTCTTGAAATGGCGGCCGATGTTCTCGCACGCCTCCTGGTCATCAGCGTTGCGGGTCCAAATGGCAATACGGAAGCAGCTCTTTCTGTTTGAGAACACGGCGCCACAGACATCGGGGCTCGAGTCAAACGACTCGCCAATGCAGGCCAAAAGAGTGTGCAGCCAGTGCTCATTCACCTTCTCGCCGATGCTGCGCTGGAACTGGTAGCCCCACTTGCCACCACGCGCGTTGGCTGCGTCTTCCCACATGGGCCTGACGCCCTTGCGGAACAGATGGTAGTTGGATCCGTTGGGCAGGTCCGATGCAATGGCCACGTTGTTGTACACGCCCCAAAAGTCTTCAACGGCCTTCAGAGTCACGATTTCCTTCAGGTTGGCTGTCCAGTTCGATGTGCTTGTCCGCTTGCTCGGGTTGTCAAACCACAGCGTCCATTCCGAGTTGAGTCCGTGCAGGGCGTTAAAGTCTTTGGCATCGTTGAGAACTGTTTTGACTTCCTGCGTGATGTTGTCGCTGCTGCCTGCTGCCTGAACGTCTGTCATTATTTTGAATGAGAAAGATATGTATACCCGTTGGTCTGTAAGTTTGCGTGTCTAAAATTCTACAAACAAGTAAAACAAAGAATACAGGGAAAATACAGAGAAAGGGGGATTTGAACTTTAAGTGCATCATGCCGACTCTTTGGCATTGAATTACCCTTTTCGTTTTCGGGGATCTGAGACTTTGATACTTACAAAAAATTTTGTGTAAACAAGTCGCCTATTTTATCGCCCGCGTTCTTTCGTCGTTTGTGCTATTGCAAAACCGATTCAAGGTTGTATGGAAAAAGAAGTGGTATAGAGTAATTCAAAATGAATGAAATTAAAGAGAAAAAAAGAAAATCAAAGAGGCAAAGAAACGCTGCCAAATAAGCCTTGCTCTCAAAATTAGGGCGCACGCTCAACAAAAAATGCTAATCACTTGATATTTTTAGTTGAGCCAATTTCATTTTTCTCGCAGCCCAAGCAAAGGTTTACTTTCCTTTCTCGCGTTTTTTTCAGCTGTTGCGTGTTGTCAACCTTTACATATCCAAATTTAGCACTTTTTTTAAAATATTTTTTTAAAGTTTCAAACCAACAGCAATGTCAGCCAATATTATTGACCGGAGACGAATTAATGGGCCGCAGCGCAGCGTCGAGCCCATATACCCAAAGCAACCCACATCCACCTCATCCGCTGGCCGCCCCGACGGACGGGCACAGAACGCTGTGCGGCCGATATTCGTGAAAACTGGACCACTCTCGCCCCAAGCGTCCTCAGCAGCCTGCCCCTCGGGATCAGCCTACTACGAGCAGGGCAAGATTCGCATCAGCTGTGCCATCTACGGACCCCGCCAGGGCCGTAAGAGCAACACACGCATGGGTGCATTCGACTGCGACTTCAAGTACGCGCCCTTTTCGTGCAGCTGGAAGAGATCGCATATGCGGACCTCAGATGAGAAGGAGATTGCGCTGATGCTCGAGCAGGCCATCTCGCCCGCATTCGTCTGGAGGCGTACCCGAAGGCCAGCATCGACGCTTTTGTCACGGTTATCGAGAGCGACGGCAAGGCCGCCACGATCAGTGCCGCGATCAATTGTATTTCAGCCGCGCTAGTTGACGCTGGAATTGAGCTGTATGACAGTGTGGCAGCGTGCTCTGTTGCGCTGAGCGGGTCGCAGTGGATCTACGATTGCACGCAGGAGGAGGAGGACAAGGCCGAGTGTTCGCTGATGATGGCGCGCATGCCCAGCGCCGATGAGGTCACGTACCTGCTGCAACACGGCAAGACTTCGCCTGCACAGACCGAGCAGGCGATCCAGGCGAGCGCTGGCGTGTGCACCCAGGTGTACGCGGTCATCTGCCACTACCTGCAAGCATCCTTGGAGCAATAACCACAGATGCAGGCAGTGGTTTAATTTCCAAAATAAAAAATAAAAAGCATATATTAGGTTACAAGTTGATCAAAAAATAATTTTGTAATTTTCGTGCGTACGCTATCAGGACGGCGGCATCGACGGCGCACTGATGTGTCTTTTGACCTCATGAAGCGCAAAGCTGCCCACCCCTCGCACGCTCTGCATGCTGGGAGCGAGCCCGCCGATAATTACCAGCTCAGCCAATAGGATGATAAACAGTGCGCCGATGAGCATCAGCGGGTACCTGCTCATGCAAAAGACAACGAGCTGGCCGATGCGGCTGATAATGTCTTGCTGCTGTTGCGGCTCGGCATACACTTTTGTTGACCCAGAGCTAATCGACCGCTGCTGCTGCTTCTGAGGTTGCTGCTGAGGCTGCTGCTGATATTGTTGTTGCTGCTGCTGCTGGCCCAATGCCAGCTCCTGGCGCTGTCGGTCCTCGAGCATGTGCAAACGCATGTCCAGGGCACCCAGAAGTCTTACAATATCGTCTAGCTTGGACTCATCTGACGACTGGCCGCGCTCTGCTGGTTGAGCTCACGCTGAATAGCAAACACAATGTCTTTAGTTTCCAGCATGGTCTCGCGCAGCGTCCTCACCTGGCCCTCAAACTCAACACTGGCAGGTGATGTCCGAAAACCACTGGGCTGGTCGGCAGCAGGCTCAGTAGAGCCCGAATCGGCCAGCCTCTGACTTAGTTGGGCGCCTACCCTCTCGGCGGCATCACAACCATGCTCAGCTCAGTGACATCCACCTCTGGCTCGCATCGTTGTCGAGCATCAGTTGCCCCTGCAGTCCAGTGTTCAACACATCAATAGTCGAGTTCAGCCGCGACGAGAGATCAATAAGGTTAGAGTGGCTGTTTCTCCGAGAACCAGGCCAGCGCGGTGGGTCCTCCCTGTTTAGAACCAGCGGCACAGGCCTGTAAAACCTGTGCTCCAACTGCTTTCCCGTGACACTCAGAAAAAACGAGGACTCTGGCAGACTCAAGTTAGTATTGGTCTCGTCGCCCTGCTCGAGCATTTCAGAACTGTCGTCTGGGCGGATCGAGCTGAGTTGAGACAGCTGGTCGGATGATTGCCCGTATACTCCGCTCAGCATGTGCTCGCTCATGTTGTCAAAGCTGACCAGGATATTGTCCGAACTGTGCTTGGGTGCTATGACCTCGGGTTCGGGCTGTTCGTCCATTTGCAGCTTCCTGTTGCGAAAGAATACGCGCACTTTATCAATCCGCCGACGCTGTTCTGTTCTCGGCGTCTTTGTAAACATAGTCATTCCTTTGGTAATGGGCTGTCTGAGCGGCGTGCACATTTGCTCGTCCGCATTTTCGCCGCTGTTTTTATCGACGCCACTGCTGTTGCTGTTGCTGTCCTCGGATACAGCCAATGGCTGGGATCCATTGGATTTTTCAGACAATATGTCCTGAATAATAACGATGCATCGGGCTTCTCTGTGGCAGGCGCAGCGGGTTTCTGGATTTCCAGAATCTTGCTCCTCTCGCCGGTTTGCGCGACTGGCAACGTTTGACCTCTTCCCTGCAGTGTGGTCGGCAACACAATCGGCACAATTTCTCCCGCCTGGAATCCGGCTTGAGACTCGCAGACCCGTGCGCTCGGCTCCATCTGGCCTAGACATATAATCCGGCACCACAGCGCTCGAAGACGACCCGCTCCTGATTTTGTTTAAAATGCTTCCCGCCCGTTTGGATGCTTTCAGCTGGAGCACAGCCCTGACATATGGGCGACATCTGTACTCTTACTATGTCGTCCGCCAGCGGCTTGAGTGTCAGCTTTGGAAAACATGACATCAATGTTAGCTCTTCAGGCTGCTCCCCCTGCCCTTCTTCGATGGGGACTCCTTGTCGTCTGCATACCTGAATCTGCCGCGCTCCATGGCTGCATTGTCTATCATCTCCGCAGGCAACGGTGGCCTCCTGGGTGTCTGGCTGACCCGCTGTCTCTGATAGATTTGACTGTCAGCTGTCCCAGCTTTTCGAATGCCATGGGCGTTCCCGGAACCACTTTTTCAGCTCGTCCTCCTCGGTTTCGTCCAGGAACATTGCCGTGTTTCCGGGTCGTCGCTGTCGCTGTTGCCGCTGTGGATGCCTGCATCGCTGGAAGCTGCTTTGGCGATACTTTTATTGTCCGGGAGAAATGGGTCGTGAGGTATGTTGCCAAATGACTCCAACACTACTGTTGTGCCGCTGCCGTTCTTTCGTGCTGGCTCGCCGAATTGCCTTGTTGACCTGCGTGGCTGTGCTTTGGGCACATCGTTCCTCTTTCCGAGAATGTTTTTGTTAATTTGCCAGCCTGAAGCCCGTCCTCGGCTGTGTCAGTAAAAGCGGACATTTCAATTGTGTGATAGTGGAAATGCGAGAAACAAGAAAAGATAACCAAAATATTAAATAACGCACAAGTTGACAGCGGGAGACGAAAATTAAGTCTAAAAAATCAGAAAGTAAACAAAGAAAAACAAATGAGGTCCAACCACCAACAATTGCGCGCAAGTGTCACCTGACACTTTGGCTATCGACTCGAGCGAGCCGATTAAAGTGCATAGCGAGCCCTTGACCCTCCATCTTTTTTATGTGCCCGAGCTGCGAGTGAAAATTTTTCTCTCTCATTCCTCGCCACTCCTCTTTCCAATCCACCCATGCCAGCGAGCAAAATAAAGCGCGCGGGCGAAAAAAGCACTTTTTGAATCTCTCTTTCCACATTCACGCAAATCTCACCTTTGGGTTTTTTTTAGTACTTTAAATTCACCTAAACAACTAATTCTCTAAAATGGGTCGCATGTACACTTCCGGCAAGGGTATCAGCAAGTCTGCTGCCCCCTACCGCCGCACCCCGGCGTCGTGGGTCAAGGCCACCCCCGAGGACGTCTGCGAGCAGATCTGCAAGCTGGCGCGCAAGGGTACCACCCCCTCCCAGATCGGTGTCATTCTGCGTGACTCCCAGGGTGTCCCCCTCGTCAACGCCATTACCGGTACCAAGGTTGTCCGCATTCTGCGCGCCAACGGCCTTGCTCCCGAGATCCCCGAGGACCTGTACTTCCTTATCAAGAAGGCCGTCTCCGTCCGCAAGCACCTCGAGCGCAACCGCAAGGATTTTGACGCCAAGTACCGCGTGATTCTCATTGAGGCCCGTATCAGCCGTCTTGCCCGCTACTACATTGCCTGCGGTCAGCTCCCTCCTAACTGGAAGTAGTAAGTATCCATTTTGATGTTTTGTCAGTTTTGTTTGATCTGTATGCGTGTTTTTTTATGTGGACATTGCCTTGGGTTTAGCAAACGGGGTAGCGGGAGTTATATAATAAACCTGCAAGTTTTATTATGGACCTCCGCTGTCTCCTCTCCATGTCAAACAAGCACAGTGGATATTTTTCTATTGCGCTTGGGGAGCGTGATGCCTTTTCCTCCACTTTTTTACTGTCACTATACAGCAAAAAAGGGACAGAAGGCTCGCGCGCGTTGCTTTGCTTTGCGATAGTCGTCAAATGGCTGTATTACTAACTACTTTATCATTTTGCATGTCGAACTGTTTTTTTTGCTTGTCTCTTTTTTTGCATTTGTGTAGCGTTGCCAGCACCGCCTCCACCATCGTCTCCTAAGCAGCTCACTCGTGCTGTTCTTATTGGAAACGGCGAATCATTGGCACACTCTGCTCCTTCTATTTTGTGTATTTCTGTCCCAAGCTGTCCAAGAAAAAAGATTTATACAATTGTTTGTGTGTTTTGTGGTTGTGTTTATCAAATAAAATCATCATTTAAAAAGAACATTATTTCAATTAGCTTGTCATTTACAATTTATAAAAGCAATACTTTCATTAAATGTTATCTTGTTTTGCACAAGCATTTGTTTATTTAAAAGTTGCAAAGACGCTGAAAAAATTATAATAGTATTTGCATGATGGAAACTACATATAAAATGTGCGGACTGTATGAACGAAATACATGTACTAAGTTGTGCTGGAGTCGTACCTTTGATATATGCAACGCGATACCACGAACAATATATTTTCGTGCCTTGTCGTGCCATTTCCAACACAACTTATTTAGTTATAACTTTTAAAGTTATTGAGCTACCAATTATAAGGTCCCAAATTTGTTTGAAGCTTGGCAAGGTTTATTATTATAACTAAAACTAATTTTATCCATACCTTGGCTTAGATTGCGTTTTTGCACATATTCCTGCTTTAGCATTACAAACGTTGTTGTGCAATCAAAGCTCCAAGTTTTATTGTACCTTTGTTATCTTTCACGCTAACGGATATGGCTTTCGGAACATATTTAAACATCAAAGAATCTAATTTTGAATCCAAAGCTTTCTTGATAATTTCAAGGGCTGTAAGTCGGATGGATATATGAACGTTTCATGACGAAAATAACAGTCTTTGCATTTTGAACCCAATTTAATGAGGATCTCTTTTTCGCTCAATTCTCCCCAACTCTCATCTACAGTTAAATTAATTTTACCTTTACTTTTTAAATCATAAATATCAACCTTTACCTTTTTATCCATAGTTGTGTGCAATATATATGTTTTTTAAGGTGTAGAAAAATGAATATTAAACGCTATTATAATGCGCAAACAAATTGATGAAATGAAGGGCTGCTGGGAATTGTAACAAACGGTGTGCTTTATATAATATTGCTGGCCGCATAAAACTTCGAAATAAATACATCCTATGTTTGAAAAATTACAGCTCATTATATATCATGCTGAAAACCCCTAATTTTTTGATATGTATGTAGCTGTGCCCATTGTATTTCTGCTAATGTGCTTTTAAATGTCGCTGTAAATATTTTATAAGACAAAAACAAGACTTGGTACGCTTTACCCCTTCGTCTCTACTTTTTGTCCTTATTCAATAAGCTATAATTATAAGGGCAAAGAAATCCGCTAACATGCCTAGCCAAGATTTTGCATGCTGGTTGTTCTATGGAATTAATTGCACTTCGACAATTGTCAATTTGAGAAATATCAGGGGTTTGCGAATTTAATTAAACGCACCCACATTTCACTTGTTTATTCGCTTATTCTATTCTATTCTAATTTGTAAATGTTTAAAAGGCATGCTGTTACAAAAAATTTAAAAAAATGCAAATGGAGAATTGAAATGAACGGGCTCGAGCAAAGTCTTCAAAACTTGGGCTGACCACCCACTCGTTCTCTCTCCCCCATACCAATCTTCTTTCTCAATTTATTCTCATTTTCAATTACTCGTATGTCTTTTCCTACCTCCTTGCATCCCGCTCGTCCACAATTTTCCCCCACTTTTTTCTAAAAATTTTGGTATCCAGCACTTGTGCGACCAATATAGACAATATTGTTGCTCAATAACTGTCCAATATAGTGTTTGGTATAGCACTTTAGCAATATCTGACATTGGGTATGATTGCCAAAAATACACATGTATTATATGTAGATATGAATAAGAAATATAAGCGTCTACACACCGAGATATCAAATACCTGCAATTAATTTTCATATCAGCTTGTGCCCATGGCGTGAACATGCATTTTTGAGCAATTTTATTTGAAACAGAGGATATCCTCTTTTCTGATCAGGTGGGTTGGTTGTGGATTAATGGATTACACTTGCCTTATTAATTTAGAAAGGCTGCTATCGCTCTCTGTTCGACAAATCCCAATAAAAGCAGAGTCGCATCATATTTACATCGCGGATTTGTTGCTTATTATTCTTACCTGGCCTTATTTATTTGTTAATTCATGTTCACGTTCCAATTAATTTTTTAATGTTCCAAGCCAATCCAATCCAATCCAATTCAACTCTTACTTTTATCTTTGAATTCGACAAAAAAATATAACAATTCCCCTTTAAACCATATGCCGAGAAAAGCAACACGAAAAGGGCTTTTGAGGGCTTTTAGTCCGCGCGTAGGCTACGCATACGACCTGCGTATGCAATACCACTGCGACTTAGACGACACCGATGATCCGCACCCGGAGGACCCACGGCGAACCTACTGGATCCACAACCTTCTTGAACGCTCCGACCTTTTAAGCCTTATGCACGCAGTAAAAATATTCCCCGCAACCGACACACAAATCCTCCGAGTCCACCGAAGCCACTACATAAATTCTCTAGAGAAAACCAAAGTAATGGAAAGGGCGTCGCTTATAGATGAGCAGAATAAGTATGATTCAGTGTATCTCTGTTCTGAATCTTATTATTGCGCAAAGTTGAGTGCTGGTGGGCTATTATCGTTGTGTCACGAGGTTGTGAGTGGGAGGTTGGATAGTGGATTTGCTATAGTTAGACCACCGGGACATCATGCTTGCAAGTCTAAGGCTATGGGGTTCTGTCTTTTGAATAACATTGCTATTGCTATCGAGGATATTCTTTTGAATGGGTTGGCAGAGCGCATCATGGTGGTAGACTGGGATATTCATCATGGTAATGGTATTCAAGATATATTTATCCGCAATCCCAACGTACTTTATTGCTCTTTGCATAGGTACGATGGTGGTGATTTTTACCCGGCAAGTAACGAGGGCAATATGGATAAGGTCGGCAAGGATGCCGGGCGTGGGTTCAATATCAATATCCCTTGGGTAACCAGCGGTATGGGCGATGGCGACTACCTATATGCGTTTAATCAGCTCATAATCCCGTGGCCAAGCAATTCAGGCCGGATTTCATTATCATCGCATCAGGTTTCGACGCAGCCATATGCGATCCCATCGGCGAATGCAATGTTAGCCCCGAATGCTACGCCACAATGACCCATATGCTGAAGGAAATCAACAACGGCAAAATCGTTCTGTCCCTTGAGGGTGGATACAACCTGGACGCCATTGCTAACTCTGCTTTGGGATGCGTCAAGGCGCTTTTGGGTATCAAGTGGAGGGCTGGTTTATTCCCGAGCAGGCCATATATAATGCGTATGCAACTTTGTCTGCAGCTGAGATTAATGGCGTGTCGATAGGTCCGCAGGTTTACAGGGATGAATGGAAGGCTGATGGGGGTTGGGATCCAAAGGTTGAAGTCCCGAGTGTTTCAACGCGGGGCCGTCGGTTTTGGGCAAAGAGGTCGTGATGAGGTTGTGCGCATTCAAAAGCAATATTGGAAGTGCTCTAAAAATGGTTTATATTCATTACGAATTAAAAAAGGGATAAAAAATATAACTAAACAGCCATGTCCATATGGATTTTGCCATGGGGCGTGTACCCGACGAGTTCCAGATCCTCAATGGTAAAGTCTTCAATCCTCTCCGGAACGCGGTTAATGATAAGCCTCGGGAACGGCCTCGGCTCCCTCTCAATTTGCACATTCAGGGCCTCCACATGGTTGGCGTAAATATGTGTGTCCCCCATGCAATGCACAAACACACCAGGCTTCAACCCCGTAACCTTTGCAATCAGCCTAGTGAGCAGCGCATACGAGCAATATTAAACGGAACACCCAGCCCAATATCGCACGATCTCTGGTACATCTGCACGACAACGTGGCTTGATCCGTCCCTGGGTTAGAAACAAAGAACTGGGCAAACATGTGGCACGGAGGCAGCGCCATTTTATGAATATCAGCAGGATTCCACGCACTCATTATATTCTGCGATCCGTCGGATCCTCACGAATCTTCCTTATAACCTCGCTCAATTGATCCACGCCTTGTCCGGTATAATCCCTGTCAGCATCAACATACTCTGCCCCAAAGTGTCTCCACTGGAACCCATACACAGGCCCCAAATCACCCTCACGTCTGTGCGTTAATCCGCGCGAATCCAGAAACTCTCGGCTACCATTACCGTCCCAAATATGCACTCCTTGGGCACGCAGAGTGTGGGCATCGGTTTGGCCGCGGATAAACCAGAGGAGCTCCTCGACTACGCCGCGCCAGAATACCCGCTTGGTTGTCAAAAGTGGGAAAGTGTCGTTGTTGAGATTAAAGCGGAGCTGTGGGGGTGCAAAAAGTGCAATGGTGCCGGTGCCTGTGCGGTCGTTGCGCGTCTCGCCGGTCTCCAGGATATCGCGGATGAGCGAGAGGTACTGGGTTTCCTCTGAATTGCCTGTCTCGCGGCTGGGTGGTGCTGCTGAATCGGTTGCGGTCATTCTGAATGCGAGCAATGGCAAGTTTTATAATAATAAAATAAAATGTTTTCCAACTGTTCTGTGGAAAATAGAAAAGAAATGGACAAATCTTTCGTTTATTATTCGACTGCGGCGCGTAACAAACAAACAAACGTGATGGGGTGAGAAGGGGGAAGTAAAAAAAAGAGAAAAACGCGATCGACGCGCGTGAAGCCATTTCAATTTTTGGCAACTAACTAAAAAATAGTGCCCAGCACCTCGAGATAGATTGCCAGGCTCGAGTTACGGCGCAGATGTGCCAGGAACTCAGCATATGTCATAAAATCCGGGTCCTCAGGCACGGCCTCGGCGAAGATCTCGTCAACCATCATGGCGACAGCATCATGGCCCAGTGCCTCCATGACAGCGCATCCATCGTCCTCTGCGCGGTCATGCCAGAATGTCGGAGCCAGCGCCAGCTCCAGCCTCGACGGAGCGTCTACAGAAGCGCTCAGCGCAAGCGACTCGCTGCCAGCGACAGCTGGGAGTGCATCCGTGATTGGCAGCAGGGCGGTGTGGTCGCGCACGGACTCCAGCACCTCGAGGCGCGCAGCCACGTCCTCGCGCCGCGCCTCAACCTGGGCGCGCAGCGCCACAACGTCCTTCTCCAGCCCCGACGGTGAGTCCGCGGGATGTGCGCTGTGAAGGCAGCCGACACGGGCTGGCCCGGCAGCAGCTTGGCCGGCTCGTCCAGGACGTCGCTCTCGAGACTGCGCACCATGTTCTTGGTCAGCTCGCGGTTCGTGTCGGCAAAGGCCTCCAGCATAGTGCGCAGATCGTCGCGACCCACGCGGTCATCGCCATCAACATCGTACGCGCGGAACACAGCCGGGGCCTTCTCGTCCAGCGAGCCCTTCGTGTACACCGAAAACCCGCACGCCATCTCCTCAAAGGTCAATGCGCCGTCGCCGTCGGCGTCGTAGAACGCAAACAGCCGCGCGCCCAGCACCGACTGCGCGCCACCAAACTGCCCCAGGCAGCGGTAGAACGTGTCGCGTGTAATGACGTCTGTGCCATGCTCAGCCGATGCCAGGACGCAGAACTCGCCGTAGAGGCTGCTCAGGTCCGCGCGGTCCAAGTGCGTCGCGTCCTCCAGCCGCTTGCGTACGCTACGGTCCAAGTCCCGCGGCACCAGCACGCCCGGAAACATGCGGCGCACCAGCGGCGTGCGCGCACTCACAAGCGGCGGCAGCGGAACGTTGATTTTCAGCAGCATGTGCTGTGCGTGCAGATCGTGCGCCTCGCATGCGCTGCACAGGTCGACGTCGGCGCACTGCGCGCACTTGTACCGCACGCCGCGGATCGGCGTCTCGCGGCAGCTGTTGCACGTGGTGCCGCGGTGCACAATGCCGTTGCGCCGCGATACGTCCTCGGCCAGTGTGCACAGCAGGTGCAGCAGCTTCATGTTGGCGTCGGCTGGCGATTCAGAGTCGGACGAGTCAGAGTCGAATGACTCGAATGAGCCAAGCAAGTCGGGTCCTGTTGCAGCAGCAGCTGCCGCTGCTGCCACTGCTGCTGCAGCCACTGGCTCCGGGCTGCTCTCAACTGTGCTCACTTCATGCGTGTCCACAGATGGCTGTCGCCGCCGGTGCCGCCTGATTGACTGCGTCCGTCGCAGCGGTGGTTTGCGTTTGTGCTTGCGTTTGTACTTGTGTTTTCGGCTTCCGATGGGTGTGCGCCGTCAGCGTTTGTCGTTACGGCTTGGTTCTGCCGCCGCCACCGCCTGCTGCTTCTCCCTCTCCTTCAACTCCGCTATGGCCTTCATCTCTGGCCGCAGAATATATCATGATCCCAGAGACGACAACAAACAAGCCCAGGATAGCGATGCTTACCCGCGGAACAACGCTCCCGCCTGCCGAATCTGCCATTAATAAATCAATAATAATAGCAGCGCTCTGTGTGTGATTGAGTTGAAATTGAATTCAGATGCAATTATTAAAAAATCCAATTGAGAAGAAAAAAGGGTTTTGTTTATGCAGCAAGCAAGGGGTCACAATTCTGACATCAGACCTTCCAACCCTTTTCTTGTTTTCTTGTCAGAGCATTGGCCATATCAACAGCATTCTCTATTTCTATGCCAGGCCAATGAAACGAGAGTCCCGAGCCAGCTCAAAGCGCTGACCGTAATTCAGGCGACCCATCATAAAAGTCCCCCACCTTTAAAGTTTGGTAAAGATGAAGGAGCTCCGCAACAACAATCATTCGACCAACGATTCAAAAGTGGCGTGACACAATGATTACTCGCATACTCGAATATATAAAGCGCTTATCTCGTTTTGTGTTTTGAAAGGTCTGAGATAGTCATCCTTTCATCTTTACTTTCTTTCTCTCTTCGTTTTACAACTATTTTAATTATTATTCATTCTTTAGTATCATTTTTATATTATATACACAATGACTTCTAGATACGCACAGAAAAAGGCCGACGCCGAGGCCCTCGACAAGGTGATCATGAGCGACAGTCTGCTTGCCCTCGGTGCAACCTTTATCGGCGGTAGCGTTCTCAGCGCCATTGCCTACAGGTTCTCCCCCACCTACCGCAGCATCCCCATATCTGCTAAAACCGCCCTCATCCTCGGCCCTTCCATCGGCGCCTTCTACATCCGCGGCGAGCATGTCGGCGCGGAGTACCGGCGCAACAAATACCTCACCATGCTGGAGCCCGAGGAACGCCAGGAGGCCCTAAGGCGCCAAGAGGCTATTGCCGTGCGCAACACCTTTATCGAGAAATCCTCGGATTACATCACAGCACATAGATGGTCGATTCTCGGGTACACCTGGTTAGCGGGTATTTCCGGGTCGCTTTACCACCTGTATAGGCAGAAGGCATGACTGGAACCCAGAAGGCCGTGCAGGCAGAATGTACGCTCAGCTTATCACGCTTATTGGTATTCTTTCGACCGCCGCTATTGCTTCGTTGAGCGATAAGTCTGGAGACAAGCATGCGAAGCATAATAGTGCTGCATTGGAGGCCGCGCTGGCTGGGGATATGAAGGTCAATGATATGTATAGCATTCATCCGCATGGCTCCAACCACCACAACCACCAGGTGGAACAGCTGAACCAGAAGAAGGCTCAGCTGAGCTCGGGCGCCCCTGCTGTCGTTGAGGACGGTGTTTCAGCTGCTGCTGTTGCTGCTGCTGATGTCAAGGAGTAACCTCCAAATAAATATATTTTTTTACTGGACAATTTGTGCGACAAATAAACAAATACAAACTTAAAACAGCCGATTTTTTTAATCAAGCGCCGCTTTATGTAAGGGCAGGAGGATCCTGCCTTTTCCCCCTTTTTTTGCGTCTAGCTTTTTTTTTGCGTAACCTGCATATCGCGATTAATTCCAGAATATACCAACCAGATCTGGTATTGTTGTTGTAGTCTCATCAGTAATTCTAAATATGGTCAAATAAAGTATAATTGTTGTATTTTATAAATCAAATTTTGTGCAACCTAAATCTGTCATACCTCCATTATCCCAATATAATAGATTCAAAGAACCAAAAACTCGCCAATAGCATCTCCTGCGCGCAGCAGCGTGGTTGGCGTCTGGACGGCCAACGCCGGTGCCTTCTTCAGCTTACGCGAGCTGTCACTCTCAAAGAACGTAGCGTACGTATGATCCAAAAAGTCCTCAAGCATAAACTTTGGCTTATGGAAGGGTTCGCTAAAGATCTTTGCCAGTGTAGCAATGTTCGGGTAATAGTGGTTCTGCAGCGTCTCCATTTCCCACAGCGAGCTATGGATGGCCATGCATTTTGCCAGATCAGGCTCGTCAGCCAAATACGGATCCTCTCCCTCAATGACTGTCTCCTCGCCGGTCTCGTCGTCGTATCCGGGCATGCGGTGGATCAGCGCCATGCACCGAGGATGGGCCTTGAGCAAGTTGTAGACCACAGGAATAGCAATGACTGCTCCCGAGGGTGGCGCAGAAAGAGCCAAGCGCGCAATACGCTTGATGAACGCCGCCACCAGGTATGCGGGCAGATGGCTGGAGCCAAGGAAAATATCAAACAGGCGGAAGAACCTCGCGCGGTACTTGACATGGAAAAGGTTGCGGTCAAACAGCGCATAAAGTTTCTCATAGAACTGCGGATAGTTGAGGTTGTAGTCGGTAATCAGCGTGAATAGGCCGTTGAGGGCCAGCAAGCTGACGGATCCTCCGGCATCATATGAGTTGCTCAAAAGTCCATCAGGCTCTTGGCATCCACCATGTGCGGCATAATGCGCTTGTGCAGAATCATGAGGATCTGCTTGTAAACATCCGCCGTCATCGGCTGCCGCATCAGCGCCAACCACGCCTCGCTAAACGCCTTTTTGTGATCCGCCGGAATAAGCACTGCAGGTTCGACCTTTTGGCCCTCAGGCACGCTGACCCACATGGAGTCAAGCTGGGCCACCTCTGCCTTGGGCATCACCCGCACCATGTTCATCACCGTAAATGCATTATGGACAAACACCTCGGTCCCTTCCAAAAGTGCACTGGCACGCGATGCACTGCTGCTGGCGCCATTGCGTCGACTACCCTTGAACGGATCATAGTCGGGCGACAGGATCTTGGCCACGTCGCGGTAAAAGTACATCCGCAGGTCATCGTACGAGTTGAGATACGAGTCAGCCAGTGTACGCAGCAAATGCTCACTGGCCTTGTTATTATCCAAAACACACTCGAGGGTCGCCAGGTATCCCTCATTAGGGAACTCGTAAGCGCCAGACAACTGCGTCATATTCTGGCCCTCCTTCCCAAGCATCTGCAACGAGAGCTTCAAAGCTGCAACCTGCATTGCTGCCTCGCCGTTCCGGATCATCGTGCGCAGGAGATCCGTGTACTGGTTATAGTTGTCGCGAAGCCAGTCGCTGACCTTTGAGGACGCTGGGTTCTCCCGATCCTTGTGCCGTGTAATGAGTCCTTTTGCCCACAAAGCAGTGTATATGCGGCCCAGGGAGCCAATTGCCACGAAGGCTGCCTCATCTTTAATGCCTTTAGCCACACCGAATATCTCCACAATGTCGTTGAGGTTCTGCTGGCTGCTCAGCACGCTGGCCTCCCACCGGCGCACGCTTTCGGTCAGCTTTGTGGCACTGCCTTTGTCATCCTAAGATGCAAAAAATATATAAGAATTTTTGGGAGAAACATAATTATTAATATACGTGTTGAGTATATGAAGCCATGTCTGAAGGAGGAAAGGCAAAAAACAGCGCGAGCTGGTATGTCATTTTGTTATTGTCCTATTATTATTATCTCGTACCTTTATGCTCGAATGCTTTCTCTTTGACATTGTTGTTCGTCTTGGTACAAGGCTGCCGATTTCAATAAAGTGCAAATAAAAATAAACAAGCAAGTATGAAAAAAACTGACCAGATCAAATAAAAAAGTTGGAGAATTGGTGATATTTTTTCTTTGCCGCTTCCAAGCACGAAATGACAAGCACAAGTCAAGCTTTTTTCACTTTTTTTCACTGGTGCATTTTTTTGATCCAACTTGATTTAATCACACTGATTCAGCACATTTCTTGCAAGGTCTTTTCACCTGCAAGAAATATGTGCGCTCGCAATAAAGTTACAAATGGTGTGTGTGACTTCATCCATGTGTATGTGTATGTATGTAAAGATAAAAGCCAACATCTATATAGCGATAATAAAGCAGTTAAATAAAAAAGAGAGAGTGAAGACGATGTTTGGTAAACTATACACGGTGGGAACTAAAAAAAGTCAAACTAACTGGATCCAGCCGAAGCCAGCGATATAATCTTATGGTCCGTTCCATTAGCCTTATTCTTCGCATAGTTGTCCCGTTCAACGGCCTGGATAGTGCGCACACGTGCAATCTCTTTAAAGTGGTGGAGGCACTCAAGTAATCCTCCTTGGCGTTGACACAGTCCGAGCGCGTCTTCTGAGTGCTGCTAAAATAGCACTGCTGGAAGTCCTCCCAGAATGGGAAGCAGCGGTTAGTTCCTACACTTTAATTAACGTTTTTTTGTTGAAAAAATAAAGAGGGATTCCAGGACTTTAGTGTTGTTTGTTATGTGATTGCCTGGCTGAGCGCAATGGTTTTCTGAAATGCAGCGATACCCGACAGTTGCTCCTTTTATTTGGCCTTTCCTCATCCCCATCCACATCCGACTGAATTCGAAATAAAAAAGCCTCACAGATCTTACTCACCCCTGTAGCCTACTCCGGACGCCATGCTTTGAATAAATGAAGGAGAATTAAAAATGTGAGTGGTGGTAGTGATTATAAATAAAAAAGAAAGACAAAAGTTGAATTAACCCATGAATAAAAAAATATGAAATGCAAGGCGACAGTAATTTCAGGCTGGCAGGCAGATGAGAAACTCGCCTTGATTGGGAGATAACGCGGCTGTGATGGAAACCTTTCATAAACCTCGTGCAATAAGTAAACAGGAGCGATAATTTCCGTGGAAAGCAAAATATTTTAATTGGTTGCCTAAAGATTAGGATCAGCGGAGATGTTGAGCTTGATTATTAATCCTTGAGACATTCTGTTTAGGCTGTGATGCAAAGATAGTTATCGCTAGGGTCTTGAATATGCGCTTGATTCTTTTTTAACTCTGCACAGGTCAGTGCGCGCTCAGTCGCGACGATGGCAGTGTACCAGCCCTTGCTAACAGCAAGTTTAAATTCGGCCTTGGTGAGCTTGTACTTGCCCTTCACCGCCTTCATCAATTCAGATTTTGTTTATTGAAACATCCGATATATCAGTTTTTTTATTGAAAAAGCACGCTAAATTCTCAACTTTTTTCCCCTGCCCATAAAGTTGGAATAAAAGTTGGGAAACCATGAGAAAAAACCGACTCCCATCACAACTGTGAATATTTCTTTGCAGCTGTCAGTGTGATCGCAGTGAAAAGCCACTTGATTAATCAATTTTCTGATCATGCTTGACATTCGAGGGCGTTTTATTCGAGTCAAAAACCAAGTGCAGATAATAAAAAAATAAAAAGAACCATTTTCGTTTGTGCAATTGGAATTTAGTTTGCTAATTATTATTTTTTTGCATTCCTTTTTTCTTCATTTGTTATCAAAAATAAAACCCCTTGAGCTTTATATTCTTTTTCCTTTTTAAAATTTAATCCTAAAAATGCTATCTTCACGGTTCATTCGCACATCGGGCAGTCGCCTTGCTCAGGCCAGGTCTTTCCACCAACAGAGCACAGTATCTGAGGGATTTTTGGGCAAACTCTTTGGCAGCAAAAAAGCCGACACACCCCAAACCACCGATGCTCAGTCCCCAGCTGTCGGCGACATAATCCAGGACTCCAACGCACAGCAGCACAAACTGGGAGGCAACAAAAACAACGCATCATACGAGCCAATCCAGCCAAAGTTCCCCAAGCGCGAGTACTCGGCGGCACGCCTGGAATGCCGCATCAAACAAGTGCTCAAGTCCTGCGAGGTGCCCCTGGATACCGCCGATTGGAAATCCACACAGTTGGTCGAAAAGGACGTCAAGTTCAAGGTTCTTTCGGGCGTCATGAAGTATGTGAAGCTGCAGGTGACGAATCGTGCGCTCAATAATGTGCGGACCGTGGGTGATCTGCTCGAGGAGCTATCGCTAAAGCCTGTGTCCAAAGATGCTGGCCATCCAGTGGCTCAGTTCTACGCGGAAAGAGCGAGGAGCTTCCGCCCAACATGAAGTTTGAGCCCTTCACCAAGACCTCTCGCAAGCTTCACGTTCATCAGTAAATCATGCAGATCCGCAGAGAGGCTTTTGGGGTGGATGGTGTGAGCAGAGTAAGTGGTCCGGAGCTTGCTGGTGGGGGCAATGTGTAGAGCTCTTTAAAACGATGCATGTTATCCACCCAGCAAGCGCGGATATTTGGATACATACATGGGTAAAATAATATATTTATATAGAGCTTATCGTAGTTATCAAGACAAGTGGTGGTTGTGAATGAAACATGTGTAAAGAAAAAAGGAGGAAAAATGATAAAAAGTAACCTAAAAGATTGAAGATAATATAATTGTTTGTGTCAAAAGAATAAGGGATGGACGCCCGACATTGGGCGTCCAACGACTCGCCGCCAGGCCTGGCCAGACTCAGAATGACCATGTGCTGTCGACATCAAGCGCCCAGGTGAACTTCTCACGCAAGGCCTTGTTGAAGATCTTCTCCAGGGGCACGTTGTATTTCTTGCACCAGGTCACAGATATGCGCGGGTCGATGTAGTTTATCTTGGACGTCGACAGAGCAGTGGTCTTGTTCTCGTCCTTCTCAATCTTGTCCACCTCGATGTTGGCAATGCGCTCAGTGAGCTTGCTGATCTTCTCGAGGATCTTGTCCGTATGCGTGTTCTTGCTCACCGGCAGCTCTGGTGTGTACGTGCCATTCTTGATGCTCTTCTCACGCTCGTTAATCTCGGCGATCTGGGCGGCAAGCTTAGACTCCGGAATGGCCGCCTCGCCAGCCTCTTTGAGCTTCTCATTGTCGCGCTCAAACTTCTTGCGCGCCTTATCACAGTCAGTCTCGCAAGTCACTAACAGGAAGCTCTTGATCCACTTGGCTGTGAGTCCGGGCTCGCTCTTGGCGATCTCGGGGTGCTTCTTTTTGAGATCAGGCGCAACCTCAAGAAGGTAGCTCTTCAGCAGCTTGCGCTGGTAGCGCACGGCCAGCAGCTTATCCTCGATCTTGGTCATCTGGCCCTGGAATCCCTTGGACACTGTACGCTGGTGGTTGCAGAGAACGGCGACCTCGCGGTTGGCGCGATTGTACGCCAGGATCTTCTCGGCCTCGGTACCGTTGGCCGGCGTGTTGGCCAGCTGATTCTGGAACACAAACGATGCGTTAAACGTACGGAACACCTTGGCGGTCAAGCCAGGCATCAGTGTCTGCAGGTGCTTGTTCAGCGTGGTCGGGGTGAGGCGGTCAAACAGCATGTCATTTTTCGTCTTGGGCGCCTTCTGGAACAGGCGCAGGTTCTTCCACACTTGCTTGTCGACCTCAGTCGTGCGCTCGTAGCGGATCGAGTCCTTACCTAAAAAGTCAAAGTTGACAATATTAGGCGCCTCTAGCGTCACGTGCTCGCAGCGCAGGGAGCAGCAGCCTACGGTGTCGGCCTCATCATCGCTCTTCTCGTTACCCGCACGGAGCGCAAACCGATCAATGAGGTACAGGGCGGTGGCACGCTGGCGCTCGGCCATGATGTCGCTCCTAAGGTCCTTAGTGTACTGGCTGCGAATCCCGTCGATGCAGCGCACGAGATTGCGGGCCTTGTCAAACTTCTTCATGTCGCTCTGGCCCTTAAGCGAGCTGCCGGCGGCGAGGAAGACGTACTTTGTGTTTCCGTTGATGTTCTCCTTCCACATGGCCAGCCATGTCACGGTGGTGTCATGAATAACGTTACCCCACTTGTGCCTGGTGGCGGATCGGGGATCTTGGCATTCTCGCCAATGTTGATGGTAACCTGCTCCGGAAGAACGCGCTTCTTGAGCATGCCCGTCTTGGGGTGCGCGCCGCGGCCGCGGAACAGCGCTGGGGGCTCGATCCTAAAGTTCCCTACCTTCTCGCGCCGGCCATCTAGCATGCAGAAGCCGTACTTCTCATCAATCAGCATCTTCTCCTTCTTCGAGGTCTCCTTCTCATCCTTGGTCATCGCCTTGCGCTTCGCTGATTGGCCATCTAGGTGCGCGCGGATACTGGAAAAGTCGCAGCTCTTAAACTCCTTAATGGGGTGCTTGGCGTGGTGCTTGTCGCAGAGCTCCTTAAAGTCGGAGAAAAAGTTATCCTGGAATACCTTATTGTTGCCGTGGTCGGTGCCCACGAGGGCAGCAAAGAACGTCGCCACCTCTTCAACCTCGGAGTGCATTTTGAACGGCTTGCCCTTGTAGGAGAGCGGGATTCTGTGCGGCTCGTATTCAGGCGGGAACAGAACACCAAAATGCTCTAGGCTTTTCCACTTTGGTCCATCGTTATCTTTGTTTTCGAGCCACCATTTAAACTCTTCGTTGTCGCTGTCCTCGCTGCCATCCTGTGAAGGGGCTGTCACCGATGACTCGGCCTTGATTGAGGGTTTGCGGCTGGCGATCTTGCTGGCCAGGGGAGCACCGCTGCCACGGCGACTGGCAGCATTTGCAGCTGGTGTCGCAGTGTCCTTTTTGATGCGAGGCTTTTTGTCGATGGCAGCGGTAGCAGACGCGGCCTACTCACAAAGGGAGGCAGGACAAAAAATAACAAAAAAGCAAGTTGTGATGGTTGTTTAGTGTCGGGAACAGCTGTTTCAGAAATAATCTCATAATGCAAAAAAAAGCAAAAAGGAAAATTCAACAGACAATACAAAACAACAACACGGCTGGCAAAATAGTATCCTGGTAAAGCATTCTAAGCCGGCGTGTTCCTGAGCTCATTTTGCTGAGCGCAGTAAGCATGCGTTTTACAGACAAGACAACAAACAAGGGACTAAAAATAAAGGGAAAACAGGCCTACAACACGTAAGCAGCGAATTTAAGGCAAGTTGAACGGGGTGCATACACATACACAAACACACAAATTACTAACTATTATTTTTTTGCCATGTAATAAGTAAAGCTTACCTTTAGAGTTGGCGCCATCTTGGCTTTTTTGGCGTCCTTCGGGGATACTATCTCCCTCTTAGCGCGCTTGACTGCAGTGGTGGTTGCAGTGCTGCCGTTTGTCGTCTTTTTGGGCGCCTTCACCTTGTTCGACAGGGGTTGATCAGACTCGCTGTCGCTGCTGTCGTTTGCTCGCTTCGCCCGCGGGTCGACGCTGAGCTTTGATAGCGGCATGGAGTCGCTGTCGCTGCCACTATCGTCGTCACCCCGGCGCAAGCTGCTCTTGCCGTTTGTGGCGGACCTGTTGTTTGTTATCCTTGCTGACAGAGGAACTCCGTCGTCAGAATCCGAAGAGCTCTAGAGGTGAAAGAAAAAGAAAGAAAAGAAAACAAAAAAGAATTGTCGAATGGAAGGTAGAATTTTAGCCAAAGTATTAAGAAGCGCAGGAAAATAGACAACCTGCATTAATCTATATGCTATGTGATAGGTGGGAAAATAACCACGGCAGAAAAGGACGCACCGCACCGATCACCATTATCGTCCGCGCTGGTGCTGACTGCTAACTGCTGACTGCTAACTGCTGACTGCTGCTGAAGGACCCTCTCGTCACCACTCACCCTCATCGCATTAAGTTTATCTCCAGGACCAGGGACTCCTGTCGCTGCTTGGCGTTGGCAGAGCCTGGGCGCATGTACGTTAAAGTACCAGCAGCGACTGGGATATACTATGATAAAAAAAGTGTTTTATAAACAACAAAAAAAGCACTTACCATTTTCTAGACAAAAAAAGAGATAAAGAGGTGTGAGGGTAAATAATAATAATAATAATAATAATAATAAAAGTAGTGGTGCGCGAAACTTTGTAAAAAAGACAGGGAACAGAAAAAAAGACGAGGGAGGGGGGAAAGAAAAAATCGAATGAACCGCAGGCTTGCCCCTTTCACTTTAGCTTCCAGTTGTCAAATACTTGGAAAATTTTACAGAAAAAATGTAAGATTTCCCTCCTCCCCACGCTTGATTTGTACTGCGTGACGCAAAGAGCAAGAGAAAAAACCTTTTTTAAAGGGAGGGAAGGGGGGAATTGGCACCGAGTCGACTCCGCACAGAAAGGGGAAGGGAGAAAAAAATTCAGCGCCACTCAGATTCGATGAAATTTAAATGCTATTCAGCTCGATACAACAAAAAACGGAAGAGATGGAGGATGAAGATACAAAAAACGTCATCAAGGAAAATCCAGCGCGGCTTGTTGCTCTCGATGCTTGCATGAAAAATTCCTTGGCAGCGAGTCAAAAAGGTTATATGCGTGTTGCGTACGCCGCCCAGTCCACTCCACTCCATTCCACACTCTTCCTAACTGCTCATTTTACATATTTTCTTCTTTCCAACGGTTAATAAAAATATTTTTTCAATATTTAAACTCCAAAAACATACCTCCAACACACCTCAAAGACAGACAGAGACAGAGACCACTTTCATTTTAGATTTTTTTGCCATATTCAAGCCTACAGAGTTACGCATAGTTATACCGACATCCGACTCTTCTTGCTCCTACAGAAATAAGCGCTTCTCATACCACGCACCCAAGTTTTTACATACATAAAGCACGCATATTTTCCACTGAAATATGAGACTCGACGAGGTTAACTGGGCCAAGCACCTGCCCTACGACAGAGGAACTGAGGACGAGGACTTTGAGCATGACTTGCTGGCGCAGTTTAAACTCTATGCCTTGAGCAACGACTTTTCGGCGATGACAGCGCTGCTGTCGCAGTTTGAAAGGTACACAGCACAGCCACACTTTACTTGGCATAGGCGACTGAATTTGAACCTTTTGCAAATTCCGACATAAATGTCCAGCCTCTGAATAGAAGGGGAAAAAGCAATAGTAAAAGCGTATATTTGCTTCACACGATATATGTGGCACGACGCCATCTGCATATTGGCACCAAACTAACTGGCTACTGCTTGTTTTGGATTGTCTATTGTATTGCCTCCTGCGGCGCCCTCCTTTGTTGTAAATTTTGCCTGCACATCTTGTTCCTTGTAGCAACTACAGCGCCATTTCGCTGCCTAAGCGCATCCACATATACCGCATATTGTACGAGCTGATTACACGCAGCCGCTTGACATCGCTCAGTTTGGGACATGCTGCGCGGCGCTCGCACGCATGTTGAGGTACGTATACGTATCGCACATCTGCATATTTCGACACGCTGGTTACTTCTGTTATTGTCTCGAAGACAGGATGAATCGGTTGAAACTCGAAATGCAATGATGTGGAATACCTCGTTTTGGACACAGCCGGCTGTTGTTTTTTGCTATGTACTTCTTGCAGACGCGCACCACAAAGCGAATTTTGCGTCTTGGGGTCCTGAAATGCACTTTGAAGTAAACACACTAACATTCTGGATTTTAATATTTGTGCTATGTAGAAAAGAGACTAAGCTCAGCGTTGACGACCTTACCTTCGCCTGGCGGAAGCTCTACGATCTGACAAAGAGCCTGGCATTCCCCAAGCTATGGCAGGACAACTTGGTTCAGCAGCGTTCCAAGCTCAAAAGCATTGTAGAGGTAATATGCGTGGCCAGCCGGTTTTTCCCGCCGGCATCGGCCAACGAGGTCTTCGAGGAGCTGCTGCCGCAGATCCAATTCAATTCAATGGACTGGCAGCTGCCGATTGTGCAGATGCTCAATCTGTTTGTCCCCACAGCGCGCTTCCTAAAAGCGCCCAAAACCGACGACAACGAGGGTCCCCAGAAATGGCTGCCGACGATTTTCTCGCTGTGGTCGTTCAACCTGCGCAACTCCGGGTACGACGCGTACTTTATGAACCTAGTGACCACCCTGTCAATCGAGCACACGGGCCACTTTAGGTTCACTAAAGAGCAGATCCGGTTCACATTTGCAGCGGACTGCATTTCTTTAACCTTCCTGTTGCCCGCGGCACGGCGCCACTGCCGCGCAGCTCGGGCATTCCCCTGGCGGACTCGTCCCAGTTTTATCGTCTCCCGCAGAACGGGTCTCTGCCGCTGAGTGAGGAGCGGGCGCACACATTTGCCCGGTTCATCGTGTACACTATATACGACGAAGATGCCGGCGGCACCCTAGAGCTGTTTGAGCAGCTCGTACAGATGATTGAGCCGTTCTACCATCCATCGAACAACGGCAGCTGGAGTGGCATTTTGTCGCGCTTCCTGCGGCACCTGGGCAAGGAGCTTCTGCAGCGTGTGAAAGCAGAGAATGCTGACGATTGCACGACTCCCAAAAACATGCGGCTCACCCGCCGTATGCGGCGCCGGTTTGTTGTCTCTGCCCGCACCCTGGCCATGCTGCTGCTGTTCTCCAAGGGCGAAGACTCGGTCAGTATGAGCCACTCGACGCTCAAGCACTTGGCCGAGATAGAGCCTGACTTGATCTTTGGCCCACTCTTGGACACACTGTACACTGCCATCGACTCGGTCACTGAGACGCATCGCATGATCTCAGCAATGCGCGCGCTGGCCAAATTGAGCTCGACCCTGTCAAATTTCGAGCTGTACCCGGAAGGCGCGCAGCACGTGGCACCACTTCTTGTTCTCACGCTCCCTGGAATCGACGTGAACGACCAGACGAAGACGTTGTTTGCGCTGAAGTTTGTCTGCAACCTTTGTCTGAACGGCGTGGTATTCAGGGAGCTGCCAGCCCTGGGTGATATGCCAACATCTCTGGGCAGGGACTTTGACACCGCCACGAACGAGGATCTCGAGGTAGACACTGTGCCAGAACCAGACATGGAGCGCGTCGAATGGATGATCAGGGCGAGCACGGCGCAGTTCGAGGCGTGGATCGACCAGTACCTGAGACGAATCTTTGTGTTGGTTGATAACATGTCGAGCAGCCTGGACAGCGGTGACCCGTTTTCCTCATCCTCATCGTCGGACTTTGGTGTGCACTCGATGATTTCGTACACAACGGAACTGGTGCTGCTGCAGTGCAGCGAGCAGTACTACCCAATGATCACCCGGCTGATCACAAACTTTGCCACCAGCATCAGCGGCCTGTCGGCGGTAGATGGAATGTGCCATGTTATAAAGGCGTACACGAAAGCGCTTCCCGAGCAGGCGCTCTCTAGCCTTGTGCCGATCTGCTGCGAGCGGATTGCCGAGGAGATCAGCAACGGGGTCGGCGCGATGGCGTCCATGAGCAAGCGCACGCAGTCGCATTCGGAGACCACACTGGTATGGTACGTGTCGATCCTATCCACGCTGACTGACTGCCATGGCGGTGTTCAGCTGGTAAAGTACAAGGACATGATCCGTACGACAATCTCTCTTTTGCTCGAAAAATGCCTGTCACGCCACATCTACACCATTGCCTGCAAGACCCTGAACAACATGATGTGCAGCCTGACACGCGTGTACCCGGATTTCTGGCGAAGCGTGTCGTTTGAGCAATGGAAGAATCCGGAGTTCCAGGAGAACCACTTCCGTTACTGGGGCCAGCACGCACTAATTGACGACGAAAAGTTTGCGCTAGAATGGCATGTGCCGAGCCAGCCGGAAATTTCGTGTGCGATAGAACTCATGCATGAAATTATTGTCCCGCACGTCAAGGCGCTCAATGAGCTGCTAGATCAACGGAGCAAGTCACCTGGAAGCAGTGCAGACAATGTGCGCATGAACCGACTGCTGATGGTTCTGATCTACGGGGTACGCTCATTGGGTTTGCTGGTTATGCCGCCTGGCACTCAGATCCCAGCAAGCGAGCTCGGCAGCGCAATCATAGAGGGCGACGAATGCAGCAACATGCCCCGAGGTACCTGCTTGACAGACAGGTGGCGGCAGGCTACATCTTTGCCGAGGGCACGCCAGAGTACTTTGAAATCGTCGAGTTGCGCGAGGCCATCAGCAGAGTGACTGCACGGACACTTGAGTTCATGGCAAAGAGCAGCGAGGACGACGTAGAGAACATCAAGGTATTGCTTTTCCTGGCCCACAGCTGCATGTGCCACTTTGGCGTGGACCGCATCACGCACTCACAGGTCCGTCGTGGGTGGAACTTTGGCCTCGACAACTTCTCAATCAACAATGACGCCTGCGCCATGCCGCGTGTCTTTGCTGTGCGGCGGATAATGTTTGAGCAGTCGGGCCGGATGCTGCACAACACGCGCTTTAGCCAAGCGTCGCCACTGGCCAACGAGATTGCTGGGCTGCTGGCGCATTTCTGCCTCTCGCAGTACACCGAGGTGCGCGCCCACGCGGTGTCTGTTCTGGACAACGTCATGTCGATTCTGCCGGCACTCAAGTACCCGCTCATTCCGCGCTTTCTCGCAGAGCTTAGCGCGAGCGAGTCCAGCGATCCCGAGCGCATGTCTGGGGCGCTGCGTATTTTGGACACACTACCGTTGCGCAAGGCATGCCTTCGTGACTGGCGCTTTTTCCCTGATTTGGTTCTGGCGCTATGCCGCGCGCAGCACGAGGACAAGCCGCAGGTCAAAAAGCTTGTGAGGAGCACAGCTGTTTCGCAGGTCGTGCATGTGTCCTCTCCGCAGCCGCCGCATGAGCTGTCCGAGTCGATTAGAGAGCTTGTGCTTTCACTGGGCGGGCCCGACCCCGACGAGGCCGCCGTGCTTCGGCTGAAGCAGGAGGGCCAGCAAAACTACTTGCTGGCCAGCACCGAGAATGCACAGCTGGTCGACTCGCTGGTCGACATCTTGCGCAATGCCGGCACCACATGGCGGTTTGCTGCGATTGCTGGCTACTACCTCGAACGGCTCACCAGCGTCAACACGGCACCCGCCCCGCGTGTCTTTGCCACTATGGCCGATAACCTGACCTCAGACATTGTGCTTTTCCGCGACAGCGCGGCGTTGAGCCTCGCGCAGCTTCTGAGCCGCATCAGGCACCGCAGCAAGGCTGAATCGGCATTCCGCACGGTCGAGGCGCCCACGCCCGGCCCAGCGTACACCGATATGTGCGAGCGTGCACTGGCCGGGGATGAGGCTGCCCTGCAGGCGCCGTTCCTTGACAGCCCGTCGGCGGGCTGGTTTGCGTGGCCGAAGAAGGTCAAGCTTTACTCACCTCCGCCTCCAGGCGCGCCTGCTGCTTTTGAGAATATCGACAGTGAGTCACAGGATGCGTACGACGCTGTTCGCACCATCATGTTTAGCAAGGGCAAGTGGGACCGCATTACACACTGTTTTCGGTTGAGAGCTCGCGTGATCCCGACCATGATCCGTTTGGTTCTTCGCGCGCCTCACTCTACACCCAGCTGTTCTCGCTCTTTGGCCTGCCGCTGCTCGAGCACGCATGGCCCACCATTGAGCAGCTTGCGCAGGATATTGAGCGCACCGGCGCCCAACGTGCTGCGGCCGAGATTATTGCCGGAATTATCCGTGGGTCCAAGCACTGGGGCCGTGATGCCCTGGCGCGTATGTGGGAGCTATTGAATCCGATTTTTGAACTGGTTCTCTCCCGCCTTCGCCCCAATACCCTGCGCCTCTGGCATATTTGCTTGCAGTTTGCCTTTGCGCGCCGCGACCCTCGGCGCTTCCTGCCGCTGATCAAATATTTGCTCTACTCGAACGCATTTGATCCGCACGCAGATGCGCCCTTCCTCGAGGCCACCAAGCTGGAGCTCATATGCATTATGCTGAGCTGCTGGGATTGGCGCGTTGCTTCGGCCGTTGTCTCGAGCCGCCCACGCTTCATGGAAGGCCTGGCGCACCCATACAAGCAGGTGCGCGACGTTGTTGGCGTTGTCATGTACACGCTGTTTTCGTCCGAGTTTAGCGTCTCGTACAACAACGTGCAAACTGCGCTGGAAGATTTGGCGCGGTACGGGTCGACTGGCCGAGACTTTTCGCACTGGAGCGGGACGGACCGCACGCAGAGGCTTATTCAGGATATGGTGACGCAGATCAACGAGTGGAAGCCCGACCATATTCCGTCGAACGAGGGCACATCCAACTATAGCCGCGGCAGCAAGACGCTGCTGACCTTCTTTTTTTCCGGATTTGGATTCAGCTCTCGCCGCCTGGCTATCGGTCACATCTCGTCCATCATGCCACTCTTCTCGCTGCTTCAGGAGCAACACGACGACGAGGACGTAGCACGCTTGGCGACTGGCGTTATGCAGTTTTTCTCGCAGATCCTGTACAGTGCGCAGGTATCTGAGGGTGTTGCCAGCAAGATTCTGAGCCTGCTGGACGATTCGTCGACAATGTGGCATGTGGTCACCAACACCCTGCCGCTCTTGTGCACCCTGACTTTCTCCAACCGGTTCACGCTGCCGCACGATGTGCGCATGCACATTGTTGATACTGCAGCAACATTCCTTGAGCACGACCAGATCGAGGTGCGCCACTCGGCGTCGACATCCATGGCCAGCTTGATCAAGTGTGCTAGCAGCCAGGTGATAACCGACATCAACTCCAAGTTTTCTGCCAAGCTGACCATGCGTCTTCCGCGCGTGCGTCATGGAAAGCCGCCGAAAAATCCTGCGACGTACGCCAAGCTTGTGCTCACGCGGCACGCTGGCGTCCTCGGCTTGTCTTGCCTTGTACTAGCGTTCCCCTATAACATTCCCGACTGGATGCCCGAGGTGCTTATTTTGCTGGCCAATTGCATCGACGACCCGAATCCCATCCAGAGCACCGTGCAGCGCACTTTTGCCGAGTTTAGGCGCACGCATATGGATACTTGGCACAAGGATCGCAAGCGGTTTTCGTTCGCCCAGCTGGAGATTTTGACTGACATGCTCGTGTCGCCGTGCTACTACGCTTGATCTGCAGCAGGACATGAAGATGTGTAAGCTTTTATTTCAGCGTTAATTTCAATTTCAATATTTAAGAAAGTATACTCAAGATAAAGATATGTAAATAAAAGCTTTAATCCTCATCGCGCTCGTTGCTCAGCTCCTCGAGCGTCTTGCCCTTGGTCTCAGGTACAAACCAGGTAAACAAGAGTCCGACGAGCATGAACAGCGCAAATATCTTGATTAGCTGCGGTATAAACGTGTTCTTGCCGCCTCTATCCTTAAGCTGGAAAAAGCCCAGTTGTGCGATAACCGCGCCAATTTTACCACACGCCGCGCTAATCCCATGGCATGTCGACCGGAACCGTGTGGGGAATGTCTCTGACGGGATGATAAATGTAGTGGTGTTAGGCCCAAAGTTCTGGAAAAACTGCGCCAGCGTGAACAGAACCACAAACCCAGCAATCGACCTGTCAAGGATCTGATGGTAAGCAAAGCCAAGGATGCAAAAGAGAATAATGAGAGCAACGAACCCAATAATCTGAATTGTGCGACGGCCGAGGCGGTCGATCGTGAATACTGCAGCCCAGTATCCAGGGATAGTGCCTAGCAGCGTGAGTATTATGTTGCCTGCAGTCGTCTTTAGTAGCTGGTGGTATGGCGTGCCACCGCCAGAAAACCGATGGCCTGGAGGATGATTGACGAGTTGAGGTTGATGCCGTAGAACGCCACATCCAGCGCAAACCAAGTGACTGATGTGCCCATGAGGACCTTGAAGTTTTTCCATTTTTTAAGTGATGGTAAAACTCTTTCCATGAGGGTTTCTGTGATTTGCTCTCAGCTACAGTCGCAGCTCCCGAGTGCAATGGCTCCAAGGTATTGTCTGTCTGCATGTTGTTGTCGTTCTTGTTGCCAACAGTGGATTTGATATCGCGTGTGGCCTGGCGATGTCCTGTTCGACATCAAGGGTGTAACGCGGGGTCTCAGGAATAGTGAGACGAAAGTAGAGCGCGACGAGTCCAGGAACCGCGCCCAGACCCATGGTAATACGCCAGACATAGTCTAGCATTAGCTGGTCGCTATCAATGGCACCTTTGAACGCGGCCAGAACAATGATAGCAACAATCGCTGCAGCAATAATGCCAAATCCCTGCATTGCAAACACAGTGGCAATCATGGCACCGCGGTTCTTGTTCGTGGCAAATTCGGACGTGATAATGGCACTGACAGGGTAGTCGCCGCCGATTCCAATGCCGAGGATAAAGCGCCAAATAAACAAAATCCAATATACAGAAAGCCCGCGAGCTGTGGTCCCGGCAAAGGAACCGCCTATAGTGCACACAATTATGATTATAAGCTCGACTCCATACATGCACTTGCGGCCCAGCCGATCGGCGAGGTAACCAAAAGCAAATTGACCGATGATGCAACCCACTGGGTTGACCCCTTGATCCACATGTCGATCTTGGTTGGCGTCGCGTTCTTGGCACTCCCTTCGGCATCTGCGTAGTAGACATAGCCCATGATCAGGGAGCAGAGATTGATTGCGAAGATGTCGTAGCTATCGGTGAAGAAACCGACGCCTGCTACCAGGCAGGTCTTGACGTGGAACCAGCCAAACTTGGCGTTGTCGTAGTCAGAAAGCGCCTGGCGATAAATTGCAAGAGTGCTGTTGCCAGCTGCTTGTTTGGCATATTTGTCGGCATCATTGCTTGAGCCGACATAGTTCCCAATGATGTCTTGTTTTTGCAGCGGGACTTGCAACGAGGGTTCAAAGGACATTTTAAAAATACTCAATTGTAACAATATTAATTTGAGAACAATTAATTTTGAGTCAACATGTAAATGCGCCAGAAGTGCGCTTGTTTATATATTATGCGCAACACAAGGCACGTATGCCTTGTCTGTAAATGCGCCATTATTTTCCAACTCGGATCCCAAAGGAAAGTACGAGATAAAAATGCAACTAAAATTTTTATTTCAATCATTATTCCTGGCAACATTGCACGCAGTTGAACAATGAATACCCAAAGTAAAGAATTGCAAAAGCAAGAAATAAAAATGGCTAGCGCAAAAGCACAACAGCAGCTGCCACAGATAGGCATGACATTAAATTTTGAACAAAAGAGCAATTTACCATGATAAAACAAATTGGTTAACAAAATGGCTGTGCCAGGTGCGCAGGGTAATTGATATGATAGGCTGAAAGCGATGTCTCTTTCTAGCATTTGTCAAGACAGACAGCGTACCCTGTTGGGCATTATAAGCGATGCAAGGCAATAGAATTCTCAAATAGAAAATATTGTCATTTCTCACAGGTGCATTCCATTGACATAAAAAATAAGAACATTTACATTTTTTTCAGCTCTTCCTGAGCTCATATGACCGGGGAATAAGGATTGTGCAAAACACGGTATTGTCTTTTATTTTGAAACCGATTGTAAGTGTCTAACAATATCTGCTCACATGTGGTCATTCGAGTGGTCAAAACTGAACTCTTTGATGTAAAGCTTTAGCATATATCATCAATAACATATACAATTAAAAATATAGAGCCGTATTAATCAACATACCTTTTTCTGGATAATCATGATTTAAAATATATTTCAAAATCTTTAATAAATTTAATCAGAACCAATAATTTTTTGTTGTTTATATCATTTTCTATACACACATAGGCACAAATTAAGTTTTTCAAGGGAAAAAACGAAATGTATATAAAGAGAATATAGAAGCAAAAGAAAGATCGAGGCATGCATTTTAACAAGAAAAATTTAATCTTCCTCCTCCTGAGAAGCAGAGTCCTGGTTGGAGTAGATCTCCTGCCACAGCAAATCCTTGAGCTGCTCAACAGACAGTCTCTCTCTGTAGTTATCAAAGTCAAAGAAGTTTGTAGGCAGGGGAGCGCAGTTGGGCTCATCGGCCTCATCATGGTACTGGGCCAAATACGGGTGAGCCAGGGCCTCCTCAACAGTAATACGCCTTCTCGGGCTAAAGTTCAGCATCTTGTCCATCAGATCAATGGCCAACGGGCTAGCATACGGGAAATGCTTGCTCAGGTTAACCTTGGCCTTGAGCGGCAGGCTGCGGATATAGTCGCGAGCACGCGGGCTCTTGATGTCCAGGTAGTCGCTTGAGATCGGGGTACCGAGAATATCGAAAATAAGCTTGAGTTGATGGTGGTAGTCGCGTCCGGGGAACAGGGGCATTTTTGACAGCATTTCGGCCATGATACAGCCGACGGACCAGATATCAATAGCCTTGGTATATTCCTTGAACGAAAGCATGATTTCGGGCGCGCGGTACCATCTGGTGGCAACGTATTCGGTCAGGAACGACTCGTTGTTCTCCGTGTCCTTATTTGCGCCGCGAGCGAGTCCAAAGTCGCACACCTTGAGGTCACAGTTAGCGTTCAGAAGAATGTTGGCTGGCTTCAGATCACGATGCAGCACGTCGCATGAATGGATGTACTTTAATGCGCGGAGAATTTGGTACAGGAAGTACTGAACGTGCTCTTCCGTCAAGTTCTGCGTCTTGATAATACGGTGAAGGTCGATGTCCAACAGCTCCTGGACGATGTAAACGTTCGAAAAGTCGTTGCGGGGCTTGAGGTTGACTACATCGTACAGTGTGATGATCTATTGTATTGTTTTTTGTGTGTGTTGACAATCAATTTTGCAGAAAGGTGAGGGTTTTTTGGTTAGTGACTGGAGCGTGTTTTTGCGAAAGAACTACTTTACTTTTGGCAATTAATGAGTGGAAATTGTCAAACATTATCACATGCTCACGGCCATATGCCAAAGACACTCACACAAAATTGACATTGTGGAAAGATTCGAGTCGCAACTGACACAAAAAAGAAAAAAGAAGTAATGTACAAACATGATAAACTTACGTTCTCGTGGTTAAAGTGCTTGAGCAGCTTAATTTCGCGCAGCGTGCGCTGGCACAGCATGGGGCTGTCGAAGGGACCAATGCGCTTGATAGCAACATCGACGCCGCTGGGAATATGCTTGGCGGAGCTACAAATAGAAACAAACCAAAAAGGGAAAATAATGAGCTTTTTTAGCAGATAAAGGAAAACAAGGATAGGCTGGCGTGGCATGGCGCGGGGATAATTGAAAAAGCACAATGCAGTTTTTTGTGATCGACATTTGCTGTTTGTAAAAGTAAAGGTTAGGGACGGAGATATAGCCGAAGCTGAGGCTGGATTCAAAGTCGTAGCGCAACAAGGAAAGTGGCAGAAAGCCATTTTTCTATTATCAATACCAATTTCATCACATTCTCCACACAAATAGCCAAACAAAAAAGAGAAAGTAGGCCAGACCGTTTTGGTTGCCCCGAAATGAGGGAGGGGATGGGGAAGAAGCAGTGGGATCAGGAGCAAAACAATGGAAAAAGCCTGTTCCTAATTGTTGTTTGTTCCTGGGTTATTACAAGCTCGGCAGGAACAAATAAAAAGAAAAGTAATACATACCAAACAGTTCCGTAGGCGCCCTGGCCAATGACATTAAGGACCTGGTATTCAGGGCCGGGGTTAAAGTTCTTCAGCAGGTTCTGGATAGCCATGGCCTGGGCGTTAGCCTGCTGCTGATGCTGTGCTTGCTGCTGAGCCTGCTGCTGCGCCTGAGCCTGCTGCTTCTGTTGCTGTGCCTGTGCCTGTTGCTTCTGCTGTTGCTGGTGATGCTGCTGCTGGTATTCCATCTTTTCTTTTTTTTGATTAAATGGGAATAACAGAGGATCTAGCGTCAACGTGTATATAAAAAAGTATGCAGAGGTAAGAGTAAAAAATTAGGCTTATATTGAAATGTGTCAAGATGAGAAAGGTTTCGAAAATAAAATTTTTATTGTTTGTTTGCTTTTAAAGAAGAGGATAGAGATGTATATAAATAAAAAATACTAAACAATTTTAGAGAGAACAAACGTCAAAAGGAAAAAGACGTCCCAGCGTAGATTTGTCGTTAAAGCTGTTTGTTATTTTTATTGTCGTTGGTGGCAATAGGGAAATGGTTTCTGGCGGGAACAAGCACCAACTGGGCGGCTTGAAAAGAAGCAGGCAAATATTACAAAAAAACATACCAGGTGCAAAGGAAAGAGTGAGAAAATAAGGGATTATCGCATTATTTAACGCAGAAAAAAATGCGTGCCTTCCGTGTCCTCATAGTCCGTCTTTGCAGGCATTTGAGAAAGGGATGCTTGTGCCTTGTCGATCGCCACACCTTCTTTGTAGCAGAGAAAGCCATAGAATGCAACGAGAGAACGGGTTCCTTGGCGCAACCCGAAAAAATAATAACAAAAAGTTGGCGGGTTGGAGAATCATCTGGGAAATGGAACTGCATGGTTTCAACGTGTCTTTCAATTTCACTGGGCACAGATTGCAGCATGATATTTCTTGGTTGAATTGTGCACAGCTACAAGCCAGCACCAAAAAACATCAAATGACGAAAGAGTCGACAGGCAATATGTTTAAAATCAGATCAGATAAACTGGAAAGAAAGAAAGAAAGTTAACTAGGACAGCGGCAGGGTCTTTAATTTTTTTGCATTGCCACTTCCTCCCCCATTTACACTCACAGGGCAGTGGCAGTGGCGGAAGCCAAGTCGCCGTCGTCCTCGGGCAAGTAGGCAGCTCTGGAATGGCTGACTTCGCAGGCCGACATAAGCATATCCATCGAGCCCAGCAGCATGGTAAGGTCCTGCTGCACGCGCAGCTCGACACGCACCTTGGACCGCAGGCGCATGAGGAGATCGGCAATACGCGCAGACTGGTGCAGCAGCTGGCCGTAGATGTCCAGAAGTACCTCGGCGACCCTGACGAGTAGCTGCGTGTAGCGCGGGTTGTCGATGAACTTGATAACAAAGCGCAGAATAGGATCCAGCGACAGCTCATCGCGGCCCGATAGCGCGGTGCCCAGGCCGTCGCGGTGCACCAGTTCCTGCAACAGCGACACAACAGTCAGACCCGTGCGGTTGTTGGCTAGGACAGCGTCGAGCGCACGAGCGTACTCGAACTTGCGCAGGAATTTGTCATAGTCAGCCAGGCTGCGATGGCGCTTGTGTTCGATGCGCAGATCATCGTCGGCGCCCTTGTTGGAGGCACCACGCATGAAGTAGGCACGGGAGGCGTAGTACGGGCGGGCCTTCTCCACCTGAACAGATGCCTGCTCCTTGGCAGACACGGTGCGGCGACGCAGTGAGAACACGCCTGAGGCCATACCGACGGCCAACAGCGTGTTGTCGGGAGACAGGGCCACGCTGAGCACTGGTGCCGGGTAGTTGGCGCTGTACGTCATCTTGAATGTCTGCACGTCGTACACCTTGACGTGATGGTCCAGGGAGCCTGCCAGCAGCCGTCCGCCGCTGTTGTCCAGGCACAGCGACGTCACAGTCTTCTCGTGATTACCCATGCTGACCAGCGGTCGCCCGCCCATCGTGATGTCAACAGCTGCACGCTCGGCCCACCGGCAACGGCCAGCACGCCGGATCCTGCCAGCGCCACCACGGCTTCCACCGGATCCTCAATATCGATCTGGACGGCGCACCGATTCGCGCGTACGTCCCAGATCCGCACCGTGTGGTCGTACGACCCGGTGGCCACCAGATTGGGGTTTTCGGCAAACACACATCCACTGCGCACATAGTCGGTATGGTCCTCAAATGTCGCCACGGCTGTCTGGCTGGCAATATCCCAAATACGCACCGTAGCATCGTCTGATCCTGAGAAACGTGTGTCCGGTTCGGCAGGAACCGGTCACATGTACCGGATCCGTATGGCCCTTGAATGTCCGCAGGATCGCGCGGCTGTTGACATCAAATACCTGCACCAGGTTGGAATCGTCACCAGCTACCAGCAGCTTGCCGTCGGAGCGGAACGATCCGCTGTGCGCGGGCTGTTGAACCGCGTGATTGACTTTTTCAGCTGCCCCGTGCGTCCGCTGTACATCTGAAGCCGCGTCGACGCAGTCACCACCAGATCGTGCGGCTTGATCGGGCTAAACTCAAGCGATGTCACCATGCCGTACTCCTTGATCAGTACCGGCGACTGGAACTTTTTCCAGTACCCGGCCTCGGAAGAGTCCGCTTCACGTTGCGTGCTGCCCGTGCTACTCCCAGCGGTTTAAAGTCCATTGTTTGTGACTGTGGTTGTGTGTTTCAAAAAAAGAGAGAAATATATCGCACCTTGTAGCAGAACGCAAATTGAGTCAAATGCAATTGAAAGAAATAAAACAAAAGTGCAGTGAGAAATTGAAAAGGGAGCAACCAAAAAAAAATTGGGCGCTTCATGAGAGAAGCAGAAAAAAACCTACACATAAATCGATCAACGCGGATCAAATCGGTAATTTTATTTGTGAGCCCAAAAAATCGAAAGCGATGGCAGAGGAGCGGCATTCGCTTTGACAGATAAAGCGAGGGAAAAATCAAAATCAAAAACAAAAAACATTGAATTGTTCTTCTCGCCCGCAAACCCTTTTTGTTCATTCATTTTCAATTCACATTTTTCTTTTACTATCCAGATTCGACGACGGCCGATTCAGACACACACACTACTATTACTACATTTGTAAATATGGCGCAGCGCTTCGGAAGCTTTAAAGTTTACTTTCCCAATATCATATTCAAGATAATTCCCGATGCGCGCCTAAGCAAAAACCAGGCGGCCTTCCGCGTCCCTCTGAACGTCAACAAACTAGATATCAAGGACTACCTGTCTCACATGTATAATGTGACTATCACTGATGTGCGTACAACCGTGTTTCCTGGAAAGGTATCGACCAACCGATTCACTGGCCAGAAGGAGCGCTCGTCGCGCGTCAAAAAGGCCATTGTGACAACCAAGGAGACCTTTGAGTACCCGCAGGAGGCCGACATTGACAAGGACTTTGGTGGACTCGAGATCAAGTATGAGGAGAAGCGGAGGGCTAACAAGCTCAAGGGATGGCGCATTCGCCCGACGATGGAGATGATGTCGCTCAGGCAAAAGATTCTCGAGAACCGCAAGGCTGCGGAGAAGGAAGCTGAGAAGCAAAAGTGATTGTGTACTCTTCAAAATCTTATTAAAAAAGTTTACGGTGTTTGGCGAACCAACTCTATATTTATTATATTACGCGGCTTTGCAAGCCAACTCGACCAAATGAAATATACTATAACAAATCCCCAACCATTGAGAAACCTTGGATATTGTGTTAACGCATTACCTTTAACTAAATGTAAAGGTAAGTGCGTTAACAGTCTATTAACACCTTTCGCCTGAGGTATGAATTAAGTGCAATAATTTGGCAGAGACTCAGCAGCAGCAGCCAGGCACAAAGCCAAGGAGGCATCATCTGCTACAGCTATTCATCTAAGCAGGCAGCGCACGGTTGATTTATCCACATATCATGGCGGTTATAACCGCAGTTGTTTATCACAGAACAGGTATTTGTCAAAGAAGCAAGTGGATCTATGGATACATTTTCTCTGGGCGAAGTGTGAAGTTATTGTCCAGCACATCAAATTGCAGTTGCTTGCCTGTCAGGCGTCTATTTTTTGTACTCGCATTTTTGTAACTATGTATGCTTTATATTCCAAAATATTATTTGACAAACCTGACTTCTGAAAAAGGATTGTTAGCTACCAACAGCTGCCTTTATATAATGTTGCCACATTAATGCATGCAAAAATAATGTTTGGTTTAATTAATGCAAATCAATTATAATAGCAGTGGTCTAAAATTACAAGGCAGGTAATCTAATGTTTTTCTAACTGGCTTTTACTATTATGTAGTTCATTATTTTGTTGTGCGTTGTTAAATTTACACGCCACAAGTACTCAAACATCCAAAATTTTGCCAAATATTTACACGTGATACTAACCCCAAAAGCTCATCACATTGTTAAAAACAGTGAATCGACGCGCAATTTTCTGCTTGCTTATGCTGCTAATGGTATCTGTCCACATTCATTCCACTGCTCCACCACCCTTTTTTTACATTATACCACCACTTAACCATATTCAAAGCGATTGATGCCGACTACGAAATTCTGTTTGGACTGCAACAATATCTTGTACCCGCGCGAGCACAGGGATGGAAGAATCAGAACTTTGCATTTCGCCTGCCGCAACTGCGATTACCAGGAAGAAGCGGACAACAACTGCGTCTATCGTCACGAAGTCACTCATATCCCGAGGTATGTATAAATGCTAGTTTAATAAAAAACACTTTTATTTTTATGTTTAGCGAACATATTGGCACATCCTGTACATTTAATCATAATAACGCGTGTTTGTTTTATTTATTTCAACCGTGTAGCGAACAGACTATGGTGATCACGGATCTATGCTCAGATCCTACGCTGCCTCGGACAGAAACAGTACCTTGCCCAAAGTGCGCCGGCCAAAATGCCGTTTACTTCCAGTCTCAGTCCCGCCATCCTGACACACGGATGACCCTGTACTATGTCTGTGCCAACCAGCAATGCCAGCACCGCTGGCAGTCCTGAAGCTTGCGGCTTTATTCTACCCGATATCTTGGGCTTGTCTATATTGTTTTATTTTTACTCAATAGCAAGCACTCTCAAATCAAAAGGCGCAAAAGGAAAATAAATTTACCAGTAGAACCCCGCAGAACAACAAAAAACAAACAAACAAAAGTTTTATTATTGATTTTAAAAAAGCGTCATAAAAAAGGTGTCCTTCGATTTTTTCCATGAGAACAGTTTAACCAGACTTGAACAGCAAGACAGCCAAGTGTCCATAGTAGAAGTAGATGAAGTATCCGGTTTCGTGGGTCACGTACGAGCCAAAGTTGCGACCGACAACAACATGCCAGGTAGGGCCAAACTTCTTGTCGCACTCGCGCTTGATGCTTGCCGCAATATCCTTCTCTGCTACGGACTCGGTGAACGCCTGCTTGGCAATTTCAGAGACCTCAAGCTGCATGGCCTCGTTCATGTCGACGCTCTTGATAACGATTTTGGCATCCTCCATGGTTGATTATTAGATAAAATGTGACTAAGAAATGTGTTGAGATGGTACGAAAGAAATGAAAGAAAAAGAAAAACTGCAAATTTGAGAAAGCGAAAAGTGGAAGCGAGAAAATCACAAAGCATTGGAAACATGTTCCTCTTCTTTCCCCCTTTCTTATTTTTCTCGTCATCACAAACCAAAAAAGCGCGCAAAACAGGATCGGCATAAATAATTTCAGCTCAGTTCAGCTCAGCTCATCTCACCAAGGCCATTAATAATACTTGTATTAATCGTTAAAAATAAACAATTGAAGAGCATGTCATTCATGTACAAATAAAACAAAAAACTATTTGGAGAACAAAAATAAATAAAACTTGTGGAATCAAGCTGACGACGATGAGTCCGATCTTCGTCCTTAGCATCGTTCACTGCCTCATCATCTGCTTGGTCTTTGTCTCCATCTGCTTGGACATTGTCATCAGCTTTGAACTTGTCATCATTGGCTTTGCCACTATCATCGGCCTTGTCACCATCGCCGCCGCTGCTCTCGCCGCCGCCACCACTACCCTCACCGCTACTGTTCTTGGAGATACTGATGGTTCCGGGTATTTTTTCTCTGCCCGCCTCGAAAGATGCGATACAACCGTGCCAATAACTGGGAGGTTCTCACCACCAATAATCATGAGATTCAAAACTTTGGTCGGGAGGCTTCGGTCGGTGCGCGAGTACTCCGCATGCAGCTTGACAACCTTTGTGGTCAGCATGTCCTTGCTATGCTCGTAGTATGGCTGCGCAACCTGTGGAAGAATAGATGGAATGGTATCGTTAGCTACAACCTTGATGTGATCTTGCACTGATTCCAACATTTTGTACGACCGCTCAGAAATCTCCGATCCGTATACATGCGCGGTGTCGTGAACCGTTTGATTCACGCCGCTGATAATTGCCTTGCTACTCTCCAATTGGTTGTAGAAAAGCCTTCCCAGGCGCCGTGGTAACTTGCGCACAATGATCGTGACCTTCGCTATTGTCGAGTCGACATTGCCGGTTGAGGGGCTGTCTGGCGGCTGCCTCTCCTCTTGTTCTTGCTCCGCCTTGGCACCGCCCTGGTCCTCACATTTTCCCATGTTCTTTTTGTTTGCAGATGTGGTCGGCTGCTCGTCGCCAGCAGTTGCAGCCGCAGCCGCGGCAGCAAAAGAACCAGTGCCGCTTGGTGGCAAAACATAATCAATCACATAATCGACGCGGTCGAGAGTTGAGTTGGCCACGGCAAACGTGCGGGCAACAATTGGGAACTTTGACTCAGCACTTTTGGCTGTATTCTGCACACTCTCAATGACCTCAGGCGTGGACTTTGTGACAATTGGGAACTTGGCTTCGACGACCTCCAGCGAGCGAATGGCTAAATGGTCCAGGATTGCCAGGGGCTTCTCGACGGGTCTGAGCAGTGGACGGGTTTTTCCAGCAAAGCTGCCGACTTTTCGGCAAAGCTGATGATCGATCTGGTGAGCTGATTACTGTCGGCAATCTGATAAACGCCGCTCACAGCGTCGTTAACTATCGGGATATTGTAAAGATGCGTGAAGAATGACATGTTTGACGGATCTGGCGCTTCTCCCTCGGATTCAGCCTTGGGAGACTCGCTACGAGTTTCGTCTTGGGTGGCTGGGTCGATGGCGCCGAACTGGTTGTCATCTGCGTATTTCTGTTTGCGGCCTTTGACAGACGGCTGTGTAATCTCCTGCATTAGCATTGACACGACGGTAAAAAAACCAAAAAAAAAGTACGAGTAGAGAGAATAGAGCGATTTTTAATAATGAAGAGTTAGGCAGGAAAAAGAAGAAAAACGACAAAAAAGGTGAACGAGCACACTAAATAGCCTTCGAATCGTCGGAATGGGGGGCGCACTGAATAAAGTAAAGAAAAAAGATGGTAATCAAGGCGTGAAACTGTTTGTGTGGAAAAGTGATCGATTTATATGCGCAGCGGGGTTGATGACGAAATCATAGCAAAAATAATGAAGTGCAGCTCTTTAATCACATCAGACCTTCAACTAATAGGGGCTGCAGGTGCGCGTGAAATGTGCGCCTGGCCATCGGGATGTCATCCCGAAATTTTCCGCCTGAATGGCATTGATAGCTGCTGCCCTTGTCACGCAACAATATTTGGGAAATTCATTGTTGTTTTTTTTTCAAAGCTAACAACAATAACCCATTTTCTTAAATAAAAAATATTATTCAACATATATGCGTCTTTACATTTTAACAGTCAGCGTTATAACTAATTGCTGTGTATTTGCATTTAAATCTACGTCTAAATCTATTAGGACCGAGATATACCGTGCTGCCGCATGCGCATCAATGTCAGCGACTCAAAATCCGCAAACGCCAGGCTGCTGCCCGAAACATCACGCATATCAATGCTCGCAACATCTGGCAAACGGATGCTACCAGCGCCAGCGCTAAAGCCAGAACCAGAACCATGCTTATCTGCCTGGGTGGTAGTGGACTGAGCGGCAAAAACAGAGGTGTTTGCTGTAATGTTGCGCACTGCCTGCGGCTCCGCTCCTGTAGCCCAAAACCGCAAAAAACCGCGTAGTTGGCTGCTCTGGTGCTGCGTGTTCATCAGCGCATGTGCAGATGTAATTGATTTGAACACTAGTAATGCTGAAGACATAGAAGGGTCCTTTTTCTTTCCATGGTATGACGTCGGCGCCACGACAACCTCCTCAATGTCCCCAAAGATCGAGAAAAGTCCTGCAAGCGACTCACAATCATGCATGCCAACATCCACCATGTCCCATCGAATGCGAATGGTCCGGTCCAATCATCGACCTCGTTTAGCTCCGCCAGAGTCTCATCTGTCCGCTTTGCGTCCTCGTTCATCTGGCGTATGTGCTCGCGCATCTTCCTGTCGTGCCTCTGCTCCTCTCGCTGCGACTCTTCGCGAAACCGAGCGGCTTCCCGGTTGACATCGTGCTCGCGCTTCCTTTCAATCTCGCGTGCCTGTCGGGCAATTCGTTCTTCTCTTCCAGTTGGGTCTTCATCCGTTTGCGCTGCACGGAGAGTGCATCCTGCCGTTGGCGCTTGGCCAATTGAGCCTTCCGCTTTTCATCGTATTCTGCTCGTTGCTTTGGATTGTTGAGCAAGTCGTAAGCGCTTTTGATATCGTGGAAGAATTTGGCTGCATTGGGATCGTCGCGGTTCTTGTCAGGATGATGTAGCAGTGCCTTTATCCTGTATGCTTTTGTCAGCTCCTTATCGCCGGCCTCTGCTGTAACTCCCAGCAATGCATACACATCGATATCGCTGTCCATAGTTTTAAAAATAAAAATGCCAATAAATAAGTGATTTTGCATGTGATGTACTGTAAATTTTCCCGCGCTCATTTCCTTGTTACTGCTATTTGTATGGTGGGCACATTGTGGGACAGAATTTCCGTGCTTCAGGGCGAGTTAGAGTGTTTCTGACAAAAAATATTATGCCAAAATATTTCTAATTATGTCTAAAATATCAAAAAAAAACTAAATATTTAATATAAATTAAACATATCCACTTTATATTGTCAGGATATTTAAATGTTGTCTTTGGAGTACGAGTAAATTTTAATTTATACCTAAGAATATTTGTCGTCGTCCAATATAATATTGTATATTGGGATGTTGAGCAACTTGATGATATGGAAATAGATGATGAAAACTCGTTTCACGATTCTTAACCTCAATATGCAGATTAACAGGGCATAGATGGCACCATGCAGGATCAAATAAGGGGACACAATAGTGACACCCTGATATACCTCTCCTTTCCATAATGCATATGCTTGAGCGCACATATGCAAAGATCATAGTATTGACATGCCGAGCCACCAGTCTGCCTGCAGAAAACCAGCTCTTGCCAACGGAGTGCACAATTGGTGAGGTGCACAATAAAGGCAACATGACATATATAAGATGAGGTCGGCCTTAGTTACGCCTTTGATTCATTGATAATAAAAACTATAACAACCCAAACATAACTTTCACTAGACAACAACTAGTGTCCTCAATCACAACAGGAAATTAAGAAACGCATGAAAAATTGCCATTTACTTTAGAATAAACTGAAAATCTACGAATAATATTTATTGTTTATGAAAATGCAAAAAATGTACAATTTAAAAACAAAAAATGCAACCAGTAAACAACTTTTCGAGCTAAACTGATACACAACGTATAAATGGCTTTCCGTGATGCTCGTACTAAATCTAACTGCATATGCACGAACACCAATTCCACCATCAGAATCGGCGTTTGATTCTAAACTGGTTTGAGAGTTTGATTCTGAGCTGGTTTGAAAGTTCGAATCTGAACTAGACTCAGAGCTCATGGCGACATATAACTAGAGCTTGAGCCATAAAAAGTGCTATAACTAGAGTGTGATGCAGAGTCAAACATAGATGTAGTCTCAGAAATTGGCTCTGACTCGGACTCACTTGGCTCTGTACGATTTGTGTCAGCGCTGCCAGTAGTATTGTCCGCCATGTTGACGCTTTCAGTGGCTCTTGTTACGGTGAAAAGTATGGTGTTATTGAAAAATGTGGTATTGAAAACAAATGAAAAATAAACTAGTTGGTTGACAAATATAAAAATTAGGAGAAAAATAAAAGAAAGAATAATGTGCTAGTTTAAAAATATAATATGCATGTTCATTTATTTCTTTAACGGGATTTCAACTGAAAAAAGGAAATACAATGCGGAAAACGCGTGGTTTTAAAAACAATTACAAAGGTAAAAATGACTTGACTGCTGGTTTTGTTTTCTCGTGCTTGCATTCCACCCTGTTTCAATAAAGCAATTTTTTATTTTAAGTGCACTTGGCTCGTTGCCAAAAATATTAGTAAATAAAATATATTGCGACATTGTAGAAATTACCATTATAAAAAGAAAAATACCAGCTGTCACTAAATGTTTTTTCAAGTGAATTTTAATTCATTTTCATCTCTATTTTTTACTTCATCTAACAAGTTTCAATATATACAAAATTTTATTAGTTTGTATTATACACTCAAAAACGCTGGCTCTAGTTATGAGCCGAGCGCAGTGAAAAATAAGAAATTGGCGGTGGACTGGATGTGTAGCCCAGAGTCGCATCGGCAAGCGTGTCAAAGTGCCCAGCAGCTCGAAAGTGATAAAGAAACGTGTAATGAGTATAATCTAGTGGCTGTTATAGTCCAAAATTTTGTTTGTTTGATTTTCCCACACTTCCTACCTTTTTAGCTCCCTACCTCTATGCCTTTGTATTGCCTGTTTTTTATTTTTATTTTTTTATGAGTTGCATCTACAACATACAAGCTGATCAGACTTGTAATGATTGCTGTGCCGCCATGTATTTAATAATAAATTTAATAAACCCCGAGAACATTTTACAATGTTTCAAGGCCCATGGACACTCATCTTTTTTTGTTCTTTTTTTTTGTTCTGTTTTTTTGTTTGTTCTGTTCTTTTTTTGTTGTTCTTTTTTGTTCAGGCAATACATTGCAAGAGGGCGGGTAGCAGCAAAGGGAGGAGTGGGTAATGGGAGACGAAATATGAAGATAGGGCTGGTTGTATGACGAAAGAGGATTGACGTGGAAAGCCGGTGGGTGTGTTCGAACATCCCTGGCATAAGTTGTGTTTTGAAAGTGAAAATGTGGACTGTAGATTTTGCGAGCAAAGGGTTGGGTTGGTTATTGAAAAGTCAAGAGGAGGTAAGTGGTATCCGCGGTCGCTGGTGGTATATTCCATATACAAACATGGTGTGTAAAGTGTAATTGGTAAGTAGTGTTGTAACAAATTGTGGTGGGATGAGAAACCAAAGAAATGTCTTGGGAAGTGGACGCTCTATTTATATGAAACCTGGCATTCAAATGGATGGGTGAGAAAGGCAGCTAAAACAGACCTATCATTTAGAAAAAGAGATGGAAAATAAAAAATACAGCGAGTTCTTTGTTTTGGGCCAGCCTAAAATAATTTTCCCACGTTTTTTTGCACCAAGAGGCTTGTATTTGGGTAATGAAGCAAGCCCAAACTGCCAAAAATAGCAGCAGATATATCACCATGTGCTTGAAGAAAAATGTTGTTAACATTGCATCATTTTGATGTCAACATTGCATTATTTATGTCGTGAAATAAAGTGAAAGTGATTTTGATATTTGCAAAAATACAAACATGCATTCGGCCATTTTTGCAAGACAAACAATGATATCTTTTTTTTTTTTGGGGGGGGGGGGAATTTTGTTCCGAAAATTTACATGTATATTTAGAGAACCTGGGTAAGAGGCCCAACTTGAAACACAAACAATTGATATTTGAATAGACAATTAATACACCCTCCAACAAACAAGCACACTGTTCTGTGACAAAAAATAAGGGGTAAGTGAATGTGAGACATGTATTTGTTTACGGAAACCAATATATTTTATATTTGCCAATGTTGGCTTTCATTGTAAGAAAAAACTTGGAAACAAAACATTGGACACTACACATTTTTTGTTTGTATTCAGGTGTTTTCTGTTGGAATCATGCGGAATGTACTGTTTTGACCAGATAAATACGACAGCGCATGTAAAGCTGACCAACAAGATAGGTCATTTGATGCTGCCTGTTTTTGGGTTGGGGCTGTTTATTTTTGTTGTAATTCTGGTGACCAACCCAAAATAATTACAATGCGATTGTCACGCAGTCAGTTACTTGGATATTGCAATTTCAAAATAGAAAACAGGATTTTTAAATGCATTGTACGATTGTACGATGAATGTTTTGTTTGGTTACAGAATATACGCTAATCATTTCAATAGCTTTGCTTAATACTTGTTGATCCAAATTGCACAAATCTTCTAAATCAGTATCACCAAAACGCGCTTCGAGTTTGATTGCATAAGCTCTGACGGCCACAAGCATTTTTAATCGACCAAATAGCATTTGCTATTTTTGTTGTTCTTACACGCGCATACAGCACAGGCTTCGATGCATGTGTTTAGCCAAACTCATTTCTATTGAAAGCAATTCTTTCTTATTTTTGTTATATTCACTTTGAAATCAATTTTAAATAGCCGTATTTTTATATTCTCTTCAGCTTCACTTTTGTTTTCACATTCTCGTTTTATTCACCACGCTACTGATTGCACTCAATGGGCCAGTACTGGAGACTCGTTTGCTTAGACAAAAGACAGGCTACTGGCAGCTACGGTAAACTTGGCGAGTTTATTTTTGATGGCAGCAGCCCAAGATATATTGCGAGAATGCTAACTCGCGGCATTTACTATATTCCCGATAGGCCGTTGTCAGCGAGGCCGATCAGCGAGCACACAACTAATGTGGGTTCAGTAATCGAGTCTCTACCAGACATAGTGCTGGACACGATCATGCTGCACCTGCCGGTGGTTGACGTCTGGTGCTTTGCCCTGACTTGCTACCGCACGTTGGAAATTGGCCGTCGCAACCTGGCTCGTTATTTCAACTTCAAGGAGGGCAACAGGGTCTGGGCTGGATGCCGCATCATTTGCGTCGGAGACTACATTGAAGATTACCCGCCTGGAGTTCTCACCGCTTCAGAGGAGGCAGAGTTGTCTGAGAAGAACCTGTTCCGCTTGGCTGATGATTTTGGGGAAGATTGCAGCTATGAAGATCCAATGAGCAGCTTTTGCGAACGCGTGTTGTTTTCTGGACACTACGGTTTAGCGAGAGAGCTTCTTCCCAAATACAAGATCATGAGCCAGCAAGACAAAAGCTACATACTTCGCAATCTGACCACCAAGGAGTATGTGCGCGCTGAAGCATTCCACGACACGCTAGCCAAATTCAATATTGGCGATTTGATTCTATCGCGCATATGTTGGTCGTCAGATGACTCGGTAGCCATGGTTAACAATGTCGATATCCACCGCGGCCTTTGGGCTGGCCACCGCCTTGATGTAAGCACCAAGGACACTGTGGACGATACTTGGAAGGACGCTACAGACAAGTCGTACGAATGGGTCAAGTCAATTTACGAAAACGAGTTTGGAAAGATCAACTAACATGCATCATTTAATTTTTTGTGGATTCATGATTATAAAAAGTTATGAATTTGCGTGTACGATCTTGTGGTTTTCTCGATTTTGTGACTGGGGAGCGCAGCTTGCAACTGCATTTTAAGATTATGCAAATTATTTGCATCCGCAAGCAAAGCTGCGCATAAAAAGCACAACAATTACCATGACCCCCAAAGAAGTTTGTTAAATGAGGTGTGTAAATGGAGACTGTTATTATGTAGCATTTTTTTGGCTTTGCAACAACTACTTTTTTCATTTCATTTTATTTTTTATCACGCATGTATCGATATATAATTTCCATATTATTAAAGATAATTTCCTTCATACATTTGTCTTTAAAGTTGCTCGGGATAATCAAAATGTCGTTTGTTTTCTCCCTAGTACCGTATATGTCGGACTGCGTGCTTGACAAGACTTTTATATATGCACTAAACTTTTACCAGGGCAAACGCTTCATGTTTGGCGCTTCATTCTCAGTTAATGCCAAGGTTGCTGATTTATACCGCTTTTTCAGGGTCAAATTTCCTGAAATAGCCGGAATTAGGTTTAGGATTGCATTTGTCGGAAAAATATACGGATCCTTTATTATTAGTGGTTGCGATGACACTAGAAACGCTATGGACTGGCTTGGCGAAGACCTTCAATTTAATGTGCACAATGTGTTTGTCACACTATAACGCATTTGCATTGCAAAACCTGCTCACAAAAATGTAGGATTCAAATTTGCAAGATTTAGCGGCTTTCTAAGAACAACATTCAATTTTGCTCTTCTCATGTATACCAGTAACCCGATTAACATTCTTTTTTCTTTTTTTAACAGCATATTTATTAAGCAAAAACTTTTCATTAGGCATTTGTGTATTGTACAACGCCAAAGTTTAACCCAGCATGCAGCTAACTATTGCTATCGCAAATGCCGAGTCTAATTAATAAATGTGTAAATTGTAACATTTTTGATGATAAAAATAATAATGTAAGTTTAAATATTGGCTTTGTCAGTTATACAGCAGACTCACTCGAACATGGTCTGGGACTTCAAGGCCCAGGGCGGGCGAAAGTTTGCATTGCGGAACCGGCGCTCCAAGTTGTCGAGCTGCGCGTTGGGCGGGAAATCGCCACCCTGCTTCTGCTGGGGCGAGGCAAGGCTGCTCAGGGGGTACTGGCTCCCCTCCGTAAAGGGGTCAAACTGCGAGGACACGCTCATACGACCATCACGGCCATCGCGCCCGCTGGTAGCGTACTTCTGCAGTGCATCCGCAATAGAGGGTCCACAGGGAGACAGCATGCGGTGGGACTTCTCTATCGGCGACGTCGGTGCGGAAACGCTCACTTGGCTGCCGTTAATCTGACGCTGGGCCTCTTGGCGCAGAGCATTAACCACATTGGGATCGTATAGAGACTCACCCGACCCGGCAAAAATGCTGCGGGATACGGGGCGCTGAACAAAATGCATCTGAGGCGGCGCTGCCTTGGCCTTGCTCTTGGGCTGGGGCAAAGGCAACGGACGACGGCTTTGGGCGCCTCAACAAAAGCAGGGGCGCGGGATGCGGGGGGCCGGTCCATTGTTGGCTCTGGTGACACTGGAAGAAGGGACTGGTTCTCGATTTGCTCGCGGCAGCTTCGAGGAAATTACGCAGCGCCGTAGTCACCCTGCGTGGACCACCGTTGATTCCCGGAGGCGCAGGGAGCTTGTTGCTGTTGTTGCCCGAATACATCGGCATGCTAGGCATAGGCGGCTGGGGTTTATCTACAGGCACCTCGGGAGAAAACCTGTCCAACGAAATGCCAGGCCGGTTGCTGGTCTGGCGCGACCTCTTCCCCATTGTACTCTTCTTGCGCATCAGAATGCTGCGACGACGCATAAGCTCAGTACCATGCTTCTTGCAGTACAGCGCACCCTTGATACGGATGGCGCTAGTCGCGGAACAACCTGAGAGCACTGGTGGCAGCGCATGCACGCCTTGTGGTACCCGTAGCTCTCATGGACCACGCGGTCGTTCAGGTACACAACATGATTGCACCCGGGGCAAAGCGGATGTTCCCAACCATTAACCGACTTTGTGTCATTCAATAACGATGTTGCTGGCCGTGACGCCGACGACACGTTGCTGACGCGCATATCATCCATCCGTGAAATCTTGGACATGGAGCGTGGCGCTCCACCGCCAACCAGTGTCGGCTCGTTGTTGGTCGTCACCGTTGGCGCTGTGACAGATGGCGCGCTGGGCTCGGCAGCAGAGGCTACAGCGATGCTGGCCGGATAGCGTTTCTCAAGGATCTTGGTCTTGACCTTCTTGTCAACCACGCGCTCCGTGATCCATGGTGTGCCCATGGGTGATGTGACTTGTTCGCGCTCGTAATGAGTCTGGCGGTCAACGCCCATATCTCCGGCACGCTGCACCTTTGACTTATCGCCAGCATACGGCATCCCAGTAGACGGAGGAGTCTGGTCGCCGGCCTGGCGCAGCTGCCTCATGTGCAGCAAAAAGTCATCGACAGAAGTAAAAGACTCCATGATCGCGCGGTTCATGTCCTGAAACTTCTTGTCAGACATCTTCGGACGCGTGACAACAGCCTTGCTGCTACCCTCGCCATGGTCAAAAAAGCGCTGGTAGTCAGCCTCGCAATACACGTGTCCGTCGATGGCGCGGAAAGTCGACGAAGTGAGGAGGCAGTCACACGCTTCACAGCGCAGGCAGCTGGCGTGCATAACCTGAGGCCGCACAACAACGTCGCTCTTGTTGACTCCCTCGCCACAGACGCCGCAGCAACCGGCCTCGCAAGCCTTTGTGGGGGCAGGCTCATCAAATGCCGGGTGTTTCCTGCCGCCGCCACGAAGCGTGAATGGCTCCTTGTCAGCCTTGGTGCTGGGGTGCTTACGCCCACCGCCAACCAGGTTGGGGCTGTGCGGGCGCCGCAAGCTCGAGTAGGACGCCAAAGAGTCAACATCTTCCTCGACAACCTTGGGCAGGTCATAGTCGTCCCGAGTGTTGGCGTTCATCAGAGTGCTGGCGCTGCCAAACTCTGAGCCATTGCGAGCATGGCCGCGACGCTTGGAAATAGAACCGGTTTCCAAATCCAGCCTTTCGACTACAGGCTCCTCATCGTAGTTCCGCATAGGCGCACGAGGCGGTTCCTGATGTATGGACTGCGACTGTGCACGGTTTCGCGACGGGCCACGCTGAAGTGGCGGTGGTGGAGGCTGCCGCTGTTGCTGTTGCTCTTCCTCGTTTTCGGCATCTCCTTCTTCGCCAGCAGGCATCTTTCCGCGATTCTTGATATACAGTGGAGGCGAGGGGAAGCGGCCAAAAACAGGCGTAGGCGCACGGAAAAGGAAAGGGCTAGGCTCACGCTCAGGCTGGGCCTGCTGCTCATCTGACTCACCCTGTTCCTGTTGATATTCGCGCTCGTACTCCTGCGGTGGGGCCTGTCTTTGCTGCTGGGGTGGAGCCTGTCTTTGCTGCTGCGGTGGAGCCTGCCATTGCTGCTGCGGCGGAGTCTGCCATTGCTGTTGCGGCGGGGCTTTCCATTGTTGCTGCTGCTGCCTCTGTTGCTGCTGTGGCGGCTGCTGCTGCTGATGGTACTCGCGAGAATAATCTTTAGCAGGAGGCTGACTTTGCTGTGGGCGTTGCTGGTACTCGCGCGGATACTCCTGGACAGAGGGCTGTCTTTGCTGCTGTTGCTGCTGAGGAGGCGTCGACTGAGTACGGATCGACGGCGCGGGAGAATCGCGGATCGATGACTGGTACCCCGCTCCACGCAAAGGCGAAGGCGCGTAGGCAGCGGTGGCAGAAGCCGGCTGTCTGTTAACAGGCGAGCGGACAGCCGACCTGACAGGCGACACGGCGGTATTGCGAGAAGTAGACATTGGAGACTGATCCCTGGCACCAGGGCCAACATATCCATAAGTCGGGCGCATGCTCGCAGCCACGGAAATCGGCCGCAGGGGCTCGGGTGAAATAACCGACTTGAGGTCACTGGCCGCCGAGTCAGGACGATCGCTGGATGCCACAGACGGAGCATAGCTGCTGATGGTCGAAGGCGCATATCCGCTGGTACGGCGCATCACGTTTGCAAGCTCATTGTCCAGATCGCGCGTCGAGTCCGAGGCATCGGAAGACCCGCTTCCGCCGCGAAGGATATTGTTGGAAGAAGCTGCGCTGATGCGGCTCGCGGCTGACGAGCGGTTGACTGCACTAGCTGTGCGGCCCATGACAATGTCAAGCTCGGTAATGCTGCGGTTGACAGGCTGCGCGGTCGTGGCGCTGCTGCGCACGGATGCGCGAGCTAGGGGCTCCTGTGCAAGGTTACACGAGACATGCGCGACGCCTGGGATTCCCTGGTGTGGAGGGACGCCTGAGAGGGCACCCGGAAATCCGACCGCGATACAACTCTGCCTGTTGTGGACGGGTCAACTGCCGATGAGGAATTGTCTGTGCGGCGGAGTTTTGAGTTCTCAACGCCGCCAGTCCGCATCAGCACAGCAGCCAACTCGGGAGACATGTCCTCAAAGTCTATCGGCAGACTGATATCTGACTCGTTGCGCAGTTCGTGATCAACTGGAACTACTGCTTCCTCCTCATCGTGGTCGGCATCGGCCATGTCATCGTCAAAAATTCCGGCGTCCCTATACTCCATGCCCTCCTTGAGCAGAGTTCCGCAAGAACAGTCGACTGCGCGACAGACATCCCGCTCTTGCTCATGGGCCGGGTATTGCCCAATTTCGAGCCAATGCCCGAAATGTGCGTCGACACGCTGCCAGAGCGTGAGGATGCGCCACCACCGACCAGACTGTTGCTTGAATGTACAGACTCAACGTCATTGAAGAATTCGCCATTGCGATGTGACGAGAAGTTGGATGATGGAGCCGGGCTCGAGCACTTGTTTGAGCTGGTAGAGCTATGGAAGTCGCTCTCGATAGCGGCTAGTGTCTCTGCCTCCGTGCGCCGCAGAACTTCCTCGAGTTCGCTGACGGCCTTGGCAACCTTTGATTCAGCAGGATGCCGTTCGGCAAAGGCGTCTGTCTCGGATATGCTGGATTTACCTTGAGTTCCAGATCCCGATGCAGGCGAGGAGGGATCGACCGGTCCCTTGTGCTGCTGATTAAATGGCGATTTGAACTTGATATCAGAGCTGGGCATTTGACGCACAAAAATGGGCTGCGACTTGAGGATGGAGAATGCATTCCCCATGTCTGGAGGACGCATCCTGTACCGATCGTTATCGTCCCAGTACCCGGGATCAACCTTGCCCGGTCCACTGGACTGCTGGTTGCTAGGTTGCGGGTTGCTGGGCTGCGGGTTGGCACGTGTCTGCTGAGCACTCGAAGCAGCAGAAGGCCCAGAAGGTCCAGAAGACTGCTGCGGCCTTGACTGAGCCTGGGGTTGTGGCTGTGGCTGAGACCGGGGCTGCGGCTGCGGCTCGTACTGAGACTGCGGACGGGCCTGTGGTTGCGGACGAGCCTGTGGTTGGGATTCGTACTGGGACTGCGGACGGGGCTGTGGCCGAGACTGTGGTTGCTGCTGGGTAGACCTGGGCTGGGGCTGTGGCAAAGCAACTTGCAAGTTTCCACCTGCAATCGACTGTGGCCGCGAGATCGGGCTATCATGGCGGCTCGGCGGCATGGGGGTGGATGACAGCTGCGGCTGACTCTGCAAAACAGCAGTCTGCGAAACTCCCACCTTTGACTGAGGCCGAGAAATCACATCATCATGGCGACTCGAGGCATCGGCGTCGTCGGCTTATCGTACGGCTTCATCCGTGGCGTGCCCTGGACACTCTGCATCATGCCATTGCGCATGCTCTCCGCCGGAAGCACCGACGCAGCCACGCTCATCTGGTCACTGCGAAGGGTATTGTAAGATGGCACATTGGCCGATTCACGGTCGAGATCCTCCATCGACATGCCGCCGCCAACCAGGATGCTCGAGGGTGCCACAGACCTAACACTTTTGGGCGCCGGGCTCACGCTGGAGCGGTCATTCGTAGAGCTGCGCATCTCTGTGTTGCGCATGCCCAGGTAGGGCGTTTGCGAGGGCGACGATGACGGCAGCGTAGATTCATAGTCCGAAGAGGACTCGGCCATTTCTGCGTTTGCGAGCTCCTCAAGACTCGCGCGCAGCTGTTCTTTGAGCTGCGAGTCCGCCGTGGTTTCGTCAAGGAACCTGGTGATCTCGCTCGGCGTCATGCCGCCGTTGCCCATAAAGCGATAGCGCCGGCGGAGCTCATCGAGATACCTTTTGAGAACCTCCTCGGGGAAATATTGTGTCAGCAGCTGCTCGGCCCGCTCCCGGTAGTTGATCTTGTCCTTTGCCTTGCGCCGGGGCCGCAGCTGCGCGTACTTGTTTGACTCGCGTGGGAGGGACTTTGGACGTGGGCTGGTGCGTCTGCTCGAGCGGCCCTCTGGTGGCGCAACCGGTGGGCCGTTGAATGCCAAAAACACTGACGAGTCTTCGGCGGGCCGTGGTGCTCCTCCACCGCGCAGCACTGTGTCTGGTAGTGACTCCTTGCCTGACTCGGAGTCGTAGTCCAGATCATCGGCGGATGCCGAGAGGGAAATCCGGCTGGGATTAGCGCTCTGAAGCTCGCCAGGGATTCCACGCCAGGTAGTCATCGTGCTCTTGTCCTCCATCGCCGTTATGGACGCCATCTGCGGACGCAAATCCACCGCGGCCTGCGGCCTGCGTGCAGCCCCAGATGCACCACCGCCGATCAGGTCTGGCGAGGCAGAGGTCCCAATGCTCTGCGGTGTCTGAGTCCCCATGTCGCGCTGCTGGTCATCGCCACCGCAGTCGGTCATGGCGTCGTCGTCAAAGGCTGGACGAATCTCCATGAGGCTCTGGCCTGACGATTCGGGCCGCAACGACGTATACTCGCTCATTCGCGTGCTGGCACGGGACACCGGGCTGCTGGCAAACGACCTGACGGACCTGAGTCTGCTGGGCGCATCAAGCTGGTGGCGCTCAATCGGGGAGCCGGTGGTTCCGTTTGAGAGGCCGCCACCGCCCGAGATCTTCGTGGACATGGCTGGGTTTGCAGTCTTTGGTCGGATGGGCAGGGTTCGGATGTGGAACTCCAAGCCGCCGTTGCTGGCGCGCTTGCTTGTGAACGCGGGATTGCGCACCTCGCCGTCGATACTAGGCGTGGGCGACGCCAGGCTTCTCGAATCTTCCTGCTCAACAACAATTTCGCCCTCCTCGTTTCCAAGAATCTATGTTTTAAAAATTGTTTTTTTGCACACGGGATGGGTAGTGCGATCGCCATAGAAATAGTGTGTTTCCAAAGATATTAGCGGGAGTTGAAATAGAAAATTGTTTCCAAATCAAGCATGTGTTGAGGATGTGTCGTTTTCGGATTCGCGTTGGACATTATAGCCGGCGCGCGCGCACAATAAATTGCGTGGCAGCACTCTATCAACGCGTTATCAAAAAACAAATGGGAGTTTCATATATCGGAAAGGGGTGATGTTCACTATTCGCACGCAAAATGGAAATATGAATAAAGATTGGCGTTTTAAAATTTTTTGCCAATAAAAAATTATGCAAGCAAAAATTTGCAGCTGAAATCGTTGTCTGGTTTCAAGCACATCTAGGAGGTAAAAAAACCCACCCAAGAGGCTACCATTCCACATTTCAGTCGCAATGTGGGTGTGCTAATCGCAGGTCTTGAACCTGAATTCATTTGCCAAATGGAAAACAAACTGGAGGTATGCTCATCAGAGCAGGCATTTATTTGTTCTTCCAATGTCTCGGGTTGCAGTTGACCTTGGAGGCAACCGAGTGCATGGCATTAAAGTATAGTGCATGCAAAGGGGGCATAGAGGCACCGACGGGGAGGAGGGTGGGAGCATACATGCAGTGTTTATATTGCTTGTTAAGAGCAATAATCAACCAGCCAAAAAACGAAAGGCAAAGCGAAAGCATTGGAATGCACCCAAAGAAAAAGAGACATTCAGCAATGTGCGCAAGCCCAACTACCTCGGCGCTGGACAATAGCATAAAAAAGCCTGATTTTTTTTGTTCCTCGGGACTTATGAGGTGTGGAATATTGTCGGTCTGCCCAAGAGCGCAGAGCAGCGACACGTATGCAAGGACACAATGGAATAGTGCAGACTCGGGCGGAGATGAGTTGGGTGGAGGGGGAAATTGTCCGTTGAAAATGGAAGTGAACTTTTATTGGGATTTTGTTGGGCGTTCAGGAGCCAGGCCAGATTGATAGACGCAGGGGCCGCAAAGAATAACGGCCGCAAATGGGAAACAAGACGTGTCCAATCCCTTCGACCATCCTTATTTGGCAAGAGAGCAAATAAAAAATAAACAAGATCAACCAACCCCCTTTCCACGGCGTATCTGCCACAAAGACACAAAGAGGAACGTGACAAATTGCAACAGACACGGAAGACCAATGCATTGGAAAGGAAGAGAAAGACCAAGGTAAATGTCGAGGGCAATAAACAAACAAAAAAGCTTGAAGAGCAGCAAACATTGCATTTACACAGAAAAATTGCGCACTCGGCAGCTGTTTACAATGCGGAGTTTTTGCAGCTGAGTATGCCAGCGACTGCTGTGTCGGAGAACGCCCACGCATGTCGGAGCTGGAAAAATGGAAATTGATATTTACCTTGACTGACACTTTGGTCGTGGAGCCATTATCTCTCTTGTCGCCAAAGAGGTCGCCTGTGACGCGAATGTCGTACTTGAAAGGCACTCCGCGGGATTTCTGGGCCTCTGTAGAGCCGATTCGCTACAATTGAACAGAAGATCGCAGTAGAAATGGAAAAGTTCATGATTAGCAGTTATGTGATGCGAAAATATAACTCGTACATTGTCGTCCCATCCTGGCGGTCTCTTGGCCCACGCACTGCATGAATTCCCGGCTCTCCCACACTCATTTCAAAATTCCAGACCGGCTGCAGCTCATTCGAGTGTTTGTGCATTTTGCAGCGATGCACCTAATTGCCAATTCGTTTGGGTGCATTCCGTTAACTTACCCCGTTGCGGTCGGCCATGACTGACTAGCCAAGTGTGTATTTGTATATGTGTGCGTTTGTTTTTGTGGTCTTGGCTGTAGGCGCAGATATAAAAAACAACAGTCTGTTTCAATAGAATATTATTTAACAGCAGCCCTGGCTGTTGTCAACCTGAATTAGGACAAGAGGCACCACTCGAATTGGGCGCTATTTTAACAGCTGCGGGTTCCGAACAAGTAACCGAATAAAGTATAATGGAAAGATAATAATAAATAATAAAGTGTACCAGGGCGCCCAACTTGGCGGAAAAAAGTTTATGATGGAGTATTAATGATTAGAATTTTTGGTGTATATGTTAGGAGAGGGATGAAGTACAGAACAAAAAGAATAAAGGTGAGCTGTTTTATTTTGAAGCAAAAAAACAAAAATTATGAATAGTAGTGAAAATAAAAATAAAAAATTTGAGTAACGAGAAGAACAAGAATTAAAAGGTCCCCACTTTTTTTATGTGTGTAATTTTTCTTCTTTGAAATCACTTTGGGGGAGAGGAGGAGGATGTTCGACAGTTTTTATAGCTTGGGCTAAGCGAAAAATAAATAAACAGCTTGAGCTCATTCCAAAAAAAACGCCCTTTTTTGGCGGATAACGAAACTTTAACGTTGGCAGCCAAAAAATAAATAAACATCCTTTCGAGATCCCCCACCCCTTTACCCGTTCTCCAACCCACCCCCCAATTTTTGTTGTTTTCTCCTCTGCTCCTGTTTCCCTCCCCAAGCAAACCATCCAATCACATTATCGCTATCCTCACTTTTGCACTCTATTCCAAACAACAAAAAAAAGGCAGCAGAAATAAAAACAGGAAAAGCGCAGCCAAAAACAATGTTTTTTTTGTTTTTTTACTGACGTGTAGAAACGGGCCAATACACGTTTGTGTAAGTTTGTGAATGAGTGAGCGATATACAAAGAGCTAGAACATGAAATACCGCTACTTTTTTTGTTTTTTTTTTACACCTTGAGCCCATTTCTAAATTATCCTAGACAGGAAAGAAGCAAATCCATGTAATAACTTTTTCCATTAACTTGTATATTTTATCCCTTTGTGTTTTGTTTGTTGGATAACAAAATGACAAATTTAAATGATATTGTCTGCGTGGATATTAATTTTCAGGCGAGGGAGATTAGGGGGGTGGGGGTGTAATAGGAAAATGGGAATAATTTTAATTTTATTTATTGGACTTGTTTCCTTTACAACATGTGTGCACTTGCAATGCAAAGTAAAGCAAAGAAAGGAAAAGGCAGATAATAAAAAATGACATACATTAAGCACTATAGCTCGGTGACATTGGTGCATTGCATGATTTTGTTTGATATAGGCCAAAAAAAACTGAATGTAAGCTCGTACGAAAAATGTACTTATTTCATTTCTTTTTTTGAGTATAGATATGACATTGTAAAAGAAATCTGAACATACACACGCACGAAAAACTCTGACTTTTCTACCTTTTCTTCCTCACCCCCTTGTCCTGGCAGCTACAGCTTTTCCATTTTTTTTGGTAAAGTGTCGAGTTTGTCAGAATAATGTACGGAGAATGCATGGTAGCTCTCACTATTGCCAAACATTGATAGTATTGTACTTTAGGCACAAATGCCTAATGTGCATGCAGGCACTACAAAAAAGCATTATTTGACAACCACAAGCAAAGATAAAAAGTGGTACGAAAATCATGGGAAATGGAAGATGCACACATTTAGAGCTACAAGATCCTATTTTATTTTGGGAATTGTTTTTTGAAGAGTAAATGTCAACCGTGAGAGTGTTTACAAATGTCGAAACCACACAAAACATTTGGGCAAAAAACTAAACTACCTGGAAATTTTTCTTGCGGGTATTATAACTTGTTAAGTTTGGTGTGTATGGAAAGGATGTTAGCCATTGTTGGTAATATGCCGATTTTAGGCTGGATGCTGATCAGTGGTGATTTTCAAGCCTTGATCGTAATTTTTGCTTTCATCATCATCGTCTTCAATTGCCAAGCCCAAGGCTTATTACATTTCTAGGCTTGAAAAGTGGCGGCATTTGCCCTTGTCCCCACCCTGACAAATTTCAATCTTTTTTTTAGCAGCAGCAAAAGTGCCAATTAATATTGATAGCCCAGGTGATATTTTTTCCTTTGTAGCAGTCTGCTTTCTTTTTCTTTTCCTTCCTTTTTTGTGTTTTATTTTTACCTTTTCCCCTCCATTCACTCATTCGCTATTAACTGAAACTCACATACCCTCCCCCTTCTATTGTTTCAATTAGTATTTTTCTTTCCACCCTTTTATATTTCTCTTTCCTTTTTCTCCGCTTATTACTAAATTCAGTTTTATATATTACATTTCAACAAAACACATAAGCAAGACACCTTTCCTTTTACCCCTTCTTTCTTTTCTCCCACACACACACACTATTTTCTATCAATTTTTTTGTACTTTTCCTTTCTTTTGAAAAGATGGTCAAAGAACGCAGCTATAAGATTCTCGAGCAACTGGACGAGTTCGAGTTGCAGGATGCAGGCGAGTCCAGCATGGGAATGGGATACCAGAGCGAGAGTGACTCCGAAGATGAGGCTAGGAAAGAACCACATGGTAATGTAGTTCCCTCAGCGATGGATTCTGACGGTGACGATAGGAGCGATGATGAGGTGGAATATAGTGATTCTACTGGGATGGCTGCCGTGCGGCAGAGAGAGGTTGTGACGGGAGGCGAAAGTGCACAAATAGGAGCAGCAGAGGCAGCGTCATCGTCTTTGGCGGCGGTTACATCGGCGGCGTCGGGTCATGTTGTGCCTAATCCGACAGATGGGGTTTTTGCAAATATGTCTGCAAAGCCTGAGCTGTACCTTGGGTACGACGACAAGGTTCCCAATGAGGCATTGCCGGTAAAGTATCAAAAAGAAGAAAAAGAAGCGGCTTTTACTATTGTATCTGTCTGTCTGTCTGTCTGTCTGTCTACGTGTTTCTTGTTTTTTTTTACACACGACACTAATATCACAAACAAGTTTTTTCACTTTACATTGCATATAGACTTATCAGGACATTTACGGGGTAGCTTCCACATCAGCTCCGCCGTATTTCGAGACAGCGGTGATTTCAGTGAGCGACGAGGATGAGCTCTTGGTAGAGGGTCTTCCGGTAGGATCCCTGGGTGTATTTGTGGTGAACATGATAGTGTCAACGGCGTTCCAGGTGGTTGGGTACATGCTGACCTTTCTGTTGCACAGCTCGCATGCAGCGAAGAACGGGTCTTTGGCTGGGTTGGGGATTACGTTTATGAACTTTGGATTCTATATTCGCACGCATCTCGGACAGCCCATGATGGATGATGGGTCGGGGAATGACCATGGTGGTGCAGCTGGAGATGCGCCTTTTGATTCAGATACACCCCTGGATAACGCGTACTTTGCGTATTTGCTCATGGTTGTTGGCGCCGGCATATTCCTCAAGTCGGTATTTGATTATGTGCGGGTGCGGAGACTGCAAACGATTATTGAAAGCTCGCCTGAACTAAACGTATAGAAGAGACAAATGAATATGTGTATGTTTTCTATTAATAAACTTTTTTAAAAAGGATTATTAAAACAGTCCGCGAGAAGATAGAATGTTGTAAAAATTGCGAGAAAATTGAGTGGTAAAGCCCAACACCTTATTACAGTCGTTTTCCAAAGACTGGATACCACGCATTCTGCGATCGAGAAAGGCAAAAGTAGCCTCGTATCCGGGCGAGCGGTCCTCGCACATATACAGTTCCGCAGCAACATACGCAGCAGCCAGGGCAGATCTCCTCGCATACCAATCAATGCTCTTAGACTGATCCCCAGCGGCAAACCAAAACTCCGACGACATTCTCCCCAACTGCTTCACAGCCAAGGGTACGTTCTGCGGCAATGCCAGAATAGCCACAGCCTCCGGCCACCGTTCTGCTAGCGGCATAGTTTGGCGCAACCTCGTGCGGCAAATAAGCCGAAGTCGATCATTCGTGGTGTCTAGTTCGTGCAGTTGGTCGTCAACTTCTATGAGTGTGTTGTCTAGGGCGCGGTCGAGAAAGTGCGAGATCAATGTGGGGGCGCCCTTGGTGGCAATGGTGTGGGAGAGCGGGGAGTAGCCGAGATCTGTGGCGGCGGCGGTTAGTGCATGGGTTGTCCAGCCGTGCGTTGGTACTTTGGTTAGTGCGTGATCGAGGAGGGTGATTACAGGGTCCCGCTGCTGGGGGTCTTCTTGGGTGTTGCTCGTGGTTGTTAAAGTACGGTGGTGGTAATGGTGCATGGGGTTTTGGTGGCGGACGGCGAGGTTGCTGCGCAGGGGTGTGAATGCGAGGCGACGGAGAATACTGGTGTTCATTCTGGTGTTGATTTTGTTGTTATTGTTGTTTGTTGTTGTTCTTGTTGTTGTTGTTGTTTGTGTTTGGTGGAATCCAACTTTTTGTAAATATATATTATATAAAGTATTTTGTGTGGTGTATTTTTAGCCCGTGGACAAAAGAGAAGAAATGGAAATAGAAAAGATAAAGGTGTAGGCCGCATTGCCAATCAAAAAAATCTTGGTAGCGTTTAAGCAAAAATAAAAAGTGAAATTGAAATTGAAATTCCGCATCCCTTTTTGTTTGGTTCTGTCTTAAAATTCGCACGCATACACACACTCACACACACATTTATTCAACTTTTTTATTTTTATACATATTATTTATATTTATATTTTGTTTAAATCGGGATGGAGTGCTTCAACCTCCACTCGCTGATTCTCGAGGAGCTCTCCGAGGTGCTCGCAATAACGTACGGCGCAACCCTGACGACCAACGACAGCACAGACACAAGCATAACCACAACCGACGGTGACATTTCGCTTCTAGAGAACGCCGAGCCAGCAGTACAAAAGCTGCTCGCGCAATGCCCCTCAACGCAACGGCACAGCGCGGTCAATACGCGGCAGCTCAGCGGCATCCTGGCGCTAATCAAACTCGTGGAGAAGTCACAGGCAGGAAGCAAGCTACGGCAAGCGCTCCTCGCACGGGTGCTCATCTACATTGACCTGCTCCCGCATTACACACACACGTTTACTGCGGATTCGCTTACGGATGACGGCGGCAGTGGCCCATCAGCCGAGCACGTGTTTGTCCGGTCCCTGATGGGCCGCCTCCTGGCGTGCGCGGCGAACGCACAGGATGACGCGGAGGCTGCAAGGATCCTCGACGGGCTGTGGGCGTACGTGCGCGTGCTGGCGGCCAAAGCCGGCGCTGGGGCGCAGGCTGCAGAGGCGCTGGGCGGCGCCTTGGCGGCGCTGGAGCAGACGCGGTTCCGGTTCGGCGCCAGCGACGTGATGCAGGCGGAGCTGCTGTTGCAGCAGGTGGGCGCGCCTGCGCTCGCCGTGGTCCGCGCCGTGCTGGAGTCGCGGCTTGCCCTGCGGCTCGTCTCCGGCGGCGCCCTGGCAGCCTCGGCCGTGGGCGGGCTTAGGCCGCGCGATCTTTGGGAAGTAATCAGCGGGCAGCAGCAGCCACAGGAGGACGACTTTACAGCCCTACCATCCACTGGCACGGCCGAACCACCCGCGTACGCGCGCATCCTGGCGCTCAGCCTGGCAGCCTACGACGCAGCGCGCGCACAGGCCGCTTCGGACACAATGCGCCGCAGCCTGTACGTGGCGGCGCTCGGCTGCATGCTCTTGAGGCAGCTGGACGCTCGGCTGCTGGACGCCGTGCTCGCGCACGTGCGTGGCCCGCAGGCGCAGCGGCTGGCGGCGCTGACGCAGGCGTGCTTCCGTGTGCTGGCGGCGTTGGCTGCGCGCTTTGCCAGCGCGCGCGCCCAGGTGGCGGCGGCGGCAATGGCGTTCCTCACAGCGCCGCCGCAGTGCATGGTGGACGCAGCACCTACAACCGGGCGGGCGGCGCCGGAGGAGCTCACGATGGTGCAGCCGGCGGCCGACGCACTGGCCGCGGCGCTGGCGCTGGCGGGCCCGCGTGCTGGCGGCAGCGCAATGGTGTCGGCAGCGCACACGCTGTTTGGCGCCCTGGCAACGGCCGCCGGCGATCAGGCGCGTGGTGTGTGCGTAGCGCGTAATGTGGCGCTTGCTCTGGCGCGCATCGCTGCGGACGACGCTGAGCTGGCGGCGCTGGCTGTCGGCATGTTGTGCGCGCCACGGTTTGTGGCGGCGCCGGCGCTGCTGCCGCTGGCGTTGCAGTGTGCGGCTGCCGTGGCGCCGGCCGCCGGCCGCACGGTGTTTGCCGACGTGGTTGCTGCGGCGCTCAAGCACGTGGATTTTGCTGATGGCGCCGATGGCGCGCGCACGGCGGCGGCGGCGGCGGCGCTGATGGATCTGGCGACGGGCGTTGGCGGGCGGCGCGCGCTGGCAGAGCCGTTCCTGGGCATGGCGCTGCGCGCGTTTGTCGACGCGTCGGTGGGCGTGCCGGCGCCGGCGCGGTTCCGGCGGCGCGCGCTGACGCCGCTGGCAGTGTTCCTGCCGGTGCTGGTGGCGCTGGTGGACGGCGGCAGCGGCGAGTGCGATGCAGACCTGGATTCTGATGCCGACACCCCGGACGCGCCGCCCGATACCGTCGACCTGTGGCGCGCGTTCTGGTTCCACGTGGTGGCTCGTGGGTACCTGGCAGACGCTGCGCACGTGGCAGCGTACGGCACGGCATTTGCGGCACTGGCGGCCAAGGCGCCGGCGCTGGTGCACGCATCGTCGGTCAACTACCTGGAGACTGAGCTGGCGTTCAGCTCGGTGTTGCAGCGCGATGCCAGCGCCAGCGACGCCAGCGTAGTGCGGCTGCGCGGCGCGCTCACAGCGCTGCTGCCAGCCACGTTGCACCCGGCTGTGCGCTCGCTGGGCTTTGCGCAGGCAGCGTTCCTGCTGTCGGTGCACGCGGTCGAGACTCTGCGCGCGCAGTCGGCCGGAAACTGCGCGCGCATGCTGCGGTACTTTGCGAATGCCGCCGTGGCGTCGTCGGCGCTGCTGCTGCCGGCCGTCGAGGCCGTTGCCGACCTGGTGGTGGCCGCTTATGTGCGTGAGACAACGACCCGCCGCTGGGCCATTGACAGCGCCCCGCCGCCGGCGGACGCCGCGGCCGGTCGCGTTAAGGCGCAGGTGCGCGAGCTGATGGTCGCCGCCTGCCACCACTTGGAGCTGGTCAGCCGGTGGGCGCAGCGCTTTGCCGACCGCATTCTGCTTGCCTTCCCGCAGGCGCTGCTGGACACATCCGTGATTGGCACGCTGCTGGAGCTGGTGCAGCTTGTGTGGAAGAGCTGCCGCGCTGCGCAAGACGACCAGTTTGTGCCGGTGTACTGGTTCACGTCACGCACGCTGGGCATTACGCTGCAGCTGCCGGACTCCATCGCGTACCGCAAGACGCTGTTTGCACGCGTGTCCGAGTGCGCGCGCCGCTGGCTGGAGCTGGCCGGCCGTGCTGCGCCAATGGAGCTCGAGACGCTGCTGCTGGCATACCTGGCTGCGCCCAGCGACGATGACCTTAACTGCGAGCCGCATGTTGGTCACGCTCTGGCGCTGGAGGTCGGTAATGCCATTCGCTATGGGCTGTCGCCGGCTGAGGACGCCGCCGATGTGCTTACGCCTAATGCGTCGCCGTTCACGTACCGCCTGGGGCTGCGCAGCTACCTGCGCGGCCACACACGCCGCGGCGAGGACCTCGCCGAGATCAAGCGCGAGCTGGCCGCCGTGTACGCGCAGGCCGTGGTGGGCCGGGCCGACACTGTCGGTTTGCCGCAGCCGGACATGCGGTCAATCACAAGCCGGCTGCACCAGGCGACGCACTCGGTTGTAGCAGCCGCATCCGTCGACCGCGAGCTCGTTCGGCTGCTCGTCTGGGTACCACTGACGCTGTTCGACGAGAGCATGATGCGCGCAGCCATGCACATGTGGACGACGCTGATTGTTGAGCGGCCGGCTGTCGAAGTGCTGCTGATGGTGGAGCTGACTGTGGCGTGGACGTGGCTGATCCAGCAGCACCGCGGGTTGTTCGCCCAGCGCTTCGAGCCCAAAAACCCGTTTGCCGCGCGCATGTCGTATACGCCATCGGACAAATCCGCGCGCGCCCGCGCCCATGCCTCTATTGCCTGCGCGCTTACCCCGCATTCGCTTCTGATTGAGTTCATCACTCAGCGGTTCGACTCCGTCAAGCACCTGCCGGACACGAACTTTAACGTTATCAACGCTACACTACGCATTCTGCAGGTGACTTTTGATAATGCCCCGAGGATCACGACGAATGCGCTGGCGCGCGCCCCGTTGTTTATGCTTGTGCAGCTTGGGTTTAAGCTGCTGAACTTGGGCTTTGAGGCAAGTCCGATTTTGGAGTGCACGCTGAGGCGAGGCTTGTACAGATTGGCTTTCCGCTGGTTTGCGCTGCCGCCCAGGTGGAGCTTTAGCGGGAGCAAGGTGTCGCTGGCCAGGGAGATCCGCATTCTCATCGACACATGCAATACGGTCAGTGCCGATTTCCCGCTAGCCGCCCTGCCCACCACCCCCACCGGAACCGGCACCGCTGCTGCTACTGCTACTGCCGGTCCGGGCTTGGCCGTCGATCCGGCAGTTTCGGCCAGCGTAACATCGCTTGCCGACCCCGACGACGCAGCCCAGGCAGCGGCCGCGCCCATCCTGGGAGTGTCCCGCGAGCAACTACGCCAACGCGCGCTAAGCAACCGGTCGCTACTGCTGCTGCTCTTAGAGAACGAGATCAGTCGCATGGCCACCTGGGCCAACCCAACCAGCCAACCACTGGACTACTTCCCAGACACCTCGCGGTTTACCCGCACAGCGGAGATGTCAGAGAGCGGATGGCAAAATGTGGTTTTAGACGCGTGGGTCGCGGATCCGGCACTGGCCGTGCAGCTGCTGCACCGCTTTTCGCACCCGATTATTCGTCGTGAACTCACTGGGCTTATCTGTCGGTTCCCAGGCGAGCTTGTTGATGAACCTGACGCGCTCCCGCTGCTTGTTGACCAGCTGCAATACTCCTCATCTTCTGCGGCTTCGACTGCCAGCGCAGCAACCGGTCTCGGTGGCACTGGCACTGGCGGCATCAGTGCCCCGGCGGCAGCTAGCAGTTTGTTTGGCAACTTGGGCAGTGCGCTGACCTTCCGTGAGCAAAAGTTCCTCCTGTACTGGACACCCGTGCCGCCAATCACATCAACAGTATACCTGGCGTCCAGCAATTTTGCACGCAACCCATTGGCGCTTCAGTACGCAATGCGTGCGCTTGAGAGTTTTCCTGTCGAAGTCACCTTCTTCTACATCCCGCAGCTCGTCCAGGCACTTCGGCACGATACTCTGGGCTACGTTGAGCGTGCAATCCTGTCCTCGGCGCAGATCTCGCAGCATTTCGCTCACCAGATTATCTGGAACATGAACGCGAATATGTTCAAGGACGAGGAGTCCCTGCAGCCAGATTCTCTGAAACCCGTGCTCGACCGGATTGTCCAACGGATTGTTAATTCCTTGAGTGGCGAAGACAGGGTGTACTATGAGAAGGAGTTTGCGTTTTTCGGAGAAGTTACGGGGATTTCCGGCAAGCTCAAGCCGTTTATTAAAAAGAGCAAGCCCGAGAAGAAGCGCAAGATTGATGAGGAGATGAGGAAGATTAAGGTGGAGCCTGGGGTTTACCTGCCGAGCAACCCGGATGGTACCGTGGTGGATATTGATTATGATAGTGGGAGGCCGCTGCAGAGTCATGCGAAGGCGCCGTTTATGGCTACTTTTATTATTAGTCGACCTAGGGATGCTGCCAATGACGAGGTGCAGGCGCTTTTGGAGGAGGAGGAGCGCACGGTTACGCCCTCGACAGATATCCCTGATGACAACGATGCCGATGCGGCGGAGGCAATACAGCTGCTGCCGGTTATTGGGGGCTCGCCATCGTTGGGTGCGCAGATCGGCATTGAGATTGCAAGGCCTGAGGACGACAACCAAGCTGATAATGATGCAGAGTCGGCGGCAACAGCAGCGGCAGCAACAGCTGTTTCTGAGCCTATTGATACTGGGTACTTGTCGTCCAAGCTAGCTATGACCAGGATTGAGGCGCGTCGGACTATTAGCTCAGCCATCAGTGATGCCCCAGATCTCATTGGCATTATGTCCCAACAACAGCAGCAGCATTCTGGAACCGGCAGTGGCCGGCCGAGTCGCGAGTATTCTGCCAACAGGGCATCCCGTCAGATCTCGTCTGTCCTGCCAACATCTTCTTCTTTGACGGAATCTACCAACCACTACCGTGGATCCACCGCTGAACAACTATCTGCGATGACCACAGAGATTGCCCAAACAGAGGATACTGCGAGGGAGACGGAGACAAAAATAGAGAACAAGGGCCAGGTTATTTCGCGACTCTCAGCGATTTTCAAAGTCGGCGACGACTGCCGGCAGGACGTCCTGGCTTTGCAGCTGATTGCTGTGTTTAAAAACATCTTTACCTCCTGCGGACTCGACCTTTACCTGTACCCGTACCGAGTTGTAGCCACAGCACCCGGCTGCGGCGTCATCGACGTCATCCCAAATTCTATTTCGCGGGACCAAATGGGCCGCGAAAAAGTTAATTCCCTCAGTGACTACTTTGCCACACGCTACCACGGTGTGGACTCCATTCAGTATCAACAGGCACGCAGTAACTTTGTACAGTCTCTCGCAGCATACTCTGTGCTCTCGTATCTTTTACAGTTCAAGGACCGGCATAACGGCAATATCATGTTGGACGACCAAGGACATATTGTGCATATTGATTTCGGGTTTATCTTGGATATTGCGCCTGGTGGGATTAATTTTGAGTCGGCGCCGTTTAAATTAACTACGGAGTATATTCAGGTAATGGGTGGATCGGCAGATGCTCAGCCTTATAGGTTGTTCTGCGAGTTGTGTATTAAGGCTTATTTGGCTAGTCGACCATATGCGGATAGGATTATTCAGATTGTCTCATTGATGTTGGACTCGGGGTTGCCTTGCTTTAAGGGTGAGAGTACTTTGGTTAAGTTGAAGGGAAGGTTTCAGTTGGAGAAGAATGAGAGGGAAGCGGCTGTGTTTATGGCGGAGCGGATTTCAGACTCGTATGAGAATAAGCGAACAGTGCTTTATGATCAGTTCCAGAAGGCTACCAATGGGATTCCTCACTGAAAAAAAGTAATTATCCTTTATTTTTATTTTTATTTTACACTTACAATTACCAAATCCGACACATTCATAACGTTGGGGAATAAAAAAGGTGGAGGAGTACAAGATATTGTGTATTTATATTCCCCAAAGTACATCTTTAAAAAAGGCAATATGTTATCAAAAGTTGAATATTGGTGTAGATGTGTTGCTGTTGGGAAAGATAGAAATAGCAAACATTGACTCTCTACAATTGTATCAAAAGAACAATTATTTCCTTCTATTCCTACCAACCTTTCTCGTTGGGCAATAAAAAGTATTTAGCCGGTATTTGTTGTTTGCGAGCAGCTTAAATACCTTTTTGGAGTAATAAAATAATACTTTGAACTGTTATCCCCTGCCACCTCTGTACTACTTTTTCTTTTGCACTACTGTGGAATAGAAAATATACCCAACTTTATCCCAAGAAAAATATGCTCTAGAAATTCATATAAAAGCCACCAACTTTCCGACATGTTTCACTACCTATTTCATCACCAAACAATAGCAACAGAAATAGCAACATTAGCCATGCAATCATTCACTCTCACTGTATCCACCAGCAACACTTGCGAACACGGGCAGGGATTCTGCTCATTATGCGGATGATTCAATCATAACGCTGATAAGTGCCCAAAGAAGGATAGTAAATAAATAAAAACCAACCATATTTAATACTTTAAAGGTCACAAATGGAATTAGAACACATGCGAGCAACTATCAAGCGAGGAAAGAATCAGCACGATGACACAGCCATGGTCGTTGGTTACTTTGAAATCCTCTTTTGAGTCTCTCATTAAAGCGCCAATGTATTTGCAAGGCCCATTTAAAGTGTGTGTCCTCAAGAATATTACTTCAGTATATCCGGCACTCGCAGCATTTAGTTGTACCCCTTGAACGATCATGTTCAAACAGCAAGTGCTTTACTAACAAAATTTCAACATTTAAAAACAAGTCTTGTTGTTTAATGTCTTTTTCTTGCTATTCATTACATGCATTTTTAGTTTAGGTTTGTATAGTTCTAAAAACACATAATAAATATTACTACATTAAGAAAATGAAACACTACGAAATGTAAAAAAAACTAATTTACCAATTGAATCTCGTGCTTGGCCTACATTATAAAACTAAAGTGCATAAAAAAGCGGTAAACACAAAAACAAAACCCATTCGAGCGAGCGAGCACATACACACAAATATAAAAGGGTGAAAGTTGAGTTTTCCATTTCCATGGTTGGTGTCAGAGTCTGTTTTCAATTCATGTTGCTCATCGTAGGTATTTTGATTACAGGAAATCTTGTAGAATATTTGTTACAATTTGATATAATCATCCTGCAACCACAAAAAGACGTCCTCAAAAGCCCTAAAATTATTGGGTGTGCCGGTCCCGACAGCCGAATTCAAGGTATAATTATTTTTTAACAATGCATGTATCTTAGATAAGGTAAATATAAAGCCGCATGCTGCATATGTATGCGCCGGCAATTTTTTTACCTGTTATTGGCAGCTATTTCTGAATTTTGAAGAAAGAACCCATGTATTGCTTGCCAAATTTGAAATATCTACAAAGTGCACACATCAAAATATATTTAAACGTTATATTTTTGCAATAACAATACAGCCGATACACTATTTTATTCTCAGCGGCCTGCGGGTACTCAGAGTGTTGCACATCTTTCTGAGCCTACAGAACATTATCTACATTCTGCGGCGCGCTCCTGATTTTTGCAAACCGGCTTTCTCCATTTCTGATATCACTCCAACTGTTGACGGCATGCTCAGCAACAGACTTCTGGAGCACATGGTGGATCTCAACGGTACTTTTGGAAGACATTAAAAGTTTGTCAAAATTCCTGACTCTGCCCACGCGCTGGAAGTGTCAATGCTCTCCAGCATTGTGCTGCTTGGGATTGCTTTCCCCAAACTTAAATTGATCAGTGGGAGCCGGCGTTCAGCGTGTGATGCCCAACATACATTTCAAGCCACTATCTTCCCTTTTCAAGCATCAAGATCACCATCATGGCCGCTATACACATTTCTGTTATTGCTGGCTGACATCAAGGAGCACCATGATATTTACAGCACTGCTCACACAGTGCTGCCCCCTTTTTCAGTTAAGTAATTTTTAAGACTTGAATATATCGATTTAGACCCACATTTTTATAGAGCACGACACAGCGGTCCAAAATCACCAAGCGCTAGAGGACATTGCCAGAACGGAGCGTTATGAACTCCATCCTGAGCGCATTAATGCTATTACCCTCAAACAGCATAGCATAGCAGTTTGGTTATACTTCTCCATTTAATAACCCCAATCCAATAACTATTTTTTAAATAAACTTTTGAGCCAAATTGATGTTTCTAAGCGAGTACTCAAAAAACGACTGCCACAGCAAATATTCTTACAAAAAATTACCAGTTTTATTTTTATTCTTGCTCGCCTTCCTCCATTTGTTCGTCCTCAGACTCGTTTCCATGACGACGATACTGACGATGTTCATCCCGGGTATCCTCGACTTCCTCTCCTTCATCTGCCTCCATATCCTCTCCTCCATTCTGCGAATCCAGAACAACCTCGCGAACATACAGGATATTATTGCAGCGAATCAGCAATTCTCCGGGAAGCTCACCTGTGGAATTTCCATCTTGAAATTCCTCTGCATTGATCAGTTGCATGTTCATGTACGAGTCGATGGATGCCAGCATGCCCTTGTATTCTTGGCCCCACTTTAGCCGTGCGATGATGGGCTTTCCGATAAGCGACTGCAGAAATGGCTTTGGGTTGACCGGTGTAAAACTCATGTTTAATAGCTTGCGTATGTAGTTGGGTTTGTGGTTGTGCGGTGGGTAAAAATACGAGGTAGGCTTGGATATATGAGAACGTACGCTGATGTGGGGGTTTTTATTAAAATAAAAAACGCGCAAGAAAATTTAAGGATAAACAAAGGCATCTGTTATATTGACCATCTATGGGCACAAAACAAGTAAAAGTCATGTGATAAATATCCCACTTTTTGTAATTATAAATACGAAGCGTTTGGCAAATTAAAGTTTAAATTATTTCTCGTTTTCGTTCTCAAAAAATATTTTTTGAACTTATTTTTGTTGATATTTCCTGTATTTTTATTCAAGTTTGCTGATGGCTGAATTATTTTTTAATATTCAGCGTAAAAAAACTCCAAATCAGCAAAAAAAGCAACCTTTCATCACCAAAAGCACATAACACACCAACACAACAATGCAAATAAACAAAAACGTCTGTCCAGTTTTTTTTATGAAACGGACCTCCACGGGAAAAGAGAGAAAAGTTTTTGTTGCCAAATGACAGAGGCGGAAAATGGTTATCCAAAAGGTGGATTCATATTATAGACCTCCCTTTTTCCTTTCTAATTATTCTTCCCCACACAGGATGTCTCACTAGCTCTTTTATTTTATGTTTGTCTCTGGGTCTAACATTTGCGTCTTGATATAAATTGCAATGATTGTATGAATACTGCACACAATTTAAACCACCTTTGGCGCCCTCTTAATTGTCCTGGTATTGGAACACAGGACATCGATATCATAAGTTTTAATAAAACTATCAAAGAGTTTGGTGACGGACGGATTATAGATATTTTGATAATTCTTTCAATTTTATTTGTTCTATTGTTTTTTATTTGTGCTTTTCATATTCGCTGTCATGCTGTGTTTAGTTTTATGTTTGCTACAATTATGCTCAGTAGGAATGATACACTTGAGCAGCACGGAATAACTCTATGACATAGTTTTTATCTGGAATCGAGCTCATTTGATAAAAAGAGTAAAAGTAAAGGAAACACCAGATTATGTTCCAAGTACTCGGGGAGCTTGGGAGGCCGTGAATGGCTCAGTAGATACTATGTTTGGCACTGGTCAGAGATTGTTTGAATTCACTGCAATTAGTATATTATGCTGGTATGAGGGCAACGTGCTCATATTCTGTATGCAGTACAGTAATCTATCTTTGAAAACATAAAGTCTATTGGCTGATGCCGATCAACTGATTAGCCAGTCTTGGCTGTTTAGCAACACAAACAATAAGTCACACAGTGACCAGAGCAATATGCTCTCTTCTCTTTACCTTTCGCAATGCATAGCACTTATTTATTAAATATACTTTATATCATTATAGTTTATCTACACGTTCATAGAACGTTCCTATATCCCAACAAAGCCATTCATAGCATGTGTAATTTTATATTGTGGTTTGACAAACTATTCGGCTAGTCCGAGAGCTTCCAGTTTTTGTCCCAACAATGGAAAATAAACAGCAATCCAAGGTTGTGAGGGTCGATGTGCCAGCTTTATAATTTTGACCTGTTTTCTAGTCTCTCTTCCGCGACCTCTCGGCGAGTAATAAAAAAACGAGAGAATAAAAACAATCCGCTTGGCTGCAAAGGTCGAGATATTTCTAGTTGATGCATGCTATGCTATTTGTTGTTGCATAGTATATCTTGAATTCGGCTGTCGGGACCGGCACACCCAATAATTTTAGGGCTTTTGAGGACGTCTTTTTGTGGTTGCAGGATGATTATATCAAATTGTAACAAATATTCTACAAGATTTCCTGTAATCAAAATACCTACGATGAGCAACATGAATTGAAAACAGACTCTGACACCAACCATGGAAATGGGAAACTCAACTTTCACCCTTTTATATTTGTGTGTATGTGCTCGCTCGCTCGAATGGGTTTTGTTTTTGTGTTTACCGCTTTTTTATGCACTTTAGTTTTATAATGTAGGCCAAGCACGAGATTCAATTGGTAAATTAGTTTTTTTTACATTTCGTAGTGTTTCATTTTCTTAATGTAGTAATATTTATTATGTGTTTTTAGAACTATACAAACCTAAACTAAAAATGCATGTAATGAATAGCAAGAAAAAGACATTAAACAACAAGACTTGTTTTTAAATGTTGAAATTTTGTTAGTAAAGCACTTGCTGTTTGAACATGATCGTTCAAGGGGTACAACTAAATGCTGCGAGTGCCGGATATACTGAAGTAATATTCTTGAGGACACACACTTTAAATGGGCCTTGCAAATACATTGGCGCTTTAATGAGAGACTCAAAAGAGGATTTCAAAGTAACCAACGACCATGGCTGTGTCATCGTGCTGATTCTTTCCTCGCTTGATAGTTGCTCGCATGTGTTCTAATTCCATTTGTGACCTTTAAAGTATTAAATATGGTTGGTTTTTATTTATTTACTATCCTTCTTTGGGCACTTATCAGCGTTATGATTGAATCATCCGCATAATGAGCAGAATCCCTGCCCGTGTTCGCAAGTGTTGCTGGTGGATACAGTGAGAGTGAATGATTGCATGGCTAATGTTGCTATTTCTGTTGCTATTGTTTGGTGATGAAATAGGTAGTGAAACATGTCGGAAAGTTGGTGGCTTTTATATGAATTTCTAGAGCATATTTTTCTTGGGATAAAGTTGGGTATATTTTCTATTCCACAGTAGTGCAAAAGAAAAAGTAGTACAGAGGTGGCAGGGGATAACAGTTCAAAGTATTATTTTATTACTCCAAAAAGGTATTTAAGCTGCTCGCAAACAACAAATACCGGCTAAATACTTTTTATTGCCCAACGAGAAAGGTTGGTAGGAATAGAAGGAAATAATTGTTCTTTTGATACAATTGTAGAGAGTCAATGTTTGCTATTTCTATCTTTCCCAACAGCAACACATCTACACCAATATTCAACTTTTGATAACATATTGCCTTTTTTAAAGATGTACTTTGGGGAATATAAATACACAATATCTTGTACTCCTCCACCTTTTTTATTCCCCAACGTTATGAATGTGTCGGATTTGGTAATTGTTTTATCTTTTCATGCTAAATTATTAACCATTACTTTATTCAATTAGTTTATGCTTCTTGCTTCGTGTATATTTTTAAAATGATATTCTTACTTCTTGCCTTGCTTGCGCTGGGCAAGTTTCGCCCGGCGTGCCTGCTCAGCCTCCTCCACACTCTTGAGCATTTCCTTCATGACCTCAACATCCTTCTCCGCCCTCCTGCGCTCCAACTCCTCAGTACCGCCAGTCTTACGAAGCTTGAGCAAAGTGACAAACTCCGACAGCTCCTCATCAAACTCGTTGACTTTAAATGCCAATTCCTGCTGGCGCAGCTTCTCCGCGGCCTCCAGGGCCTCCAGCCTCCGCGCATGGTCAATGTCAACGCAGGAAATCTGCATCAAAAAGTCCTTTTTCGCATCCACGGCCTCGTCGGCAGAGACTACGTCAATGAACTTGGCAGCAGCATTGCTGGCATAATCGCCCTTCGCCCGCTCCTCGAGCTTCAGGTCAATGATCTTATCGAGCTTATTAAGGACATCCCCTAAAATATTGTTGTCGTCGGCGAGCTCACCCAGCATCTGCTCAACGTCCTTGACAAAGCTTTGCTCCTTCAAGATATTCTGGAGCTCCTCCTCCCACGTGCGCTTCCAATCCGACCGAGTCTCATTGATAAACTTGATAAGCTTGCGCGTGCCAGACTCAATGCCCTTGCGCTCGGCATTGGCATTCTTCATAATGAGCGTCGAGGGGATAGAGCCACGCTGGGCCACGTCCTTGCGCATCCCCTGGATCATTGCATCCAGGTCCTCAAAGCGCACATTAAGCAACCGGTACTCGCTCTTCAGCATCGCCTTGCCCTCCTCAATGCGCACGCGCAGAAGGTTCGGGTGCCGGGAAACGTCGCTCTTGAGCTTGGCCAGCTCCGCCGACATGGCCTCCTTATCCTCGCTCGCGCGCGTCTCAGCCTCTCTGTGCGCCTGGCGCTCGATGGCCAGCGTCTGCTCGGCCCTCCGCAGTTTGTCCCTCAGCTCGTCCATCTCTGCCATGTGCACGGCTGGCAGGCTGGCGCTGCGCAAAAGCCCCGGCCGGGTCGCCTCTGTATCATCAAAGTCCATCGCAATGGCGGGTGCAGGGCTGACAAAGGCTGCGCTGGTCCTGTTGACAGCTGCTTGCGCCTTGACCGCTGCACTGAGGACTTCGTCTGTGTGCTTTTTGTAGTCTGCGGACGCCGCCCTTATCTCATCGCGCAGCTGCCCTGGGAGCTGCGACACGGTCTCAGAGAGCGCCTTGACAATGGATGCAAGGCTATCGAGTTCCTGCTGCGTTCGCAACTCCTTTCCACTCGCTTCCGCAGGTGCAATGTCAGGCGATCGGTCAGCTGCCTGCAAGGGCGATCCCACAGAGCGAGCGGCGTCGACGAGCGGTTGCGTCCGCCAGCTGAGCACCGACCCATCGACAACGTCGCGCGTGTCCTCGAGTTCGTAGAAAATGCCGGTTTTCGCGTCCTTGACATATATCGAGGGCAGAGCCTTGGGGTCCTCAGCCAAGCGGCCCTGGTACTTTTCGATAAACAGGTTCATGAGCGTCGTCATGGACGGCTGCTTCTCGACCAGCTTCGCGCGCTTCATGTCATCGCCAAGCTGCAAATAAACGCTGCCTGCTCGCTTGTCGCCGTTCTCATTGTCCTCGCCTGGCCCCATGCGGGTCTTGCTCATGTCAGCAATAATGTCGGCAATCTCGTCCCGCTCGGGCGACTGCGCCAGAATGGCCCTTACGGGGCTGGAGTAGCCAAACTCCACTCGCTGCGATGGATACAAGCGCTGCGGGGCGGGTGACTTGCGGGACGCGTCGCCCGGAATCAAGCGTGCACTGCTGAGGGCGCCAGTGGAGCCTGGGGACAAGCTCTCGCGGAGGGCTCGGGGCTCGTAGCCGGCCGACTGGTTGCTCGCCGTGCTGCCCCTGCGCGCAAACCGCTGCTGCTGCTGAAGCTGGTCCACCTGGCTAGCTACCGGCCTGTCCTCCTGCTCGTCCATGCGGTACTTGCGCACATTCACCGAGCGAGACGAATGGTAGTCGGTTTCCGGATACGACGTCACAATAGGCGGTAACGGCGGCGGCGGCGTGGCACGTGCGCCCTCTAGCTGCCCGGACCGGCGGTATGCATCATTCTGTGCGTAAAGGTCCGGTGTTCGCCTCTCGCTGGCATCCGGAATGTAGGGCTGCAGGTGCTGGGCCGCGTATGCGTTGTCTTCGAAGGCGCCAAGGTGAGCGCGTCTTAGGGAGCCCTGCGGTGGCCGTGGAATGGGCTGGTCGCTGCGCCCGTATGCCTGCCCACTGCTGACTGAGGTGCGTGTGCTTCGCAGACTGCCGTTAGCCACGCCGTAGTTTCCCGAGGCGTAGGCGTTTCCGTAATTGCGCTGCATTGAGGGCACCTGGCGTGTGTTCGGAGAGACGTAGCCTGAACCTGGGTGATGCTCGCGGGGCTCGGGTGACTGGCTGGCGTGGCCGCTGTAGTTTGTGTAGTCTCTGTTCATAATTTTTTGTTTCCACTATAGGTGTTTTAAATTGTAATTGTGACTATAAATTGAAGTTTTTTTGGAAAAGTCAGGAAATAAAAATAAGAATATGGAAAATTCATTTTGGCGGAGTTTCTCTTTTGAGGAATTTTTTGCTTGTTTTTCTGGCCTGCTCCCCATTATTCTATCTTAATTGCAGATGGGCGCTAAAATAGACAAAAAAGTATGCATTTAGGCATTTGCGCAGAAAAGTATTGTATTGTCTACTTTCGCCACTGCCATCCAAATACCGCTTTTTTTCCTAAAGCAGTAAAGTGGGAAACAGGACTTTTTCCTAGTGCTAATGACCGCAAGCTAAATCAAACAGACACCCTCGACCGCGCACGCGTCTTCTCCTCTAATGTGCACATCCAACCTGAATGTCTCGACGACGCCAGCAGCCCAGATAAACTTTTCCGACGTAAAGGCCTCCACCGGGAACACCTCCGGGAAGTGCTCCGTCAGCAGTGGGAACAGCGAGTCATAAATCTTGCCCATCTCCATCATCATCTCCCCATACGACTCGATAACCTGTGGATCCTCTTCAAACATGAGCATCGGGTGCCTGAACGTCCTGAGTCGCGCTGCTGCCGCATGCCACGGTGACTCGGGCAAAGCTAGAGCTCGTAGTACAAACAGAACAATGGTGACGTCTTCTTCGATATCCACCTGCGAGAGCGCATCAGCAAATTCGATGTCCTGTGCGAACGACTCGGGCGTAATCAGGACACGACTCAGGAACTTGTCCTGCAACTCGTCGGAAGTCAGGGGATTGGAGCGCAGGCGTTTTGCTGGCTGGGTGGATTCGGGGCTAGTGCATTCCGAGTCGTGTGCGTACCACGGAAGCGACTGCGACGTATGTGGCAAGTGGCAGGCAAAATGTATCAAGCTCTCCTCATCGGTCATCAGTCGCGCAATGGTAGAACGCAGTATGGCTCCAATTTCGGACCGATAGAGCCGCGCCACCGACGCTTCTCTGAGTCTTTCTCATCCTTCTCCTCCTCACCCTCGCCCTCCTTCTTGTTGTCTTTGTCGTCGTCCACAGGCGCCTTTGCATCCTCAAACACCTGGAGCTTTTTCTGCAGCAAAAACACCAACAAGTACCGGGCGCAAAGCTCATTGTGCATACCAATATACTGCAGACTGGGCCGCACCTCCCACATGCCAGCTTTCAGCCGCCGGTGGGCGTAATAGACGTCGACGTCGCTCATTGCCATGACACGCAGCATTGGCAGGAGATCGTGCGGCAGCTCGCCGGCCTGGATAAAATGGTCGCACGAGTCTATGCCAGCAGCCACCAGAAGCTCTCTTTCATCTCGTATTGCGGATCCTCTCTGTAGTTCAGCTTGATATGAAAGTAGCTGAATGGGTTTTCGGCACACAGAATCCGTAGCCGACCATCAGCTCCTCGTTTGATTTTGGCCCGTAGTTATTGAACACCTGATCGCCCTTTTCCATCACTGCCCCAGTGACAAACTCCACCCCATCATTGGTCGACACCCAGGACACCTTGCGCTTCGGCAGGTGGTTCAACATGTCCAGCAATGGCAGCAGCACCTCTATGCTCGACGTGTGCTGCTCATACCCTTGCACCAGCGCCTTAGGAAACGACCTCGAGGACACCACGCTGGCCGCCCACATGTAGTTTTCAAATGTCAGTATATTCTCAGGCACCTTCCCTGCCACCGCATTGACAGCCAACCGATGCTCTGCAGCGTACTTCTCCCTCCTTTCCTCTACGGCAAACTCCACGGGAGTGCCCCTCAACAGCTGCATTTCGACACTGTTGAACTGTAAGGGTGTGTGAACTCTGCGGGCAAAATGTCAATATACGGTTTCCAGAATGAGTTTGCAGAGACATATCGCTCATGGATTAGGAATGCTGAGAGGAGGGCACGGCCAGTTAGGCCGCAGTCACCAGCTTGCTCAGGACTACTCAGTATGGCTTGGCAGACTTTGCCCGTGATAGCCAGGTTGTGCGGGATGTAAGCGTAGGGCTGGTTGGCATTGATCTCTTTGAGCGTGTAAACACCGTTACCATCTGCGCCAGCATCGCGCAGCTCGATTTGGCTGATATCAGCGCCGTTGTCATTTAGCCATTTGACAAACACTGCCAGCTTGGAACTATTACTTGTAGTCTCCATATTTAAAAAAGCTGGGTAAAAAGGAATATGTTTTTCATGATTGGAAAAAGATGAAAGAAAAAAACTAGCCTACACTTTTTATAGGCGGTGCATATCTGCCTCACTCTCCCCTTTTGGGTTTCATGTGAACAGAATAAATCGGGAATATTAAATTTTTTCAGTGCATATTATATATCTTTATGCAAATAGAAATTTTGGTATTCGAGTAGCACGGAAAAGTATTTAGATATTTAAAGGTATATTTGACAAGCATAAGCATTGCCCAATATAATATTGTATATTGATAAATATAAGAAACGCATGAAAAATTGCCATTTGCTTTAGAATATACTGAGAATTCATGAATAATGTTTATTGTTTATAAAAATGCAAAGAAAAAACTCCAATTTTAAAACAAACTTAAAAATGAAACCAATGTTCAACAATTTTTCAAGCTATATCAATATACAATGTATAAATGGCTTTCCATAATGTTTATACTAAATCTAACTGCATATGCATGAACACCAATTTTTAGCATTAAAATCAGCGTTTGTGAGAAGGCTATTTTTAACATATTAATAAATCTTATAATAAATTACCAAAATTCCTTAGGGAGGCCTCCTATTGAGTCCTCCCTAATTGCCTTTTTATAGGCAATTTAAAACTTTCTCAAATACCACTGTATAATTTGCCTATTCGTAATTAATGCAGTAATCTCGTGGCCTTTCGGCTCAAATGAGCTTATGCGATGATCTGTTTCCCCATCACAGTTTGATTCTAAACTGGTTTTAGAATATGAATCTGAACTAGACTCGGACATTGGGTCTGACTTTGGCACAAATCATGCCGAGCCAGGTGAGTGAGTCCAAGGTGCCAGTAGCATTGTCTGCCGAAATGTTGGCACTTTCAGTGGCTCAAATTAATTATGGTTTTTGTGCGACAAGTAATTTAATATCCGAGCTCCTTTGGATTTATACTTAAAACATATATTTATGTTATGTGCTTATATCTAAAAAGCAATGCTATGAAATAAAAAAGGCATTCAAAAAACTGCCATACACTGTTTGAATTGAGTAGCTATGATTTGCTGGTAAATATATTAGGACTGTTATGAGTGGGAGGTGAGCACTACTGTGATACAAGGAATTGTGGCTTGTCTCTGGCGATTGATTATGAATCAATCGCTAGTTAATTCCCTACTTGGATATGCGGGAATTCATACGCACACATAAATACTAATGAATATGAACAGTGGAGGCTGTTCATCCCTTAGCTTTCTTTTAGTTCATTTTTGTTGAATATATATATTTTTAACGTAACATAATGCCTCCCTAATTTGCGCCTGCATGATCCAATTAGTGTCCTACCAATCGGCACACAGGTGGAAACCTGTTTTGCGATTCTCGACCTCAACATCCACTTCCATATCTTCAGCCTGTGCAACAGTGTCAAATATGCCATTGATTTACAATTTCAAAATAAAAATAAAAAATGACAATACCTGATTAAAAGTGCAAAAACTTATTCCACCAAGTAAAAATCATGTCACCAAGCACGCGCCGCTTGGCTTTTGTGAAAGGTATGTGCCCAGTTCATTGTCTCCACCTAATAACGGGTATGGCAGATACAATACCAATGATACCAGCAAATGACTGGATTATGCACTTGCAGAAATCCAATTGCAAGTGTTCTGTCTTTCAGATACGTGTTTTTTTTGCAGTATGTGTACTGGTCTGTGCATTCTAAAAATCCCTTGGTCCTCGCATGCCTTGAACTTATTTTTTAGTGAAAATACTATTACCTATTGTTATACAGCCCGAGGATATGGAGGTAGACGTTGAGGGAAAAAAATCATGAGACAGATTCCTGCCAGCTTGCTGATAGATCTGATACTGACCAAATTACAGGGGACTAGATCAGACGCCACTGTTCACATCCAGATATACTGCCTGTCTCAAAATAGACGCGCTGAGCGCACGAATACAGATACGCCAATAATGCGATATCAGAGACCCGGGTTACGTTCATAAGAACCAGTTCTCACGAACGAAGCACATAACTGCCAGTGTGTGCCACAAAGATATTGAGATACATATATAGGATGGGGTCGGCGATAGCAGCACTTTAGAAACACTAGTGATAAAACTCTTTATAATTTAATAACTATCCCTTTAACGCTATTGTAATAGTGCTCCCCACACCCCCTTCTACATAACACTATTAGCTTTATTTAGCTAACTTAGGGCAGTCACGAGTCTTGTGTGCAAATGACCCACATTGGCAGCACATATTAGCGTGGCTAACATTGTTGGATGTAGTATGCATTGCTTGGGTTTGGATATGTCTTGGTAGAGGTGCTACTAATGTGTGGTGTAAATGTTGCAAATGTTGTTTTTGTTGATGAACACAGCAGCTGAAAAGTTTCCAGGGAAACCGCGCGTTTTATACGATATTCATATGCGCATTAGCTACGCTGGACACGCCATGTTTTGGAGAGATAAATAGAGAAAAATACAAAATATTTCCAACACCCAAGCACGTCATTTGACATTAATTAATACTTCTCATTAAACAAATCGATGGCATGTTTCAGAACACATGCTCATTATAATCAAAAGGCTGCTTTGCGCGCATCGCCAAGGAATTGGCACAGACAAAAATGGCGTTAACATATTGAATTCTAATGTGGAAAGGCCGGATTGAGTAAGTAAAGTTGTTAAAAAAAGTAGACGAAAACCCCAGCACCGCAGTGCGCTAATTTAATAAACAACAGGCGGAATACATCACTTTAAGCTTGATTTGCGGATAAATTAAAAATAAAGACTGCCATTAGCTGAATTTCTTTTCGGCGCTTGCCTTTGTACTGAATTTGTTGGGTATTTGCATAATACACCCTAATTTTTAATTAATTGCAACGTGTGTGTGTGTGCTGACTGCAGCTTAGTGACTTGAGCTTTGAATTCGCGTAAATTAAGAATTCTCGAAAAAAGGTGAATTCAGTATTAATTTAATCTGCTAAAACGCAGTCAACATCGTTGAAAATTTGCATTCTGCTCACCAAATAATTTAATGATAATTTAATAATAGAAGAAAGCATAAATGAGAATATAGATACATTCAGAAGAAAACGTGAGATGTGGGAGGGTCAATTGCCCGTTTCTTATGTTAAGGATTTTTACGATTAATCAATGCCTTCGGATTTGATCAACGAAATCAGCAAGTGAAAGGGTTTTGGCAATGTAACCATTTGCAGTTGTGGTTGTTTTTGTTCGGTCTATTTGTATTAATTGAAAAAAGTGATAAAATTTTGGAAGCAGGGCACGCCTACATGTTAAGGTGCATAAGGTGAGGTGCTGAGCTGCGGTGAATGGTGGCGAAGAGTCTGTTTGGAATATTTTGATACACGCTTACATGACGATGCAGCTGGTTCCATCGCCGTCCTCCTTGCTCTTATCCTTGTTCAGAAGGCCCATGCGCTTCTTTCCCTTGCCAGAAACGCCCTTTTGGCGCTTTTGCGTGACGTGGCGACGCAATGCGGCGGTGGACTCGGTGGTGACACCGACTACACCCTTGTTAAGACGCTCTTTAGCCTCCTCGCTGCCAGCTGCCGCGGCGCGCTCGTACCACTCGTTGGCGCGGTTGATGTCCATGTCGCAGCCAATGCCCATCTCGTAGTAGTAGCCCATGGCGTACATGGCGCGGGTTAAGCCCTGCTGCGCCGCACGGTGACCCCAGTCAAAGGCCAGCCGGTCGTCGATCGGAATGCCCTCGCCTCCAGACAGGTACCAGCCCGACAGCGCCATTTGTGCCTTTGCATTGTCCTGCTCGGCCGCCAGCTGGTAGTAGTGGGTTGACGACAGTGGGTCGACGGGGAAGCTGTGGTCGCCAAATTCAAACAGCAGACCAAGCTGGTACTGCGCCTCCATTGAGCCCAGGCGCGCAGCCTTGTCTAAAAGCTTCTGTGCCTCCTCAGCATCGTAAAAAAGCACATCGTATATGGACTGGTCTGGGTAAATTCCCAGGTACATCTGACCGAGCATCAGCGTGCCATCCGGGCATTCAGCAGTTGCCAGCTCTGCCGAGCGCCGCAGGTACACCAACGCCTGCTTAACATTGGCCTTCTTGTGGAAGTCGCCATCAAGGAACACCTTAGCCATGCGGAAGTTCGCCGACACATCGCCCAGCGCCGCTGCCATCTGATAGTACGAGAAGGCGCGGCTACCACTCTTGCGCTCTTCCTGGTACACGGCAACCCTGTAAGCTGCCGAAGCGTGGTGGTTCTTGGCCGCGTAAGTAAACAGCTGGATGGCCTTGGCCTTGTCCTCTTCAATACCGTAGGTGCCGGTTTCGAACCACGTGCCGGCAATGTAGGACGCTTCAGTGTTGCCCTTGCGCTGCAGGTGCTTGATCCAGTACACGGCTTCGGCGATCAGTTTTTCGCGGTTCTCAGGGTCGATCTCCGACGCCTGCTGTCCGAGCGGCAGCGATGCCGTGCTGTCGGAAGAGCCGCCCAGGAAGCCGCCGCCCATCACGTCATTTCCTGGGAAATAAATCGAGTACGTGACATTGGCCTCTTCGCGCACCAATGGGTCCTCCAGGTTCTCAATCGACTGAATCAGGAACTTTGCATATTCTAACTGGATCCGCTCATCCTGCGTCTTTTTGGCTGCTTCGCGGTACATGTCCAGTCCATTATTTCCAGCGACCAGGGTGCGCGACATGCGCTTGTTCGTTGCGCTGTTCAGGCCGTACATGCTGTTGCGGCCCAGCGAGGTCTGCGAGCTCGAATATATCGAGTTGCGCGAGTAAGTCAAAAATGGGTTGGGATCAGCCCCGTTGCTCGGTCCCAGGCTCGAGCGTCCTGGGCGGACACGAGGACGTGGTTGCGGTACATATTCCATGCTAGTTTTCCCCGTCAGCTTGGGCTGTGATAGGGACTGGTGCAGGCCGATACTATTGGCACATTGTCGCCCATCAGGTCGTTGCTATCCAGGCTGCCCTCGTCGATACTCGACGCGCTGCTGTCCACATTAGCGCAGGGTTCGCCTGGTATTTGTTGCTGGCATCGGGGTACTGGCCGCCCGCGGGGGCGTTCGGGTTGACGTTTTGGTAGTGGCTGTAGCCCTGGTCGTCAAACCCGCTACTGACATCTGCCCCGAACTCGGCATTGTTTGGACCGTTTGCCAGATGTACATTGTTTTGGACGTTGCTCGTGTGTGGTACGGCCGGCTGTGGGTATGCGCTGGCGTTGGTGGCAGCCAACGCGACATCGTAGTAATCGTGTCTAGTGCTGATTGCGCGCTTTGCATGCTCATGCGCGAGAGTTCTGCGATAGGTGGTTGGAGGTAATCCCCTGGGTGTTGGGCCTGGCCCTGCTGCTGCTGGCTGTTTGTATTTGCCATCGATATTATTATGTGCTACCGGGTCACCGAGTGTTGAGAGAAGAGGGTGGGTCTTTATAAAAAACCAACGCGAACAAGCTTGATCTACTGTTCGAATAAGGATAAAAATGGGGACGAAAGATGAAGTTGCGTATCCAAAGAAGAAAAAAGAAAATGAGTATAGTAGCCAAAAAAGAAGGGGGGATGAAATGTAGCTATGATAAAGAGAGAGGAAACAAGAGAGAAAAATAGAGCGGCAAGACAATACTAAAAGTCGTTGTTTCCGAGTGGGTGGCGTGGTTCTTGTCAAGTCAGTTGGCTAGCGATGAGCAATGGAAAATTAAAATTTTGATGTTGGCAGCTCTTGTTGTTGTTTGGGGTTTTTACTTCTTTTTATAAGCCAGTGGCGCCAGCGAAATAATAGTAAATCGCGCTATTTTTAAATATCACAAGGCTCAAGCAAAAATATATAAAGGAGAGTTCAAAAAAACAAACAGAATAAATTATTAATAGAAGCTTTGTTGAGGAGTGCAAAAGAATGCAGGCAGCTTGAAAGAATAAAATATGTGAATGTTTTTGTTTTTTGTCGAACTTGTTGGCCTGTTCGAATGCGGCAAAAGCAGCAAACAGAAATGTGAGCTTTATTTATGTGGCCGAGCGCTCTGCATTCGGCGTCGGATTTAAAAGGGTATGGTTCACGTAAGGGTCTCTTTTGGCAGCCAAATCCAAATTCTGCTTCTGTGCCATTCCCGAAGCATGCAGTTGGGGTTTTAAAAGCATGACCCGTGTACCACACGCCCTGTGCCCTGGTCCCCCCGATGACCAGCGCCCCCAGTTTCTGTAAAGGCACATGGTCCCAGTACTTTGGGTCTAGAAAAGGGATAAACAGCGGGTGGTGCAGGCGATAAATGGGCTGAAAATAGAAATAATATAAGGTGGGCGTGTTGAGGTGCAGTAGCACTTAAAATCAAGTACATAAAAGTTAGCAGGGGTTTCGCTACTGAATTCAAAGCGCGCAATTTGTCGTTGTAGTGGCTACCGGGTGAAAAGATAAAATATGGAGCGAGGATGTACATGATACTCATTCAGCAGTATCCGTGGAATAATCCAAGGCGTAAGGGGGCGACTTACTCTGTGGTTTGTAGCGGGCTTGCAAAATATAAGGTATGAGAGGATAATAGCGCTCAGGTGGAAAAAAATAGTGGAAAAGCAATGCAACCATACAAAAAATTGGGTTTATTGGATCTTTAGAGCGCAAAGCTCCATGTTTATTTGGTCACACTCGTATAGTTTGGTTGGCTGTCAATTTTTCGTACTCTTTAAAAAAATATCTTTATTTTCGAGTTCATTGGCTGCAAAATTTAACAGACTTTTACTTGACAAAAGTCGTGGGAACATGTCACGGGGAATGGGGGTATTTGTGCTCTTTTTCGTGACATTTTCTTCAGAATGTCTTCTCTACCATGTTCGACATAAAAGAAGCGTACGAACGCGCGATTTGGCCTGGTTAATTAGTCCGTATAAAATAGAAGGATGTCAAGCGTTACAAGTTTTAGCAGCGGGTGTTTGAACTTTGTCGACATTGTCACATCAAAGACATGAATAAGATGAAAGAAATATTGTGTTTGTTTGAAATTTTGCAATTATGCAGTTATTGTTCGCTTGGTTGGTCGCTTGCTTTGTTGTTGCTGCTGCTTCATTTTAAAGCGCGGGCGCGGTACTTAATCAGAAAACCAACCATAATATTATGCTGCAGTGCATCCATTCCCATTCGCACGTTGATTTGCAATCTTGGCCACTCATTTATCAACAACTTTTTTTTGCATCATTAGATTCAAACTCACACTTTTTATACAAGCAATGACATCAGCAACCCAGGCGGGCAACGCGCCGCAAAAGAGCACCGGCATTCTTCAGGACGTCATCAATTCGATATTTGAGCCGGGAGTTAACCGTGGTGTGCTTGTGGTCATGAACTGTGCATTTGCAGGTCTGTTTCTGATTCTTTTCTACCTTGTTATCGCCACTCGCTTCAACATCCACGTGTGCGCTTTGACAGTAATTGCTGGACTTTTGTTTGCGTCTATTCAGTGGTTCATCAAGGAGCTTTCTGCCAGCAGGGCTAATTCCCCAACGTCTGAGGATAAAAAGCCGGACGACAAGCCGACATCAAAGTCAAAGGCCAGCTCGGTTAAGAAGAACAAGCACAAGAAACTCTAAAAATGTTTTTACGATTTAATTTTTTAGTTTGGTGCCACTTATGAATATAAATGGTGTTATTCTGCCTAAATCATGCATTTAAAGCAGTTATACTTGTCTTCTCAATTGCATAAAATACATTATCGCACTCTCATATCGTGTATTAAATATATTATAATAAATACTTTCAGTCTTCAATTCCAGCGTTGCTATCATTACTGGCATTGTCGCCTGTACTCATGTTGGTGCCGATATGGTGCCATTATCTGCGCCACCCTCCTTGTCTTCGTTTCTAATAATTCCGCCGATAATTGGCACGTTATTTCCCATATCACTATCGAAAAAGTCCAAGATTGTCCTGCCCGCGATTAGGCCTGCAGCCGCTCCAGCAAACCTTCCTCCCAGGAAGCTCGATGCACCTGTGATAATACCCAATGCAGGAACCAAATTGACAACAGGCCTGAATAATGCGGGATAAGAAATAGCTACACTTGCACCAACGCTGACCACTCCGGATACGCCCGAGGCGATTGGCTCATCGGCACCGATCTTGTAGTAATCGTTTTGACAATAGGTGCGCCAATGACAGCATGTGTGAGAACCGGTATAGCGGCAATATAGCTAATTTTCATTATTGTTATATACTATATACTATATATTATATAGAAAAATAGAGGTAATAGAGGTAATAATATACATGGGCCTGAAAAGAGCGGAAAATAAAATTTATAGAAAATAAAATTTAAAGGGTTCTGGAATTTTTTTCTTCAACTCTTGGTCTACTTTCTTTTTCATATATTAATTCGGCAAAATACGATTCGGGCGTGAGGCGTAGACATACGCAGGCACTCTGAAAAATATGCATAATCAGCATGCACATTTACGCCAATAGCCAGATTAATAATTTACAGTATCAATGCGAAACTAATATAAAAAAAAGTAAGTTTACTGCTTTCAATCGTGCCGAAACGATACGACAAACCAATATTTCTAAATAATATATATTTAAAATGTGGTAAACTACCGCAGAATATCGCGTAAAAGAGCGCCTGCATCAGAATGACCGAGCATCCACGCACGCTTCAGGTAAAGATGAGGCTCCGAGACAGAGTGGCGGTCAAACGACGGCAGCTGAATTAGGGCCAAGGCCAAATGATACCCAGCATCAGCCACAGGATGAGACATATGAAACAAGGACTCTCTCAAAAACGAACACGCCAAGCTGAAATCCGCCGAAACACCCATAGAGCCACTTAAATAAGCCATGCCCAAGCGATAAGAAGCAAGCGAAAACCCACGCTTAGACGCATTCTCAAAGCACTCCCTGGCTTTGCGCGGCTTCTGTGTGAGCTCATGAATACATCCCAGGTGATATTGTGCGGCTGCGTGATTGGTCTTTGCAGCAATGGCGTAGAATTTTGCGGCCTTGCGGAGACTGGTTTTGCACCCGTACTTACCCAGCTCATACCACCGGCCAACCAGAAAACTGGAGTCGCGGTGGCAGTGCTTGCTTGCCAAATGCAGGATCCAGAAAACACCCTCGCGGACTAGCTTGCTGTCTGCCATTTCGCTCGCCAATAATATATGATCGCTTGCCATGTCAGCCGATCCACAGAGCAAAAGTTGTTTGGCAAATTCAAACTGCACCTCCGTATTATCGGTTAATTTAGCTGCATTGTGGTATTGCTCAATAAGCTCCGGGTTGTTCAAAAGCGTGTTCATGCGGTGTGCGCGGCCCAAATCGGATCCCAGCCCCATGCCAAAATCGTTAGATATTGAGATCTTGGGCACCTCTTCAGTCTCCTGACTGAATGACACGCGCGCCTGCGATTCGGCAACGGTGCTTTGCATTGAGTACAGTGTGGGCATGACTGTTGGGATTGCCGCGGACCGGTCCTTGGAGTCGAGACTCTGGCGTGCGACCAGTGTGCTTTGGCTGCACGCGTACTTGTTCCCCAGGTCCCAGGTGCTATATCGCGGAATCTCGGCCCACTCTGCGGCCGGCGACAAAGGCATTTTGTTTTTGTTGCTATCGGCGGTACTGCTTTTACTTTTGTTGCTCTTGTCGTAGTTTATGTTGGCCAGCAGATTGTCGTGATCAACGTTGGAGCTGGAAAGAGTGAGGTTTTGCAGTTTCATGTTTGCGTTTTTGTGAAAAATAATAAATTGGTGATGAAAATAATGAAAATGAGTAAATGAGTAAATGAGTAAATGTGGCAGTGAAAAATAATGATAATGAGTGGATTGTGCAATGCTATCAAAAGTACGAATGATATGTAAAATGAAATAAGTGAATGGATGCAAATAAAGTGAGGTGTGTGTATGCGTGATAAATATAAAAAAGAACCTTTAGATTGTAGGCAGGAAAATGGTTTGTTATATAAAGGAATGAAAATCTCAATTTGTATACAGGTTTTCCAGAGTGCCAAAAAGAAACAAAAAAATAGATGGATGTCCTGTAGACGTGTTATTGCGAATGGTAAATGCAAAAAAATGCAGGAAATAATGATGTAGTAAATGGAATAAATGCAAACAAAAGGAAAATTCAATAAATTGAGCAAAAAAGTATGCAAAAATTAAAAAGAAACGTGTACAGGGAAAGAAAAAAGTTCAAAAAATATACTAAAACACGAGATACGAATGAAAGAGACGTTTTGTCGTTATTATATAAAATTGTAAAACATTTTTATTATTTCTTTGACAACAAACACCAAAAACAATAAACAAAAAAGTACTCGAGCATATTTATGCACAATTGCTTCAAAGCAAAAGAAAAAACCGTAAACCTGATTATTTTATGTTGTTTAAACCCAGAAACAAAATATGTGGTATAAAAAAGGGATACAAAGAAGGGAGAGAGGGGATAGTTGCATTCAAATAACATCGCGCATACTCCTCCGTTTTAGATTGTTTATTTTTTATTTTTACTCATATTTTTTTTACTAATCAAAAGCCAAATAATAATACATTTTGTAGCTAGTCAAAAATACACCCCTCCTTGCTCGCCAATGTGGTTTCTAATTCAGACTAAAATATACAGCCTCTTTGTCTCTGTCTTTGTCTGTCTCTCTTTAATTCATTTTGAGGGAATGTGGGGACAACTGAAAAAAGTAGTAAGTGTGGCTTTTGTTCAAAAGCCAACTTTGCTTGAACCCCGGTTCTTACCTTTATAAATGTCAACAGTCTATTGTAATTTAAGCTGATAGCTATTGTCAAAAATAGTATACCACAATACAGTAAAAACACAATAAATAAGAGCAAAACAATGATGGTTGAAGGGAAAGGGAGCGAATGAAAAGTGATAAAGTGAAAAATATATATGTGAAGCGTTGATGGTGAGTGAAAGGCGCAGCACTGATATTTTTGCATGCATTTCAAACTAACCACAAAGTATAAATTAGTGTATCTGGGACACCAGCCACAATTTGCCACATCCAGAATTAAGACGTTTTATTTCATTTATGGATTAGCAAAGAAAATGGAAACAAGTGTGAAGTTTAAAAAAGATTAAGATATATTGTTTTTTTGTATTTGGTTCTATGGTGACTCCGGTTTGCCAATGGGGAACGCCTCGGTTGTCAGCTCAATATTTTGCACGGCACCAAAAAAGTCAGTCAAATACGTCTCGTTGAGCTTGCGCGAGTACAAGTCCGTGCGAACACCAGGGTGCGAATATATCAACGTTGTGTTATAAGCGCCGACCTACAAAAAATACCCCCCGGGAAAAGAGAGATAAAATATTTGTGCAGCTTGGTATTAAAAAACGCTCATTGCTCGCCAAATAAAACATAAACAAAACATACAAATACATTGTGATACTTACCAAATCGGCCATAGTGCGCTTGCTAGACATATCGACGGATTCGAAAAACTCGAGATTGTAATAAGTGAACCGGTCAATAACCGAAACACCCAAGTCATAATCATGGAAATACGAATACGATTCTCGCCCTTTCTGCTCGACCCAATACTGAGGATATTCGGCGAGTAAAACTTGCTAAACATAGTGTTCGCCTGACAAGTATCAATAACAAACAAAATCTCCTTGTATCTCTTCTTCTCCCACATCTGCTGAAACGCATCCGCGATATCGTAGCTATTGATTTCCTCCGAATCCTGAAACTTCAAAAAGTCCTCGCCACCATGTCCCGTCATATAAATAAACACATTGGACTTATCGTCCGTCAACAGTCGTTTGCTCCGCGGCGTATCGACAGATACCCGACCAGTCAGCAGGCGGATAAAGTTCTCCACAGTGACTTCGTAGCCGCGATAATCCACCTCCACATTGTCTCCGTAGAGATCCGTGGCTTTGCGCGGGTGGTCGTAGACGGCCGCCGGGTAGCTATTGCGCGGGTTGCAGGCGACGTCGTCGGCCAGCATTAGAATAATGTGAGAGTCCGGGATGCCCATGCGCTTGACCGTGCGGTACATCGAGAGTGTGTTGGATATGTGCCGGTAGTTGAACCAGAACCGGGAGGTGCATACGAGAACTGCCCAGTTATTTGTGTGGTCGTCTTGGTCAAAGAACTGCTCCATTTTCGCTTCGCCGCTCGGATCCGCCGCAGCTAAGAGGGTTACGCAGCAGAGGAGAGTGTATAGGGCGAGGATGGCGCCTGCGGCGCGCATTGCTCGCTGCCAGAGATTCATCACGGAATGGCAAAGCCCGAAATTTTTTACAAATGAAAAACGGAGTGTGAATTTATATATATAAAAAAGAGAGTAGAAAATAAAATACAAAGTGGAAGATACAAGTTCCGTTTTGTCGAAAAAAATGACAATGAGAGGGCAGGGTGTTTTTTATTTGGCCTTTGCGCATATTTTTCAATCGACCGCAAAGAATGCAAAAAAACCCCCCCTCGGATTACCTCTTGAGCGGCATCACCCTCTCTCACACACTTGCCCACTCACAAAGTCCAACAATTGCGCACAAGCACGCATGCATTGAAGCGTAGATCAGATGGTGTTCTTTGGCAAGCTGCTCTGGATAAGGCTCCCGGTGCGCTGGTACCACGAGCCATAGTGCTCGCCGAGAGGCCCCTCGTTTTGGGGCACCGGGACATCCATATTTGAGCTTCTCATCCCGCGAGCCAAGCTTCCCGCCGCCATCTGCGCATCCGGACGAGACCCGGGGTCGTTGTCAATCAGCAGCGGCGTGTGCTCGCTGTGGTGGAAGCAGTGGCCGGCGTTGCCGCTGGAGATGCTCGCCTGGGAGCTAGAGCACGAGCGCGTGTCCCCGCGCCGGAGCGACCACCGGCGCCAGAGCGCGATAATGGCAGCAATCAGCGTCGCCAGCACCAGAACCGACGGCATGACTACATACTCCACTCGCGTGCTAACAAGACAGTGTCCGTGGTAGTAGCTCCATGATGCGCCACTGTGCGCGTATTTTTCCAGCGGAGCCAGCCAGCCGCCTGGGACACACTCGCCCGTGTTGTAAAAGTATCCGCAGCCAGGGTCGCCCACACAGCTCTGGCAGCCTTTGTTAGCGGCGCACTTCCTGATCGACAAGAGAGTGCTGTTGGACAATGTATCTGGGTCGAGGGTGCGTTGGTTGGAATACATGCTTTTTTATTGCGTTCGTGAAGTAATGGAGTGGAATTTGGATTTGGATTTGGATTTGGATAAAGAAAAGTGGTGAGAGAAAAGTGGTGAGAGAAAATGCTGATGAGGAAGGAGGAGGATCTCCAAAAAAACCAGAGACAGACACGGGTCTGGCACTCAATGCAAAAAAGGAAGGGAAGCGGTAGGTCACTGGCAGAAAAGTTTGACTTTGCTCGTCATGCGCCAAGGCCCACTTTGAAAAGAAAAAATCAGTCCTGCGGCAAAACGAGTGAAATGCACGCATCCATCGGCTTTCAGCACATGAGGGCTGGACCACCACCGTTTGCAGCTCCGGCGCCAGCACTGGTGTTGAATTTTATGAAGTTAAGCACAGCCAAGATGGGACCACCCAAAATGCGCGTGGCATTTTCAACTACCAACACATACGCAGGGTTGACTGTGGCCTCCAAGTATCCCAGCATCGTAAGCATCGGTCCATCTTTGGGCCCAGGCCTTACAAACGACACGACAGCGCCAAGCACCATAGAATAAAGAGCCAGGTTCAGCACATACTCAAACAGGGTCAGCACAGACTTTACAAAGTATGTGATGAACAGCATGACCGCCAACCGGAAGAGAAAAGTGTTGGGCGACTGTTCTTGCTGCCCAGCACCATGGCTTACAGCACTCGCGGCAGTAGTGGTGGCGGTGGCAGTGGAAGTGGCAGTGGCAGCGGTGGTGGAGGTGCTGTTAGCATTGGTGTATTGAGCGAGCCGAGCAGAAAGCGCAGCTAGTCTGGCCGCGCTGTCTTGTTGCTGGGTCTGGCGCCCCATGCTGGCCCTGGCTGCGGCAGAGTACGGGGGCGGAGGTGTAGGTAGCTGAAACATGCCTATTGGAAAAAGAGATACAAAAAAATGTGATGAGCAAAGAACAGAACAGAGCGGAAAAGGATGAAAGGAGCAAGGAGAAAAGCATAGTGGCCTTTTAAATGTACGCGATTCTTTCGCTCTTTCGCCTATAAGCTCGAACGCTTTGTTTTTCATTTCCCTCTTTGCGCTGGTGCTGATGGTCTCGCCGAGCCAAAAGCAAAGGCAAAAGCAAGAGCAAAAGCAAGAGCCAAAATAAATAAAATAAAATAAACAATAGAACGCTTGGCGAAAAATAAAACTATAATTTTTGATCTATCACACTCTAAGCCGCCGTCGATTGTTGTCCCGTTTGTCTCGAGCCTCGGATATATTTTTCTGCCGCGACGAAAGATAAAATTAATATTTAGCTCTCTGCAAGTCTCCGCCTGACCAGATCCAAAAGCGGACGCTGCTGGCGCGCCGGGCGCTCCTTCTCATGCATGAAGAACCCCAGACAGCCGCCAAAAATCCCGACGAAAACATCGGCCCGCGCTGAAATCAAATGTGTGTACCGCACGCGCATGTTTATTTTTGTTTAGCCAAGCAGAAATCAGCTATGGTAAGTTCGATATATTATGATAAACAAAATGAAAAAGAAAGAAAACAAAATGAACATTTACATTAGCTGAGCAAAGTACGTGACTGGCCAAGCTTGCCGGCCGCCACGGTCAAAAATAAACAATATTTATCAAGTATGGTTCAGTCACATTCAAGACAAATTAAAAAACACTTGTCAGGCTCTAGGCCGTCTCGTTTTGGCGCAGGCGCGCGCTCAGGCATTCAAGGTACAGCGCGTGGTTCGCCTTTGATGGTTTGATCAGCGGGCCAAAGTTAGTCTCGAGCGAGCTCCAGAAGCGCACAGCCTTGGTGAACTGGCGATCGCGGATACAAAGCTCCAAGGCCAGATCAATTGTCGTACTATCGACGACGGCACCGCTGGATCCAGCATCGCCACCAGACCCCGGAGCCGCCCGGCGAATGCGCAGTGCCAAAGGCAGGGCTTCTTTTTCAACAGCAGCGGTACCCCGTGGCTTTGGGTTCTGGCAGATATACTTGTCAATCCGTAGGCGAGCTCAATGACCCGGAGTCCCTGCCTGCCCAGCGCGCGGTTCTCCTTGTACACCGCATGGCAGGCCTTCAAAACTGTGTTGATGGCGCGGGTATCAATGTGCAGCGGCGGAGTGCCGTCCATGGGCTCATCCAAGCGGTGGGCGGCGTCCTCGGCAAATGCAGCCCATGTATTCATCAGCGCACCGAATGTCTGATGCACGTGCTCCTTAAGCAGAGCCATACGCCGGGCATTGTGCACAACTGCGTTGCCGTCCTTGGACTTCTGAGTGATCTCAGCCAGCCTGATCTGCAGCTCACGACGCAGCGCCGATAGCACAATCGTATACGTAGCAAGCGTCGGCGCATCCGGGCCATCCGCCGATAGCGAGTTGAATCTTTCCAAAATGGCCTCCACGTTATGTTTGCGCTGATAAACAGCAAGCAGCGCATTGATACTGATGATCGTCGGCTTGACACCGTATTTACTCATGGAGTCAAACAATTCGTCAGCCATATCCATGCTGTTCTCCGAATTGCTCAGCGAGCACGCCTTGAACAAGGCCGTGTATGTGGTGGGCGTAGGCGGGAAGCCTCGCCGCCGCATCTCTGTGAATGCCCGGAGTGCCCGGCTTAGCCGCCCGTCTTGCGCGTATGCGTCAATGACGAGGTTCCAGACTACACCCGACTGGTCGCGCTTTTTGGACTGCATCACTATGGCCACTGCGTCGTCAAGTTTGCCCTGCTGCAAGACGTTTCGGAACTTTTGTGCCAAGAGATACGGATCCGTGGGTATCGTGTATTTAATAGACGTTGTGGTCGGCAGCGCCCGCCGTTTCATCTCGGCCAAAGCTGCGCTTCCTGTGTGCAGCTGCCGCGGGGCGGTCACTGCTGCATTCGTGCCCAGTCGAGCGGCAGCTAGTCTGCACAGCGAAAACATGAGGGATGATGTATAGATAAGGTAAATACGTGATAATGCGAACAAGAGCGTGTTGGATAAAGTTGGGTTTGCGGTAAGCAGAGATGGATGAAAAAATAAAATTTTGGGCTTGGAGCCACTTGCCAACCACTCCAAAAAATTGTCAAAAATAAGTCCTGATCAACGGCGGGGCCATAACGATAAAAAAAGCCCTTGATTCTGCGATCATGAAAGTACTGCTGCAATTTCAGCTTTTTTTGCGTGGCACCCAGTTTGAGATAACCTATGCCCCTCCCCCCTTTCGCCTCACACAGGTTTTCAATTCCCTCCATTCTAAAAACGCACACTTTATTTTCTTTTACAATTTGCATCTTTCTCTCTTTCACACACAATGCGTTCATATTCTGAAGAGCAGCTGCGAAACTGGGAGCGGCACCAGAAAAAGAACAGGCTTCACAGGCTCACCACCAAACACCCCTTTCTCTGCGTCGGACTACCCTTTCTCTTGGCCGTAGTGGGCGGCTCCTTCGTGCTGCTGCCGTCGCAAGAGACAAAATACGAAGTACGGGACAAGCATGTGCAGGCTGCTCCCATTGAGGAGCTAAAGGCTAAAAAGCCAAAGCTCACTTTGCAGGAGGAGTACTTTCGGATGAAAACTAAGGGTCGTGGAGCGCCGAATGGGAGCCCAAGCGGGTGAAGCGGGCGCCCGAGGATGAGCCTGTGTTTGACCGCCAGGGCCCGCATAAAACCATGTTTTTATGGTTGCGGATCGCTGCGTGAATGACATGCCAAACAGACAAATACGCGTGGTAGCGGCGGCCAAGCCTCTATCCTTCTTTCTTTCAATGTATAGATTTCAAACCACCTTTTCACTTTCCTTCTTTTCCGATGCACTACAATTTATATTCATCTTACAACATCGCCACTCACGCGTGCTCCCAAGCTCAAATAAAAAATGAAATGGAATATAACATAACAGCAAGCCAAAGAGAAAAGCAAAAAAGAAAACTCAACGCCGCACACCTCTTCCAGCCCCGCGACCACCACGGCCACGACCACGACCGCGTCCACCACGAGCGCCGGACCAGCCGCCGGATCCCTCTTCCGCGCCTTAGGCTTCGGCGCATCATCAATCAGCAGCGTATCCAGGGGCAAGCTATCCGGCAAAATATAAAACCGAATATTGCTGCCTCGCAGACTAAGAGTATCCAAGCTAGTCGGCTCGCGATTCTTCACTGTCATCTTGACCTTCTTCAAATGCGTGTTCATGCTCATATCTACTGCTGTGACTGTCCCTGGACTTGTGTGCCGTTTTTGAGCTCGATCGTCACTGTCTCATTCTTGAGCTTCATCAAAAAGCGTACGAGCTTCATCTTGATCAGTGATGGCTTGTATGTAGATGTGTGTGTGTAAGATAAAAGTAAAAATAATAATGCTAAAGGTTATAGTTGAAGAAGCGCTGCGGTAAAATAAATGGCAATAAATAATTGTATTTTTGAAATACTACTTTTTTTTGCGCGCCAAAAAATTGTCACTGCAGAACTTGACCGACTTTTATAAACACTTCACTTTGGGGGATTTATCACGTGAAATAAATTGATTAATTGTTGGTGCAATTTTTTTGAAACTTTGAGTCAACTCGCTGGGTATTTCTTTTTGCTTACCAGAAAAAATATTTAGAACTTTTACCTTTCATTCCACAAAATTCATTTTTTCATTCTCAACTTTAATCAAACCCAACCAATCATGTCATACTTGGACTCGCTCGAACAATGCGTCGGCACATTGACACACTGCAACGACAACGTAAGGCAGGCCCCGAAACAGCAAAACTACACCTCCAAAAAAAGCTGGCGCTATGCATTTCCGACAAAAATGGCTAACCCCCCTTTTCTCAGACTTTTACAAAAAAAATTATATACAAAGTTTAGCTGAACAACGCGACCAAATCACTTTCTAGCCTGACACGGACGTTTCCGCGCGTTGAGACCGTTATCCGGTGCGAGAAGAAATACGACCTGACAACAGCCACCGACATCAACAAGGCCCAAACATTGATATCAAAAGAGGCCGTCCCCTTCTTATTTAGACAGGTGGATCAGCTTGAAAATGCAATTGAAGCTATCCGGGCAGCACACGAGTCACTGGGACAGAAGGTTGAAGACCAAAAGGCAGAGTACAGCCAGCTCATCGATGATGAAGCTAGCATGGTTGAATTGCAGAATAACCTAAAGGCAGAGCAGTCGGCGCTGTCAGATGCCCAGGCCAATTTGCTTAATGCGAAGAGTCTGTTGGCAACGAAAGAACGCGACTTGGCAGAGCTAACCCGCGCGCGGTCCGCCGTCAGACAGAAGAGCGCTATTCTCGACGAGGCCACCAGGGTCGACGCTGAGATCATAAAACTCGCCGCGCAATAGCCGATATCGAGCACGAAATGTCTGGAATACCGACAGATGACCTGATACAGGACTCCAGCGACGGCGCTGACAAGTATGTGGTACTGGATTGTCTTCGCGAGCAGCTCTCTTGCTTCACAGACGCTGTGGTCGACGAAAAAATGGACGCATGTATTGAAAACGCAATGGGAACGATTGAACTTTTGGAGAACAAGGTGTTTGTTCCGTGGTGGGACTCCAATACCAGCTTGCAGACCGAGAGGTTGGGCTATTTGTCGCGGCTTTTGCGGTATTTTTTCAAGGACCATGGCACTACGATGCAGACGATTATCGAGATTCTGCTTGACCACCAGGCGATGACCGTGGAGGACTTGCGACGGGAGCTCTCTACTACTGGGCAGGCGACCACTGAGCTGCCACTGCTGATAAACCACTTGAAGACCATTGGTGCCGTGACGACGGAGACCACCACAGTTGCGGGAAGCAATTATGACCATTCAGCTGGACTTTAGCGGGCTGGAGGGCACGACGATCAAGTGATGGAAGAAGACACTGTGGCGGCAACGGCGGCAGAGTGAGGAGCGCTACTAGTATACTTTTATTCAGTTAATATATAATAAAAATGCGCAGCACTACAAATGTTTTATTTCGAGATGGGCAGAGGCCGACCGTCCCAGAGCAGCTGGAGCGTAAACTCTGCCGGGTCCGCCAAGTCGACCACCCGCACATCATAATGCTTCTTTGCGACCATCATCTGCCCAATAAATCCCATTGCTGCTTTGTTCCATACGAACCCACGAATATCGCCTCTGCTGCCGTCCTCATCAGCACCCGAGATGCCCTTTGGATCGACAGTGGCCAAGACAATTGGGAATACTGAGCTCAAAGCCGCATTGACACCGCTCCTCGTGAACCCACTCGATGCAGCCACCACGCCCAACGTATCCACCTCTTGCCTCGACATCACACCCTCCCACTCGCGAATAACCGAAGGTCCGATCTTCTTGCGTTCATAATGCTTGCACTGTCCGACAACGTAAAAGGACGGTTGCTCGGGAAGAACCCATAGACCGCGGAAATCAATTCCTTGGTCGCTTGCTCCGCCGACGCGCTCGAGACTGGCCCCGAGCTGGTTGAATGTGCTGACGACGAGGTTTTCATAGGCTGTGCCGGACTCCACAGTCGAGATCCATGATTTTCGCACAATGTTGGCGCTAGGTTTTGATGTCCAGGACAGAACCAGCTGTGCCATTTGAAGACTTTGTGAGCGCGTTATAGATTTAAACATGGCATATAATTGGTTTTTTATTTTGAGAAGCAGCGCAATGAAGAGATTGGTTCAGCGAAAAACAGTTGGCAATTCTGGACTGATCAGTGATGCTACATGGGGCTTGCTCGCCCACACTTCTAATGTGAGCGCAAAGTATGGGTTGCACAGGATATTGCGATGGTGGAGCACTTGCGACTAATCTGAACGCGTTTTAGCAAGCGGAAAGATAATCTTTTTTATATTAAAAAAGTTTAATGGAATATTTTGGTAGCGACATGCAACAAAGTGCAATGTAAACACACAATTGCGCATTTGAAACTGTTCCTGAAAACCAGGCGTGATACGGCCATATTGGCAATTGCAACATGACTCCATTGTAAGATAAGAGCGTACCCGGCAAATGTGGAAGCCAACAATCATTTAAAATGTGTTCACATGGCTTTGACGCTTTGCCTGCTGCTGTTAAATTACTCAACATGCTTTTGCGGGCATGGAATCATTGATTCCATAAATTTTTTTAAGAAAAACATTTCCAACGGGGGTTCCTTTTCTTTTCTTTTTGTTGTTTTCAGTTGTGACTTTTATTGACTATATACTTTTAAACTTTTAAACTTATAAATTGTCTTTACCATGCCTTCTGCTACTTCTTTCAACAACCCCCCACAACGCTTCAGATGGGGATAATTGGGTGGTAGTTAATAACGATGGATCAACATTCACCGTGCAAAGCATATAAGTTTTGTTTGGAATCATCTTGGCGAGAGTGCAATGCAACATATTCCATATGTTAGCCCAAAGGTGGCCCAGCATTTGTAACATTTTTTATTTTGTAGTGTACTTTTAATAAATGTTTACTCGAATAAATGTCAGCCCAATTTGTCCAATATTATTCCAGACGCAATACAGTTACTGGTATCACTGCGATGATACGTCAATTGCCTCTCTTCAGTAAACAGGACGGCAGTTGTGCGATCTGATGAATATTTAAATCACGTGTTAATTGATCTGCTCAAAAATTTACTTGCGTGTCAACAATGAACGAAAAAAGCGCATTCTGCATGTTATTTTTCTTTCACTTTTTTTCTGACTTTGCTATTTTTTTAGCACTTGCGGTATTCAAACCAAATTCAAGCTAATAGAGCGCGAAATGCAGAGCTTAATTTATAAAGTATTACCAGAAAGTACTCGCTGTCGCTGCAGGCAGACGCCTTGCTCTACTTGAGCGGCATTATCGAACAGAAGGCCTTTCGCAGAACGATGCCGCAAAATGGCTCGAGCTTCTCGCCGACACATGGACTAAGCGCGAAGGTGAGCAAGAGCAGAAAATATAGGTGCTGGGATGGGGGGATGCGCGAGTAATACTGGTTACAAAAACAGTAATAAAAGCGCGCAGTTTCTAAGAATATTTTATACGCACGCATTCTCTTTCTATGTACCATTTCGAGTAGAGGGCAGGCCGCTGGTCGAACTAGCGCCATTGAAGGAGCTCGTAGCAGCAGTGGCATCGGGATCGGACAACAGCCCAGCGCGGTAGCACGGGTGAGTCAACCACAGGTGGAGCAGCAGTAGCAGCAGCAGCGTCCGCGGTAGTCTCAAAGTCCAGATCCGATCTGTTCACAGTCATCGACGCGTTCGACGTGCCTACATGGTGGTACGATCCGGGGAAAAAGATGTTCGTCAAGCCATTTGAAAACGACAGCATCATGTCTTCGGCCGAGGCAAAGTCCGCGCTGTTTCGTCACGGTATGATTTGCTGAAGCAGCGCGTCATGCGCAACGAAAACTTCATGCCTGTTTCCTTTAGCGATCAGGAGAAAGATCGTTTTTACAAGCTCAGCACCATTGATTCGCTGCAAGGCAGAGAAGGCGAGCACTTTTTGCTGTTCGGCATGCTGGCACAGCTGGAAGAAGGCAAGTTGTTTATCGAGGACAAGGCTGGATCCATCGAGCTGGATTTTTCGACAATGGCTGACAAGCACACGTCTGTCAATGGGCTGTTTACCGAGAGCTGCTTTGCGCTGGTCGACGGGTTTGTCGAAGATGGTATATTCAAAGTGGAAGAAATTGGGCTGCCGCCGCCGGAGAGCAGGGAGCAGACACGCAATGCGTTTCCAAACGTCAATCTGTTTGGAGGGCCGCAGTCACTGCGCACGGAAGCACAGTTGCGCGCCATAGAGGTGGCCAACGATAACGGAATTATTGTCTTGTCCGATGTTTGGCTGGATAAGCAGGAGACCATGGATGCGCTGCACATGCTGTTTGATGGGTTCTCGCACTCGACGCCGCCAATTGCGTTTATATTTATTGGCGACTTTTCGTCCAAGCCATTCGTGCCCGGATCGGGCGAGACTGTGCAGTACAGAGGTAAGGGATATGCAAACAATGCTGGTATTGGTACAGGTGGTGCTGTTGCTGTAAACATAAAGTGGTGGCATTCTCATGCCTTGAACCACTCATTCTCGCATTTGCTAACAAAAGTCGGAATTGGGCTTGTCCATTTTTTTCAATACTTGTGCACGCAGTAGATAACATGACGGCGCTTGGTCAGCTCATTGCCGGATTCCCTGAGATTGCGCGCAAGAGCCACTTTGTGTTTGTCCCTGGGAACAACGATCCCTGGGGCCAAGGCGCGCTGCCTAAGCCGCCAATCGCCGAGTTCTTCACCAAGCGGCTGGGCAGCCGCATCGCCAATGTGAGCTTCACAACCAACCCGTGCAGGATAAAGTACTGCACGCACGAGATTGTCATTTTCCGCGAGGACATGCTCAAGCGCGTGCGCCGAAACAGCGTGCTGCCGCCGACCGAAGGAACCGAGATTGTTAAGCATCTTGTTCGCACTGTAATCGACCAGGGGCATCTGTGCCCGTTGCCACAGCGCATCTGCCCGATATACTGGGCGTACGACCACGCGATGCGGCTGTACCCAATCCCCGATGTGCTCATACTGGCTGACCGCTTTGACTCGTACTCGATCAACTACGAGGGCTGCCATTGCATCAACCCTGGCTCGTTCTCTTCCGGTGACTTTTCGTTCTTCATGTACTATCCGGTATCAAGACTTCGCAGTACAGCAAGATCCCAAAAAAGTAGGCGTACATTGAATCAATATAAAAACATAGAAACACGCACCTCCACTGCCCATCTAAGGGAAGAATGTGGTGGACAGCTCGGACAGCAGCGATGCACTGTTGTGGATGGATGTGCCGCCCAGTAGCAGATTAATGTTCTGCGACTCGTACTTGGCGTTGAGCTTCGCAACGGCCATCTCCTCCTCCATGGTGACACCCCCAATGACAAATACGATAATGTCCTGGTTGAACATGCCGCTCTCGTTGCCGATCTGCGGCGGCCTGGCCTTCGGATCGAGATTTGGCAGCCGCTCCTGCCAATGCAGGCCCTGCCTCCCGCGCAGCATGTCCTCGAGCATCTCTGCCAGCGCAGGTGTGTGCTGCGTATACACATTTTCGACTCCTTGCAGGCCTTTGAACATATTGCGCCCGCGCGAAAATAGGTTTTCGTTTTGGAAAATGTCGCTCTGCCGCTCGCGCGCGCCCGCGTAGCGCAGCATCACGTCGACCATGGATACCTGGTCGGCATCCACGCCATTGGACGTCAGTAGCTGCTTGAGCTCGGCTGTGGCATTGCCCTGCATGCGCTCGTACCGCAGAGCGTAGATGATCACACAGCGCACCTTGTTTTCTGCCGTATACTTGCTCTGGGAAATCATTGCCCGCAATGTCTTCAGTCATTGTTATGCTGCTCATTGCACGCCAAACTCTGCTCAAGCTCTGACACTTCGAGCAGGTGTCGCTCATTGACAATCCGCGAGAGCTCACCGACTAGTGTGACGTGCTTGGTGACGTTGCCCGAGAGCTTGCGAAACTCGGGGTATGCCTCGACGAACCGCTTCATGTCAGATATGGACTCGATCTGGTGCCGCGACTGGGTCTTCGCCTGGTATGTATCGACAAACTCCTTGATGGATACGCCCAGGTCGCCAAAGTTGAGGTACTGCGACTGCTTAAAGAAGGTGTCCTGGTCCAGCGACAGCATGACTTCCTTGACCTCCGGACGAATATCGGGCACGTACGACAGATCGACGCGCCCGTTGGTGATGCCAATGAGGTCGTTGAGCAGCGCGTGGTACGTCCACTGGGTCAGTAGCGGCGTCACTGGGTCGTTTTTGCGGTCCAGAATAAAAAGCTGCGTTTTTGTATCGCTGGCCTTGCCCGAAAACAAATTGGACTCGTGGCTCATCAGATATGCCAGCTCCTGCCCCAGCTTCTGGGCCATGGCACTGTTGCGCTCGTAGCGAATGTTCGGTCGCCGTTTCAGCGACAGGAGCAGCGCGCCCAGACCCTGCACCGTACGGTTGAGAGCCCCCGGGTTCCAGCTGTGCCCCTCGGCAAACAGTGGGTGGACGGACGGCACCAGCCCGATGTGGAAGAGCACCGGGGTGATCGCATAAAAGTCAGCAAAAAACTCTTGAATTTCGCGTACCACCTCGCTCTCGTCGTTCTCCGCGAGCATCTCAATCATGCTCTTCTTCAGTATGTTGGAGAAGTAAATGTAGTAGTCGCCGTACTTTGGGTTGCGCAACTCGTCAATGAGCGCTTGTATGGATGAGTCGGTCGGCCGCAGGAAGCAGACGCACTTGAGGTGCCGCATGGCATCCCGCTTGTCATTTTCAATCCTATCCACCAAGTACGTCTCTTTGGAAAGAAGGAATGACTGTGTTGATACTAGCGATATTATTGGCGTCGTCTCGCGGTCGAGCAGCAGCACCTTCATCCCGCTGATGTCTGACGCTATGCGGTTTGTATAAAACTGGACGGCCTTAACTACATCCATGCTCGGCAGGTGTAAATGTGAATTGAATGTGAATTAAAGGATTAAGTGCAAAGCTAAATGTAGATTGGATGCGCGGAATGGTTTTAAAAGAAAAAAGAATGTGAGTGAGGAAAAAACGAAAAGTAAAGGTGTACCTTTATTTTTTGCCGAGCCAGGCGGTGACGATGATTGCGCGAAAATAGTCGCTTTATAGTACTCACGTGAAATAAAACTTGCGAGCAGCCAATAGTCGCACGCAAGTTTTTAAAAACTTTTTTCTCTTTTTTGTCAGTGATAAAGAAGTTTTCTGCTATTATTTTTGCAACAATTTAATAAAATTTTGAATTTACTTTTTCTCGTTGTTATACTCCATTTAATCCAAAATTTAAAAAACACCACACGGATTCACAATGTCAAAGAAAGGCGGTGGCGCAGCCAGCATTCTCAAGCTCATAGTTCCTGCGGGTAAGGCAATGCCGTCTCCCCCGGTCGGACCTGCGCTGGGTCAGCGAGGAGTAAAGTCGATGGATTTTTGCAAGCAATTCAACGATCGCACCAAGGACCTGATCCTCGAGACGCCCACACCAGTGGCCATTTACATCAAACCCGACCGCACATTCACGTTTGCAGTCAAGTCCCCGCCGACGTCGTGGCTGCTGAAGCGGGCAGCCGGTGTGACCAAGGGCGCGGCGCAGCCAGGAAAGGAGACCGTCGGCACAGTGTCACTGAAGCATATCTTTGCGATCGGACAGATCAAGTCCAAGGACCCAGCGATGTCCCACATTGATCTGCAGAATATCTGCAAAAGTGTCATTGCGACAGCAAAGTCGGTCGGTATTAAAGTTGTGCACTAACTAGTATAAATGGATTTTTAGAATTTCCAGACATTTATAGTGAAAGTCCAGATTTTTAAGCGGGGGATTTTCAAAACCATTTTTTCCAGTTTTTTAGCCTAAAATATTAGAAAGTCCAGATTTTTGATGCGGGGAAGGATTTAGGGTTTGTGTCTGACTGGTGCTTCGACTATGGGTTAAACGTGACGTTTAACGATGTAATTATATTCATCCAATTATGTCGCAGCCACAACCAACGCTGCTGCTGATTCTGTTAAAACCACAATCGCCGCCGATGCCGCACTATTACTGACACTGCAAAATAGAGTTGCGACCAAAGGTGCCTATTTGCCCACAGTCTGCCGATATCATCTGGTGGATATGGTAGGAAAAGGGCTGGTCTAAGCGCAAAATTTCCTGCAAAATTAAGCAGCAGCTGGGGATGAGCTGGCTGAGCGAAATCAAAGCAATGTGTAATCCAGCTGCCGATAATCTAAGGCATGTCAGACTGAGTGGCTGGCGCAGCAGCAGGAGCAGCAGCAGCAGAATCAGCAACAGCAGCAGGAGCAGAATGGTCAGTAGGAGCAGGCAGCCACAACAGGCGTTAATACAATTCCGGCAGTAGAAAAACCTCGCCAAATTATATGACATGGCTTGCTCCAGTGCACAATGGAAGACTGCCTGCAAACCTTCAGGGCCGACGGAACCAAGATCAAGGATGGCGAAAAGGTGCCATCAGGCAGATGAAAACGGAATCGTGACACAGCCGCGGTGCTGAGCTTTCGCATCATTCTTAGTGCCTGCTTACAGGCAATCGCCCTCCCCATTTCTCGCGCAAAAGGATATCGTCAGAGTTGGCTGAAGCCGAGTCTACAGCAATGCTCAACCCAGAGCCAAAGCCCAAGCCCAAGGGTGTGCACAAGAATCCATCTCCCTTGCTTCTTCTCTTCGAAAGAAGCAGCAAACTGATTAATATCGTCAACCATAGTGGTCTGGGGAAGGATGTCAATTTTCAGGATATTTGTAGCCTCACTTTCTTTTAGTGTAACTGGATTACATAAATAAAAAGTATTGCAAAATTCTTTAAAAATTGAAAGAAAATGAAGCTGTAGCATAATTAGGAGTCGTAAGCCAGGATCGGGCGCAACCACGTCTCGACCACATCGAGGGACGTGTTCTTGCGCGCGGTGTAGTCGTCGATCTGCTCCTTGGTGACTTTTCCGACGGCAAAGTACGACGACTTGGGGTGCGCAAAGACCAGGGCACATACCGAGGCGCCCGGGTGCATCATCAAGCTCTCGGTGAGCTCGATACCGGTAGTCTCAGTGATATTGCCAAGCTTCCACATGACGGTCTTTTCCGAGTGGTCAGGCTGGCTGGGGTATCCGGGCGCCGGGCGGATGCCCTGGTACTTGATGCTCAACAGATCCTGTGTGTCCAGCGATTCTTCGGGCGCGAAGCCCCACAGCTCGCGGCGCAAGTCCTGGTGCAGCTTCTCAGTGAGCGCCTCAGCAAAGCGGTCAGCCAGAGCCTTGACCATGATGGCCGAGTAGTCGTCGTTTCAGCCTCATACTGGGCCGCCAGCTCGTCAACGCCAAAGCCGGCCGACGCGGCAATGCTGCCAATGTAGTCAGGGATGCCGGTGCTGCTGGGTGCGATAAAGTCCGAGAGACAGAGGTATGGCTCAGTGCTCTCCTTGTCCTTCTCCGCCTGCTGGCGCAGACCATAGTAAGTGCCAGCAACCTCGGTGCGCGACTCGTCCGTGTACACAGAAATGTCGTCGCCCTTTGCGTTGGCAGGCAGGATGCTGATAATGGCCGAGGCACGGATGCGGCGGTTGTCGATCAGATCGCGCACCATAACCTGGGCCTCATCGAAGATGCGGCGGGCCTCCTCGCCGACCGTGGCGTCTTTGAAAAGCTTGGGATAGCCGCGGTTGGGGTACTTTCCGCGCAGCTGCCAAACCTGGAAGAACGGGTTCCAGTCAATGTACGGCAGGAGCTCGTTGAGATCAATGTCCTCGTAAACCTTGTGGCCGACCATGTTGGGCTTGGGGGGCAGGTTCTCAGGCAGGTTCCACTCAATCTGCAGCGCCTTGCTGCGTGCCTCCTGCAGACTCAAGTAGCGACGGTCCTTCAGCGAGTCATAGTGGTCGTCGCGGACCTCCTCATACTCATCTTGCACATCGGCGATGAAGTCGTCGCGCAGGTTCTTGTCTAGAAGATTGGACACGACGACAACCGAGCGCGAGGCGTCCAGGCAGTGGATTGTCGGGCCCTGGTAGCGCGGTGCAATCTTCACAGCAGCGTGCGTCTTGGACGTCGTAGCACCGCCAATAAGCAGCGGGATCTTGAGACCCGCGCGCTCCATCTCCTTAGCGACATGGATCATCTCGTCCAGCGACGGCGTGATCAGGCCGGACAGGCCAATAACGTCGGCCTTCTCCTTGATTGCGGTCTGAATGATCTTCTCGCAGGGCGTCATGACGCCCAAGTCGATGACTTGTAGTTGTTGCATCCCAGCACAACGCCGACAATGTTCTTACCAATGTCGTGCACGTCTCCCTTGACGGTGGCAATGACAAAGGTACCATTGTAGATGTTCTTCTCCTCGATGTCTTCCTTGCCACATAGGTTTGCCAGGCGCTCCTCCTCCATGAGCGGAATGAGATGGGCGACGGCCTTCTTCATGACGCGCGCTGACTTGATGACCTGAGGCAGGAACATCTTGCCCGATCCAAACAGATCACCAACAACGCTCATGCCGCTCATAAGCGGGCCCTCGATGACGTTGAGTGGGCGCGGGTAGCTCACCTTGTCAAGACGAGCCTCCTCAGTGTCCTCGACAATGTACTTTGTGATGCCCTTGACCATGGCATACTTCAGACGCTCGCTCACAGACAGCGAGCGCCACTCCTCCTCATCGGCCTTTGCCACAGCACCCTTGCCGTGCGATTGGGCGTACTCAAGGAGCTTCTCGGTAGTCTCAGGGTCGCGGTTCCACAAGGCGTTCTCGCAGATCTCTAACAGGTCCTTGGGAATGTCGTCGTAAATGGTGAGGAATCCTGGGTTGACAATGCCCATGTCCATGCCGGCCTGGATGGCATGGTAGAGGAATACCGAGTGCATGGCCTGGCGCACGACTTCCTTGCCGCGGAACGAGAAGGACAGGTTGGACACACCGCCGGAGATCTTGGCGCCAGGAGGTTGGCCTTGATCATGCGGATCGAGTCAATGAACTCCACACCGTAGTTGTTGTGCTCCTCCATACCCGTACAGATGGTCAGAATGTTGGGATCGAAAATGATGTCGTTGGGGTTGAAGCCAACCTTGTCAACCAGCAAGCGGTATGAGCGCTCGCATACCTTGAACTTTTGTTCACACTCGACAGCCTGCCCGACCTCGTCAAAGGCCATGACTACGACAGCAGCACCGTAGCGTTTAATCAGACGTGCTTTCTTCAAAAAGTCCTCCTCGCCCTCCTTCAGACTGATACTGTTGACAATGCACTTGCCCTGAACGCACTTGAGGCCGGCCTCAACCACAGCAAAGTTGGACGAATCAACCATAATCGGCGCCTTGGCGACGTCGGGCTCGGTCGAAATGAGGTTGAGGAACTTTGTCATGGCAGCGACACCGTCCAGCATGCCCTCGTCCATGTTGATGTCAATGACCTGACCGCCGTTCTCCACTTGCGCGCGCGCAATGGCCAGGGCCTCCTCGTACTCATCATTAATGATATGGCGAGCAAACTTCTTTGATCCGGCGACGTTGCAGCGCTCACCAATGTTCAAAAAGTTGCTGTTTTGGTCGTAGATCAGGGGCTCAAGGCCGCTGAGGATCATCTTCTGCTTGCGAATATCGGGGCCAGGCACGCGCGGCTTGAAGTCTTTGCACTTTTCGTAGATCGCCTTGATGTGGGCCGGCGTGGTTCCACAGCAACCGCCCATGATGTTGACAAGGCCTTCGCGCGCGAATCCGCTGACGTTCTCTGCCATCGTCGCAGGCGACTCGTCGTACTCACCAAAGGTGTTGGGCAGACCAGCGTTGGGGTAGCAAATGACATATGCCGAGGTGAAGTTGGCGATGGCCTGGATGAACGGACGCATCTGGTCGGCACCCAGGGCGCAGTTGAGGCCGATAGCCAAGGGTTCGGCGTGCGACACGCTGATAATAAAGGCCTCGCCCGTCTGTCCTGACAGCGTGCGCCCAGACATGTCAACAATAGTGCCCGAGACAAACACTGGCACGCGCTCGTAGATGCCCTCGTCGAACAACGTGTCAATGGCAAACAGTGCTGCCTTGGCGTTCAGAGTGTCAAAATGGTCTCGACCAAAATCACGTCTGAGCCGCCGTCCAGCAGACCACGGATCTGCTCGGTATAGGCGGTGACCAGCTCGTCAAAGGTGACGTTACGGAAGCTCGGGTTCTCAACTGAAGGTGAGATCGAGCACGTGCGGTTAGTGGGGCCAATGGCACCGCAAACAAAACGCGGCCTGTCAGGGGTCTCCTTCAGCATGTCGTCGCACGCTGCGCGCGCAATCTCGGAGGCCACCTTGTTCAGCTCGTAGGCCAAGGCCTCAGTGCCGTAGTCAGCCTGCGCAATCATGGTACCCGAGAATGTGTTAGTCTCGATAAAGTCGGCGCCTGCAAGGAGATAGTTACGGTGAATACTGTAGATCGACTTTGGCTGCGTGAATACCAGCAGATCGTTGTTTCCCTTGAGATCGTGGGTATGGTTCTTAAAGCGCTCGGCACGGAAGTCCTCCTCGGACAGACGCAGATCCTGGATCTGAGTTCCCATGGCGCCTAGATTATAGAATTCCCAACAAAAGGAACGGTGTTTGTCTGTAATTAGATGTGGCCATTTGAATGCGTGTTCGCTTGTTTGCCCTTCAAGCTGGGGTTATCATTAAATGCAACTTACCGTCAAGGAACATGATGCGCTTCTTCATCTCGCTCTCGATGTACTCGGTGGCCTCGCGCCGGCTGTTGAAGCCAGCGGGGACGGTGGAAATGGGGGTGGATGGCATTTTCTTTTATTATGAGTGAATTTAAAAAAGCAATAGGAGAAAAGAAAGCAGAAAAGGAAATGGAAAGTCAGCAACGCAAGCTCATTATTGCCAAGCGTGGTGGTAGCATGCTCGTGGGATTCGCCAACACTTTTATGTGTACTTTTGCTGCTAACTTTGAGCATAAATTTTTTTCCACATATTGGGTGTTAGTGGTACCAGCAGGCTGTGGGGGGATTAGCCAATCAACCTTGCATATTTGTGGCGATCTGCACGCCTTGATTCGGGCAGTAATAGCTGATTTGATTCGAGTGAGTAAGTACTGATTTGATCACCAATTGTGAATGTCGCGTTCTTGTTTTATATTTTTTTCGTGTCTATTGTTCAACGCGCGTTGGCATACAATTCAAAACGCACGAATTGTGCTCGCATTTCCTTTTCTCCTTTTTTTTACTTTTGTTACAAAAAAGACATACAATGACAACCACACTTGAAACGATAAGCCCGGCAAACCCGGTCGGCGAGGCCGAGACATCGCCAAGCGCATGCGGCTGACCAGCCCCGAGGTACCTGGAACACTAGGCGAGGAAAGCTCACCCCTGACACAGGAACACATATTCACCAACCTGCGGCTGCGCAGAATTGTGCGCGAAAACCACAACAACACAGTCGCCCAGCTATCGCTCATGTACTACCGGCCGTGCGATCTGGGGCTCAACGGCCACGGAACCGGCGGCATGCCCGCATACGAGCGGTCCTTTGACAAGCGAGGCGGCGCCATTCGCGACGCCAACGATAATAGCAATCTTTTGGGAACAGTTGGGCACATGCAGGCGAACATCTATGATAACGAGAACTGCGGTGACCATCTAGATATCATGTCGCATTATCAATTGGCGCCAGGAGCCACTACGTCGCTGCGTACGTGTTGCTGGGTGCGGTCACCAGGCGACGCTCTGTTTGCCATTGCCGGTGATGACACTTTGGTGCATATTATTAGCTTGGCATGGAACCGCGAAATCCGTGTTTTGCGCGGTCACGTTGCAGCTATTGTTGATCTGCAGCCTCACCCGACCGACAACAGGCTTCTGGCATCGGTTGGAAGCGACCAGACCGTGCGCATCTGGTCGTTCAAACGGGCGAGTGCATGTGTATATTTAGCCACAGCGCCACAGCAGCGTATTTCCACCCGGATGGAACTCACTTATTCACAGGCACGGCCTCGGGAGAGGTGTATCGGTGGTCGATCCCCGATTTAAATGGAAAATACAATGGACCGCTCACATTTACAATAGATGACAGCTCTCTGGTTATGCCTGGGAAAAAATATGCCGGATCAGCCATCGACTGCATACGGTTTGCAAAGTCCAACTTGGTGGTTAAGAATACCTCCGGCCGCATAGATTACTGGGACCTGGACTCGCTCTCGCTAATAAGGGGATTCAACGTGCGACACCACGGAATTATCATCTCGCGCTTTGACGTGAGCTATGACGACGAGTATCTGTGCGTTGGCAACAGCAGGGGGAAGGTCTATGTATATGGACTAGACAGCGGAAGGATCGTGAGCCACTTGGCGCACAAGCGATCGGTGCGCCCGGTCACATGCTGCTTGTTTTCGCGCGACTGTCGCAGTGTGATCTACGCGGGCGAGGGTGGCTTCTTGTGGCGATATGACTATGTTGACGACGAGACGCTCGCAGAGTGGGAGAAGCCCGATGAGAGCGCGTCTGACGACAGCTCCATGGAGTAGACTATTCTCTTGATTGGAGCTCAAATGAATAAATAAAATTTTATTTAGAAGAAATATTGAAAAATAAACAGAAATTTCCTAGCTTTTGGTGTCCTTGTTGCCGCTGTTGTCGTCTGTGAGCGGTGGCTCAAATAAGCCAGCCATTGCACCCTCAATAACGTACCTCTGATGCATTCACGCGTGACGCCAGTACCGCTGAGACTGCTCAGGCGGGTCCTCAGTATTATATCCTCGTATTTGTCCCTAAGCTCGATGTTCATGGGCTCGTAGGGTGATTCCTCCGGATCAACCACCCATGCATCAGCCTCATTCTGGCCCATAGATCGTCGTCCGAATCGTCTGTGGCGTTCCTCAGCAATGCTTCTATATCCATATGCGCCTTGCGCGTCGCGTTGCGATGGCTAAGCGATGACTTTTTCAGCTTGACGGCGTTTGCCCTGACAATCTCTCTGGCATCCTTGTTGGATGTCGCCAGGGCGTCAATCACGCTGTTCTTGGCATCCTTCTCTCCCGCTCCTCTTCCTCCAAGATCTTCAAATACTCCTCGCGCTGCTTCTGCTTTCTCAGCCGCTCCTCCTTAGCATAGAGGCTGTGCAGATTCTCCTCACGCTGTTGCTTAGACTGGTTCTTCTCAATAAGACTGTTGTTCTCGCGCTTGTACTTTTCTATCACATATTCAACTTCGCCCGTGTCGTCACCGTAGAGCTGTCTGACGACCAGGTCCTCAACCATCTCTAGGTAGTCGTTGTAGTCTTTTAGGCTCTTAAAGTCGCCCTCTCTCTTGTTGTACGTCATGGCCATTCGCGCACGGATACGCACTTCATTTTCAACTGTGAGGTCCTCAAATATGCGCTGGTAGTATTCGTTCATGCGCAAAATCCGGTGACACACGGGACAGGGCGCTGGGCCAGCCTCAAAGGTTCTGTGGACGCATGCTTCGCACAGCTCATGGTAGCACGGGCTTACCAGCAGCTTCATGCTCTGGTTGAGGTACCGCTCGCTCCTGCATTCCGGACATGTGTCGTCCTTGGAGAAGAATTCGGGAATGTCTTGTTTTTTGGCCGCGTGGAGAACGCTCATTTGTGTGTATTGAGTAAAAAAATTAAAGTGTATATAAATGTTGAAATTAAAGTGTTGAAGAAACGAAATGCAAAAAAAGAACAAGTCGCACCTAAAAAAATGACAGTCATTGTTTTGTGATCATGAGCGGCATGGTCAGGATCAAAGAAATTTGTAATCCATTAGTCGGATGCTGCGGATATCTGGTGCGTGGATTTGGCTTGTCTGCCAATTGATTTGGCCATGTTCAGAGATCAACAGGACAGAGGTCGTGTGACACCCGCTCCTGCACCTTCTGCTTCACTGCGGAGGGAGCGCAGGATGACGGTTGGATAATGGGCGTGGGTGGTAGCACTTTGGTATGTCCAATTGCAAGGTTCTCTAGCGGTAAATAGCAGTGTACAGCAGTATAGTTTTCAATTTGTAAGCATTTGACAAACAAAATAGAGCCAAGCCCTAATGAACCTTACTAAATTATGAGCGTGCATTCGATATGTAAACGACCGGCGCATAATTCATATTTCTACTTTTTTTTGAGATTTACCAGCAGGTCAACATTTTCCTAATTTATTTTGGGTGAGGTATTTTACGCCATAAGAAAAGAATGAGACTACAATATCCTGCAAATCGACATCCTTCCCACAGCTTGCATAGCAACCCGACAAGTATTTAGAAACTAGTAGCAATAGACCACTATGGTTGACGATATTAATCAGTTTGCTGCTTCTTTCGAAGAGAAGAAGCAGGGGAGATGGATTCTTGTGCACACCCTTGGGCTTGGGCTTTGGCTCTGGGTTGAGCATTGCTGTAGACTCGGCTTCAGCCAACTCTGACGATATCTTTTGCGCAAGAACGGGGAGGCGATTGCTGTAACAGACCATAAGAATGATGCGAAAGTTCAGTACCGCAGCTGTGTCACGATTCCGTTTTCGTCTGCCTGATGGCACCTTTTCGCCATCCTTGATCTTGGTTCCGTCGGCCCTGAAGGTTTGCAGGCAGTCTTCCATTGTGCACTGGAGCAAGCCATGTCATATAATTTGGCGAGGTTTTTCTACTGCCAGAATTGTATTAACACCTGTTGTGGCTGCCTGCTCCTACTGACCACTCTGCTCCTGCTGCTGTTGCTGATTCTGCTGCTGTTGCTGATTCTGCTGCTCCTGCTCCTGCTTAATTTTGCAGGAAATTTTGCGCTTAGACCAGCCCTTTTCCTACCATATCCACCAGATGATATCGGCAGACTGTGGGCAAATAGGCATCTTTGGTCGCAACTCTATTTTGCAGTGTCAGTAATAGGTGCGGCATCGGCGGCGATTGTGGTTTTAACAGAATCAGCAGCGGCGTTGGTTGTGGCTGCGACATAATTGGATGAATATAATTACATCGTTAAACGTCACATTTAACCCATAGTCGAAGCACCAGTCAGACACAAACCCTAAATGCTTCCCCACATCTTCAAAAATCTGGGATTTCTAATATTTTAGGGTAAAAAACTGGAAAAAAACGATTTTTGAAAGCCCCCCGCTTAAAAAGTTGGACTTTCACTATAAATGTCTGGAAATTCCAAAATCCATTTTCAATAGTGTATTGCACAGACATCAAGGCATTTATTTTCTCCTTTGCATCATTTACTATCCTTTCTCTTTCTCTTTCTCTTTCTTTCGTTTTTTTTCTCCAACCCATTTGTACATTTCCAAACTTTATATTATATTCATATTCATATATTAGGAAATTCCTATTGTTCGATGACTTCACTTCAAACAGAGGCCCCTTCACAAAGTGGCCCGACAAAGGCATTGCCTGGGTCAAGGCGGACAAACAGCTCCCCGATGACAATTGTGGACAAAGTGCGCTTCTTCATTTTTGCCGTATTTTTCATCGGCCACTCGGCGGTGCTCAACATCTGCCAGATGGCTGTGTGCCCCTGGCTCAGTCTGCTATCCCCAGTGAATAACCGCAGGTTTAACCAGTATATCGACGGTGGTTCAGCATAGTGCTCCTGATTGCAACAAACCTATGGGCGCCAACCAAATTTATCCTGACTGGAGACAGCGAGTTGGCCGGAAAGAGGGCAATACCAGCAGTAGTAGCAACGCAGCAATGAGAAATATAAGCAGCAGTGTCGATAGCAGTTGGTTTGCGCCAGCAATAGAGCATGGCTGCATGCTCATCAGCAATCACCAGACGTACTTTGACTGGATAATTATCTGGATGCTCGGCTACATGTGCCAATGCGACGGATACATCAAGATTATCCTTAAGGCCGAGCTCAAAAAAGTGCCGGTGTTTGGCTGGAGCATGCAATTTCTCGACTTTATTTTCTCAAGCGCAAGTGGGCAGATGACCAAAAGACATTTAAAAGTCACATGCAGCGTATTGTCGACCACAAAGACCCGTCATGGCTGCTCATCTTCCCCGAGGGCACGGTTCTGTGCGACAAGCGTATTGCCATTTCGGACAGGTTTGCAGCCAAGACCGGGCTGCGCCGCCCCGAGCACACACTACTCCGCGGACCAACGGGAGCATGTTCTGCCTGAACCAACTGCGTGGGCGCATCCCGTACATCTACGACCTCACCATCGGCTACGAGGGCCTCAAGAAGGGCGACATCCCGGAGGACGAGTACGGGCTAGTTAGCATGTATGGCAAGTGCGTGTACCCGAGAGAGGTCCACATCCACGTCAAGCGGTATGCTGTCGAGGACATCCCCATTGATGAGGAGGGATTCAGCAGGTGGATGCATAAGGTGTTTGTCGAGAAGGATATGCGCATGGCCAAGTATTATGAACTCGGCCGATTCCCGCACGATCACTCTGAGGACAGTTCTATCCCCGCGGATGAGCCTGTGCTACGGGCTGTCCAGGATGCCAAGGCTAAATACCCGACTGCCGAGTTTGTATTTATGTGGGCGCAGATTCTAGCCATTCTTATCCCCGCGCGCTATGTTTTGCGCTTTGCGCTTTCGAAAGCATCGGCTTTGTTGGCGGGTCTGTTTTGAGACCCTGCACTTTGACGTTCAATGCGGCATAGACTTTCTTATTGATATTCGTCGCTTACACAAGCATAATTGAAATAGTTTATTTGATTCAGGTAATTTCAATCGTCTTGTGAGAAAATATGATGAGTAAAAGAAATATGAAAAGTTGTGCTGGCTTGAAAATAAAAGAATAAAAGAGCTCAGTCCTGCCTATGTCGCCCGCGTTAAATAGGAGAATATGGCTGAGATGAGCTCTATGTGCGCGCAAATTCGTCTACTGGCCGCCCATCATGATTTTGATAAACTCTTCTTCGTTGACTACATAAAGTTACAGACAGAAAAGCACAATGGGTCAGCGACAAAACAGTTAATAAATAAATGAAAACGTCGCAGGTTTTAAACAAACACTCTACACTCTATTTTATACTTACTGGCACCGTCGTTGTCCATGTCGAACTCATCAATCATCGCCTGCAGCTCATCGTCATCTATGTTTTCGCCCAGCTCGCGTGCAACCCGGCGCAAGTTAGTGGCATTGATAATGCCCGAGTTCGAGTCATCAATGAGCTTGAAGGCCTTTTTGTACTCGTCTACAGGATCGCGCGCTGCAATCTTCTCCGACATGAGCTTGACAAAAGCATCCTGAGAAATCTTTGCCCCGTCGCTCGTACCGAACCGCTTCATAATCTTCAGGACTTCTCCTTGCTTATATCAAAACCAAGTGCGCGCATGGCCACCTTTAGCTCGTAGTAGTCGAGGTGGTTGTCCTTGTTTGTGTCGAACAATGAAAATGCCTCTTTAATCTCCTGGATCCTTTCTTCCGTGATTTTTACTATTGGGGCCGAGGCTGAAGCTGAAGCCGAGGCTTGGGTTTGGGCTGACCGCAAAATGGTGGAGCGCGGCTGTGTCTGCGTGTACTGGGAAATTCCGGACATTTATGCGAATTTGTCCTTCCTCAAAGATGCTGGAATCTCTGTTTACTAAAATGTGAATAATAAAAGTTTATGTAAAGAAAAATAACAACCGATTTAGAATATGAATTGAGAAAGAAAAAGAAATATAAAATACAAAATTATTGTGTCGATAGGTGCACGCGTCTTTAAATTTTTTTATGTAAATGGAAAAGAACGAGTGAAAAAATTGATTGGGTCGTTGGAAATCAAAGCTGCATTTTGATGTTCGACGATTGGCCACACTGAAGAAAATAAACAAAAGGCGCTTTGGCTTGCCGTTGTCTCCCAATGATCCAGTTCTATTTTTTTGATACTGTCTTTCCGCTCGTCTCTTTGAATTGTCAATTTAGCTCGAATTTATAGCCACAATTTGTTTTATTTATCAGTCTTTTTTGCGCGAAAAGTATGAGCGGCACAAACACAACAGGCGGCCGGAGCAAAGCCGAGACAGCCGAGCTGATCGCGCTGTGGGCCACCCACGAACTGGGATTCAGAAAGGCATCCACACTGGTTACTGCCAAGGGCGACGAAAAATTAGCACCCTCCGACATCGAGCCGCTTCAGCAGGGCGAGCTTGCAAATTTTTAGAGCTGTCGCACACACCTGGTGTCCTCGCAGAGAGCTAACCAAGTCCGACAAATGTTGGCAGCCTACTGCTCTACTCAACCCGCTCCTTCGACAGCACAAGAGACCAGCCCAAAGCATTTATTGCGCTTTACAATGATCTCAAAAGTGCGAGCGCCAAGGAGCAGAAGGTGGTATCAGAAATCCAGGGTATGGAGCTTGAAAACCTTGGCTGCATACAAGCAATTGACGAGCTCGAGGCGAAGCGCAGTGCGACTGAGAGCAGAATTCGTGAATTGCGACTACAGATTCTCGTCAAGCAGGAGATGGCGGAAAAAGTGCGCCGTTTGTCTAAGCGCATGAGAATACTAATCCGGGAGATGGCTGTAGCTAGTGGTGACTCATCGGAGACATCCGCGATCATTTATACGAGCTGATTCGTAAAGCTCAGTATTCTTTGGCGAACGAGGGCGCCGGATCTAGCTCGTAAGTATATATATTTATTGGGACCAACCCTTTTTTGTTGTGTTTGCACATGTATTGCGCCGAATCAACAGTGCTAATTGTTTGTGTTTATTTGTTTTATGTAGGATTCATGAAGTTGTGGCAGACAGTACGCTCGAGCAGCGCCAGACTATGGTGGCCAACGTGATAAGCGACATAAAGGTACATCGATATTCTGGTCACTTACCACTATCTGTTTTATTACTTGATAGCACTGCGTCACCCTCAGCGCGTTATATTTAAAGTTTTTTGTATGATTACCTTTCGTTGTAGAATTTGGAGGACATACACGTACGAGCTCGAGCCTCAGTGAACGCCAAAAATTGCAGCTTGACGCAAGGAAGTCGGAGCTAGTTGAAAAGCTGGAAAGTGTAGTTGGTATGCTGAATATGGATGCCGCATCGGATGGGGCCGAGGCATGCGATTTCAAGGGTGCAATTGTACATCTGTTATACACGACGCAGTTCACAGGTTAGAGGCAAAATTAACGTGTTGGTTCCAAAGCTAGTACCCGAAACTGCGCACTTTGGGTATATGAAGATCACAATAAGGTATAGACAAAAACAATGACATGTATATAAATAAGTCGATATGATGTTTTGTGCTGGCATTTAATTATTGATTTTATGTTACCAAGCGTATGCTCATTTTTCTTTTGCAAATTACTGTTGTATTATAGTTGGAGCTGATTGCTGATCAAATAAAGGAGATCCGGAGTTTGTTGCTCGCAACTCAAAATGTTGCTTCCAAGGTAAGTTTGTATATTAAATGGAGCGATGATTTTCCCAGATACGTAATATTTGAGAGTTTTTTGACATGAAGCGTGTTGGTAATATCACCCATCGAACTTGACATATTTATGATAATTTGGTAGGCACTCGCGTCATTTGAAGCTGATGTGGTTCCGGCATTTGAGAGCTTACAGCGGTCGTTACGCTATGTCAGCACGCGAGATGCTTGGAATTCAGTCAGCCTCTGGCACTTACAGAACATCCAGGTCGATTCAAGGTAGGATAAGTATATAGTTAATACAAAATGTTCTTGTGCTCTTAGCTACTATTTGGGTGGCAAATGTATGCCTTGTATTGATGACAATTTGTTCTGTACTCAATTATGTGTAGCAATGGCAGTGGCAAGGAGTACAGGCCTGCGGACAAGCTGGTGACTCGCAGCAGCCATACTGAGGCGCTCCGCAAGCAGCTTATTGGAGACATTGCCCATGCTTCCGTCGGAAAGTCGGGATATGTAAGTCAAATAAGCATTGCTTTAAACTTACAAAAAACACGTACATTGTTTGAAATGCTCTTCAGTTTTTTTCTAAATGATGTTTGTTTATTATTTTTGTCTGTACATTTGGTGTAGGCTCATGAGACTGTCGTGGCAGAATTAGCCAAGCAAGTGGTGCAAGGTATGATGCGAAGTGCTGTTTTTATTCCTGTTGCTACTATTTATTAACAGCACGCATGACGTATGCTGCTAATGCATTTGGTTTAACACGTGCAGGTGTAAACATATATGCACCAAAGGTGTGACTAGGATTTGCTAATTAAATTGAAATTTAATTTGGCGAATGGACTATATGTAGGTTTGCGCCGGGCACACGCTATGAGCAAATAAACGGCGAGCTTGCAGTGAGCTGCCATCGAATCGAGCAGTTACACCGCGGTATGTTTAAATTATGTCTAATATTGGAAATTTCCGACCTAGTTTTCATTGTGTGGATCCTCTATCTGTTTGTTTTGCACTTTAAATCACGTCCAAAACCTACACTTCCAATTGCGTGGGCGTTTATTTGATTAGCACAATAATCTACGAGCTGATGGCATGCGAGCTTCTATATTGAGATACTTGTGCACTTTTTTGTTCCTGGACATACAATGTAGATAGCACCAACAAACCAGTGCATGTAGGTGAAAAAAATTTGATTGAGGCGGCGGTTGACGGCCTGTGTCAGCAAGCCCAGAGCAAAGAGGTAAACACTATTTTTTTAAATAATCGCATGTTATGCGTTACGTTAGACTTTTTCGGATACTAACTCACGTGTATAAAACAATTGCTATTTTTGTTTGTGCTGGATTTATTTGGCATGTAGAAGCCGCGCGGGAAGCTTTGGAAAATTGGAGGGAAGAGACCGAGGCCAAGAAAAGTTTGGATATAGTCGGTGCGTCGGCAGCCATGGAGGATGTCATCGTGCAGCTTTCGGAGACAAGGTACATTTTAGAGGATCTAACATATTTTGAGCTCGTCATCAAGACTGCGAAAATGTTGACTGTTGCTGTGCAATGGTAGACATGTGGTGTGTGACATTCAGCACGCCGTTACGTTCTATTGAGATACCGCCAGTATTAACATACCTCCATTTCTATTGTTTTGTAGTGGTCGTCTGTTTACCGATTCGTTTGCTCCTTGGCACGAGCGCAGCGGTGTTAGCTATGCAGAATATCTGAAGCAGCTCAAGATAGCTCGTGCGAGCGAGTGAGTGGGGCCATACACAGATAGATACTTTGAATTTTACGATTAGTGTTCTTAGATGTTAGTTGCCAAATATACCCAACAGCACATAACAACACACATATTTACAGTACATAACACTGTCATTTCATTTTAATTTTTATAGTAGCAATACTTTTAGTCATTACTATGCAAAAGGGGGGAACGAATGGCAAGTAAACGTGCAATGAATACTTTCCAAATGTGAGCATGGAACACCCATTTCTGCTTTGATTTTAATTTTATTTTTTATAATCATCCCTCTTTCCCTTTTTCCCCGCGTGCAACTGTCAGGTGCCCCGGAAAGAAGCTGGTTATATTGTTTTGGCCTTCTTGTCATTCGGCCATTAGCATTCCGTGTGTGCTGCCATTGCGGAATTTGGCTTAGTCGGCATCTCAACAAATAACTTGTGTACAGTCACAATAACAAAATGCTGCGATCGCTTGACTTTTTTGCCTTCCAAAATTGAAAGACAAGAAAAAAGGTCTTGATAAAGAATGCATTGCTCAACAGGCACGATGACAATCTCTGCTGCAAATAGAACAAACCCGCCTCTGACTTTCCAATATGTTATTTACGCTTTTTCCGGGAGACAGTACGCAATATATTGAGCCCCTCGTCATGCTAGAATTGCTGCATCAATTGCTCTTTCAAATTGCAAATGTGATTAACCAGACACAGCCTCTACCACTACTGCGTACAAAATAGGGATGCACAAAATAGGGAGGCAGCTGTGAATTGTGAGATGGGGGCTGGTGGATAACAATATCAAGATACACTGAACAATTTTAATACCCACCGCTCGCCCCGCTCTCTCTCCCCAATTCGCCGGCGCAATCATTATTCGACTTAATGGTGGATATGCGCCGATGACGACTTGACACATTACTTTCAAAACTCGTCTGCGTGATCAAACGAGGGGTCATTAATTTGTAGCATTCCAAGAGCAGTTCTGTCCTTATCGCATCCAGGGGCCGTACAGACACACACAAGCACAAACACATGCGCGTGCGCACATGCATCTTTAGAATTTATGAATAAAATCAGGTGAGCACAAGGCGCCTGCCAAAAAGGCAACCCTTTTCAATGCGTTTGGTCGCTTAGATATCCAGCTTCTAACCTCTTGTCGACGTCCTTGTCTTTTTTGCTCTCTCCGCCTTTTTGTATATTGTTTTTGTATATTAATACTTTTTCTTGCTATTAATTCGAATTACAGTTTCTGTGTTTAAATATTTGATTATTCGCTCCCACACTTGCATTTTGCTGCTTGTATTTATTTTCGTCCCCCGCATTTTGATTTTTTGTTTTCTAAGGACCGCCAACATTTTATTTTTATTGTAAACCAGTATTTTTACATATACGCAGCACTTCCCTAAAGACGGCACATGAAGCTGGATAGTTTCCAATTTCTCTCTTCTTGACCACATCGACTTTAATTTTTTTATAGTGTGCATGGTTAGCACTGAACAGCGGATCATTGGCTTATTTTGATTACTCTGGCGATACTACACCGTGTATTCCATTGCACGCATACATTTCCAATAGCACGAATTCTCAAGCGTATAAATATTGGCTTTATTTTTTGGTATAGATACTCGGTTATATTTTTATTCTCTTTTCTCTATTTACATATCGCTGTTTTGATATTACACATATATCACCCGTGTCTTATATTTTGGAAGTCTGACCGACACAAAGTGGCATTGATTTCGGCAAAAAAAGATACAAAATAAACATCTAGACGCCCACGATTTAAAAATAGGCGCCAAACCATCCCGCCTTAGGCTGTTTCCACTGCAGTCACACTTTATTATAACGGTAAGCCAGGCTTGATAATTTACATCAGTAACTCGTCCTCAAACATGCTCATTTTTCGATTCGTTATATGCAAATTCAGATACACGCAAGATATAAGGATATACACACATGTAGTCATATCCATTTTTAATTTGCAATGCCATTGCACCTTGTCACCATGAGCGGTTGCATCTGCATCCGCGTCTTGTGAGCACATGCCATGACTACGCCCCCTGTTGTGCAGTTTCCCACCACCATCATCTCCCTTATTGCGCATTTATTTGCTCCTTTCTCACCGCAGGTTGTCCATTGTACCCCTCAGATCCACGAGAGCAAAGAGGATGCGAGAAAATGACAATGATAATGATGCAATGAGAGGTAGTGTTGGCTGCAGCCTGACTGTTTTTTTCTGCAGTCTCAGCATGGCGTGGCCCTCAAAGTCTACATTGTTTTATTTGTTCAACATTGTTGAATTTGAGTAAACTGTGCAACAAAGTATTTATGTCTGTCTGCGGGTGCTCTCCCGAAGCCCACAGTTCATTGTCGCCTTTCGGGGATAAAGCTGACAAGGTATGCCCTCCGGTTTCTGCCAGCTCTATCGCCCGCTCGCTCGCTTGCTCAGTCATTCAGGCTGTCCTCATCACTTTTTGCTCCTCGTGCTTCTTGCTTATAAAGCACACACATTCAAGCATGGGCGCTTTCATGCTCACATACACACGCTGACACAATAAACAGCCAAAGTGTATTTCATTCATGTTCCATCGGCGATTCAGTTGGCATCTACTCCTTTTATCTCTCATTTGCATTTCGCTTGCTTTTTCACGCAGCAAAAGTCCCAATCCATTTTTAGCATCTCTATTTCCTCTTATTCTCCTCTCTTTATTCTCTACTTCTCTCGCGGGCCTAGTTCTTTTTAGCAAGCGATTTTTATGGCTAAAGTCCCGCGCCTTTTTCAGCTCGTTTTATCTTGTTCTATAAAGCAGCAGTCACCCTGCCCTGTTTCCTCTTAAGGCCGGCACTCCTATTATTCCATTCTTTTATTTTTATTTTGAAAGGGCCGGCATCTCTTTTTATTTTTGTTCGAGTGATTTTCTAAACCACACTGCATTTGTTTTTGCCCCCTCCTTGCTCTTCCGGCGATTGATGGCTGCACTCTTCTCTTCTGTTTTCTTCACCCGGCTTTTACAATACTTATTTTTATTCTATTACATAGTTTGCCTCACGCACAAACCTAAAAAACAAATCAAAATAAGCGCGCTGTTGTTATTTTCTTATACTTACTATTATCGCTGAAACCAGCTCCTCAAAAGTGCATACAAAAGCTGCCGTGGAGTCCTACACTATCATATAAACTCACAAGCACAACACAAAACGCAGCAGCATCTTAATTTCTGCGCGCCTGCTTGCTTTTTTCTCTTGCGATTATATTCCTCGCTTCTACTCTCCTTGTTCTTTTTTGCATATAACGAAACAAAAAACAAAAAGCGCATTCGCACCTGTGTTGGTATACGACCAACGTCCTGTCGATATAGCATCTTGCACACCCACACAGACACACACAAACAAGACAAGCAGTGCACTAACGCTTATCTCTCTATCAAAATAAGGGTGCTAACACTCTATTATCGGTTAAAAGGGCACAATAGACTCACACTACGAACCAACCATCCCAAAAGGACAACCACCACACCCAAAAGACACATCGATGGCCCGCTCGCAGTCGCAAACTCCGCGCCGTCAGCCAGCATCTGCGGCTTCAGGCATCAAATCTGGCCTGCGCTCGCAGACAATGGTTGACCCGTCGGGCAGCGACTCTAATGACTCCGCCCGCGATGAGAGCCACAAAGGTACGTTAGCAAACCCCATCTTAAACATCTACGGCATGTCTTTTTGTTATTTTGTTTTCATGTTTTTACTGTTCTTTGACAGTATACTACTACTACCACCACTTATGCCTTTGCTAAACAAAACCAGGGCCCGTGACCCTTGCACACTTATTTATACATACTATAGCCCAAGACAATCTCAAGCAGCAGTCGCAAGGCTCGTTTCAGGCCCACTCATCCGACCAGGGCAGCAACGACACCTACGGGTCCGAGGACTTGGCGAATCCGGCAAAGACCGCAACGGCGGTGGCCGAAATGGTACGTACAATTTTCATAGTTTTCATTTATTCACCCGCATGAGATGCTGTCTGGAAGTGCGTTGCGTTGCGTTGCGTTGCTTTTTGTTGCATGCGCCCGCTTTTCTAGCTGCTCAGCCCACAATATCAACGATGCAGCATCCAGGCCCTATCGACACTTGCCAATGCCTGACTCAGAGAAGGGGAACTCCAACTGGTCATTATTATGTGTTCCCAGGCCTTTGACAATTGTACCTGTTTGCTGTTTTGGCGGAGTTTATTTTGTTTTCATCCCTCCCTTCTATTCATTAATGCCTGTGCGCATAGCTCAAAGGGATAGCCTACTATGCCATGCTTTGTGCTTTTTGGCCGTCTTTGCTCTTCTTTGTCCGCATTTTACTTTTTAATTTATAAGGACAGGCCAAAGAGCACGTATATTTTTGCTTTTGCTTTGCCTTATATGCAGGCTACAACCACCGATAGCGGCAGCGGCGGCAGCTGCTTGTTGACACAGCCAAGCCTCCGATTATTCGCGAAGCTAGCGCCTTGCACTTTTTTGCCCCCATTTTTATTACTGTTTTTGCCTCCGTCATCAGTTCCCCCATCATAATTATTTTTTGTTTGCTTTTGCCTTTCCAAGCAACAGCAACAGCTATGCCAGCGCCCGCAGCCACAGTCAAATGCTATGGCAGCACGCCCTGCGCATTTTTGAGTGTTGGGGATTGCAGACCTCCCTTTTTGGTCATTTCGCCTGGACAAATGTATATTCCAAAGGGTGTCTATTACATAGAGCCAAAGACATGCCTTACCTACTAGCTACAACCAGCCACATGAATTGGCATTTCCAAGCTAGATTATCTTGCTGGTTGTTCATTTATCTGTGTAGCTTTTGCGCTATCTGCGTTAGCAATCTGCTATCGCGAATTGTCATCTTGGCCTTGCTCAAGTTTTAATATCTCGCGCAGCTCAATACACACTACCGTTGGCCATTGGCAACAACAACAATTCATTTATCATTTTTGCGCCAATACTTGCCCCACTACACCCCACTTGCACCAGGTTTCTGTTAGCTATAGTTTACTAAAGAAACGCATTATCTTATTGTTTTTTCTACTTGCACTCTATAGGCGGCTCGACACTGCACGTTCCATGCAAATTCTACAAACACAACAACTGCACGGCCGGAAACAACTGTCTCTTTTTGCACGAGGTCACTGTGACGACAGAGAAAACAGTGTGCAAGTACTTTGTAAAGGGCAACTGCAGATACGGCCACAGGTGCGCGTTGATACACAATGGCCAAAACGACGCACCCGCCATGCGTCAGCAGTCAAAGCCATTGGGAACCAACTCGCGTAATGCGCAGACCTTTGGGCCGCCTCTTCATCAAAGGGCGGCAATCTACGTGGCACCGGAGGTGCTACCGGAAACACCGGCAAAAAGGATCGCCGGGCCAACCAGGAACCCATATACAGCGATGCCGCAGCCGGTCATTATGTTGGTAGCGCCACAACCACGCCATCCTCCCAGCAGTCGCAGTCGAATCGCGGGACTCCGGGTTTCATCCCAGGCGCTATCAACGGGCCCGCCAACTCATCCAGCCCTGCTGATGGCACCAGATCGACACCGACATCAGCCAAGGCCAGCGGCCCAAAAAATACTGCCAGCGACCGCGCACATGGCATAAACTTGGACTCAATGTCGGTACGCCTGACCTGCGCGAGATCCCGCTCAAGCCCGCCAGCGGAAGGATGTCGGGCAACAAGATGATGGCGAGCTCCTGGGCACCAGGATCCATTATGAGCCGCGAGCAAGGCTCGAAGGCGCCAATTGCATTGCTCTCTGGGTACAAAGAGCAGGCACCCACTCGCGCAGACTCTGGTGTCTTTGAGTTTCACAGCTCTGGCACTCATGGGTCTGCGCACACCAGCGCGTTCTATCGCAGCAAGATGACGGGATTAAGGCCTTTTCGCTGTTCGGTGAGCAGCAGGGAGACGGTACGACGTCTCCGTTTGGGATGAACTTTGGCAGCGTGCGCGGCGGTATCAGCAACGCTCTCAATAATGAGTTCAATCCTCGTTCGCAGCCGATTCCCAAGCCGAATGCCGGGTCCGACTGGGCTCGCCGCAGTGGTGACTCGACACTGTCATATGGCGGCCTGAGCATGCAGGACAGTCTCCGCATTGATAAGATGGCATTGTCGCACAGCTCTGCCCACCAGCAGTTTGTCGGCTCTCCGTATATGCCAAGCTCCATCCCACTGCTCGACCAGTTTTCGGAGATGGGGCGCAATGAGTCGGGTGTAGGCCTTGGCGATTCGCCCATGGCGAGTCCATTTGCTCGCAGCCCGCCAACATCCAGCTCGGGATTGCTGCTCAACCGCCATGCTTTTACAGCTGTGGATATGGCGCCGCGGATATTGACAATGGCGGCGGCAACAACCTACTGTGCAACAACAACAGCAGCAACAACAATGGCAATGGCGGTGGTTACCACAACCATTTGCAGAACCACAGCATTGGGCACTCTCTGCGCAACACTGTCGACACTGGGTTCTCGGGCCGCCTAAACATGTCACCGTCAATTTACCCAATTGGCAACGGGAATGCGCGGTCGATTCCGCGCAACAACGACCTGCTTGGTCGCTCATTCCGCTCTTCAAGCTTTATGAATGAGCCACTCAGCCCGCTTGCCGCCTTTGCCAATGCAACCGAGTACGCTGAAAGCCAGACGCCCACAACAGTTATTGGAGGCGGTCCGCTGGGAAGCCCCATGTCTACAAACAACGGCGGCGGCCTGGCAGCCTTGGGGGGACGCCTGCGCTCCAACAGCCACTTGCAATCGCCGTCTCTGGCGGGGCTTTCTTCGGGATCGAGGCCGTCGGCATTCAGAGCCGGTCGCTGATGCATGACAGCCCATTTATGATCGATCGCCAACTGAGCGGATACTCGCTGACTGACATGGACTCGCCTAGCCACGAGCAGCTGCATGTGTCAAACTCTGGAATTTGGGATCCGTACAATTCGCCCCTTGGTGCCGACTCTGGCAGGGACCACGACTCACGCAACTCATACGGGTTTTCGCTGGGTGGCCAACATCTTAGTGGACAGCGCTTAGGCGCCGGGACACTACATCAGCAGCAGCAGCAACAGCAACAAAATTGGCCGAGATCTCCGAGGACGGCGTTTCAGGGAAGCGGTCAGGGCTCGCCATTCGCATCTGCGTTTACGGGAATTGGCGGTGAACCCAGGGGCATTGCTTTGCCACCCCTCGCATCCGCCGGGCATCTTTTTGCTGACAGTACAAAGCCAGGTGCGATTGGTCAAAAGCTTCAGCGCTCTCATCTCAGCACCTTGAGCACGCCGACAGACGCCAATGGCGCGTACAATAACAGAGATCAGGCCCGCAGCGCCTTCTCTGGGTTCAACGCATCTGGCTCGGCAGCAAGCATTGCTGGCAAAATAGCCACAACGTCTCGTCGACCTCTTCGGACAACTACGACGAAGTGTTTGAGCTTGAACAGGATGTGCCCATGCAGGTGCGCGATATTGGAGGAAGCACCCATGTTAACAGTAGCGTTGCGAGCAACCCGCAGTTTATTCCGATGGAAGGGTTCTCGCGAAAGCTCTCTGGGATGTCTTTGGGTCGTTCTGAGGCCGGCTCTTTAGTCTCGTCGTACACTGCATCAGCCAGCAGGCCCATTGCCAATGTTTCTGCCATTGCCAACGTTTCTGCCATTGCCAGACCGTCGGCATAAGAGCCAAAGCAGGCCGCCAGTATCAACAAAAAAATGATGACTACAATTTGCCAGAGGGATCAAACCAACCAAAAAAAGGGACAATCCGCAAACGTAATATTATTGTTCAGCACCAGGCAAAATGTATGTTACTTGTTGCAGGGTTGGCCTTGACCACAAAAAAAATTAAAAATGTCATCATTTGTTTTTCCACTAATACGTGTGCTTTCGCGCTAAAAAATATGTGTTCATGCAGCACACAGCGCACGCCCCACAGTCGTTTTTTATTTATCTTTTTTATATTACTTTCATATTCCAAACTGCATGGTTTCTATTTCTCGTTTTTTTCACTTTTCGTTATTGGTTATTAGGAGTTTTTTTATTTCATTCATAGCTATTCGTCAAATATTAAATTTTATTCAAACTACTTAAGCTGTAAAGTTGAAAAGTACATTAATTGTGAATTGTAAACTAGTAAAATTATACATTGTCAAAAACGCACCTTGATTCCCACGCGCATGTGCAATTGTTCCATAGTTGGCATATCGCAAATAAAATTGTCCGTCATCTTTTGAATACATGCCAAACGCGCCATGAAACAAGCTTGCTTATGTTGGTGTTTCTTTACATTTAATAATCAATATATTTTTTACTTTGACCACACCTGCAACAGTAGTCCGGAGAGTACAACCGATTCTAACAACGATGGACTACAAGGCATTCTACAAATCGCTGTGGGATCGAATGTCACAGACAAAATCTGGCGAGTCTGAGGACTATGAGCATATATCGGGTATGCTCTCCGGGTTTGAAGCAGCCATCAACCGGAGCACCGCCGCCGGCGCACTTATTCCCCGAGACCAGTGGCTAACCTCTTTATCCGTGGCGGCCAGCTTTGCCGCCACTGGCTTTGCATGGTCCGCGCCATCAGTCGCTCGGCAGGCCAATGCGTGGATAGCAGCAATAGCAGCGCAGCTCAGAATTACTGATTCGACCGGATCCGTGAAAGTCTCTGCGGAATTATTCCGCAGTATTTGCACAATCAGCGTGCTTCCATATTTCAGCGCGAAGGCAGAGAGTGCCCAGGACACATATGTGCTAATGGGCGACGACAACCGGAAGGATGTCGGTCGGGGGTCGGATGACCACAAGTGGAGGGACCACCCTCAATGTATAGCGACGTTCCAGTGGGCCCTCGAGCACTTGGTTGATTCAGACGTTACCACCGTCATATCGATTATTCTGCCGGTGATATTGGCGCTTGTGGACGACTACAGCATCATGGCCAAAATCCGCGGCCTCCGCTTGGCCATCCTGCTGATGGAAAAAGTCGGTGCCGAGTTTTTGCGCAAAACCGGGATAGCTGGTATTTTGGAGAAAAGCATCGACGGATGCCTGGTTTTCCGATCCGACGAGGGCCAATTAGGCATCGACCTGCTTTCTGCCGGATTCAAGGCAGCGATACAGGTTGGCCGCATACAGTATGCTCGCTCGGACGATATGCGATACACAGCGCGGTGGTGGGCGCTGACAGAGAAGGTCATCTCCAATGATCTGTATGTGTCGGATAATGTGGCTGCTATTGAGGTGCTTTGTCGACAGATTGCGCCCTTGTGCAAGGCGCTGGGCCCCGCGATCGCTCGGTATTTGCGCCCACTGGTGGGTGTTCTCACAAAGGGACTGCATTCGCCGGTTTATTTGAGCAGCAATCTGTGTCGGCTGCATGTGGTCGTGTTGGAGCAGCTACAAGCGTTGATCGAGGTGTGTCCGCAGAGAATACACGCGTATTGTAAAGATGTAGTGGCCGCAATGGCGTACTCGTGGGTTGGAATGCAGAAGGGGAGTGGCGCTGGTGTTGGCGGCGGAGGTTTTGAAGAATTGCGGGGGAAAATCATTGCTGTTTTGAACAGTCTGCGTAGTGCGTGCCCTGAGGAAACGAGGCAAGCAACTATGCAGCTTGCAAAATCGCGGCCGGCGGCGTTTGCTGACTGGGAAAAGTACTTTCATTGATGAGTTTGCTGAATATAAACATTCATATATACTTTTTTTTATTTTTTTATTTTTTAAAAAAATAGAACAATTTAGATAATGACAAAAAGTTACAAATGATAATTAATGTATAACGCTCCCCTTGCTTCAAAAAAAAGTTAAACGTCAAATGCCCATAGCTCCAAGTGTCCGACTATGAATTCTTGCTGGGCGTCTGTGTCCCGGTTCCGAGGGTGCGACGGATCAAGACAAAGCGGCTCGTTGTTAAATGTCGGACAGCGAGCAGAGTAGCCGTGTAGGAAATCGCTTTTGAACCACAAACCAAACTTGCCGCGGCCACCGCCTACGGCCACAAAATCAGGATCGCATAGTATAAAGTATTGGTTGTCGCCAGAGTACTTGAATGCCTTGACGGCATCCTTTTTGCGCGACTGGGGGCTGGATCTGTATGCCTTCCACAAAAAACTATACAACAAAAAATTGTAATTATATGTTTAGCAATGTGTCAGTACTTTAAAAAGGTTGTTAAATGGGCTAATTCACAAGTGGCTCGAATAGTGCAGCTGGAAAAATGGTATACATGAGAAAAAATAAGTAAAAATGTGTCACTTACCATGTGCCATCTCCATAGAACTTTGGCTTCAGCTGCAGTGCCTCATTTAAATACGCCCCAAAAACCTACACACGCACACATGATGCACAAGGAATAAAGAATGTTTATTTATCAGTGTGAAATTAACGATTGCAAAAAGCGCCTATCTTGTAAAAAAATTTTTTTACATATTTGGCACGGCGTCGACACGCAAGCATCTGTTACAATTGAATGCACTTGTGAACTTACTCTTCCTTTTGTGTCTTTTATGACTAGCATCAGCTCCTTTTCATTTTCGCACATGGCGAGCATTGTGTGCATGCTGGTGCCCTGTTGATCCATGCTGTAAACAAGGCGCCAACCCTTGGCCAGACGCTGCTGAACAGGAAGCAATAGCCGCAACTACAAAAAAATTTGAAAAAAATTAAACAAACATGGGGAAAGAAAAAAGTGTGGAGTTGTTAGCGCACAGGCCATCATTCGGAGCATATGACTTGCCTTCTTAGCAAATGCAGAAATAAAGTGTCAGGCGCACAGAAACCCCCCTCCCCCCAAACAAAACCCTTCATGTAATTATTCTTACCTCCTCTGCAATTGTCGCTGTTAGAACCTTTGGAGTGTCCTCGTTACGGCCCTGTAGTTGTACAGGCCGGCGTGGCGGCAATTGCTGCTGCACCGGAGCACTTGCAGCGATAATCCCAACGTGTGGATCCGCAGTGAATACATGTGGGACAGCCAAAGGCGTGTCCATGGCCTCCTGTGTCGCGCACGCAGTGGCATCCAGCCTCCCAATCTCCAAATTATCAACACTATCTGTATTCTCAGTAGACACGCGGTGGCTCTTTGGGTCATTATGTACATCCAATTCTGCCAAAGCAAGTGGAGCTAACAACTCTTGGCTGCTGCTGCCTCCAGTGTAGCTACTGCTGTGGTTTTCGTCCAAATGCTGCTCGTCTGCGTGCTTACTGCGCCCAAAGCGAAACAGACGCGATGTCAGAGACTCTATCCTTGTTGGCGGCAGAGTCTGAGTCGGAGGTTCTTCCTTGGACACTCCAGTGAATGAAGCTAATTTGCGCAAATTCCTGACCAGAGAGGCCGGCGCCGTATACGAGTGTTCGAGTGGCGTTGGCTCTGGCGACACTTCAGGGTCGCTGTTTTCCATGAAATAGGGACCTTGGAGGCGGTTAATGAGAGTTGGGGGTGGCTCGGTGGATTCGGGTAAAATTTCGAAAAATTGTTCAAATTGGTTTCGAGGTTTGGAAAGAGAAAGGACCCTGGAGGGGAAGGACTCGATGTTAAAAAAGGAAGAGGAGATTGACGTGAGAGATGAAGAAAGTGCGGGGGGTTGATCAGCCTCGCTGCCTTCGCTTGGCGCTGAAAAGGACGAGTGTCTGCATTCCACAGTTGCTTTTGACAGTGAGACCAGCGGTTCGCAGCTCTTTTGTGGGGTGAGTGTTTTGGCAGATGCAGAAGGCGCAAATGTCCTGGGAATAGCCATAGGTGCTGTCCAGCCTTTGCTCACTTTGCTCATCCTTGTATTTTGAAGAAAAAAGTATGTAGATATCTGGGTTTTAAACAAAAAAGCGGTAAATGAAATAATGGCAAGATATTTGTGTATATGTGTGAGTGCGTAAAGAGGCGTTTATATTATTGCAGTGACAGAGGAAATTAAAAAGTTAGAAAAGGAGTAGAGGATAAAAAGGTCTAGACTGAAATATGCTTCTTTTATTTGTGTTTGCGCGCAAAGGTGAAGATTTCTTTACAGCCTTCGCAAAGGCACACGAAAGAAAGGCCAAAACGAAGAGTAAGAGATTCTCAAGTGGTCACGCTCTCTCGTATGATAAAAAAACTTGTGCATTCCGATACTAGCGTGGGGGGTTTGCTGTGAATGGTGCTGGAAGTAATACTGTACGAGAAGAATGCCGTTGCTCTTATATTTCTCGTGCACCCTTCTTTCAAGTGAAAAATAAACTCACAGAATTGCCTTGCATCATTTTTTGTACCGTTTTTTATCTCCCTCATTCATGCAGATTTGAACAGAGCGAGTGCTTTCGTCACCTGTCGTGTGCGTGCATGAGTTTTGTCCAAAAATAATTTAAATCCTGTTTTTTTGCCTGCTTCTGGATCGCACGTTATCAGCCCGGCCCCACTTGATTTTTCCTCTTTTTTTGCTTAAAATATTTTGTTGAATTTCACCAAGGGGTTTTGTCTCTCTCTCCACCTGAAAGGGCCCGAATTCGCTGTCAGCTGCTCTCCAACATCACGTCGAAAAAAACCAACCTTTAAACAAATCACAAATATGGCCACCATATCGCTAGTAGCCGGGCTCGTATCCGGCGTCGTTCGGCGGGCCGTTCCTACAGCTGCCATTGCAATGGGCGCCTCCTACCTGGCGTCAAAGTCTCTAGCGGCATTCACCAGCCCCGATGCCAAACCCGATTCGTCGCGAGGCATGCGGCCGCTCTACGAGACACACAAGCCAACGACCGGACTGCAAAAGGCCTTTGTCGCTGCCGGAGCTGCGCTGATGGGATTCGGAGACCCCACTGACGGCACGTACATTGCGGCCCTGGGTGATGCCACATCGAACGGCTTTTTCGGCAGGATGCGTGAGCAGATGATTAGTGATCCGGTGGGGCGGCGGATCCTTAAGGAGCGGCCCCAGATCTCTTTTACGTCCGAGCAGTGGGAGGCGCTGGCTGAGCTTCCCGAGGGGTCATTTGGGCGCACATACTATGACCAGATGCGCAGAAACGGTATCTCGTGGGCCACTCGGCCGCCAGTGCGCTTTGTAGACAACGAGGAGGACGCGTATATGCTTTTGCGGTACCGCCAGTGCCATGATTTTTACCATGTCATTTTGGACATGGATATTTCGGTCGTCGAGGAGCTTGCAATTAAGGTGTTTGAATGGCAGCAGACTGGGCTGCCTGTCGGTCTTATTGCGAGCGCATTTGGTCCGCTGCGTTTGCCCCAGAAGGAGCGCCAGCGCTTTTTCGCGCATTACCTGCCCTGGGCCATGCAGTGCGGCGCCCAGGCCAAGCCTATTATTAGCGTGTATTGGGAGGAGATGTGGCATCGCAGCGTCGATGATGTGCGCAAGGAGATGGGCGTCTGGCTGCTTTCGGAGCGCAACAGCGTCACACACGCCGAGAACTCGACGGCTATATTGCCATAATCATACTATGTTCTCACTTTTAGAATTTATATGTCTGTGTACATGTTTTTCTTTCATTTTCTTGCGAGCGTTTAGAATGCACCCTTATTTTTAAAAGGTCAATCATCCTTTCTTTTTAAAATACCAATATGAAAAATTGGACCTCTTAAACCATCGCCACCGATGCAGTCTTGGTCTTGGTCTTGGTCTTGGTCTGTCCGGTTCCCTTCTTGGCCTTGGACCGGGCTTTTTGCGTAGCGTGACGCTTAATCGCAGCCTTCTTTTTCCTCAAGCGCTCCTTCCGCTTCATGCTGTCGGCGTTAACGAGCATGAGTCCATGATACCGTGCCAAAAATGTGTCCAAGTCAGCCGGCGCAACCAGGCTGCTGATCTTCTTCGTCTCTGTGGCTGCCCGGACTAGCGTCGCGTACTCGTTTTCGTCTAGGGAGAGTTTATCAACAAGAAGCCGCATGGCATCCTCGTCTGTTCCCTGCGCTGCCCTCTTCTTCTGCCGTTCCTGTTTCTTGCCCTGATAATCAACTACAATATAGGTTATTCTTTGAAGAAAGAATTTTAGTTGTGTGTAAAAAGATATTGATTTTCTTTTCAAGTATTCGCTTACTCCGTTTGTTTCCCAGGACAAAACAATACTTACACCGCTTAATCGTTAGTGTCACGCCGCCCTTCTCCTTGGTCGCCTCAAACAGTCTTGGAAGCGCCTTTAAAAACTACACAGTCAAAGTCAACCGATAAAAAAAGAATAAGACGAATTTAGTCTTATTTTCGCTTCGAGTTTTATCCTCGTTAGCTGCAGCACGCACGCGCGTAATTCCCGAGTGATGTGAAATTGGTCCACATTACCTCATCCTGATCCAGTAGCATTTAAAAGTATGTGTAATTTTTTATCTGAATTTCAAAAAGAGAGAAATAATAATAATATTAACGTTGAATACGTAGGGAAAAAAGAGCTAAATTGAATTGAGCAACAAAAGGGGCATTCGTGTTTGGGCTGACCATTTTTTCATGCAGTTGCATTTTTCCCTTACGTGTTTTTGGGATCCAATCAAATGACTGCTCATCATCTCGATCAGACAGTGCATTGCCATTTTAAAATTTTAATTTGAGTGGGCAAAAAATTTAAACCCCCCCTAAAGCACAAATGAACGCATTGTAGCAGTGAAATAAAATAAAAAATAGCCCATCTTTTTATTTGTAAATTGATTGGAAGTATTTACTATGTGTCGATTTATTTTTAGAATGCCCGCTTGATGTAAACTATAAATTACTTTGCCAATGGAAATTTTGTACAAATGCACAAATGTTAAAAAAAATTTAACTACAGCGCATTATTTTTTATTCGAGAATAATTTATTGCTGGACATATAAAAGAATGTTTTTCCTTCTGTCCAAAACCCCTTTTCTTTCAATAACTCATTCGTTTACTTTATTGTTTATTACAACTTGTAGTACTCAGCAAGAGCTAAACTCGATCACGAAAATGGCACGAGAGACATTTATGGTTACAATTGTATATTTTAAAGCTATAGCCCCCATTAAATATATACCGAATCCTACTTTATATCCGTACACAAGTAGCACAACCGTTGGATGTGCGTTAAAATCAATGAGCAAAAAATTTAAACCGAGGCCAGGATACCATGTTGCATTATATACTATGTCAGAAGACCTGACTCGTCTAGATAACTCAAAAATAATTATGCAATTCTATAATAAATCATCAACGCTTGCTATGAGGGAAGAACCTATCGAATTAAATCATTAAATAATAGACAAAGCAGTGGGCTACTTTGAATTTTTCACGGAAAATGCGTAAAGTTAGTCTCTGTTGACAGCAAAAATAAAGTAGAACTAGACTACTGAACTCATAAGTGCTATTTGGAACACGCACCTATATATTATTATAACTGTGGTTTATAATATTAAGAACAATTAATTTTTGTTGAAATTAGCCTGGCTAAATTTTTATTATTATTGTTTAATAAAACGATTTATTAGTGCAATATACATGCTAGCTGTTGATCTTTCCAAACTCGTTTTCGTAAATTGACTTGACCCATTCGTACGACTTGTCTGTAGCGTCCTTCCAAGTATCGTCCACAGTGTCCTTGGTGCTTACATCAAGGCGGTGGCCAGCCCAAAGGCCGCGGTGGATATCGACATTGTTAACCATGGCTACCGAGTCATCTGACGACCAACATATGCGCGATAGAATCAAATCGCCAATATTGAATTTGGCTAGCGTGTCGTGGAATGCTTCAGCGCGCACATACTCCTTGGTGGTCAGATTGCGAAGTATGTAGCTTTTGTCTTGCTGGCTCATGATCTTGTATTTGGGAAGAAGCTCTCTCGCTAAACCGTAGTGTCCAGAAAACAACACGCGTTCGCAAAAGCTGCTCATTGGATCTTCATAGCTGCAATCTTCCCCAAAATCATCAGCCAAGCGGAACAGGTTCTTCTCAGACAACTCTGCCTCCTCTGAAGCGGTGAGAACTCCAGGCGGGTAATCTTCAATGTAGTCTCCGACGCAAATGATGCGGCATCCAGCCCAGACCCTGTTGCCCTCCTTGAAGTTGAAATAACGAGCCAGGTTGCGACGGCCAATTTCCAACGTGCGGTAGCAAGTCAGGGCAAAGCACCAGACGTCAACCACCGGCAGGTGCAGCATGATCGTGTCCAGCACTATGTCTGGTAGAGACTCGATTACTGAACCCACATTAGTTGTGTGCTCGCTGATCGGCCTCGCTGACAACGGCCTATCGGGAATATAGTAAATGCCGCGAGTTAGCATTCTCGCAATATATCTTGGGCTGCTGCCATCAAAAATAAACTCGCCAAGTTTACCGTAGCTGCCAGTAGCCTGTCTTTTGTCTAAGCAAACGAGTCTCCAGTACTGGCCCATTGAGTGCAATCAGTAGCGTGGTGAATAAAACGAGAATGTGAAAACAAAAGTGAAGCTGAAGAGAATATAAAAATACGGCTATTTAAAATTGATTTCAAAGTGAATATAACAAAAATAAGAAAGAATTGCTTTCAACAGAAATGAGTTTGGCTAAACACATGCATCGAAGCCTGTGCTGTATGCGCGTGTAAGAACAACAAAAATAACAAATGCTATTTGGTCGATTAAAAATGCTTGTGGCCGTCAGAGCTTATGCAATCAAACTCGAAGCGCGTTTTGGTGATACTGATTTAGAAGATTTGTGCAATTTGGATCAATAAGTATTAAGCAAAGCTATTGAAATGATTAGCGTATATTCTGTAACCAAACAAAACATTCAGCCGTACAATCGTACAATGCATTTAAAAATCCTGTTTTCTATTTTGAAATTGCAATATCCAAGTAACTGACTGCGTGACAATCGCATTGTAATTATTTTGGGTTGGTCACCAGAATTCACAACAAAAATAAACAGCCCCAACCCAAAAACAGGCAGCATCAAATGACCTATCTTGTTGGTCAGCTTTACATGCGCTGTCGTATTTCTCTGGTCAAAACAGTACATTCCGCATGATTCCAACAGAAAACACCTGAATACAAACAAAAAATGTGCAGTGTCCAATGTTTTGTTTCCAAGTTTTTTCTTACAATGAAAGCCAACATTGGCAAATATAAAATATATTGGTTTCCGTAAACAAATACATGTCTCACATTCACTTACCCCTTATTTTTTGTCACAGAACAGTGTGCTTGTTTGTTGGAGGGTGTATTAATTGTCTATTCAAATATCAATTGTTTGTGTTTCAAGTTGGGCCTCTTACCCAGGTTCTCTAAATATACATGTAAATTTTCGGAACAAAATTTCCCCCCCCCCAAAAAAAAAAAAGATATCATTGTTTGTCTTGCAAAAATGGCCGAATGCATGTTTGTATTTTTGCAAATATCAAAATCACTTTCACTTTATTTCACGACATAAATAATGCAATGTTGACATCAAAATGATGCAATGTTAACAACATTTTTCTTCAAGCACATGGTGATATATCCTGCTGCTATTTTTGGCAGTTTGGGCTTGCTTCATTACCCAAATACAAGCCTCTTGGTGCAAAAAACGTGGGAAAATTATTTTAGGCTGGCCCAAAACAAAGAACTCGCTGTATTTTTTATTTTCCATCTCTTTTTCTAAATGAGAGGTCTGTTTTAGCTGCCTTTCTCACCCATCCATTTGAATGCCAGGTTTCATATAAATAGAGCGTCCACTTCCCAAGTCATTTCTTTGGTTTCTCATCCCCACCACAATTTGTTACAACACTACTTACCAATTACACTTTACACACCATGTTTGTATATGGAATATACCACCAGCGACCGCGGATACCACTTACCTCCTCTTGACTTTTCAATAACCAACCCAACCCTTTGCTCGCAAAATCTACAGTCCACATTTTCACTTTCAAAACACAACTTATGCCAGGGGATGTTCGAACACACCCACCGGCTTTCCACGTCAAATCCTCTTTCGTCATACAACCAGCCCTCATCTTCATATTTCGTCTCCCCATTACCCACTCCTCCCTTTGCTGCTACCCGCCCTCCTTGCTAATGTATTGCCTGAACAAAAAAGAACAACAAACAAAAGAACAGAACAAACAAAAAAACAGAACAAACAAAAAAAGAACAAAAAAAGATGAGTGTCCATGGGCCTTGAAACATTGTAAAATGTTCTCGGGGTTTATTAAATTTATTATTAAATACATGGCGGCACAGCAATCATTACAAGTCTGATCAGCTTGTGATGTTGTAGATGCAACTCATAAAAAAAATAAAAATAAAAAACAGGCAATACAAAGGCATAGAGGTAGGGAGCTAAAAAGGTAGGAAGTGTGGGAAAATCAAACAAACAAAATTTTGGCACTATAACAGCCACTAGATTATACTCATCACACGTTTCTTTATCACTTTCGAGCTGCTGGGCACTTTGACACGCTTGCCGATGCGACTCTGGGCTACACATCCAGTCCACCGCCAATTTCTTATTTTTCACTGCGCTCGGCTCATAACTAGAGCCAGCGTTTTTGAGTGTATAATACAAACTAATAAAATTTTGTATATATTGAAACTTGTTAGATGAAGTAAAAAAATAGAGATGAAAATGAATTAAAATTCACTTGAAAAAACATTTAGTGACAGCTGGTATTTTTCTTTTTATAATGGTAATTTCTACAATGTCGCAATATATTTTCATTTACTAATATTTTTGGCAACGAGCCAAGTGCACGTAAAATAAAAAATTGCTTTATTGAAACAGGGTGGAATGCAAGCACGAGAAAACAAAACCAGCAGTCAAGTCAGTTTTTACCTTTGTAATTGTTTTTAAAACCACGCGTTTTCCGCATTGTATTTCCTTTTTTCAGTTGAAATCCCGTTAAAGAAATAAATGAACATGCATATCTATATTTTTAAACTAGCACATTATTCTCTTCTTTTATTTTTCTCCTAATTTTTATCATTTTGTCAACCAACTAGTTTATTTTTCATTTGTTTTCAATACCACATTTTTCAATAACACCATACTCACTTTTCACCGTAACAAGAGCCACTGAAAGCGTCAACATGTCGGCGGACAATACTACTGGCAGCGCTGACACAAATCGTACAGAGCCAAGTGAGTCCGAGTCAGAGCCAATTTCTGAGACTACATCTATGTTTGACTCTGCATCACACTCTAGTTATAGCACTTTTTATGGCTCAAGCTCTAGTTATATGTCCGCCATGAGCTCTGAGTCTAGTTCAGATTCGAACTTTCAAACCAGCTTAGAATCAAACTCTCAAACCAGTTTAGAATCAAACGCCGATTCTGATGGTGGGAATTGGTGTTCGTGCATATGCAGTTAGATTTAGTACGAGCATCACGGAAAGCCATTTATACGTTGTGCATCAGTTTAGCTCGAAAAGTTGTTTACTGGTTGCATTTTTTTGTTTTTAAATTGTACATTTTTTGCATTTTCATAAACAATAAATATTATTCGTAGATTTTCAGTTTATTCTAAAGTAAATGGCAATTTTTCATGCGTTTCTTATATTTCCCTGTTGTGATTTGAGGGGAGCACTAGTTAGTTGTCTAGTGTTAAAGTTATGTTTGGGGTCTGTTATAGTTTTTATTATCAATGGAATCAAAGGCGTAACTAAGGCCGACCTCATCTTATATATATGTCATGTTGCCTTTATTGTGCACCTCACCAATTGTGCACTCCGTTGGCAAGAGCTGGTTCTTCTGCAGGCAGACTGGTGGCTCGGCATGTCAATACTATGATCTTTGCATATGTGCGCTCAAGCATATGCATTATGGAAAGGAGAGGTATATCAGGGTGTCACTATTGTGTCCCCTTATTTGATCCTGCATGGTGCCATCTATGCTCTGTTAATCGGCATGTGGTTGGAGGCTCGTTTCACGATTCTCGACTTCAGCATCCACTTCCATATCATCAGGCTGCTCAATACTATATTCACAGTGCTGCCCACACAGTGCTGCCCCCTTTTGTAGTTCCTTAAGTAATTCTTAATACATAAAAATATATTAATTTAGACCCACATTTTCTAGAGCGTTACTGTGATACAAGAAAATCTGGCTTGTCTCCGGCGATTGATTAATGAACCAATCACTAGTTAATTCCCTACTTGGATATGCAGGAATTCGTACGCATACATAAATACTAATGAATATGAATAGTGGAGGCTGTTCATCCCTTGGCTTTCTTTTAGTTCATTTTGTCCAAATATATATTTTTAACATAACAACTGTTGTGGTTCCTTCTCTCTTTTCCTGACCCTGCTTTCTAGATAATAAATATATATTTGAACAAAATGAACTAAAAGAAAGCCAAGGGATGAACAGCCTCCACTATTCATATTCATTAGTATTTATGTATGCGTACGAATTCCTGCATATCCAAGTAGGGAATTAACTAGTGATTGGTTCATTAATCAATCGCCGGAGACAAGCCGCAATTCCTTGTATCACAGATATAGTAACCGATTCCAGTAACAGAAGTGTGATTTGGTTTCTCGGGAAGCCAATACGAATATTTGAATAGTTGAATATTTGCTTTTAGTTGCCAACAGGATCGGGAATCATAATTTCACGTATTCAAAAATAAGATGCCACAGTTTCTTATGTGTCTTTAAAATGCAAATGATGGTGTTGAATATTTGTGAAATGTCTACTATTATACAATAGTATTTATAGATATTAATATATCATATTGGCAAAGAAAATACAGCGGACTATTGACCACAGTATCCCTCTATTCGAAATATTGGTTGATGGCGATCAACTGATTAACCAGTCTTGGCTGTTTAGCCACACAAACAATAAGTCACACAGTGACCAGAGCAATATGCTCTCTTCTCTTTACCTTTTCACAGTGCATAGCACTTATTTATTAAATATACTTTATATCATTATGGTTTATCTACACGCTCATAGAACATCTTATTTTCCAACATGAAACCTTCAACAAAAAAAACTATTATGCTGCGCATGCACACACACAGCTATGAAGAGAACATTGCCTTAGCATGCTCTCACTCACTCCAGCATCGGCATGTTACAACAGTGTATAATTAAAGAGGACATTCATTGCTTCCAAAGAGAGAGCAATTCCTGGCTGCCTGACAACCGCTCTTTTTATATGCTCTCCTTATGACATAAATAAACTATAATAAAAACTTATCATCATTGCTCTGATTGCGACGCGCGTAATCAATTAATCTCAGTAAGGCAATGTGCAACACCATGTGCCTCAACTGCGACAGGCATGCTGTTGTAATAAAACTCGCAAACAAAAGACAATTACAATTTCGCACAAAGGGTAAACTGAATTGTATATATCAAATGTTTTGTCGCGAGCTGCTGTCCTTTGTGAGACAGCGTATACAATTAATTGCAAAAGCCAATTGTAAAGGCCGCGATCTCGAGCTCTTAATCATAGACCGCAAGTCTCGCGATGCAAAACCACCATGTGCAAAAATCATTTTAATTAAACTCGACAAAAATTGCACAAGTTATTTCAAAATATAGATATTAAAATTCAAAAATAAACACATAACGTTTAAATTTCCTTCCTGACCTTCTCCAACGCCTCATAGAGCGCCTTTGCAAACTCCGCATTCCTGACTCTCACCAAAAAGCGACACGGTTTCCCATCAACAAAAACCATCAACCCCACGTCCTTTTTGCCCTCATTCATCTCCACATTCATATCCTTAAAGATCGACGCATTCAGCGTAACGCGATCAGATCCATCCTGACGACACAAGATTCTCGCACGCTTTGCTCCCGAATCAGTCACTACAGATGAGTTAATCTTAAAGTTGTTGATCCCCAGATCCTTGTACTGCTTGGTCTCAGAGTCCCACTGGTAAAGTTTGCTCCGCACTAGGTGCTCGGTTGTCTCGCCCTCTTCGCCTGCTGTGCTGGGCTCCTTCTTGGGCTCATCCGCCTGATCATCGTCCCCGTCGCTACCCTCGACCTTGGAAGTAGCGGCGGCGGCGGCAGCGGCATCAGCAGCATCAGTGGTAGTAGTGCTGGACGTGCTCGTGTTAAGCCCAAAGGAGAAAGACGGCTTGCCCGTGGTCGATGGCTCGGCGGGCTTGGTAAATTCAAATGAGAACGGCTTCTTTTCGGCACTCTTGCTCGGGGAAGCCTCAGACTGGCCTCCGGCGGGCTTGCCAAAGCTGAACGAAAACCCGGAGGTGCCCGAGGTGGTTGTGTTGGCATTGGACGAGGGAGAGACAGCTTTGCCAAAGTTGAACCCAGTGCTCACTGGCTTCTCGGTGGACGAGGGAGAGACAGCTTTACCAAAGTTGAACCCTGTCGTCGCCGGCTTCTCAGCAGCAGCTGCGGGGGCAAACGGCTTGGTTCCAAAGTTAAACCCAGTCGTCGCCGGCACCTTCGCCTCCACTGGCTTATCCTCCACCACGGGCTTCTCCGCCACGGGCTTCCCCTTTAGGGCATCCACATCCATACCCTGCTTCTCCTCAGCCTTCTTCGTTCCATCCGCAGCCGCAACAACAGCCGTTCCCTGATTAATCTTCCTCCAATGCTCTGCATACTGCTCCAAAAGCGGGGTCAAATCAACAAATGCATTGGCCTTCACAGCATCTCCGACCTTCTTGACCAAAGAGACATTCAACCCACGGATGCTCTTATAAAAAGCCTCTGACGAAACCTTGTCCGCGTACGACAGCGGCGCAGATGGGGGAACAAAACCCTTGGAAAAGGATGCATCCTTGGAAGCAGTAGTGGCGCTGGCAAAGGGCAATCCCGCGGGAACAGAAAACCCAGCGGTTCCGGAGGTGGCGGAGGTGCCAGAGGCGGGTGGCTTAAACGAAGTCATGGTGAAACCACCCTTAGCTGCAGGTGCTGCTGCTGCTGCTGGCTGTTGGCTTCCAAAACTAAATCCTTTAAACAACGCAGGCTTTCCGCCATCACCCTCGCCAGAAGCAGTAGCGCTAGCACCAGCAGCGGCGGCAGTTGAGGAGGAGGAGGAGGATGACAGAGAGAAGGAAGGATTTTGAGCAGCAGCTGCTCCGGCAGTAGGTTTTTGTGAAAATACAGAAGCAGCGGCAGCGTTAGGTTCGGCATTGCGGAAGCGGGATTTGGGCATTTTGATCTGACGCGTAGAGAGAACTTCCTTGTCGGCCATACGGAAGGTGCCCTCACCAACATCGCTGTTGTTTTCAGCGTCGGTGTCGCCGTCGTATTGGTTGAGCTGTGTGAGTTGCCTATCGGCGGAGCGTTTGCCCATGATTGAATTGATTTTCGAAAGGATTGAGAAATGTAAAAATAAAAAGTAATTTTCAAGAGAAAGGAGGGGGAAAAAGTAATTTTTCTTAGGGTTTGGGGTTGGGTTTGGGTTTGGGTTTGGTTGGTTGGTTGGAGGTATGATGGAGAAAAAAATTTTCTTTTTTCTTTTGGATGATGTAGGAAAAAAAGGAAGGGAGGGTAGGGTGTATGTGAGAGAGGCCGAACATTGAGGCCAAATTCGAAACGCGTTCAATAAATAGCAAATAATTAAAGGCAGGGCAGGGCAGGCTTAGCGAAATAGTGGGCGTCATCCCAAACAAAATTTTTTTTAGGACGATAAAGGGAAATCAGCCACCAACAGGCTGGGCCTTGTCTGATTTTCCTCCCCTCTCTTTTCCTCCCCTCTTTTTTTTTTTCTTCTTCTTTTTCTCCCTGTACATAAATCCAATCCAATATCCATTTAATCCATCCATTCTGTTTTTGTTTACGTTAATGCACACGGCTGCTTCATCATCACCATCATCGCCATCATCATCACCAATACCATAAGCATCAATCGCTCATTTAATGGCCAGCAGCCTCCAGTCACTTATCTCCGAATACGGGCACCTTGTCGACGGCGACCTAATAACGTCGATCTGGGCCGAGCAACAACACGACCCGACAAAATGCCACAATATCATCCGCATGCTCAGCGGCCAACAGCCAACAGTCACCCACATGGCGCCAAGAAGCATCACTAGCAACAGCAGCGATACTGTCACCACCAATACCACGGCCACCGGCAGTCACAGCGATAATCCCAACCATCCATCCACATCCTCTTCACTGAGCGAGCCCATCGAGGCTATTGACTCGCCCAAGGAGCTAGTGGATTTCCTCGAAGCTTGTTTCCCAGAGTGCGGGCGCGACTACTTGCTGAGCAAAGTGGACGAGATATTTAGAAATGTGGGCGGAGAAAAGGTGGATCCCGTGGAGGCATTGGACATGGTCGCTAACTCGTTCTACAATGACCAGGCGGCTGTGGACGGCCAAGAGTATAGGCGCGGAACAGCAGCAATTGCAGATCGCAAAATGGAAACAGCCTTGGATGCCATTGAGGCGCAATACACCGTGCCTTGTGCGCAAAAGGGCAAGCGCAAAGGGAGGGGCAAAGCTCGCGAGGAGCGAAAAACAACAATGCCATCCACGGCTGGCTGTGGGGCGGAGAGCCGCGGGAATGCGTGGGAGTCAATAGGCGGCGATCTCGAATCGCTGTGTGCGATATTCCCGATGCTGCCCATGGGCACAGTGCGGTCCGCGTACCACCGCTGCGGGGCCAGCATTGACCGCGCCGTCGGCGAACTGGCGGATCGCGTGGAGCGCACCCAGGTGCCGAAGCCAGCCCCCGGCCGCACACAGTGCATTTCCGAGGCTGCCGTGGCGCAGACCGTGGCCACGCTGCGCGAGCTGTTTGCTGATGTGGACGAGGGTGCTCTTGAGCGCGCGGCCAGGGAAACTGCGGATTTCAACGCAGCCATTGACCGCGTCTTCCAGATCTCCAGCAAGCCCAAGGCCACGGCTGAGGCTGGGGCTGAGGCTGGGGCTGAGGCTAAGCCCGAGGCTAAGCCCGAGGCTAAGCCCGAGGCGGAGGCTAAGACTAAGAGGGGCGGTGTCAAATGGCACCGGGCGCCGGAGCTCTCCCGCCACCGCGTCCAGCCCACCAACGCACCTGCGGACCGCCCCGCAGTGCACGACGTGTTCGACCGCGTGCCGCTTTCGGCTCTTTCGGGGGCCGCGCGCCAGTGGGCATCCGAGCACCGAGCGGATCCCGCGTACTGCCGGCAGCGCGCCTCGGAGCTTCTAGCGCGGCGCAACGAGCTCTACACGAAGGCAGCCTCGGCCTACGGCAGGCGCCACGGGCTCCGGCACCATGGCGGCACCGCGCTCTACTACTCCACCGAGGGGCATCGGCTGGATGTGCGTGCGCGGGTCTGGCGCATGCGGGCGGCGCAGGCGAGTGTCGCGGAGATGCGCAGGGCGGATGCCGGCGTCGTGGATTTGCATGGGCTGACCAGGGCGGAGGCTGTGGCCGTGGTGCTGGAGGAGGTCGAGAGGTGGCATGCGGCGGGAAAGTGCGGGAGACTGCATGCTGTCACTGGGCTGGGGAACCACTCGGTCGGCGGGAGGGCTTGTTTGCACCCGTCTGTGGTCAAGGCGCTGAGGGAGCAGGGATGGTGGTTTGAGGAAGGCAGGGGGTATGTCGATGTCCTGGGCGTGGTCACAGCTGGTGCGCGCATGCGCTTTGGGGGGTGAGGAGCCATAGTTGATTTTGCGCAGTTTCTTTTATGCTTTGCTGAATCTTTTTTTTCATGTCGTCTGTGATTCCACCAGCTTTTTCATGTGGTCTGTGGCTCTACCAGCTTTTTTCTTTCTTTCTTTCTTTCTGCTTTGCAATGGCTGACATGGGAATATCGATTACCGGCCGCGCGCCCAACCCTTCAACCAACGCCACGGCCACGGCCACGGCCACGGCCACGCCCACGCCCACGCCCACGCCCACGCCCACGCCCACGCCCACGGCCACAACCACCAGCATCGACATCCATCCCCAGCAATCGGTCGAAGGCTGGGTTCTCCTTGTAACCAACGTGCACGAGGAAGCGCGCGAAGAAGACCTCCGCGACTTCTTCTCAGACTACGGCAAAGTGCGCAACCTCCACCTCAACCTCGACCGCCAAACTGGGTTCGTCAAGGGCTACGCCCTAGTGGAGTATGCTGAGGAAAAAGAGGCCCTGGCTGCAGTGCAGCGCGCCGCGGGGAAATCGCTTTTGGGGAAACAGGTGGCGGTGGACTTTGCGTTTGTTAAGGACCCGGTGGTCGAGAGTGGGTCGATAAGACGCGGAAATGTGGAGCGCGGTGGTGGAGGGTGTGGAAGGGTGCGCGAGCAGAGGAGAGATCGCGAAAGATCCCCCGACCGAGGCTTTTGAAAATGCAATTTATAATAGAATCAAAATTTACACACGCTGCACTCTTTCTTCCCTCCTCTATTCGCTCCAATAGTAAAAAAATTAAATAAAAAAGTACATTATTTTGTTTTATTATTCTGCTCTACCATGCCCCCTTCCCCCACAGCTGCACTTCGGACTCTGTGGTTCGGTCCACACACGATCCCGCTCTCGCAGACATTCCTTCTCACGCCGCTGACCTACGGGCTCGTAAACCTCAAGCCCATCCGCCCCGGCCACGTTCTTCTCGCCACCCGCCTCCCGCACCCGCGTTTCTCCGACCTCTCCCCCGATGAAGTCGCCGATCTGTTTCTCCAAGCCCAGCGCGTCTCCCGCGCAATTACCCGCCAGTTCAACGCCCAGTCGCTCACCCTGTGCATCCAGGACGGCAAGGAGGCAGGCCAGACTGTGCCGCATGTGCATTTGCACGTTATCCCGAGAAACGAGGGCGATTTTCCGGATAACGACGACGTTTATGAAAAGCTCGAGCACACGCATAGGATCGACAATGAAGAGAGGACGCCGAGGAGCCAGCAGGATATGGCTGGAGAGGCCGAGATGCTGCGCAAGGAGATTGGTGAATGGAACACCGACACTGATTTTTGAACGGAGCACGTGATTTTACATCTTATCGAAATGAAAAAGAAAAAAACCCACCCCTTGCACAGACAGACGATCAGCCATTTTGTCCGCTCCGCTTTCCTGTCCCGTTCTTTTCTTTCCTTTAGTCATCTGTCTGCTCTGCTGTGCTCAACTTTATACACACCTACCCCCAAAACAATCCAACGAGTATTATTTTTACCATGTCGTTTTTATTCAGACCAACTACTCTCACTCTGATTCCGCGGACCCACAGCTCGGCATTAACAGCAACAACATCAGCGTCGCTGCACACGGGCCGATCCACCCCGACTATCCTGGGCGCACTGCCCACGGCCGACTCGCGCGTCGGCACCGTGGCGCTGCACCGGGTGCATCTTGTAGTCTGCAACTCGTCGTCTGCGGAATGGCCCTCCAGGGTGGAGACCATGAGCGAGCCAATAACGACCCTTGCCCGAGGCTGCGGCAGGCTGCCCGGACGCGCAATGGTAACCCTGTCTGACTTCGCCCCGGTCCGTCCACCCTCCCCTTGCTCGTGCTCGTGCAACCCAACCCCCCCTACGGCCACCAAGGTGGTGGATAATAAGGGCAAGTATGATCGCATTGATGTGGCCGTGTTCCCACTGGGCATAGTTGCCAAGCAGCTAGACACCAAGGGTGCGGAGATGCTTCTGGAGTGGCTATCCCGCGACACTATACTGCCTACTTCGTGGTCGACCGACAAGGGGAGTGTGCCGTTTGACCATGCGTGGTTGGAATTGACCAAGAACAGGCATATTTTTGTCTGCACGCACGGATCTCGCGACCGCTTGTGTGGCACACATGGGGGTGCTTTGTTGCGCGAGGTGCGCCGCGTTATAGAGGAGCGCGGAGTGGGTAAGCATGTTGCTGCTTGGGAGACTTCGCATGTTGGCGGGCATAAGTACGCAGCCAACGCTATTATATATCCGAGAGGCGATTGGTACGGCACCTGGTGTGATCGCTGTGGCAAGGGTGTGGACGGTGCAGCGGGGAGTGGTGATTCAGTTGTGGAGGATGCTAGGGCGCTGGTGGATGCGGCTTTAAGGGATGTTGTTTGGTGGGACGCGTGGCGCGGCGCCACCAATATGTCCAAGGAAGATCAGATCCAGACGTGGATGAAGAACACTGCCGCGGAGAATACTGAAATGACTGAGGAAAGGGAAGAGGAGGAAAAGGCTGCTGCCTGGGTGCCTCCCAGCACATTGTCAAGGAGAAAAAGCTCGTAAATATAATAGTTATATTTGGTTTGTAGAAAAAAAGAATATGGAAAAAGAGAAACATTTTAGCTGCGCTTTGACTTTTTCTTGGTCGGCTCAGCTTCGGACTCCGAAGAAGAGCTCGAATCAGAGCTTGAATCAGAGCTCGAATCAGAGCTCGAAGACGAAGACGACGGCGCCGATCTCTTCTTGCCCTTGGGCGCTTCCTCGCTATCCGAGCTTGAAGAAGAGCTTGAAGAAGAGCTTGAAGAAGAGCTCGAAGAAGAGCTCGAAGAAGAGCTAGAGTCCGAATCGCTGTCGGAGCTGTCGGAGCTGTCGGAGCTGGAGCTCGAAGAGCTATCGGAGCTGGATGAGCTCGAAGAGCTAGAGCTAGAGCTTTCCTTCTTAACTTCCTCCTCTTCGTCAGAACTGGATGACGAGCTAGAGTCCGAATCACTGGACGAATCGCTAGAGCTAGAGCTAGAGCTAGAGCTAGAGCTAGAGCTAGAGCTAGAGCTAGAGCTAGAGCTTTCCTTCGTCGTCGCTCCCTTCTCATCCTCAGAGCTTGAATCGCTATCGGAATCGCTAGAGTCTGACGAGCTAGAAGAGCTGGAGGAGCTGGAACTCGAGCTTTCCTTCTTAGCTTCCTCCTCTTCATCAGAGCTGGACGACGAGCTAGAGCCCGAATCGCTGGACGACGAGCTAGAGCTAGAGCTAGAGCTAGAGCTTTCCTTCTTCGTCGCTTCCTTCTCATCCTCAGAGCTTGAATCGCTATCGGAATCGCTAGAGTCTGACGAGCTAGAAGAGCTGGAGGAGCTGGAGTCGGAATCGCTGTCAGAGTCGCTAGAATCCTCAGAGCTCGAAGATTTTTCACTACGAAAAAGAAAAATTAAGATAAAACATTTAGCATCTTTATCAACCTTCTCTCAAATAAAAAACCACACTTTATTGTTTTACACTCCCGTCTTTCTTATAAGCTTACGTCTTCTTCACGGCCTCGATAAATGCACGCATCGTCTTGTCCTTCTTTGCCGTCTTCTCCGCCTCGTTGACCATGGCTGAGGCGGTTTTCGCAAGACCGAGCTTGACAAACAGAGCGTGCGCAGCAATAAGCTGGTCCTTCTTGTCGCTAGCCATTTTTTGTTGGTTTGTTATGTAAAAAATAAATTGACTGAGTTTGTCTAATGTTTTTTTGTTCGGTAAATTAATACGAATTTATAATACGGTTGCAAGAAAAGGAATCCAACAGTGGCGTGTGACGAGTCTATCCGGAGTAATGGTGCAACAACAAAATTTTTTTTGCTGTTTTGTTTGTGTGGGTCGACGATCCTTTTTTTGTGTGCGTAATACTAATCTTACTTTTTTAATCAATCAAATCAAACCGCTTCAGTTGCATTCCCCACGCTCAACCCCAACTCGAAAGCCAGCTCCAGATCCAGATACAAATCTAGATCCAGCATCATCTAGAAAACGCATACGCGCTTGAACAATGTAAGAAAATGATCGTATGTATATAATATGGAAGAAAGTGAAAAATCCGAAAACAATAATGAAGCTAACTCAGAGATACAATCCCCGCACTCTAAGCAAAATCATTACGCAGTGATTCATACACCTTCCAAGAGCTGTTGACCTTGAACTCTGGCGGCGCAATGGGGTTATCTACCTGACCGCGGAAAGTTCCTGTGAGCTGTTTGTCGCGAACCATCATCTTACGATCCCAGTCATCAAGGCTGTAACGCACGGCCTTGCCCTCATTGCGCTTCGTCTGTGCGTATCTAATTCCTGTCCCTGTAACCACAAACATGCCCGCGATAACCGCGAACGGAATAAAACTCTCAAACGGAATCGGCATCTCTAATGTGAAACTGATTTAATTGTATGGATTTGTTAAGAAAAAGCGTAGATATTTTTACAAAAGAGAAGAGTTAAAGAAAGCTCTGCTGGTGCTGCTGCCGATTGGCGAAATTGAATGCAAGAGAAAAAGTACAGAAAACTCAAATTCGTGCTTTTTTATATCTCATCTATGGTGTGCGAGGCTTTGTAGCGTTTAGACAGGTAGCTCGCTCATGCGTTTTCAAAATAGCTAGAAAGTGATAACAAAATTGAATCACGGGATAACAAATTTGGCGATCGATCAAGGAAATTCAACCACCTGTTTGTCCAAAAGTATAATTATAGAATAATTATTTCCAGTCCTCACCCACTTCGTAGTCGCTGCTTTTACCCAATGGGGATTGAGCTGCCAGGTAGCAATAGCTGGCTTGATGTGAGGAAAATGATAAAAATGATCTAGTCTTGTTGCACTTGGGAGCAGCGCTTGGTTTGGGCGCAGCATTTGGATCAATTGACGGTCTGCCATGGTGGTTGTAAGCTGGGTGGCACTCACCAAATTTGCGACGATACAACAATAGCAAAATAAAATTGCACCCCGATGCAATGTCGCGGTTCCAACACCTGAACTCGGTGTTGGACTCGATTTTTAAATATATAATTGCTATTTATTGTTTATGAAAGCTAAAAAATATCATTGGTTGACTAGCAATTAAAGAATTTTCTGTTGCGACTGCGCCAGCAATGGTTGATATATGTGTAATGTGTAATGCTTCTCAACATTAACGTAACAACCTTAAAAACCTATTCAACTTATTTCTGGGCCAATGTTTGCAAACCGTCCCTTCTTCGACTGGTGCAGTTGTTCAGAGATCGTCGTCCTCCATCTCCTCGTCATCGTCATCATCATCGTTTGCCTTCTCCGCGTACTCGACAGCCTCGTCAAACACGTCCTGCGGAACATGGGTGTGCAGGCCATTGGACTCGGCGCAAACCCACGAAGCTCGAGCTCAAACAGCTTGTCCTTCGTCTCGTCATGCACGGCATAAATAATGCGCGCTGCCTCTTTCAGGGCATCGCGCACAGACAGATTATCCAGATCGAGCTTCTCAATCTCCGTCTTGGCCGCCTGCTTACCCTTTCCAGCAGCGCACCCGCGGTAACCCATGTACTGACCCGAAGGCTCAATCATATAGAGCTGCGGCCCGTCAACATCCACCGTGGCCAAAATAGTGCTCACGCCAAAGGGCCTGACAGACGAGTAAAGAGTGTACGCCTGGATATACATACCCATGCGCTCGGCAATGATCTTGGCTGGAATATTGGCCTTGTATGTGCCATGGTAGTGGCTGGCCTCGTCGCGGGTGCGCTTCACCAAGTGTCTTGTGTCCGACATCCACCCGGCAGAGGCCACGCCAATGTGTCTTCCGGCTGTCATGATGCGCCGGTTGGAGTGCGGGACCAGAGACGCGAGTGTTTAATCTTCTCAACTGCCAGAACCACGCCGCCTTTGACACGGAGCCCGATGGCTGTGCCGCTGTTATCCACCGCCTTTTCTGCATACTCCACCTGGAAAACACGCCCATCGGGCGAGTAAGTGCTGACTGACAAGTCGTACTACAAAACAAGAAAAGCAAAACAGCAGTCGAGATTCAATAGCGACACGACGGATAGAAAAAGAAAGATTTCTAATTAGCAACTTTTGTCTTAGCGAACTTGGTCAATTCCTGACTGCCGCACAAAGTTTTATTTTTGAACCGCTTCTACAATACGTACACCTGTACCAATAGACGTCATTTTGCTCCTGTTTAACTTTGCTTTGGAAAAATAGAAATTATAAAGAAATTAAATGCGGTTGAATGAATTTAGTACACGAGCAAAAAAAAAGAAGAAAAATAAAGTGGAAAATATGGCAAGCGCGCGGCTGGTCTAGCAGCTTTTTTCTCTTGCTTTTTCATTTTAGTTGAAGACGTAAGCGCTTCAGAAAAAATAAAGCCAGCACTTGAAGAATTAAAAATTGGCAGACTAAAATTTCTGCATCCGACTGACGTATACACAGCCAAAAAAGTGCATAAAATGCACTTTTGGCCAAGTGTCCCCTGTGGCACCTGGCAGACCGATTGCCCCCTTTTTGCGCACAAGCAAAAAAATTCCAAAGAGAATGACAGAAAAAAGGACATGTCACAGATCGGAGAACGCCTGCGAGGTGCGATGCCAGTGATAAACCCGCACCAGATGTACTCCCAGACCGAGAAAACCATGCTTCCCTTGTAGAGCCGCACGTGGCAGGCAACAGGGGTGACAAAGCCAACCATAGACGCAGCGACAGCACCTAGAATAGGCACGACCTTAGAAATGTCCGATACAAACAGAGCACAGAACACCAAAACCAGCATCGCAGACTGCAGAAGCCGACGCGACAGAGCGCTGCTTTGTGGGTGCAGGCTGGGAATAATGGGCGACTTTGCCAGATCGCCGTACATGGTGTAGCTGACTACAGCGACACAAAGGTAGATCAAAGCAATGAAGGATGTGGCTAGCGAAAGCGTCTTGGTCCACTGCTTGGGAAGTCCTATAGATGCCTCGAGAGCGAGCCACTTTAGGTTGCCACCAAAGCTGAAGCAGATAGACGCCAGGAAATGGGCGCCAGCTTGAGATCAATTGCCTTTGTCGGCGGTCTGGCATTCATGTACCCCATGTCGCTAATGCCCAATCACACAATGATGACGACAGTCGCCACAGTGGTCAGCGTGCCAAATAAGCTGAATACAAACACGTCATTCACCTTGCACGCCATGAAAATCACCGCCCACACTAGGAGCGCTGAAAACGCAATCCAAAACTGCACGCCCAGATGATCCATCAACATGCCAGCCACCAGCGAGTGATTGTTGATTTCCGCAAGCGCAATGTATATCCCGACGACGCCCAACAGGTTAAAATCCTTGAGCATCCTCACTACCATGCGGCCACCCCGCCAAAGGCCGCCTTGGTAACCTCGGAGTACAATTTGAGTTGCATCCCAGGCGTGCAATACATTATTGATAATGAATTTTGGAATTTCCAGACATTTATAGCGAAATAGTTTTTTTAAAAGCTTTTAAAAAACAAGAGGTTTCCTAATTTTTTAGCCTAAAATATCAGAAAATCCAGATTTTTAAAGATGCGGGAAAGTATTTAGATTTGTGTCTGACTGGTGCTTTGGCTGTGAGTTAAACGTGACGCTTAATGATGTAATTATATTCATCCAACTCTGTCGCAGCAGCAGCAGCAGGAGGTAGCCGCAACAGGCGTTAATATAATTCTGGCGGTAGAAAAACCTCGCCAAATTTATACCACAGCTTGCTCCAGTGCACAATGGAAGACTGCCTGCAAACCTTTAGGGCCGACAGAACCAGGCTTAAAATGGCGAAAAAGTGTCATCAGGCAGACGGAAGTGGAATCGCGACATGGCTGCGTGCTAAACTTTCGCATAATCCTTAATACCCTGTTTGCAGGTAATCGGCCTCCCCATTTATTGCACAAAAAGGCATCATCAGAGTCGGCTGAACCCGAGTCTACAGCGACGCTCAAGCCAGAGCCAAAGCCCAACCTAAGCGTGTGCGCAATAATACATTTGCCCCTGCTTCTTCTCTTTGTAAGAAGCAGCGAACTGGATAATATCGTCAACCATAGTGGCCTATTGCTACTAGTTTCTAAACACTGTGGGGGAAGGATGTTGGTTGGAAGCATATTTGTAGCCTCATTTCTTATAGTGTAGAGGTACTTGATCAGGATTTCGCCACTGTAGGCTGAGATTGCAGCTGCCAACATAATGTAGAAAACGCCGGCCCAGCCGCCCTGCTTGAGCGCATATGGCAGCTGAAGTATTCCCATGCCTGCAGTGATGCACACAATGTGAAAGGATGTCTCAGTGCTGCTGCTCTGGTTTCGCGCGTTTGCATTTTAGTTTCCGGGGTCTTGTCTGTTGTATTCGCCCAATATGGCCGCGTATCCTGGCGCGTCCCTGGTTGCAGAGTCACTGCTGTCTCTGCCGCTGCCAGTGCCGCTGGCCAGTAAGGGCTGTGTATGTGAGTTGAGTTTGGTCGTAATAACATTGTTGCTGTTGAAAGATAAAATAACAAACAGGCGGGATAAAACGGAAATACAAAATGAAGAAAGCGTATTTCTTGTCTGTGCCATCGGGTCTAGCAGGCAAATAATTATAACTGATTCTGCCGCTGACCATGAAGAGCGCGCTGCCAGATACAATCAGCCGATCAGCCAGTATTTGGGTGGGCTTAAAGTGGGTCGATTCCTGACTTCTTACTAAATGGATGTTTGCTGATACAAACGGAATAAAAAAGTATAATTTTCAAAAATTTTAAATAGAAATTAGTCAAAAATGATCTTTACAGGCTTGGCATTGGTATCACATCCTTGAAGAACGCGCCATACGAGTCGTGCTGCTTCTTCTTGACAGTGGTGCCAAACTTGAGCAGATTTTCGGGGACCGCCATGTTGGCACCTTTGAGCATGTTGATCAGCTCGCCTGAGTGCGCCTTGTCGAGGTCGGTGAAGAAAGTGTACGCGACACCTCTCTTGCCGGCACGGGCTGTGCGTCCGCAACGATGGGTGTAGTCGTCAATGGTTAGGGGGAACGTGTAGTTGATGACATACTCGACATCGGGACATCCAGGCCGCGAGCAGCGACATCGGTGGCAATGAGCAGGGGGATGCTGCCACTGCGGAACTGCTCAATGGCGTCCGTGCGCTGGTGCTGCGCCTTATCGCCGTGAATGGAAACGCAGTTGTAGCCCTTGCCTGCAGCATGCTCTCGATGCGGCTGGCCTCCTTCTTATACAGCGCAAACACCAGGACGCGGTTCTTGCGCGATTTGTGGTGCTTTTGCAACAGCTCAATCAGCCTGCGGTCCTTCTGATGCCGATCCATGACCTCGACAATCTGGTCGACACGTTCGTTAATAGCAAGCTCGTCGGATCCAATAGAGACGCGGACGGGGTTGCGCAAGAAGGTGCTAGCAAGAGTGCGCACGCTCTTGGGCCAGGTCGCGCTGAACATGACTGTCTGGCGGGCTTCGGCGGGGCGGAGCATGCTGATGATGTTGCTGATGTCCTTCTCGAATCCCTGGTCCAACATGCGGTCAGCCTCGTCGAGAACCAAAAACGAAACTTCGGACAGATCAATGGCATTGTCATTCTCGGCCAAGTCAATCAAGCGGCCAGGCGTGGCAACAATGATCGCGGGCTTCTTGCTCCTCAGCTCCATGTTCTGCTTTTGCTTGGAGTCGCCACCGTACAGGCACACGGAGGTAATGTTCAGAGTCCTTCCGGCCTCCACGCACTGCTCGTGAGTCTGCATGGCAAGCTCGCGTGTCGGCGAAACAACGAGGACCAGGGGCTTGGCGCACTTTTGCGCGCGGTGGCCGTACTTCTCCTTCAAAAAGTGGATGGCTGGCAACGCAAACGCATAGGTTTTTCCGGATCCGGTCTCGGCAATGCCAATAACGTCGCGCGCAGCAGTGACCACGGGCCAGCAGGCGGACTGGATGGGCGTGGGCTTGGAGAACTTTGAGCAGGCACTCATGAGCTCATGGCCAAAGGGAGCCTGCTTAAAGTCCAAGAACGGCATAAAGGAATCATCACCAGTGACGGAGATGTTGTGCTTCTCGTAAAACTCCTTGGCCTGCTCAATGGTGACTGCGGAGGCAGCAACAGGCTTCTGGGAAGTATCCTTTTTGTCCTTGGAGTCCGACTTGCTCTTCTTGGCCGGCTTCTCCTTCTCGGCCTCTTCGGCCTTGCTGCTGTCCTCCTTGTCTGCGGCATCGTCGCTGCTGTGTTTCCGCTTCTCCTTTTCTCCTTCTTTGCCTGCTTCTTCATGGCCTTCATGGCACCTTGTCCTTTGACGAGGTCTTGTCGATAGCGGCAGCGGCCTTAATGTTGGTATCAGGCATTCTTTTGTATGAATAAAAAGTATAAAAGTGTTCGAAAGTACAAAAGACAAGTGGAAAGGAACAAGTGTGAACATTAATTGCTGTTCAAGGTTTTTTCGCACAATATATTTTTACATTGACCAAAAAAAAAAAGTTTTTTGCTATTTAATATTTGGCGATTCATTGATGCAAATCGAATCAAGCGATATTATCCCCGCCAGCGATTTCGGCCAGCCGCCATAATCATCAGCGCATATGTGGCACTTTGCGGTCTGCGAAGCGGATAAGCTTAAGCTTGCTTTATATGCATTTTATATTTTTTGTTTAAAAAAAACCTCTTTTGCACAGCTCCTCAAGCATGCTCTCTTCGAATTCACGGCTATGGCTGCCGCGGCCTACCACGTGCTGACAGTGCAGCGCAAATTCAGCAGCAAGAGGCCAGGACTGGGTCTCTCAGAAACGCTCAAAAGCGTGATAAATACTGGCACCCCAGGAGACAACGTCAAGGTCACCGGCTGGGTGCGTTCAGTGCGCATGCAAAAGCGGATTGCCTTTGCTGAGGTTACTGATGGATCGACACTTCGTGGCATCCAGATCATCATGGACGATCGCAGATGGCCACCGACCTGTCCACCGGGTGCTCAGTTGAGATCACCGGCAAGCTGGCCACCAGCCCCGGGCGCGAGCAGAGCAAGGAGATACAGGCCACACACGTCAGCGTCATTGGAAAGTCTGATCCTGAGTCGTATCCTCTGCAGAAGAAGAGGCACACGCTGGAGTTTCTGCGTGAAATCGGCTATCTGCGCCCGCGCTCGCAGACCATCGGCGCAGTGACCCGTCTGCGAGACCAGGCCGAAATCGGGCTACACAAATTCTTTCACGACCACGACTTCATGCGGATACACACGCCCGCACTGACCACCAATGATTGTGAGGGCGGCGGCGAGACCTTCAATGTGGTCACTGCGGGCACAGACCATCCAGAGACAGGCTTTTTCGGCAAAAGGTCAACCTGACGGTGTCAGGGCAGCTGCATCTCGAGGTGTTTGCTGGTGCGTTCAAGCGCGTATACAACTTCAACCAGTCCTTCCGCGCCGAGCCCAGCCAGACGGGCAGGCACTTGTCCGAGTTTTGGATGCTAGAGGCTGAGTGCGCATTCATGAACGACCTGCCTACTCTGGTGAACATCGAGGAGGAAATGATTCGCTCAACCACGCAGCACATTGCTGATACTGCGGGAACAGACCTCGACTTTTTCTTGCACAAGAACGAAGATTGGGCAAGCTTGTGCAGCGATTGACCAACACAGAGCCGTACGCGCGCATAAGCTACACAGAGGCCATCGACATCCTCCAGCGCGCTGACGCCAAGGCCAAGTTTAGCTTCAAGCCGCAATGGGGCCAGGGGCTGCAGAGCGAGCACGAGCGCTATCTGGCCACTACCCACTTTGCAGGGCCTGTGTTCGTCACCGATTATCCCGCAGATATCAAGTCGTTCTATATGCTGCCCAATCCCGATGGCCGCACAGTGGCGTGCATGGATCTGTTGGTTCCTGGACCCTGTGAGTTGCTCGGTGGCAGTCTGAGAGATCATGACTACCAGCGGCTGAAGAGTAAGGTCGAGAGTCTGGGCTTCGAGGAAGGGTCACTGGACTGGTATCTCGATTTGCGCAAGTACGGCTCGACGCCGCACGGCGGATTTGGCATGGGATTCGAGAGATACATCCAAATGATAACTGGGCTTGAAAGCGTGAGGGACATTATCCCCTTTCCGAGACACGCCGGCCGTTGCCAGTATTAACCCTACCATTCGGGCACGTGTGTCTGTATGTAAATTGTGTTTTATGCAACTTGGTTGATGCAATTATCGATAATATTAATGAAAAATGCATAGTCAACTGGATATCAATAATGATAGTGTAGTTGGCCAGATATGCCGCTCTGGCTCAGTAGATGCGCTTAGCGACGTTGGTCCAAAACTCGTTTTTGAGTATTTCTTTCATCACGTCAGGTAATGCAGTCATAAAAACATCGATGCCATCGCTGGAGTCCTGACTGGTTAACAACAACACGCCGTTGGCACGGAACTCTTTGATTGGGCTCACCCACGCCGGACGGCCATAGCCAAAGTCCCCCTGGTACATGTCGGGCATCACGTCGTACACAAAAGTCATAGCACTTTTGTGGTTCATGAAGCGCGCCAGCGGCTTTGCAAACGAGGACGGGCGCGAAGCAACCATGTCCATGTGGCTGGCGATGTACGGTAGGGTAATGTCTTTGGTGACCTGTCTAAAATCTGTGAGCGTTCTGGACAGGGACTCTACAGTGGTCGCAGACTCGAGCTCAGCAACTGGGCAACACATGATCTTGGGGATCAGTATATTTCCGGCATATAGCTTGTCAGAGAGTCCCAAATGGTCGCGCACCTCAAAGATGACTGCCACAGGCACGGTCCCCTTGCTTGGGGTATCGACAGCAGGTTGAACGGCACCCTTAATGCGGCTCTCAACCACGCTTTGCGCCTGTGCTCTGGTCTTGGATGTCAGCGACAGCATAAGCTCGTTGTCGGATATCTTGTCGATGTCCGGAATGTACCCGCTGATCGAGTCCCGCAATGACTCGAATGCCGCGCGCGAAACGTGAAAAAGATGCGCTTTGGCGTTTTGGCGCTCAATTACTTTGCTTATTATGTACCCGCGCAACTTGGGCGAAATCCATGCCATCCACTCGGCAACAATGCTGAATCCCTCAAACGTCTTTGCGGTTTCTTTGTGAAGCTGGGCGCGCTCCTTTGGAAGGTAGTGCTGAATCGAAGAACGGTCCGTAATGAATGGCTGCATGTCGGCTATCTTCTCGGCTTGGTCGCTCTTCATTAGCTGGTGAATTTCGCACCAGCGCTTTATAATTTGCATGTGCGCCGGCCCGTCCACAACATAGTGAACCATACTCACATACACCATCACACCACTGTTAGCTTGGAGCCTGATTACGTGCACGTTTATCAGCTTTATTTCGCCGTTTTCGTCGGCCGCGGTCATCGGCCCAGCGGTGTTTACGCCATCCGGCCACGCACTCCAGCGGAACTTGGCCGACTTGAGGTCGTCAAAATGCACGTCGCTGTTGCTTTCTCTGTAGTCGGGCATATTGATGTTGTCCTTGTCCACGACTACGCTGACTCGCCCGCGCCCCTCTGTGCGGATGTGCCCGGCAAACATTGGGATCTGCTGCATCGTACGAAAAAACGAGTTGCGCAGGGAATCCGACAACATGAAGCTATCCGATGCCTCGGTGTTCTCATAAAAAAATACGAACGGGATGTTTGAGAACGACCCCTGCGTGTCAATAACGGTTATCGGGATAACCTGCGATTCGATGCTGTTTACAAACTCCTCCATTATTTTATTCTTAGATGTAATATTCAATATGGCAAGGAAGAAAGAAACATACTCATTCCCATGGCTCTGTGCAAAAGGTTTTTTTTTACATGTTTGCTTGTTTTTCAACTCCCCAAAAGATGCGTGTGGCTGTGTGAAAAGCAGTTAAAACAATTTGCCAATAACATTGTTCGTTTGTTGCAATAGGAAATTATATTTCAAATAGTCAATGGATGGTGATATTGTTCTCACTCCCTGCTCTCAAAATGTATAGTTCAAAGAACAAGCAAATTTAAGAGATTGCATATTGGCTTGGCGGACACTTCCACTGCCAGGCAATTAAGCCCGGGTCTGGATAACTACCAACCATGCCGGCCCTTGAATGACTTTTGTTATAGAGCCATATATACAAGGTCAGAAATAAAGCCCATGGCGGGCAAGGTGGTGCGGTAGACATTCAGCCTTATTCATCAAATTTAGTTCATGCTTTTAACTTTTTTATACTTCGCTCAATTTGTTTATTTTCTCTCTCGCTATGCAATCAGGATGGAGGAGAGATGTCGATTTGCAGGATACCTATTGTATTTTTGTAGTCTCATCCCTTTCTTTAGTGTAAGCACACACTGTAATCAACGCATGTCTCACACAGACATTTTAACCGCCAATCCAAATTATCTGAGGTGTTGAACATTTGCAGCTGTCTTCAAAAGTCGCGCCGAATAAAAATTTAATAAAAATTGGGCGATAAAAATATCACAAAAATTCATTATCCCACAACAGGCTTTGAAAGGTGCGTGCCACAAAACCAGAGCGATCGGCGGAAGAGCCCCCCTGAAAAACCCCAAGTGCGCTCCTTTCACCTCTCTACATTTGATTGTTTTATATCTTTTAAACCAAGGACTCACTTTCCCATAGTCTTAGATATACAATGTTCCACGAGTACAAGAACTTTGTCGAAGATGGCGACATGGTCGTCATTTACATCAACCACGACTCAATGGCTCCGATCACTGTCACCGCTGGGCAAGTATACAACAACAGGTTTGGAACCTTTAAGCACGAAGATATGATTGGACTTAAGTACGGCAGCAAGCTCATGACTCAGGATAACAGGGGCTTTGTTTACCTTTTGCACCCGACGCCGGCGTTGTGGACTCAGGTTGTTCCTCATCGCACGCAGATTCTGTATCTGCCTGACATCTCCTTTGTTTCCTTGCACCTGGACCTAAAGCCAGGGACAGTCATGATTGAGTCTGGTACAGGCAGTGGCTCATTTTCACACTCGATTGCGCGCACCATAGCACCAACAGGCCATCTTTATACATTCGAGTACCATGAGATCCGTGCGGCGACGGCGCGGAAAGAGTTTTTGGACCACAATCTGTCGCATATGGTCACCATTGAGCACAGAGACGTTATTGCCAACGGCTTTGGGATGCTCAATGCTGCTGACGCTGTGTTCCTCGACTTGCCTGCTCCCTGGGATGCAGTTGCGGCTGCTAAGGATGCGCTTCGCAAAGACACCATTGGCCGTATATGCTGCTTCAGCCCGTGCATTGAGCAGGTGCAGCGTACAGCGCTGGCGCTGGATGAACATGGTTTTTCCGATATCCGCATGTACGAGTGCCTGGCCAAGGACCACGAGGTCCGTGTAGTGTCACAGCCTGACATTGAGGAGGCGATCAGCGGGCAGAAGGTCAACTTTAAAATGTCCAAGTTTGATAGAAAGAAGCGCAAGCTTGAATCCGGCGCTGGCTATTCGGGCAGCGAACAAAACGGAAGCTCAGTTTCGACGGATATTCTGATGACAAAGCCCGTCGATGTTGCTCGCGGACACACTAGCTACCTGACATTCGCAATTCTGGCAGCAGAACAGGGCGGAAGCATGTCTGAGTAGAACACAAATATCCTATCAGCAACAACATATAAATGAGATATTTTGTTGCCAATAAAATTGATTTTTTGATAGCCTGCTACAAAGAAATCATTGATACAAAAAATGCTGGCGCAAAACAAAGGCTTGTCAACTGAAAATGAACATTGCGGACATTGCAGTCGGTTCATCTTTTCTTTAGCTCTTCTGGGTTTTACGCTTTAGTTAGTGTTAGTGTTGTTCCATTATTTCCAAAAATGCTAGCTCCGGTATATACAGCCTTGACAACACTTAGCAACAGAACAAAAGAAGCTAAGTTTCCTCAATTTCTCAAATTTATAGCCAAGTGGCGGTCGGCTGTTGAAGAGCGTATTTTGACTACAATTAACATTATTGCAAACATTCTAGGTTGGTCACAGCGCGTGCTACAAGACCGTGATTCGAGCGGACAGTGAGTCCCAAACTTATGTTATTGAAGCAGATGATAAGCTCGACTATGCCATTGAAGAGCTCAAGTACATCGCCAAGCTGGAGGCAGCCCTAAACTTGAGGTAAAAGTTGGCAGAATCGGCATGGTGAGGTTGCGCGACATTTCTGCAGACGACCCAGTAGCTGCCAAATACATATACATTCACAATTGTTTTGTTGTTTATCCTTGCATTTGAAATCAAAACACGAAAAACAACAACTACTACTCAAACAAGCAATCAAAGGTTTACTTGTAGGTCTTGCCGTCGTAGCACTCGCGGGGCAGGGAAGGACCCTCCCAGGCAAAGCAATCCTCAATCTCGGCGCGGGTCTTGGGGTCGGTGTGGTCGGCAGCGGTCCAGTTGTAGGACTCGTAGTCGGCAGCGTCAGTGACCTCCTCGGGGACCTCCAGACCGCGGACAATGAAGTAGCCCCAGATCATGTTGTCGTCATCCTTGCCCAGAGTGAGCAGGTTACCGAAGGCATACTTGCGAGCGCGCTCGAGACGGTTGAAGAAGCCGCTGATGAGGTTGTTGGTCATGAACAGCTTGGTCAGCTCGTCGTTGTACTTGTACTCGACCTTCCAGAAAGAGTAACCCTCAGCATCAAAGTGCTCCCAGAGCCAGTTCATGGCGGTGGGCTTGGTTTCGTTGTTCGAGTAGAAGCGCTTCCAGTCGTCGAGGACCATGTTGGGCTTGGGCAGCAGGTCAAGCTTGCTCTTGGGCTTGGGGGCGGCAACCTCGACCTCCTCGTCGTCGTCCTCAGCGGGCTTCTCAGCCTTCTTGGGCTTCTCGGCAGCGGGCTTCTTCTCGGCGGCGGGCTTCTTCTCGGCCTTCTCCTTCTTGGCGGGAGCGGCGAGCTCAATGCGCTTCTCGCACAGAACAACATCGCCAACAACGGCCTTGAAGGCGGGCTGGGCGATAATGGTCTTGAAGTAGCGGGTGAGGTTACGGTACTTCTTGCGGTCCTCGCTAGTCAGGTACAGCTTGTAAGCCATGATCAAATCACAGGCAACAACAACGTCGGCAACGGTGATGCGCTCACCGACAAGGAAAGTGCGGTTAATGAGCTGGGTGTTCAGGACATCGAGGAAGCGGAAGAACTGCTCCTCGAACTGCTGATGAGCGGGCTTGAAGAACTTCAGATAACCGAGCAGGGGGTACAGGACACCAGCCATGACAGGGGTGTAGTCACCCTCGGCGAAAAGGATGTACTGGAGAATCTCAGCGGTCTCCTCGGCAGTCTGGCCGAGCAGAGTGGACTCGCTACCAGCCTTCAAGGCAGTATAGTAGGCAATAGCGCTCGAGTCAGTCAGGGAGAAGCCATCAGCGCCCTCAAAAACGGGGACCTTGCCGGCGGGGTACTTGGCCAAGTACTCGGGAGTCTTGTTGTCGACGCCCATCTGGAAAGCGGGGGTGGTAGCGAGGTCGAGACCAGCAAGGGCTGCAACAATGCAGGCCTTGTAGTTACGAGTGCTCTCGACGGGGCCAATGATAGTACCAAAAGAAGTCATTTTAATTGATATAGTGGTAAAAAATTTAGTGCAGAAAAAAAGAGATGCAAAAAAGAAATGGAACTGCTAATAGAACCACATCGAACTATGCATTTGTAACTACGGCAAGCGATGGACCCCAAAAAAAAGCTCAAAGCAGAAAGCAAAATTTTTTTTGCTCCCCAACACGTGAGATTGATTCAAAAATGGTTGCAAATCTATTGGCCAATTTTAAAATGGTGTATTCAGTGGGTGTTCTTGTGCGCATGATGTTTGTCATTCCACTAAAACTCTGAGAGAAAATAGATATCTAATTGCTATGGTTTTGACGCTCCATCATCTCACCAAGCCGCAATTTCTTCCCGTGGATATGTATATAACTTTGGTGCACAATTACAATAAGGATTACTGAGCAGCAATTTTGTTTACACAAACGCCTGCTCTTCATGACCACTATGGTCTTTAGATAGCTCTGGGTAAACCCGTTCAGGCTACGAATAAATGTGCAATTGCGGATAAAAATTAATGACAAACAAATACTACGATGCTGCGCTCGCACTGTTCAGCTCATGCGCCTACTGTCAAAATTTTTATTGCCAGATATAGAACCAAAAAATAAAGATGTGTGCAGGTTAATTTAGCTAGAACAGTCTGTGCGCGCACTTTCTTTTATTGTTACTGTCTTTTTAATTTAAAATGTCACGATTATCTCTGTTTTTCTGTTCTCAGCTTTTCGAAAGATAGGCTAAAATTAGCCACGATGTGTTGCGATTCACTATTGAAAATGTATTTTGGAATTTCCAGATATTTATAGCGAAAGTCCAGATTTTTAAGCGGGGGATTTTTAAAATCCGTTTTTCACGCAAAAAGGCATCGTCAGAGTCGGCTGAAGCTGAGTCTACAGCGACGCCTGAGACTCTGTTCAAGCCAAAGCCCAAGGCCAAGCGTGTGCGCAAGAATCCATCTTCCCCTATTTCTTTTCTTCAAAAGAAGCAGCGAGCTGATTAATATCGTCAACCATAGTGGCCTATTGCTACTAGTTTCTAAATACTTTATCTGGGGGAAAGATGTCAGTTTGAAGCATATTTGTAGCCTCACTTTTTTTTTATAGTGTTAAAGGACAAAATATGTAAAGCTTTCAATTTGCACACAAGTTGTCGATTGGCGGCTAATCGATCAGCGCTAATTTTTAAAGTAAACAAATCAGCTGCACTAGTGCTTGGCTAACGAGTAGGTGCCAGCCTATTAAAACAAAAATGCTGGCTTTGATCGGCTTTTTTTGCCCTTTAGCGCACCTGGGGCCAGCGTCCTTCATTTTTGCTTTGCTGCAAGCGAATTGAATTTTTGTTTCACTTTTTCTCGATTCGTTATTAATTTTATTGTTTCTATTTCTACTTTTCTTATTCTGTTGTATATTTACACTCACACCCACACCCGCACATTCACCTACACCCACTTTTATTTATTAGCCAGTCTTTCCCACTTGACATTTCCTTTCAGTTTTTTTGTTGCATTTAATTTTTTTCCTTTAATTGGTTCCCTTTACAATACCCAAATGAAGCAGCAACATGCTTAGCCAGACTGCAGATACACCAAATAACAGACATCGCGCATCGAGACCAACTGGACGCGCTCCAGCTGCCGGTCTCGCCATGGATAGTTTGCGGAATGCCACAGGGGCCCCCAAACCCGCAGTCGGAAAGGCCCCGCCAGCAACTAATATCCCGCTGCATCCCCGCAAAGAAGCGCAGTTTTATTCCGAGTCTCACAGCACGCCAGCGAATGCTACCCAACACATGACACGGCCACATAATGAATCAGCACGCTGCTATTACGAAGCTCTCATTTCGCGCGGAATATCGTTGCTACAGCCTTACAGTGTGCTGTTTATAGCTGAGGCGTACCATGGCTGGTTTCACGCGGCTTCGGTTGATGTCGCCGGAAGCATTTTGCAGCAGACAATAGGCTACCAGCGAGAGCACAGCCAGCAGAACAGCGATAGCATGACGAGCAGCTTTGTCGGGGATGCATCAGGCGACGGCCTTGATGTTCGCAGCATTTACTGGCTGGCGCTCTGCTACTGGAATTTGGGCGAAGTCAGCACAGTCTACGCGCTGCTTGGCTCGATTGCAGTCGAGTCTGAATTTATCATCGATCAGTGTGATGCTGATCCCGAGGCTGCGGGCACAGCAGCTAGCAGCAGCGGCCAGTATGGACTGGTGGCCCGCGAGTCGCCAAAGCTGCGCAGCAAAAAGGCACTCGCGTGCGGAATGTGGCTTTTGGCGATGAGCTGCACGCGGCTGGAGAAATGGCAGGAGGCTGAGGACCATCTCACAGCGCTCTCAGGAATTTTGCGGTTGATATACCCTCCGGACGAGCCCGGAAAGAGCCGGGGTGCTGACACAAGCATTGCAATAAGAAACGCGGCCGACACCCTCTATGCTGTGCCGACTCTAGCCGATGTGTCGGATTTGCTGGGGCTGGTGTGCCTACGCACGAACCGCGCAGCCCAGAGCGAGCAGCACTCTGCCGATGCGCTGCGAAGAAATCCGCTCTCGTGGTCGTCGTGTCGGCGGTTGTGCGATCTGGGAAACACACAAAAGCTATCGCAATCACTTTTGGGCAGCTTGGATGGCATAGGCGCGGAGTTGCAGACGCAGAGCACAAACAGCATAAATCAGGGCTGGGTCGACAACAACACATTAGAATCGACACCGATACCGGCGTCACGCATATCAACAAAAAGTATTCTCTCTACTGCGACTGTTCCACCGTCAGTTATTCCTAGAAAGGCCGGGCTGTCAGCGCGGCTGGCTGCGGCTGGCCAATTATCGCAGCCATCTCGAATAGGGACAGCGAACGCAGGCGATCCCGCTGCTAATGCACGACCGCGTACGCGGTTGGTCTCACAAACACTGACATCCGGATCCAATTCCGGTGGTAATAATAGTGGCGGTAGCACCAGCAATACCACTGTCTTGTCGAGCAGCAATAGTAGCAACCTACCGGGTAACCGTACAAAGGTGACGGCACTTGCGCTGAGAAGCGGGCTGGATCTTCGCCAAGAGGCACAGACGCGCTCTGCATCATCCATCCCGACTCGTACGCCTGCGAGAGCACGCCCAGAGACACTGCTGACAGCCGATAGAAAAAGGCTGCGGAACGGCGTCCCATTGAATTCGACACTGTTTAAGCGTTCAAAAGAGGCAGAGTCAGTCAATGCAACAACAGCGGCGACCGTCGACGCACACGCACTGTCGCACATCCATCAGCTTGTTAGGGTTGCTGGTACAGTTTTTGCGCACGCACAGTCGTATCAAGCACCGCAGGCGTTGGCGGCCTTTGCCGAGCTTTCAGTTGAACACCAAAACTCCGCGTGGGGGCTGTGTTTGCTGGGCCGGATTTGCTTTGAGACTGGCCGGTACCCCGAGTCAGCTCATGCGTTTGGCGCAGCGCACCAATTGGCGCCCTACCGCACGCGCGACATGGACATTTATTCGACGCTTCTGTGGCACACAAAGAACGAAGAGGCACTGGCACAGCTTGCGCAAACGATGGTTTCGGCAGGCCGCAACTGGAGCCCCGAGGCCTGGATCGCCGTTGCCAACTGCTTTTCGCTGGACGGCGACCACGAATCTGCCTTGAAGAGCCTCGGCCGTGGAATCCAGCTGTTCAAGGCTGCGCATGGCGGGACGATGGTTGTGCCGCGGAATGAGTCGGGTGGCGTGAGCGGCCTGGCATACGCGCACACGTTGGTGGGGCATGAGAACGTTGCTGGTGAAGATTTGGATCGCGCACAGCAGGCATTCCGCACAGCAATCAGGATCGACTCGCGCCACTACAACGCATGGTACGGCCTAGCCATGGTGTACCTGCGCCTGGGAAAGCTTGATTTATCCGAGTACCACTTTAAGCGTGCCCTAACTCTGAATCCGCACAATCCACTGCTTCTCCAGAGTGCAGGTGCCGTGTACGAGCATCGCGGCGACTACCCGAGCGCACTAGAAGTGTACACACGCGTTGAGAGGCTGCTTGAATCGGGCCACTCTGCAAACATTGGCATGAGTATCACGGGCAATAATGGCATGGTTGTTCTTGGTCTGCAGTCGCATTATGCGATGAATTTTGTTATGTTTAAGCGCGCCCGAGTGCTTGTGGTGCTAGAGCGGTTCAGCGAAGCAGCATCCATTCTTGAGAAGCTGACTCGTCGGTGCCCGCACGAATTCAATGTCCCGTTCTTGCTAGGACAAACGTATTCCAAGCTCCACCGCTATCGCGAGGCGGCAGCCTGTCTGACACGCGCTCTGGACATTGCGCCTGAAAACAGCCAGAGCGTTACCGAGGCGTTTGATGCGCTTTATCAGCAGAGCGCTGATGGCCAGGAGAACATAGAGCCAGACCAAGAGAACAGCGATGCTGATCTGCCTGGCCGGTTACTGCATACGCGCTCTAACAGAGACTTGCGCACGCCTACCAATAGCGGGTTTGGACGCAACGGCGAGATGCTTTCGCCAACATCTTCGGTCGAGTCCCCGTACTTTGGCTTGCCGCCGCCGCCACTTTATGCTCGCGGGAGGCGCGGCCGGGCTGAGTGGAGCCATGACTGGAGCGCACTGAGCAGTGCTGATGACCGGATCGAGCGGGCAATGGATTTTGATATTTAAATAAAGTATGAGTTGAAAATGGTTAAATAAAGACGCAGCCACTATATAGGTTAGCTGAGGCTAGCTATCGAGATAGTGGGTATAGCCCGATTTTGGGCCCAAATCTTATTTTTCTTATCCAAAAAGCAAGCAATATTATCAATCAGAGGTCTCTTCTTTACCCCTGACAAAACAAAACATCTCACAGCCGCTTAAAATGGTGTGGGCGGGTGGATACCCATTATCTCGATAGTTAGCCTCAGCTAACCTATACATTATATTTCGTGATTCAATCACTAATACAGTCCCAATTAGCTATCGGCCACTATCTTGATAGTAGGACATTCTCCACAAGGCTAATGAGTGTCGGCTGGATCTTGCACCACCCAGGGTGTGCATAATATTGCTTCTTGTAGATAATTAAAAACGGTATCTAATAATTCAGACCAGCCCCTGCAGATCTGGATCTTGTACACCAATATACTGCTTATGTAGTGGATGTGAGTGTTAACCACAAGAAGCTTGTGAAAAGAGCGAAATTCCACTCCCTCAAAAAAACCTTGTATACAGCATGCCACCATGTTCAGTGTTGCTGGATTCTTCCCACTCAACTTAAGAAAAATTGGCTCATATCTGTTATGTTAAAAATATATATATTTGAACAAAATGAACTAAAAGAAAGTTAAGAGATAAACAACCTTTTGTTCATATTCATTAGTATTTATGTGTGCGTATGAATTCCCACATATCCAAGTAGGGGATTAACTAGCAATTGATGCATTAATCAATCGCCAAAGACAAGCCACATTTTCTTGTATCACACGCGTGAGTGCACATACACGAAAACCACAACACTGACTTGTCAAGATACCAGTCTGCTTACAGGAGAACCAATTCTCGTCAATGGAGTGTGCAACTGGTGAAGTGCATAACAAAGCAAACGAGATATATATAAGATGAGGTCGGCTTTAGTTACGCTTTTGGTTCCATTGATAATAAAAACCATAAATTAACACCTCACCTTTAACACTACATCATAGTGCTCCACATATATCCCCCTTTTTAAGTTCCCTAAGTAATTTTCTGATACTTGAATATAATAATTTAGACCCACATTTTTATAGAGCATAACAATATTAATATTGGCTTTTTGAGCAATTAAATCATACTTCTGCTACTGGAATTGGTCACTATATCCGGTTATTACAATGACACCACAGCTCATTTTGAAGCATGGAAACAAACGTGTAGACAGACAATTGATTTTAAAATGTAAACATGCTTCTTCAGGACAAAAATAATGATGTTATTGCGAAAATAGTTATTGGTTGATGGCAATCAACTGATTAACCAGTCTTGGCTGTTTAGCAACACAAACAATAAGTCACACAGTGACCAAAGCAATATGCTTTCTACTCTTCACCTTTCGCAGTGCATAGCACTTATTTATTAAATATACTTTATATCATTATAGTTTATCTACACGTTCATAGAACGTTCCTATATTCCAACAATAGTGCTCTAGTTATCAGTTTTATTCAAACAGTTTATGAGAACAGCGTAATGGAATATAAAATAGTTAGAAAAAGTACCAATATCAACGGGACATTATTGTGTTGGATCTAATTCTCTATTTTTTCTTACATCTCTCTTTATATTGCTGTGGCTCCAGATTCTGACTAGCTTGTGATACGCCTTTCTGAGCTCTGATTTCTGCCCCACATGGTCAGTGACCGCTTGGGCGTCCCACTTGTGCGCTTCTCCAAGGGCTACTTCATACACACTGTCATCGAGTTGCCTGCAATATTTGCAATGATTTATTTTTTTCAATCTGCGCGAAACAGCTACTTGGATATTCATTTACAGAGATAATCAGTGAGCCCAAAGCAAATTAACAACGTCACAAGTGTTTCTTGACTAATCTTGGAGCCAATAAGCAGCATATTAAATGTTTTTCAAGCTAATTTTAATTTGTTTTTATTTTAAATTTCATCTAGCAAGTTTCAGTATATACACAAAATTTTATTAGTTTGTATTGTTATGTAAGAGGGGGTGGGGAGCACTACTGTAATAGTGTTAAATAATAGGTGCAAAATTATAAAGGTTTTATTAGTGTTTCTAAAGTGCTATTATTGCCGGCCTCGCCTTATATATATTTCCTTGTCTTTGTGGCACTCACTGGCAGTTGTGTGCTCCGTTCGCGAGAACTGGTCCTTATGAAAGTAACCCGGGTTTCTGATATGACATAATTGGCATGTCTGTATTCTTGCGCCCAGCACATACATTTCGGGACAGGCAGTATGTCCGGATGTCAGTTGTGGCGCCTAATTTGATCCCCTGTAATTTGGCCCATATCAGATCCATCTGTGAGCTGACGAGAATCTGTCTCATGGTTTTCGCCCTCAGCGTCTACCTCCATATCCTCGGGCTGCATAACAGTATTATACACTCAAAAACGCTGACTCCAGTCATGAGCCGAGCGCAGTGAAAAATAAGAAATTGGCGGTGGACTGGATGTGTAGCCTAGAGTTGCATTGGCAAGCGTGTCAAAGTTCCCAGCAGCTCGAAAGGGATAAAGAAACGTGTAATGAGTATAATCTAGTGGCTGTTATAGTGCCAAAATTTTGTTTGTTTGATTTTCCCACACTTCCTACCTTTTTAGCTCCCTACCTCTATGCCTTTGTATTGCCTGTTTTTTATTTTTATTTTTTTATGAGTTGCATCTACAACATTACAAGCTGATCAGACTTGTAATGATTGCTGTGCCGCCATGTATTTAATAATAAATTTAATAAAACCCCGAGAACATTTTACAATGTTTCAAGGCCCATGGACACTCATCTTTTTTTTGTTTATTCTTTTTTTTTGTTCTGTTGTTTTTTGTTTGTTCTGTTTTTGTTCTTTTTTGTTCTGTTTTTGTTCTGTTTTTGTTCTGTTTTTGTTCTGTTTTTGTTCTTTTTTGTTCTTTTGTTGTTCTTTTTTGTTGTTCTTTTTTGTTCAGGCAATACATTAGCAAGGAGGGCGGGTAGCAGCAAAGGGAGGAGTGGGTAATGAGGAGACAAAATATGAAGATAAGGGCTGGTTGTATGACGAAAGAGGATTTGACGTGGAAAGCTAGTGGGTGTGTTCAAACATTCCCTGGCATAAGTTGTGTTTTGAAAGTGAAAATGTGGACTGTAGATTTTGCGAGCGAAGGGTTGGTTATTGAAAAGTCAAGAGGAGGTAAGTGGTATCCGCGGTCGCTGGTGGTATATTCCATATACAAACATGGTGTGTAAAGTGTAATTGGTAAGTAGTGTTGTAACAAATTGTGGTTGGGATGAGAAACCAAAGAAATGTCTTGGGAAGTGGACGCTCTATTTATATGAAACCTGGCATTCAAATGGATGGATGAGAAAGGCAGCTAAAACAGACCTATCATTTAGAAAAAGAGATGGAAAATAAAAAATACAACGAGTTCGTTTTTCATCAGCCTAAAATAATTTTCCCATGTTTTTTTTGCACCAAGAGGCGTGTATTTTTGTAATTAAACAAGCCCAAACTGCCAAAAATAGTAGCAAAATATATCTCCATGTGCTTGAAAAATGTAAACATTGCATCATTTTGATTCCAACATTGCATCATTTATGCCGTGAAATAAAGTGAAAATGATTTTGATATTTGCAAAAATACAAACATGCATTCGGCCATTTTTGCAAGACAAACAATGATATCTTTTTTTGGGAGGGGGGGCAGATTTTGTTCCGAAAATTTACATGTATATTTAGAGAACCTGGGTAAGAGGCCCAACCTGAAACATAAGCAATTGGTATTTGCTATAAAGGATATTAATCAAAAAATGATATTTATTTTTTCCAAGGAGGACAATTCCTGGCTGCCCGACAGCCAGGAATTATATGCTCTCCTTGGCATGTAAATAACCTATAATAAAACCTATCATCATTGCTCTGATTGCCACATGAGTAATCAATTAATCTCAGTAAGGCAACATGCAAAGCCATGTGCCTTAACTGTGGCATATCATTGGAGTCAATTCACAAACTGATTTGCGTAGCATTGGATGTCAGTGCTTTAAAAGCATGTTCACAAAATGATGAATCATTTCCAGTAATGACATGTACAGGATGCTGCTTCCATTATTGCTAAAAATCCCATGTATAAATAAGACATGGTTTCTCGAATATTCAGTCGGTAGTTCTTTAGGCACTCTTGCTCCTTTTTTTACTCACAACTGCAAACATCTTTATTTTATTTACCAGCAACCATCATTTTCAACATGCAGCTCTTCTAATTCACCACTCTTGCCCTGATTGCCGTTGCTGCCACTGCTGTTGTGTGCGCTGACGCTTATGCCAATGCCATTTTTGACAGGTTTGGAGTGTTTCATTACCCAAAGAAACCCTCTTGGTGCACAAAAAGAGTGCAAAAATATTTTAGGCTAGCAAAACACAGAAACCCACTGCATTTTCATTTTTCCATCTCTTTTTTCAACTGGTAGGGCTTTTTTGCTGCCCTTTTCCATCTATTTGCATGTCTCATTTCATATAAAAAGAGCGCCCAGTTTCCAAGTTTTTTTGGTTCCCTATCTCCCTCCCAACAACCACTTACTTTAAAATACTACCACCTTTTTTCCAATACACACATATTTTCCTAACATTAGGACATCATGACTACAGTACACGCGCACACATGCAGCAGCATTAACTTCGACTTCAACATGGATTATTGGCTTACAATACATAGCTTTTGTGGGAGGGGATCAGACACATACAACAGTTCTCGCACAGCATCATCCATTGGACTACATTGGCTCATATATTATATCCGCCGTCTGCCACAGCCACAGCCATGCTCATTTGCGCATCACAAAAAAATAATGTGTCTAGTAAACATTCGGTAAGATATCTGCAACTGGTCTCATCAATGTCATGTCTGGGATGTCTGGGTATATAAGGGGACCTAAAGAACACCCTTATAATAAAAATCGGGCTGGTTCCATTCCATAAGACCTGTAACTGTGGTATATACAGGGGCCCACAGAACATTTGTTCAATATGAATC